GGACTATTAGAAAAAGTGTTGAGTACTTCTATTCTAACTCGTCTCCTCTGGTCGATTGCATCCTCAAGAACTAGCGAGAATATAAAAACAATGCGGTGATATTCTGGAAGTTTGTGTATATAAAACACAGGAAGTGGCGCAGTTGGAAGTAAATTTTTATTTGGTGGAAGAGGCTGAATAAAAAGACTAGAATTAAAATTTTACTTACTAAAAATCCCGAAAGATTCTGTACGAGTACACCTCATTGCGTAAACAAAGCATTGTTGTGAATTAATGTCGTTTATATATTTAATATCGCTCATCGCACATTGCAACTTTCTTGATTTGTTTTTGTTTCATTTTGTTAAGGAATTCATTTTTAAATTTTGAAGGAATTCTTTGAAGAAATTGAAGACTTGAAGTATGCTCTTCAGAAATCAGCCAAACTGAACAGAGAATACGAAAAAGCTCTGGAGAAATTATGCATCAAGCATGGCGCTGACTTCGTCTCTTTAAAAGATCGCTCTAAAGAGAGATTTAATCGACGATCAAGAGACAGGAAATCCACTTAGTAGGTTGTTGCAATTAGATTTCTACTTTTTCATAGTTTTTGTCTAGGTTTTTGTCAAGAAATTTCTAGAAACCGCTCACCTAGAGCCTCATCTTGTCAGCCATTAATGCAAAGCATATGCGGAAAATAGCAGACTCGGTTGTCTGTCTGGGTAGAACTATGTTTAAGTTTTTGTTTCAAAGTGTGCTTTGCTCCGTTATTTCCCACAATAAATGCTCCTACTGATATGCATGTGCAAACTATAGTAAGATTTTAACAGATGTGTCTTGTTTTACTTCAGCTAAAAATATCAAGAATAGTCTTTACATTTTCGCGTCAGAATAATATCCAGTGAAGAAGGTGAAATGAGAAAGAAAACCAAAGAAAAGATTGCTTTGTAACATCTTGATACTCACATTCATTCTGAATACATCTCAATTAATATTGCTTTTAAAGTGTACGAATACCCCAGTATCTTGTAGTATCTTGGAAATTTGCTATCACTTGTATATTATTTTACTTATATCTTACTAAAAGGTTTTTGCATAGAAACAAGAAAGGCTTACTGATAGAAGAGGAGGGCAAGGGGCAATGAAGATGTGGCCAGATGCTACCAAATGGATTTTCTAAATGCACTTATTTGAACTGTTTGGGAAGGAAAAATATTCAAATACTCTTCTTAGTTTAGTCTGCTTGTGCACTAAATGCAACTACCAAAACAATGGAAACAAGCTCTTCTAATCATGCCAAATTACAAAAACTTCAACTGTTAACAGGCCTTTTTCTCAGAGGTTTGATTAGTCATGTAAAATTTTTGTCTAGTATCTCACTTACAATCCCGGGCAGAAGTAGTTGAGACTTTTCAACGAAAGTTGATATTTTCTCTTTCCTTTGACAAATAACTCCCCTCCCCCCACCCCTATTCAATGTTGAATGCATGATTTTGAAGGAGAAATGATAGAACTACAAATCTAATATTGGGTCGGGGGGGAGGAGGAATTCAAATTTATATATTGGTTCGGGGGGGGAGGAGGAATTCAAATTTACATGCATTTTATTGCTGGCCTTGCTGAAGCGAGTGAAAGATCGAATGGGCAAAAGGAAGCACAAGTTCTGGGTGAGAAAGTTTTTGCAAAAAAGAAAAGGAATTGAATACATTTTATACGTTAACACAACAGCTTCTACACGATCGAGTATATTTTTCAGGTAGCATAAAATCTAAGTTTTCGGATGTTGCAAACACCATTTTAAATAGTGAAACTCTCTCACTGTTTTCAAAAGAAAGATTAAGATAAGAGATATGTCAATTTAGAGGGAGGCCTTGATCCCAGAAATTCGTGTTTCCCTGGTTTCCTTACAAAAATCTCTCGACGTAAGGATCGCCACGATCGCTAAGATAGAAAATAAGTCCATTTTAATCCAACAAAATCAGCAACGTGAAATGCGATCAAACAAAGGTCAGGCAGGTAATTTCTGTTGATAATTTCATGCAACAGCCACTAAAGCAGGAGTAATTAGGGACCCAGAGGGGAATCTTGAAGGCTGTACTTCCCCAATGATTCTAAAAAGTTCCCCTCCCTTTCTCCGACTGACATGGTTTCATCTCATTTCACCCAGAACCGTTGCTTGCCCTTTCACGTTAACTCTGCATTTGCTTCTGTTTTGCGTTTAGACAAAGAAATATCATCTTTGACAAGCTGGACTGGATATCAGTTTATGCCTATTTTTGCGTTATTCATTAATTAACATCTTTCCACTGTCATGCGTAGCCAAGATAAGTCAAAACCTTGAAAAGTCCAAAAAATTTCTGATTTCTTTGTGAGTTCGATTAATCAGGGGGTAGTGCTGTATACTTTTCCCCGGAAACTTTGTTCTCTTTACAAGGCTGGCCGATAAGAAAAGTCTCTTGTTTGCTTCGTTTGTTTCCGACGCAGTCTTTTTCAAAAAAGCACCTGTCGCAGGATCCTGTTCTGATTTACCGCTCTTTTCGTTGCGGCTAATTAGATATTTGCATCCCTAATTACCTTCCCAGTGCGAAGAAACAAGATTGGCTCATATCTTGCACGGTTCAGTACAGCACTCTATTCCTTGTTCTGTGTTTCTATCTGATTTTCTTCACGTTTTGTCTAGGTCATCTCTCGGTATTGTGATTTGATTGTCACCTGGACCCTCTCTTTCCTCGCGGTATAATATTCAAAAAGAGTTTTCAGTCGAATGTTGTGCGCAATTTTAATATGATAAGCAATCATACAATTGAACTCTCAATTCTTCATGAATTCTAAGATTAAAAAATAGCGGAAGGGATATATAAGTTATGCAACACAGAAATAAGCACATAATTTTAGAGGCAGGATGACTTTTTCAAGGCGCATAGCCACTAGTCAGAGTAAGTGCTTTAGGGCCGTCACTAGCACAGTTATTTCGCGTGACTTTGGCGTGGCTTGAGTGTGGGTTGGATGCGATAAGGGTGTTCTTTCATGTTTTCTGCGCATAAAAACGTGGCTTTTGCCATTTTCAAAAACATATTCACAGAAAAACATTTATTGTTTTCTAGGTTTTGATTGCTTCACGTCTAAGAATGAGCCCAACTAGATCAAAAATTGCATGAAAAATATGTTTTAGCGTCAAGTACGAGGAATTCTAATAAGAGCGCGAAAAAGAGCGCGAAAAAGAGCGCGAAAAAGAGCGCGAAAAAGAGCGCGAAAAAGGTGCGAAAAGCAGAACCACCAGAAACTGAGGCAAGCAGAAGAGATTATTTTGCAAAAGACTTGAAGGTAGGCTGTTCCATTACTTTTCCAAATAAACTCTAGCTATGCCGAATTCACATTATCTAAGTCTTTGGCGCCATACAACGGCTAGGGTTAACCAAATGGCGAACGATAGCGACGATGAGGATATTTACGTGATAGATGATAATTGCGAATTAGGCCATAATGACGAAGACGACGAATTTGATGTAGCTGAGAATAACATTGACGAAGATGATCAAGATATCCGATATTTCGAAAGCTCTGATATTGAGATTGCTTGTGCTGAAGATAACATTGAAACACAGCTTCCAGAAAAAAAGCTTTTTCAAGAAGAGCTTGCTTCTTGGGCCGCAAGAAATAGGTGTTCTCGGGAAGCAACTAACGAACTTTTGGATATTTTACGGCGTAATGGTCACTTTTCTCTTCCAAAAGATTCTCGCACACTTCTCCACACCCCACGAGATATTCAGTCACAAAAAAGGTGTAGAGGGGAGTATGCCTACTTTGGCCTGGAAGCTGGGATACGCAGGGTGCTTACAAGCAATCCCTCTTTTTGCAGAGAATACCGCACTATCAAATTGAATATAAACATTGATGGGGTGCCATTATTCAAGTCATCAAATATTCAGATGTGGCCAATCCTTTCAAGTTTTAATGGCTTGCAGGTCTTTATTGTTGCCTTGTTTTGTGGAACTTTGAAACCTTCATCTGCCAAAGAATACTTGCATGATTTAGTTCAGGACCCCAAGTCAATTACAAAAGATGCTATTATGTTTGCAGAACAGAAGTTAGATGTGGTTGTAAACTGTTTTACATGTGATGCTCCAGCTAGATCCTTTATTAAGAGCATCATAAATCACACTGGCTATTATTCTTGTGAAAGATGCACAACAAAAGGTACTTGGAAGGGTAGGGTTGTATACAACTCAGGAACTGTTGCAATAAGGCGTGATGAAGACTTTGGTCGAAACATTTAAGCGATAGTGTTTTTTCTGAATATTTATATACATAAATAGATACTCAATAAAAAAACAACTTGGTTAACGTTTTGCTGTAAGCTTCTTCAGAATAACTAACACGTACATTTGGAGCGTAAAATGAGGAATACGAAACAAAAGAACAAAAGGTAACCATGGTGTATGGCCATCTTTGTTGAAATGAATTGAGACTGTGGCATCTGGGTCTGGGTCCTCTCTTCTTGATTCTTGAAAGTATATTTGCCTCTCAACATTGCAGAGATGCTCAGTTATGCTCGAAACGTGGTACCAAAAATTTTTTTTTTCTTGTACAAAGTCGTTATTTTGTTCATTTTCAACGTACAACACGCACAACTTCATTTATTATCCGTTTTAGAGCCCTGGCTAGGCCGCTTATTGATATCATAAAATATTTTCATTTCAAAGATAATGTAAAAATAACAGCAATTACGAGTCCAGGAAAGATTTCACTCCTCTTTCTAAAAAACAAGGAAAACAAAGCAAGGCTGGGACAGGACAATTTTGTTTCTTTCTTTTTAAATGACCTTCATCCCTGCCAAAAGTCCTTGGAACAGCCTGCCGTCAATGAACTATCTTGGTAAATAGTAACCTCCCACCCCCCCCCAAACAATGTTGATTGATTACCTGTGGGCAATAAACCAATGGACGGCTTATGAATTAAGAACCAAAAGTCGACTTCTTCATTCCACGCTTTGCAGAATTCACACGATTTGTAAGAGTAGGTAATAAGAATAAATTTTGTTCCAATTAAATTATTGCAAAAACAAAGATTGGACATATTTTGTATAAACGGGTATACATTATTCAAATAGCTAGCTAGTTCTAAAATTAAAGCAAATTTTTATCAGTTAAGAGTCCTTACTGATCGTACATTGATTGGTATATTACATTCTTGAGAAGTTCATCTTCATTCTGATTCATGTCCTTGAAGAAAACAACGCTTTTTCGTTATTTGCCTTCATCAAGAGAGAATAGAGACAATAAAACTGAGTTTAAAAGGACAGAGGAAAAATACTTTTGCGAAGAATAGTGAAGCTGTAAGACGTCAACGACCTTTGAGACAGTTGAAGAGGCAGAAAGAAGAAACCCAGGCATAATGGTATCCCAAACAGCCAAATTATTTGAAAAACGTTATCAAGAACAATTCATTGTGAGGCTTTTCATAAAGAGAGCTATAGAAAGAGCCATGGCAAAATAAGGAACAAATTGAAGCTCTCGTACAAGCAATTATTTAGAAGAACCTTTTAGAAATAAAAGTAGAATTGATCACCAGTTAAATCTTCCACTATTCATACATACTTTGTGGATGTCCCGACTACCTGGCTGGGCTCCTTCTTTGAAACCCCTGTGGAAATTGTTGAATTGGAAGCTCAATTTATGGAGGGTAATGAATAGAGACAATTATGAAGTGCAGCTCATACCACAAATCTGTCGTAGTCGAATTGGTGACGAAGATTGATGTGGGCCAAGAAGTTAACACTTTTGTAATTTCTATCTCCCCATGGCATAGATGCGCATATCGGGCAAACCTGAGATAAAAGTAGATTCGAGTTAATAATGCAAAGGCAACTGGATATGCTTAAAGATAAGTAGAGAAGGATTAAATGCTCATACAAAGAATCAAACATTAACTTTTCTAATACTTTGCCAAGAATAGGAAGAAAGAAAATGGGACGATGGTTTTGCTTGAGGTTCTTGTTGTTCTTTGTGTGAACTGGAACGACTCTTTTCATTGGCTCTTTTCCATACTTCGGGGAAACGCCTTCTTTCAAGCATGCTTCGAATATCAACTTTAGAGGAAAGACTAAGCTGTCGTCATAAATTCTATTCAAACGAACAAATATGTGATATGTCATACGAACAGACTCGTTACAACATTCGTTACATATCATTTTTGTCTGTAAGTCATTCTCTATACACCTGTGGCTCATCATGTGTCCCATGAAATGCAGTTTCTCTTGTTCTATCTCATCCACAAGTCTTTTAACTTCCCCGATCTCGTCAAGCACACACTCTTGTATGCCAACAGCTTGCCTTACACCTTGTTTGATGCAAAACCAGTCTGTTACACCAAATTTTTAATGCACGAATTGTTGCTTTTTGCCTCGAAGTTAAAACGTGTAGAAACTTTGCTACATGCTTGGGAAATCTCATGTTGTACATGACTTGCCATAGCTTGTTGTGTCAGATTGCGTCGAATTTTTTATGATAGTCGATAAAACAGATGTAGATGGTTTGCTGTTTTCTCTGTACCTCTTTTATTACAAGCTGTAAGTTCATAACTTTATTGCATTCTCGCCTGATATTTTTATAAATTCTTCTGGGATTTCATCAAATGTGTGAAGTAAAGAAAGCCACTGACACCTCAAACAGTCGGCTGTAGACCGGTTTCGCCCCATTCAAGAGTTCATCAGTACAGCTAGACTGAATGAGGACCTAAAGCTGACCTAGGGCCAGCAATTAGGCTGTCAGTGGCAATGCATTTTATCATATCCCGGATTTTTGTTGTTTTTAATTTAGGATTTTTTCACTTCAGCAACAGAAGGAAGTTGTTCATGGATCATGGGATTAATAACTTTTTGATGTTCATTCGTACGATTTGGGTTTTTATATTCCTCCCATCTCCCTCCCAGAGTTTTTCACAATGTTCCTTTCATCTATTCCTCCCATCGGTACTGTCAGTTAAGACACTATTGGAGTTATATTTTACGACACTCAGTTTTGCACTGAAACGTTTTAACTTTCTAACAACTTTGTACAAAGCGCTCGATAAACTCTGTTTTGAATTTTGTTCAATTTCTTGGCACTGTTTGGTGGTATTCTGTTACTTTTCATGTCTAAATGCTTACTGTATTTCTCTGTTGTTTCGTTTACAAACGAAACAAGTATCTTTACAAGTAACTTTCTTGCATATCACTGTTACCCAGTCATTTTGCTTTCAGTAACCTACGTTCCTCTATCCATAAGTATGTTTCTAAAATTATCCATTTCCGCTTACGTTTTTCTTGTTCTTGGCACGTGATTTTTTTATGACTCTTGGCACGTTATTAAAACCCGGATGTTGCTAGTGGAAAGGCTGCCATAGTTGCTGTGTGTTCTCCGTTAGATGCTGTTAGATGCTGTTGCAAACCGCTCTAGGATAACTACGCGTATTTTTCATACTACTTCGCCATCTTTGAGGCACAATAATGAAGTCAACCTGGCTTTTAGTTTTGAGGTCTGATGAGACCCAAGTAAAAGGTCTTCAGGGATGGTGCTGAAATATGGCATTTGTGACTATAAGATTGTTAATTGCGCAGAACTCAAAAAGTCGTGCTAGTTTTGTTCTCCTATCTGAAAAGCAAGGAAACTAAACATCAGAAGTAAGATCAGATTAATGAATACGATGATGACAAGCATCCTTCTATATGGTTGTGAAAGTGGGACAGTCACGGACAAGATCTGGAGAAAGGTGTAAGCATTCGAGATGAAATGCTATAGGAATGCTTGGCATCACATGGAAGGAGCGCAAAACGAATGAATATGTTTGGGCAGGCGGAGGCTGTCTTTGGTGGGCAACGACCGAGAGAGAGTGATGCAGGTGGTGCAGAGGAGGATCCTTACCTTCTTTGGACGCCACCAATCAGGACGAGATAGATGGACAGTGCAGCTTATCCAGGGAAAGCATGACAGTAGCAGGTACCAAGAAAGACCAATGCGTTTCTGGTAGGGCAAATTCAGGGGATGTGCTGAACTCAGCGGACAGACATGCTACCACCTCACAGCAGACAGGGAGCAGTGACGAGCAAGCGTCAGGCAATGGGTACACCAATGGTCTCGCAGGCTAAGGACTAATGGATTGAACCCACAAACCCCCTGTTCCAATTTTAGCATTTGCATTGCCCATTTTGACCTTGATGTCTCTGTTTGGTATGGAGTCTAATGTATCTTGGAGGGTATCATAGAATGCTTCTACCTCTACTATTGTTGTATCAGATGTTGGAGAATAGAAATGGATGACAGTGACATCATAAGGATGCGTGTTCAATCTAACTGTTATGATTCCATCGTTTATTGGGTTGTATCCAAGGACTGTTTTCTGACAAACATATTCTAACCTTCTCTCATTTCTTTCCAGCTATAAAGAATTTCGTATGCATCTGCAGACAGAAAAGAGTCTCTGCCTGTCAAGTCCAAGAATTTAGAAGTTTTTCTTTTCATTTCTTTGCAGGCCACGCTTAGTTTTCCAATCATTTTTAAGCCTCTCACATTCCATGTTGCTCTGTTACAAAGACCTGGACACTAACTTTAAGCTCTGGACTGACATTGAAACCGGAACACTCAAGAGCCAACATATGTGCAGATGATACTGAGATAACAGCATCCTCAAACAACCAAGCAGAGCTAATAGAGATGCTGAATTATTAAACATTACAGAATGGATGAGGATTAACAAACTCAGTCTCAATCCCACCAAAACAGAATACATGATAATAGATCATCCTCGTAGAAAGAAAACAGGAGAATCATTACCGCAATTATTCACAAACCGAGAAAAAATTAAACGGGTTTGTAAAACAAAATATCTAGGGGTAATCGTTGACGATACCTTAGGTTGGGAAGAACAGTATGAATCAATTAAGAAAAAGGTTGCTGGGGGGCTAGCAACAATCAATGCTATTTAGAGTATACAAAGGGTATGTTCAGAGTCTGACGAAGTCTGGGTGAGCTTTTCGAACGCTAAAATATCAGCCCTTCAGAGACTGCAAAATCGTGCATTTGATATTATTGAAGCATCTAAAATAAAAGACTTTTTGATTCGACCAACATTTAGCATCGATCAGATGTTTCAATTTGATTGGTCGGTTCAGAATGTTTATAATGATTAACAAGATAGGTCCTGAGAGTCTGCACGATAAATTAGCTAAAAGATTCACGATAAGCAAGTATGCTACAAGAAACTGTTCTTCAAATCCCAAGGCTAAATTTAGACCTTAGTAGAAAAAGGTTTTAATCACACTGGTTTAAGAACCTGAAATTCTATCCCAAAACACATAAAAGAGTCCAATACAATAACCCTATTTAAGATAGGGGTTAAAAAGTCATTTGCTAAACTGATGAAAAATATTTCCGCACGAATCCTTGGAAGAACAGTACTGGATTTTAAATCTGTTTATTTGAAATATCAACTGTATTAATTAACTTTTGTTTGTAATTAGGATTTTTATAATTGATAGTGAATGGATGGCGTGATTAAATAATTATTAAAAAACACTGAGAAATGAAATGAGCACGATATTCTTCTTCAGAAGGTATGTTTCGTTAAAATTACACCAAGGTGCAATGTCCTGCAGAAAAACGAATGATCTTCCCATGCTACAATGTGTTTTCTGCTCTTACCTTGAGATACTTAGATAATGTTTAACACTTTCTGGTTTCTCACTCAATGTTAGTTTTCCGACCGTTAGGCCTAACTAGTTCGATAGCACAGCAAACCCTTTTGCTGTAAATTTAAGACTTAAAACATCTAATTCACTTACAGCCATAATCTACATTCCAGCACCACCTTAAACAAACAAAGGCAGTATATGATATTTTTGGGTGGTATTGTGAAACGTTTATTTACACAGCTTTCAATACCAGATTTTTGTCAGGTAAGGAAGCATTTTGATGGAGTTTTGCTCGGAAAAGACTGATTTCAGTTTGATTTTAGCACAACCAAAGCTGCTTATTCTTTCTTCTTCGGCTGCTTGTCTATGATTCTTCACTTCCCCTTAACATCGCTTTTTTGTCGGCCTGGCTTTATTTGAATTTTAGTCGTAAGTAATTCTATTCTAAACAGTAATTTTATTCTAAAACGTAAGTAAACTTAGATCAAAGGCGACAGCAATGAAATACCATTAGATCACTCTTGAACCAAGAATTTCTCGAAAGCTTAAAACTATTCGAATATTAGAAAACAGCGATTACAACTTTGAAACTTACTACTTGAAGGATCCCTGTTCTGTGCTGGGCAAGCACGTGTTCCAGTAAGGATTCTCTGTCCAGACGTCTGACACTGCAACATGGGCAATCAAATAGGGCTGGCACGGTTTTTAATTGTCCTTGGTTAGATTGGCTTCTTCCCGTTGCCATTCCCAATTCACTTGAAGGATTTGCTCTGTTAACGGGAAAAGCAAATGTAGACTTAGGGTATTAATACAACTATATAGTATACCATCCGCGTAGAGCTGTCTTGATTAGAAGGGGTCAAAGAAAGTTTTAATGGAAACTGGGAAATGGCTTTGAAAAAAGCAAGCATTTTGAGACAGCTTAAAGCTTTTCATCCGACACTCCTTAGAGCATAAAATATTCATGTAAGGATAAACAAATGTGAAGTTAGAGAATATGTACCCAGTTGTTGATCGAAATAGCCCAATTGGAGAAGTACAAATGTGATTACCGTTCTACATCTTTTGATCCTTTCATCTGCAATGCGTTGTCAAGTTTTTGGGCCAAAATACTGTCACCACAGTCATCCAAATGATGTTGCATGTGTCTTAAAAGAATCTTTTTCGAAAAAAGAATATTAAAAGTTGAAATGCATATTAAAAGTTGAAATAATGTATGATTAGAGTGCATGTGAGCGCATTTGCGTACGAGTCTATGGACATACATTCGTTACAGAGCTGAAATACTAGCTTTTCAAGACGATATATGATTTTTTCTTCAGGGCTGGCGGAGTAGAGGGATAGAAGAGACAATGCCCCTTCTGTTGAGATGCCCCTTTGATGGATTTTTGTAGGACACAGCTCAGTGTTTTGCATGTGCAAATTATTGCGCTTTAAACTATCTGGTGCTCTCTTTAATGATAAAAATTCTTCATTTTACTGAAACAATAAATAATCCTCACGGCGCTGATAGCTTTTATATCACGACTCAATCATGCCATATCAGATCATCCAAGTGCCCAATTTTAAAAGCGATTCATTTGTATGTTTATATAGGACAGCAACTTTTTACATTATGTTCCCACGAGCTACTGGTCTGTTTTTAGATTTTCGTTAGCATATCAACCAAACTATTTCGTTTCTAAAATTTCTGGAAATTCATTTCCGCGAAGCTAAACATTCGAAGCCACTAGACAATTGGCACAGTCCTTGATGCATCTCCCGGACCTTCTCAAATGTAAGTTTCTGGTTGCTTCATCTTTTATTATAAATAATAGCTGTTTTTTCACGTTTCAACCAGTGCTTCCAGTAGATACCGAAGATAAAAAAATTGCACTACGATACGATTGTAGCTACATGGAAGCAAGCTCTTTTAGAGGCTTAGTCTAGTCGATATGGCAGAGAAGGGAAAACTTGACCAGCAATCAATTTGCAAAGCTTTAATAATAAAATCCTACGGCAGTTTTGTGGTAAGATGGCAGTAAAAACAAAATCATTCACAACTACGCACATGTATAAGTTTAATACTGCTTGGTTTCAGCATAGTCAATATGGCTTCAGTTGCCTATTTTGGTGTTGCCCTTCTAATGCTCAAAACGAACCTGTTTTTTGGAAGAAACGGAATCATTTTCATCTTATTGAAGCGACTGCTGCGATAATTCCTGGCAGTTCTAGCGATCAAACAGAAATATTCTCGAGCAGGTGGTAGCTTTTGCCTTTTTCTGCAAAGATTAGCTCACAGGTTGTAATTTTAGTGTCCTAATAATAAGATAAGCGCGAATTCCATTGAAGGTTAAAGAGGTAATTATACTTGACCATGAGCTCTTTCTAAAGCGTTCAGAGTGAATTTTGAGAAACAGGAGTGGCTTTCCCTGTATTGATGTTTTAAAAACCTTTCCTCGACATTAAGACTCTCAGACAAATAAGAGACCCTGAAGGATGTTAAAATCTTTCCACAATTTCTGATTCTGTCTTGATTTTGTAGCCGGTCGCGAAAATCTACTTCAAGGGACCCGAAAGAAAGACATTCGTATATTTTTCATTGGTTCACCTCTTACCTTTTCTTCGCAGAATTCACATTTCGCAGATTCTGTTTTGATTTTCTGTTCAACTTCAATTGCTCGTCTCATCTGCATAGGATTGAAGTTTTGTCTGCAATATGGGCAACTATCTTGCGAACTCATTGATATGCAGTCATGGCAGAATCTGTAGAATATATCGTTACTTAAAATTTGAAAATACACGGAAAGGTCAATAGTAAGAAAAATGCAATTTGTTTCATTCAAGCTCTTCACATTAGGAGAAGTTAAATCTGTTTTTGTGAGTGTTGCCAAATGCCAAAGACCTATTGTTACACATACTAACATCCTATTCATGAATCAAGGACATGTGGACATCGTTTTCCTCTGTGATTTGCTTACAGGCATTGATTCCATATAAGGAGCTGAAAGATCAGGTTTCCTCTATTGCAAATATATTTTGCAATAATGAGATCTCGGGCCTGAGATCTTTTGCCCCTCCTAGCCCCTCTTTTGTCGCATCCGTCTTAGTGTGTATTTCTTTATTATGATAGAACTGCCCGAATGGAGACAGAGATATGATAAATTTTGCCTGACAAGGGAGGGGGGCGCAGCCCTCCAAGCTCTTATGACCCCTACGTCTGCGAACATTTGAGGTTACCAAAATGTCTCATAACGTCATCACTATAGTAGCACTGTAGGGTCTTTCAGGGCAAGTTGTCTTCTTCCTTTCGATTAATTTATCCAAAAACCTGAGATTTGAAAAAGTTTTATTTAAGAAATTGCATTTTTTGGCAAGGATTCGGAGTCTTTCATATTACTTAAACCTATTTTTGAAAATATGAAAAAACAGTAAAACTATGGTTTCTGTGACAGCGAGGGCCTGGCCTTTTTCGCCCGGGGGTGCAAGCAGCAAAATGTCGCTCTTTATAAATAACATGATTGTCTTAATGCTGACTTGACAAGATTGGCAAACGGATAATGCTCTTATTTTTTTACCCTATCCTGTCAAGGATAGACTGACCCCCCACGTGACCACAGGGTCGCAAATAAAAATTTTCAGGACAAATTGGACCGACTCACATACGAATTTGACTGTTTCTTTAAAGCCAATTCAAGCAGATAAACTTAATAAAAATGTGTCAAGAACATGTTTGGGAAAATTCCAAGATACCCTACGATGTGGTAAAATGAGGGTTTTGTTCTCTTAGTAACTGTTCTATTCATTTGGCACCTTAGAGGGGAATCCAAAGTGCCAGATAGAATATTTCCCTATTTTGCTAAACCTCACCCTAAGTACCAGAGTCACTCTATATATAGTGAGTCTGGTACCCAGGGTAGCTAAACCTGTAGTTTGGGGCAACTAAACAAGCTCAAAACATAGATATAACACAGCTAAAAATCAGGGGGCAAATTAGGGGGTGTGGGGGTAACAAATAATGGAAAGAGTCGGTCCTAGCTAATAAGTGGAGGATTCCAGTTACCAAGGCTAGAAAATGCGTTTCTAACATATCTTTGAATTCACTATGACACAAGTGAAAGGTGCTAGAAATGATCACAAGACTATATCATTTGATACAGAATGAAGTAAATATTACATCGAACTCTAAAGAAATATTATCAAAGCCCAAACAAAAGGCAACAGTTTAGAAAATAAGGCCCGATTATACTTTCTTGTCAAAATCAATGTATGGCCCTTGAAAATAAAACCTAAAGTACCTACTCATTAGAAACATGAAGTCAATGCTTTGAGTTAATTCAAATTTTAGTCATCTGTTTGATTTATATTTTTGAAAAAGATAATAAGAGCTGGTTTCATTATGTTTCAGCTTTAAATGCACCTGTTAGCGTTATTTCTTGTTATCTTGTGCACCTAAAACTGTAGTTCGTGGAAGTGACTTGAGATAACAGACGGACTAATCTAGGATGAATCAATCAGACAACGGAATTTTCTATTGATTAGGTCTCTGAAAGCCATCAGAGCCAAAAGATTCATTGTTATTCAAAATTTTCCCTGGAATGGGGGTCATGAGCCCGGACACCCTAAACACAAACTGTCTCCGGACACCCTACCTAAACACAATCTGCTGTGCCCTCTACACAAAATAAATTTTTTCAAGTTTTCGGCGCCCTATATTAGCTTTGGCGCCCCTATAATGAAGACAGCTGGGGGACCCTGCCCCCAGTAGCGGCGCCACGGGGGACTGGGGGGGACACGTCCCCCCCCCAGTTCTCAACAGAATCGATTTTGTATTTCGTCTAAATTCGATGAGAAAATGTTGGGGGAGGGGTAATATCTTGACACCATACTTTTTGTGATGTAATCCTATGATTTTCAAACTGCCAATTTTCAAACAAAAGTTAGTCGTTCCCTTCGAATAGAATTGGCGTTCCCTGTTGGTAAAAGGGCATTTTCTGGTGGTTAAAGGAGAACTGACACGCAAAAATAAGTTTGGCTAAAACGGTAGTTTGTGACAAGCAAATTACAGGATCGAAAAAATTTTTTAAATCACAGTTACCGTTTTTAAAATACAGGCGTTTTAAGTTGAGAAACGACAATTGTTCCGACAACTTGAGACTCGAGGCGAAAATCGTCACGAGTGGACGATCCTCTTTGACGTCACTAGTGACATGTTCTCAGCACAAAATGCTGCGGACAAATGTTTATTTTGTGCATGTGAAAGGAGCTAATTTTGCATTTTTGACACATAATTGACTTTTTCAATAGTTTGGGACTCTGAATCGGAGTTTTATTACACTGATTTCGAAACAAATGGAGAGTTTCAGCCGTCTGAGTTTTTGCTACCAACCAGCGCTGCCGCTTGGGCAGACAGTCGTCCCATGGCTCAACAGTGACGATATTGTAAACAAAGAACAGACTGGAAGTACAAACTGATATGGAATTTCTATTAAAAATAATGCTATTGCTACAATCTAAATGAGATCAGGTATCGTAAAACTAGAATTTTATTTCAGATTGAGGCGTCTTTGGCCAGACTGCTTTGTCTGTATGGCCTAAATTGGCTAAAATGCCCATGATGCCCTAAACGGAACTGCAAGTTATTAATTGTTAATATAACATTCTATGATTGTTTTTCAATGTTTTAAACGCGTTAACTGTATAGTGATATTGAATAGTAAAGGCGGGTTAAAAGTCGACTTGTGCGGATTTTATGCCATTTTCACCCGGCGTGAAGGGTTTCGGGAACTGATAAGTTACCTGGCAGTCGAAAGATCTGGATTTACGAAATAGGCTCTTAGCTCGTAGTCAAAGAACTTGATTTCTTAGTCGAAGAAAATGCTGTTTAGCTGTCATAGGAATATCAACTGGCGCATTATATTCTTTTGCAAGCAATTTTGACTTGGGTGGGGGATGGGCTTTTTGCAAGACTAGGTTATTCCCTAGTATCTCAACCTCTGTTAAAATACAATAATCAAGTTCAGTGAAATTATTATTTAGTCACACTCGCAGCTCCCATCAACCAAGATTTTTCTTGAATTCATATTTCTGCACCCAAAGCAGGTTGCAGGATCGCTTTTACCGCTGTCTCCACTAGATTTCGTTTGTCTTTTGGCTACTGCTTCAACCCCCCACCCCCCATGTTGCGATTTTTTTGTAATTGTAAAAATAAAAACTTTGAAGAAACGGTATCAGTTTTCAAACAAAGTCGACTCCTTTTTTCACAAGCTTAGAGGTTCTTTCAATGTTTCAAAGCATGCTGGTTCGAAGATATCATGGCATGAAAATAAATTTTATGTGGATATAAGCGTCTTAGCAGACATGTAGCTAGGATTTTCTAGCCTCTATATACTTATAAATGTAATGCCTGACAATTTTTTGTCTTTTCACCGCGGACTTTTTTCAATAAAACACGAAACTTCACTTGTATTTTCACCGTTGCGGTGAAAGCCTTTACAACGGCATTGTTAACATGTCACTTGTGACGTCAACCGAGAATTTTAACAACTCCTGGCGATAATCTTGTTTCCGCTTCGGGAAATTCCCGAGTCCTGGCTGTGACGTATTTGACGGATAAAAGTGCAAATATCAGAAAAACGGCGAATCTAAGAAGAAAACTTTTTCCAGATTTGAAATCAGCGACAAATTTTGCATCGAATAAGCCAAAGTTATTTTTGCGTGTCAGTTCTCCTTTAAAAGCAATTTTGTTTGGTTTGTCCCCCCCCCCCAGAGCTTAGTGGCTGGCGCCGCCATTGCCTGCCCCCGGCCCCCCAGCCAGGCTGCCACTGTTATGTGATGTGTAAAATTAAAATCAGTCTTAAAGAAAAATTTAATTCAAAGTTAATAAAGAAACAAGTTGAGGGTAGTTCAACTTTTAATAGAAGATAAAAGCCTGTAACGAAGGATGTAGGCAATAAATAACATACATGTGAGAACACGGTAGCTTGTAAGGTGACTTGAGTATCTCTCGGCATATGCTGCATAAAAAATCGCTTGACTTGTCTTGGATCTGTCTAGAAGACCTACGCCTAACAGCACTCGCCATTTTCGCAGTGAAAGAAGTGGTCTGAAACACTGAATTGCTCTTCTCAGAAAGCCTTTGTTATCTCGGTACAAAACTCAGACCAGAGAGCAAAGTTGTTACCACGCTGACACACTGAGGATAGTGCCAAGGAAAGCATTGGCAGATAACATCTTCAATGAGATAGTTATTGCCAAGACGAACTTGTAACGATTTTGTTCATAATCGCTTCTATCTAAATCTTGCACGAATACGCCATTCATTCCGAAGATTGGCAGTTATCGTGAATATTGTATTATTTGCAAACGTAGGCCGTCGATGTTGCCATGTATACTCAAATTCTGGCCTGTTCCGGATTTTAACATATGCGGAATTTGTAAACAAAAGCAAAGTCATGGTCATGTCCCTGTTCTCCAGACCACAGAAACAGGCTAGGCCAGGCCTTGCTAAGCAGTTGTTGGGGTTTTTGCGAAGGAGAATGAAATATAAGTTTATAAGCCAAGATGCTCAATATCCTCACAAAAGGGGGGGGGGGGGCCAAACAACGTCTCGGGTTTACTGAAAATTTGTATATTCTCCACTGTGAAAATCATCTCAAGTACCATTTTGGTCGAGGGGCATTTTTCTTCAGAAAATACATCCTTATCTGACAATGCAAAAAAATCCAGAAATCCGCAAGAAAGCCTTCAGAACTCTGGAAATCTCTGGAAATCTTATCAGCTATGTTTTCTTTAGAAAGTCTTAGTAATCTTTCCGGTGCATTAAACAATCAGCTAAATAGTGCCATAACCCTAGCAAGGCTCAATAAATATTGCAGAGACAAAGCAGTTGTAAGACAGGGTGCTGATATCGAGGCTGCTGTGCTGGAGCTTTTTGGTTATCATTACTAGATCAGGGCATGTTTAGTAGGTTAAGTACCCTGAGCTCAGCCATAAAGATGCACAAAAGTGAAAAAAACAATAAAGGATGACTTGCAAAAGGATGAACTTCCTCAAGGAATATGGAAAACAATCCTCCCTTGGGCAACAATTTAAAAGGCATTGTGGAATTTTGTGGTTACACTAAACAAGAATGAGAGCAAAAGTGAGAGGGAGAAAATCAATAATATTAATATTATTATATAAATAATATTATATGTATTAATATTATCATTCACCTAACACATATTTTCCATAGAGTTTTTATCAAAATGATTGTAACAAATTTTAAATTTACTGATGGCTTTTAATGAAATCTGGTCATCAAAGTGTAGATAAGGCTAGGTATATTTGATTTCTAAATTTGGCAACTCTGTGGGACCAAAAACCCTTTAGAGGCCATTGGCAATATTTGTAGTCTTTTAAACGTTATCATTAATCTTGCCACCTACCATCAACCACAAGGAAACCAAACTCGAAGAGTAAAAGCAAGCATAATAAATTTGATATTGATAGTGATAAAGTGAACTTATGAAGTTCATAAAAGAATTAAAAATAATATGCATTTCTAGCTAAACACATGCTTGGGTTCACTGTATTTTCTTGTATCTTATACTGGAAAATTTAAATGTCCAATAATGGTCTTTTTCATTCTGTAGTACCTCTCTTCCTTTTCCTATTATTGAGAACAGTGCTGGAAGTTGCAATTTTACTAGTCTTTCCTTGTTTCCATGTTTCAAAATCTTTCAAACTCATTTGACCAGCCTGGAACAGTCTGCATTCGAAAGAGTCCAATTTCTGAGTAAACTGTGACGTCTCTTCATATGAGGCATTTTTCGCTGCATCCATCACTTTTCTAAAGCGTTTGCGGAATACCTGAGATCAAACAAACAAAAGTATCTGAAATGATTTTGGCATGAAGAGAAATAGAAAAAATATTTTTTCAGCCAATTAGATGATGATCACCACCTAAGAATTTCAGTTTTATTATACATATTTGATATGTCCTTATTGTTAGTTGACCAGGTTGCAAAACATGCATAAGCTGTGATTAAAAGCATACTCCCAGATTTGATCTGTGGGCAGCATTACTTGAGCTGTAGCAATTAAATGCATTGATATTGTGAGTCAGGTGCAAGCCCAAGAAATCCAGTACTGATGAGTGCTATTGCAAGTTTTCTACCTTTTCTAGGTTTATATTTCTGAACAAGCATCATGATCAGTAGCCCATAGGCATCCCAGCTATTTGGCCCTCTGTAAAATCTTTGAAAATAAATAAAGCCTTTTTCTAGAATAAGGGTCTTGAGAAATAAGAAATTCTTATTATGTCACATTAATGACCATCAAAGAGTTTTGAGCCAGACTGCCACAGCTAACAAAACTTTTAAAAATCCAGCATATTTTAGACTTTTCAGGTGGGAATGAAAACCAATTCAAGGGTTACAAGCAAAGATCGGGCCTGTTATGCTATAAAAGATGAAAATTGTCTCAATTAATCTCATTTTACTTTTGAATGATTGAATAAGTGGCTATGATTGAATTGAATAAAAATTTTAATATTTCAATTCATCAGAATATCGTATTTGTAAGAGGGCTTGGCTTTCACGTGTGCTGAGAAATCACAATGGTCTTAAACCTGTGAGAGACTCCTGGCCAGAACACCTGCATCAAAATGTTCAAAGTGTAGTAATCGAGCACCAAACTGGTAGAAATATGGTCCAGTTTTATGCAGATCCAGGGCATTAGGGTCTGCTTTATAAATCTGGCGATACGCCTCGTTGTATACTTTCGGCATTTCAACTGATACAATCTTTCTCCTCCTCGTGCACAACTCTCGGCCCAACCAGTAAGGTAACTCCATCTTCGTTCCTTTTTCGATGTGTTCTTCAGATGAGCTAGTGTCCAAGAAACCTAGACGATAGACTGGCTGCTCAAATTTGCAAGGAACTTTTTCATTTGTTGCAAGTATTTCATCCAAATCAAAGAACTCAACATTAGAAGGCCGTGGTCTTAATTGATCCAAAGTAGCTTGATCATCCATTGTTGATGATTGAAAAATTTCGGCGCCAAAGTTCAATTTATGCAGTCAGCCTCTGCTTCGATCGAACAATCACATCACCAGAATCGAGGTTTCTGGTAGCCATTTTGAAGTCTTGGCTAACCAAATTTAGAGAGAAAGTGCTACCCTGTTTGGGCCTTTTCAAGCCAGTATTATTGCTTTTCGGTGCTCTCTCAGTGATGTCTTGGGCACCTCAGCAACTGAATCATGCACAGAGAGTAACTAGGCTTTACAGAAGGTCATTAAAACATCTTTTGTCATGGGCCATCGATAGGCCACTTTGGAGAGAAAAGGCCCTGGATTTAAGAGATCGTTTCGATGCAAATATTGGTATTAAAGACCCTCGCGTGGCCCTCAAAGTATTAGAGGAGGGAGAAGCTGAATTTGAAGAGAACAGGCATCCGCAACCATACATTCGTAAGTTTTTGATGGAGTTGTGTTGATAAATTTACACTATGTTTTGCCGGAGCTGCTGTACGGCTCGTGCAAAGGGAACCAGCTCATTTCAAGTATGTACGGCTTCTGTCGAATTTTCAAAATATATATAGGTAAGCTTGAACCGGTAGTACCGCTGAACAACGATCTCCAGTTTATTGCAGACAGTATAGTTCTAGTAAACCTAAGAATTTTCAAGAATAATACCGCGACATGATCTTGCGATTCGCAAACAAATTTATTATCAACTGGGGGTAGCTTCGAAAAAAGGGATTCTCTTAACAATTTCAACTGACAAGCAATGGTAATAATAGCATTTAAGCCAAAAGAAACCCTTCTTGGCTGACCAAATAAATATTGGATCCCCATATAATAAATTCCTAAAACACAACACATTTATCAGAAAATATTTAGATTTAATACATATGGGTTAGACTGGTGAACCAGCATAATCGGTCAACACTTGGCTTCTGACCAAGTCTGCAGAGTATGGCAAATGTGCAGGCAAGATCATTTTAGAATGGCTAGCTTTGCCCGACAAAATTTACGGATTTGGATGCTTCCAGTTTGCTGCAAAATGCCCTCTTTGAAGCAGTTTGTAAAAATGCAACCATTCTCATAGATGAACATTCACAGGAAGAATTCACTTTTTGGTGTCGTTTATATATATATATTTAGCTTATCCAGCATTATTGAGATCAGGACAGTACCTCTCGAACGGTTAGAAGTTATGAATGAGAATCGAGGAAATAATTTGCATGCAGTCTTGGCCCACCATTATCCTTAGCTGGTATACATTTATACATTTCTAAAAGAGCGAGGTACTTGGAGATTAATGCTGAAATTGTTTGTCACTCAAAGCCCTATCAGGTAGGGCATAAACAGGCCTTTTCATAAAGAGATTTTCGCAAGTGTGACAAACTGTCAACATGGATCATCTTAAAAGGGCGATCCCTCATCCAACATTATTTGTTAAACAAGGTCTTTCAGGATCTGAGGAAGAGGTAGAGTATTATCTACCCAAAACTGCCTAACCTTTGATTTTCTAAATTCACAATTATCGTCAGTTTGTAGCCAAAACATTTGATGCAATGATTTATTATGTCAACAATGAGGAAATAATGCTTTGTTTTCATTAACAACTTGACCTTTAACTCAGGAATACCATAACTTTTAGGGACAAAAAAAAATTTATAAGTTTGACCAGCTAAGTAAAGACATAAGGAAAAACTTGAAATAAATCAAAGGCATCATATTGAACCACAATTAGATTCCGACTTGGTTGAGAAATTCTCTCCCTCGTTCTCTCAAATTGCATTATCTATGTTTTCAGATTCTTTTGGAGCTTCAAGGCAAAGCCTTTCACTTAGAGGCTTTTCTATAGTAGTCTTATGTTTTTGCCACCAAATAAATATCAACTGCTCTTTTTATTATAGCATTTCCTTCCGTTACTGTCTGGTTCTTATCATTATTACTTATTATCAATACTTGTTGTTCCTGCTTATGAACAACCCACATTTGATGTGGGGGTCATCAAGGTTTACGGAACAATGGACTTTGAAGAAAATGTGTCTCTGATTGCCAATATTTGGCAACTTCTGGCAAGGCTAAGTTGTTCTTAAAACTTGTTATCAAATAAACCCTGAATTGAATGGTCTAGTTTTGTGAAGACTCATGTCAAATTTTTGGACAGTGTATTTTCATGTGCCAATCAGACACAATTTTTCCAGGTCACTGGAAATCTGCAAAAAATCATACAGGCAAAGCAAGAATCAGCAAAAAGATCTAATCTAGGTCCTTAAGGCAGTTCTACTTGTGTTATGCTTTTTTTAAACTTGCCTCCAACTTTCTAGATCCTTCAGCTCCTGGTGGCTCAAAATATGAAAGGAATGTACCTCCTCCTCCTCATGTAAGTTTCAGCATAATTTTTATAAAGCACATGAAATATTCTTGACTTTTTAAATTGAGTAAGAAATTTTTCCATTATTTCTGACAGTATGGCTGGCTTTCTCTGATTCTGTTACATGATTTTCATGTATCTTACTTCTTGGTGCCTTTAAGTTATAAGCCAATATTGCAATATTGTTATGCTAATGATTCATATCAAATTTCATTAAGCATTGACCAATTGACACACCTGAAATATGCAACCGGTTACTTGTGCATTTTAAAGAAAACATAGTAACCTTTAAGTAAATAAGGTTTACATTTTTGTTTCAATAATGCATAAATAGCAATATGATACTAGACTACTTTTGACTTTGCTGACTCCATATTTCACATAGGTACTACAGATGCTTCCTGAAGAAGAACAGTGGTACAAGGAAATGACTGACTGGGCAAATGGGAAGAACTGAGACAACAGGCTGATTTACCAGAGTATGAACTAAGTTTGACAAACAATTTGATTATTTCATTCTTTGCAATGCCCTGTATTTGTTCAAAGTAATGAGATTGGTTTCCTTTGAATTGCTTACAATGAATTACCATGTTTGCTATTATGAGATAATCTCTTTACAAACTTCAGCTTTGGGAGCAAAATTGTGGAAGCTGTTTTGATCATTTAGAACTAACCGTTTTCTCCAATAACTCTAATTTCATCTTTCTTTTTTTCTAATTTTATTTCAACAGTTGATACCATATGAAAATATATTTCTCTTGTTCAAATTGCCGAAAGTATTCGAAATGTTGTAGATTTGATTCCTAAACATATTCTGTGGTCTTTAGTCTCGAAAATTGCCTTTTTAAAAGCTTCTGTCAGGTCTTGTGCTCTAACAGGCTACATAGGGTTAAGCCAGCTTCAAATATGGTCAATGGTAATTGCGCCATTCTTTCCTGCAGAAATAGAATCTGCCAGCTAAAGCTTTGGAGAAAACAGGTTTGTGACATTCATGAAGGGCTTACAAAGAATGATTGCCAATGCTTACCTCCATTTCACCTCATCAACATTTTGACTATCAAGTGAAATTTTGATAAGAGACATGAATGGATCAGATGTATAAACAGGTACAAGATGGATTTGAAAGCCTTCCCCATATGACTGTAAATGTGAAATAGAGCAGCAGGAACTAACATACTAACATAATTGCATATTCGGCACATGCTTGCCATATATGTGTATTGTGCTCAAACAATTTACCTTAATTTTTTCTTTGCTTATCTGGCGCTTCAGAGATTCTTTGTGATGGTCTGCATGAAGATTTTAAAAGGCAGGGTTAATTCAGGCCTCTCCGTGAGCAATTTAGTGGCCGCGTGCTCAAACGCGCGCCTCGCCTTGCTAAGGCGCGCGTTCTACCAAAAAAATATATTTACGTTAAAGTAGGCGAAAACGGCATGTTTTCGCATGTAAATACTTTGTATCTAGAAATATAATAAAGGATTAAAAGAAAAAAAACACATTATAGTTGCAGTTCGTCAATGTCTAGCTCAAATTCCGATGAAGAATCGGAGTCAGAAGAAGTTGAAGAATCAAAATTCGTTCCATTGACGTACGATTCAATTGCTTTCCTGGCACTTCCTTTACTAAGAGGATTTGATAAAATAACGCTTTTGTGTTTTGAGCAAACTTTACACCAAATCGAAACCACAATTGTCTTCCCATTCCTATCTTCGGTCTTTGATCCGCTAACTTCGTCCTTGCGATACTTGCGAAAGCAGATAGCTCTATGGCTTGACCCTTTGAATTACTGGCCATTTAAAAAACTTATAACAATCTGGACTCACAATGACAGTTTATTAGTTATTGACCGGAAATATATTCAAGAGGTATTTGATTTAACTTGGCAATAAAAGAAGCAACCGTTTATTTAGATATCAATCGATTTCGAATCCGCAAGGCTCTTGGTATAATAATTGTTCAAAACTAAAACACAAGGAGCGCGATTTAAAGGGTCCTTATAAACCAGGCGCGTGATTTATTGCGCGTCTCGGCAACGATAGGAGCGTGCCAAGGCGCGCGCGCGTGATCGCGCGCCTTAAACGGAGAGGCCTGTTAATTGCTGCAAGGGTTTATTGGGTGATACAATGAAGACATCCACCTGTATACATAGTATCTTTAGGCCTTTGATCTCTTATAATCGCTCTAGTCTTGGCTGGCGAGTTTATTTGGGTCAATCATGTCTTACACCAACATTTTCTTCAATCCACTTAGATTTTAATTCAAAAGCGTCTGGTATGACTGCATTATGTAGACTAAGTTTCAGGTTGTTTTGCATTACGATTTTTACTTCTGCTTCCTCTGCTGATTCCACACCTGGGTCTTTGTTTTCAAAAGCAACAAATGCTCTTGCAACTAACTCCTGTTTTCTCCCAATAATTTTGAGTCCTCTCAGGCTGAGGAAATTTTTGAGCTCTTACATATGTGAAAACCTTTGTAGATTCATTGTGCGCTGCTGTTTAGATCAGCGCCTTTCCAACCTTGTTAGAGCAGGAAACTTGACAGAACCTTTTAAAAAACCAGTTTTTGAGATAAAAGACAACAAAAGATGTTCAAGAACAAAATCCACAAAATTTGAAATTCTTTTGGTGTCAATTCGGGCAGTTATTAGTTGCCAGTAAACGCTGTGTCTATATGTAAACATAGGCCTGTGGCAACTTTTTCACCCAATTTCTTGCCCCAGTCTCTTTATGCAAATTAAGCACCTGGATATCGAAAAAGCATATTGCGAAAAAAGTATAATATGCCTTACCAAAGGGGTTGAAGACACCATCTTGGGTTTTCACAATTTTATAGAAACAGCTGCTCTAGTTGATGCTAAACTAAACTATTCTTTTTATCAAGAATTTTTGGTGTTCAGTTTGCCTTTGATTTAAGTCCAACGCCCTTTTGAAAATCATGAAGTTTTTCGAGGGTTTGACATTTATTTTTCGATAATCACGAAGGCCTTTAACAGAGTCTTGGCAGCCCAACGCTCCAAAGATAATTCCCTTCCGCACAAAGAGGTGGCTGTTAACGACCTCCTCGACAAAGCCGATTGATTGACAATGAAATTGATTGACAGTTGTCATGGCAGCAGAAAAGTGACAAAATCTGCTGACAAAGTGCTGACAACATGAACTGAAGCTTCCATGTGCTACTTATACGCGGGGCAGACTATAAGCCCTTCACTCGCGCGCTATCGCGTGCGAGTTACGGGCAATAAAAATGACCCATAACCATGGAAAAGTCAAGATACTGCTTTATAGTCACGACTGTAGCTTATGCTGTAAGTTTGACCTGTGATTGATTGTTTGGATAAATCAAGTGGGTCCGGGTGGGTGCATGCCGTTCATTTGAAAGTCCCCTTCATCTTCATAAATGTCAAGGATCATACCAACCCACCAGTCATTGTCATATAAGCAAGCAACATTCTTGATCCTCCGAGTCTCAACATGATTCCCTGCTTTTTCAGAAGCAAAAGGCATGTTCCCTGCAAAGTCTCTCTCATCAAAAGTATACTTAATTTGATCTTAAGGTGGAACAAACTGATGAGAATCAATTCTCTTTGTGTTTGTGTCACATATCAAAATTTATTACTGATGTTAGAAGCAGTTGCCATTAATAAGTCATACAGGGATATGAAAGACATGTTTGTCTGCTGCAAGCACAGTAAGCAATGGATAGTGCAACTGTTCATAGACATCTGTACTTGAAAGGTTTCCTGATCAGTCTTTACATAATGGTGGTAGCGATGTATTTAGGACTTTCCCATATTTATGGTTGAAAAGCCTGAAAGCTATTCCAGCTAAAAGAAAAAATTCTACTAACCAGAAGTAAAAGATGATTGAAAAAATTTGGGTGGAGATGTTATGGGGAATTTAGGGTCAAGAGTATTTTTTATTAAAGACAATTTTAGCAAAATTCAATATTTTACCTATTTAAATCGCTATAAAGTATCCAAATCACAAGATACAAGTTTGGTAAGATATTGATAATGAAGTCACCTTAAATAAGATAATTCCTTATATCTTCTTGGAGGGTAATCCATGGGCCTTCTTGTGATTTTGATAGTATTTATAACACTATTCAGTGACATTGATTTGATAAAAAGAAAATGGATCTCAAGTACTGTATTTAACCTTGTATAAGATGCACCTTTTTCAATTATTATTGGCTTTGTTTGAGAATGCGTCTTATACTTGGTGACATTGACTGTCCCATCATTTCCTTTTGAAGGAAAAATATCATTTATAGAAAAAATATTATTATATTTGGAGCACCTGTTCTCTTAATTCAAATAATAGCACTTTTTCCAGAAATTTAGTATAAACTTTGAAATTCTCCAGCTGTGATAGAAAAATGTCTAACAAAAGCTTTTTTACTCCCAAATGAAAGGGTTGTACCCTGCATTTTCTTAATTGGAGGGCACAAGCCTCTAATCATTGTGAATGTTGTGAATGAAGCGCATGACGCACAAGAATTTTAATGATTTTAAAACCTGTAAACCGTAATGATGATTTTAATTATTTTATAATGTAAATATTTCTGCTTGATGATTTCAAAAATATTAGTTTAACATATTTGAAACATTGCAGTTTGAACGAATTTTACTCCACAGAGTTAGTGTCTATAGAATTCTACTTTATTCTTTTACTGCAATATACATGCTTTACAAGATTTAGGAAAAGGGGTGTGTCTTATACACGGTAAGACATGGTAAAAACTATTTTTCCAGAATGCAAACATGGAATTAATTGTACATCTTATGCAAGGATGCATCAAGGCAAAATATAGTAAATATGGATAGTTTAATTTTACTTCCAATTTATCCAACAATTACGAGAATCTACATGAAAAAGCAGTTCAAGGTACAAAAAAGGAATGGATGTAACCCTTGATACAGATTTAATGATATCTATCCACAATTACTGTCTTCATCACTTTCAGAATCCATGTACCCCACTAAACTTTTAAGGGAGCTAGTTCCAGTTGTTGTATTACTTTCTTCAGTCTTGTTTGCCTCACTGACAGGTTGAGTTCCATCTCTGATGCTAGGAGCTTTGTCACTTTTCAGGTACTTCTTTTGTGAATCATTATCCGCACTTGCATTAGTTGACCTTCAACACCAAAAAAACTGTTCAAGTTACACAAGGAATATGGCAATGTCATTTTCATGTATTGGGTATATTTTTTAGTGGCTCTTTATATCAATTAGTTTAAACCCTATTTAAAAAGGAGAAAATCTTAAGCTAGTAGGAGATTAGAGTTGTAAAGGTAATTGCAAAAAAATTACACATAAAATCTAAAGGGTGCTTCAAAACAATCCAAAGGGTGCCTTGAAGGCAATAGAAAATGTAGATGAGGTGGACTCAAGGAGTACCAAGTTTGATGAGGTTTTTTAATTTACTGTGTTTTATTTACTAATCTTTAACCTACTGTGCTTGCACAAGAAAAAAAGTTAAGGGGTGGCCAAACAACTAAAGAGAAGTTCTACAAAAATTTTCATTAAAATTAAGTTTCTTAAAACATTGTAAAACATGATGAGTAAGCGAATAAGGCATCCTTTATCCAACAAAGTTGGATGATGTTTTATGCCGATGTTTTATCCATTTGGCCAGGGATTAATAGCTGATACTTGCCTTTTTCGAATTATAACAGCTGTTGTTTTTGGTTTTGCTTTTTTGGCATTATCATCTTGTACTTGTTTTAGTTGTTGTGATATTATCGAAGTGCTTGGCCTTTCGGAAGTTTCTATCTGTGCACTTTCAACTGCCATTTAAGAAATGTTAAGTATAGTAACATAAATGAGAAAATCACAAAACTACAACTGGAAACCAAATTTTGATACAGGTTCTTTCAGAATTATTTAGAAGACAGAAAAAAACCCTGTATAAGATTTTTTTAAAGCGTTATTTATTAGGCAGTTTGAACGGAAAGTCTTGAAATCTATTGAAATGCCAGTGGCAACTGCATTCATTAACTCAATAATCCTACAAATTTTATATCTTGCTTTTAGTTCCCCCACAAGTTTTGTTCTATGTGTATTTGAATCCAGGACAAATTTTATCCTACAATCTTTCCATGTGCATATGAAAAGTAAGCAGTTGATGTACTTAATGATATGAGGTACCAAATAAAAGTAAAGTTTTTTCAACAGCCCTCCCCCTCCCAGCCAATCCAGGCCTGGCAATGTGAGGAGAGTTATTAGCTCTCGTTCCCTCTCCAGGCTCCCGTCAAATGATCAAGGGGGCTGCAGATTGTTCTCCTAAACTGTGAAAAATATCAGTAATTTCTAACGAACTACAGTTTTATTAAAACACTTCAATCATTCAAAAAATAATTCAAGTTGTCAAGATAACAAAACTTATTGCAAGCTGAAGAGGATATTCTAAAACTTTTTATTTCTGTGTCATCTTCATCAAATCTCCTGCCATGAAAAACAGCTTGTTGTTGTGAGACATGAGACAGAAAGCTGGCATCATCTTTATCCAATCCTTTATATATCATGTTCTCTGAAATTTAAAAATGCAGAGTGTTATAATGACCTCACAAGTACACAAAAACAAAAAATTAACAGTCAATTGTCTGGCATATTGAATCAAAAGTAGCATTAATGCAGGGTTTTACTGCCTTTAAGATGCAACTTTTTACAAACTATTATTTGCACTGTTTGAGGGTGTGACATATACATTGTAACATTGCCTTTCCCATCTTTTCCTGGGTTCTGGTCTGACCTTTTAAATCAAATATTGACACTTCTTATACTAAATAACTCATCACAAGGTTTAGGGGAGTTACATGTGTATTCTCAAGTTTATTTTATTTTTCACTGAAATAAACATGCTTTACAAGTCTTAGAGAAGGGGATGCATTTTATAAACGTTCAAACCAGTAACAAATATTTTCTTAAATTTCAACATGGACTTTGGGTGCGCCTTATACAAGAATGCATCTTATCCACAGAAAATGTGACGATCTCAGCCCAAGAGGTGAAAAATAGCAAAACTATAGTGAACTGAAACATACTTACTAAATTTTATCTGCTCCAAAAAATCTTCCTGTTTCTTGTCCTTTTGCTCCTGTAGTCTTTCATACAGTGTGCGGCCATCGTGCACTATATCTTCTTCTCTTTCTTAAAAAGGGTCATTTTGTCACAAGAAGCAATTGTGAGAATGTTGTTGAAACTTGAAACTATTATCAAATGCAACCAAAAAATTGTAAGAACTTCCAAACACACACTGAAAACAATAATGCTCAAACAATAACCCACAATAATTCCTTAGGAGCGCACAGAAAACAATGTTGGCAAAGATAGCAAACAACAAGAAACCTGCGACCAATCACAACTCACAAACAAGAACAAAAACAACAGGCTGACTCTCTATGCACACAACAAAGAATTCATTAATTGGAAATTTTGTTTCTCTCTAAGTGATCTCTAAGTTTTTAAAATTTACAAAGGCCACATAGTTTACAAAAGAGATGTGCAAGGATATATCTGTAATTTCTTTAAGTGCATTAAGCAGAAAGAGTGAATTGTTTGAGCACAAAGCCAAAACTAGAAGTGTCCACTTTGCCATTGGAGATCAAGTTGCCCAACTACAGAGTATGGCAGTTCCCAGCGAGAATTTGGGTGTGTAAAAGATCAAGTATCAAGTGTGCAGTTTGGTAGAGCAGGGCCACCGGAGCCAGGGGGGGGCACGGGGGTACAGGCCCCCCCTGTTTGCGAAAAATATAAACAAGTGCCCCTTTTTGAAAAATATATTGCATGTATTTTTTCACTGCCAGATATTCTGCCTTTAGAAGCTAAGTTAAATAACTTGAATCCGGGCATTGTTAGAGGACCATACACTGAAAATTCCTTAAATTTTTACTTGGTCTTGATGCAAGAAGCGCAAGCTCCTGTGATGAACAATATCAACTGCGAAGGAGACTGCCAGTTTCGCGAGAAAATTTCCTGAGTATGTCTTCAGCAACAAAATCATTAGTGAAAGGTCCGATCAAGTCCCCGTTGGGCACAGTCAGTTGCTTCAATGTATATCGTGTGTGTTCTTGAAAGCAAAAACTGGACCCCTTATTCTCGTATTCTGGGTTGAGTAAATGTACCCTATTCTGTGCCTTTGCCAAAACTGTGTAAATCTTCTCACTGAGAATATTCAGGAATTTTTGTTAAATCAAATTGAACTCAGCTTTTCACTGAGCATGTTAGAGCCATTCTTTTTCTTAAACCTGTGTCTAGGCAAGTCAAAAAGCAGAGTTCACTAAATTTGATTTTAACAACAATCCCTTATGGTCCTTGACATATATATCAACAAAATCAGACATCTGTAAAACTAAAGCTGCAACATGTTGCTTGCTTCACAACATTGTGTTCAATGTTTTCTATGAAGAAATGAAAAAGTTATATACCTGCAATGAGTACATGCTAACAAAGACTTAAACAAAGACTTAAATTTCTTATCTAAGATTAGAACAATATACAAGACTAGACGCATTGCAAAATTTGTTGTACTTCAATATGCCATTGATCTACCTAAAAAACTATCTGCAACATCATATCAGTAAATTCCTGCCTCTTTTGTGCTACCTCTGGCTGATTAAGAGTGCAACCCTATTTTCGAAATTCTATGTCCCAGAATTCTAGCTATTTTCAAATTTTCGGAACTCACATGTTATATGTTTGACCAACTGACTGAGCCGCCCGGGATCAATTTTAAGGAGAGTTAAAAACTTGTTTTGTTCATAAGACTGATGAGATAAATCTAATCAATGTTACAAATTGAATTTGCTATGGCAGTGAAGAATGTGCCCGCACCTTCAGCCGATTGTGTGAAGATGACATAACCATAAAATTTATAGCTTTTAAAAAAATATTCCATGGAGGCGAACAAATTTGTGTTTAAGTGGGGATAAGAGGGACTAAATTGTTTATATACATAAGTAAGAAAATTAAAATCATTATTCGAATGGGGCTGAAACTTTGTTTAGAAAGAGATAGGGGGTGGAAATTCAGTTCATATTTTGGCACTTACTTATGTTTCGGGAAAAAAATATTCGTGCCCTTTTCATTCGTTTTGGCCCCCCCTGTTCAAACCTGAGTCCGGCGACCCTGTAGAAGTGGTCACTTTGGTAGAAGTGTGCACTTTGATTGTGAACATTAGTATGCAAAACTGAGCTAGAGCCCAAGAATAATCAATTAAGAAGCGAAAATAAAGTAAGATAAGCATTGTACATGATTGATAACCTGTGCAAGATTATGTTGATCTTGAGGAAACCTAACTCTTCATTTACCTCAATGTCAACAAGACACTCAAGTCAAGTCCATATCTCGAAAAGCCATACCCATTATCAGGTGTGCAGGAACATTTTAGAATAAAATTTTAGGTGTGCATTCAGCAGTCTGGTCAAGCTGGCTGACGAAAAGCAGATAGAATTGAAAACACGATAGAAAAATAAAACGTTCTTATTTGCGAATATGCTTTTGCTTATATTGCTTACCTACTTTTCTACCTTCTTTTCTGGCAAGTTCCCATTCTTCTTCTCGCTTCTTCTTTATTTCTTCAAGCTCAGTTTCAGAAACAAATCTTTGCGAGATGCTGGAGCTTTCGCCACTTTTCCTGAAACTCATGTTCGTTTTACTCGTTGTTGCATCGCTTCTTGGGAATCGAATTATTGGGAATCGAAGTGATTTTTTATTGTTTTCTTCTTCAGGCTACTTTCTTACATTGTAAATATCTACAGAAATATACAGTATACACCAAGAAAATAGTGGATATCTAGCCTCATTTTCGATACTTTCACCATTTTAGATTTACCTCGTAACTGCTCAGCGGGCAATCCGTCAATCACTCTTGGACTCAAAGCTCTTTCTCTCCCGCCTGAGTTGCCACGAGTTCAGTACAAGAGAACTCAGCCACTGTTCCTTCAATTGGACGGCACTCCTTGTCAAAGCTGTAGTATCACCAACAGTTAGCATTTTTAAGATAAGTATATTAGGACCATTTGCTGCTATTAGTTAGTGACAATTTTGCATACATATTCTGTAAACAACGTTGCAGGCAGTCACAGCTGAAGAAGTCAAAGTGCAACAACAATACCTTGCGACTCCTGTTTGAATAACCAAAGAGCCATGGGGGAAAACGAAGAAGCACCTCAAGCCCCTCCACCACTTGAATGGGACAGTGTTCCTTCAAGTAAGAAGGAGATTAGAGATAAGATATGGGATTATATAAACAAGTATGAGCTTGCCAATTTCCCAACTCCAGTCACCGACCGAATCCCAAATTTCAAAGGGGCAGACGTAGCTTCGGAGAAAATTCACGAATTGAAATCTTTTGAATCTGCTAAAGTTGTTCGCGTGAATCAAGATAAGCCACAAGAGGGAGTTCGTTATCATACCATGAAAAGCCAAAAAGATTTGCTTGTTCAAACTCCTCGCCAGAAGAACGGGCTTTTCTATAAAATTGTCCCCCCTTCAGATAGTGAAGAAGACTTGAAGAAATGTGCTACTCAGCAAGGTGTGAGGTATCACCGCGAAGCCATTACTCTAGAAAATCAAGTCAAAATCGATGTTGTTATCTGTGGAAGTGTAGCTGTCTCTAAAAAGGGTAAGGCATCATTAAAAATACGTGCTGAAAATTACTGCCAGTTTAAGCAACTTCGTGTTACTCTTACAAAAATTATGAAATTAAATTGGGTTGCTTGAGGAGGGGGTGCTGGTCAGGAACCTATCATATCTTTGATTGTTGGAGCAAGTGAAGTTAAAAATAAACCTATTTCAAATATTCAACTTTAAGTGGGCCCATATGCTTTCCTTGTTCTAAATGGGGAATTTTTTCCAGGGCCACCATAACAGCTTTCAGCTGCACCTGCCCCATAACTCTCTAAAAATCACCCCCACCCCCCATCAGTTTTGGCACACAATTGTACCTAATTACAAATCTAAAAGTCACGAAAATAAAAGTAATGAGTATAAACAACTTTGATCAGTAAAACTGCTGAAAAGAGAAAACAGCAATGCAATGCAAAGTTAGAAACTTCTGAAAATTACCACTTTGCTGGTAAAAAATACTTTGTTTTGCCTTGCATATCTTCCCCAGCCCTGGAATACCTTTTATCAAGAAAACTTGTTGCAAACTGGCAAATGAATTTTTCAGAGACATGTGTACTCAGCAATTTGAAAAAATATGTTTGACATAACTAGAACAATATGGATTATTTATCAGCCTCCATAAATTGTTTGCCCTGTTAAGTGGTCTGTACAGAAGCAATTTCTGCCAATCTAAACAAAATTGTCTGCAAAATTTGGTGTTGTCTGCTAGAGATTTCATGTCATGACAAAGAAAGGTTAGTGGGCCCTAAAATAAGACACTACAGAAAAAATAATAGAGCTCCTTGGTTACTTGCCTGGTAAGCAGCCATTGTAATTATGTTCACACTTTATCTTGGTTCTGTCCTAGTTAGGAAATGGTTGTTATTCTTTAGTTTTGCCAAACTGGAAAAATTGTTGGTCCCAGTTCCTAAATAGTGTTTGTTTTCTCTAGTGTAGAAAGTGAAGGACATGATTTTTTATTAGAACTAAAAACACAGCCTCCTGAAAATGTCATACATCATCATCAGGCCACTGCACATACAATGCCTGCCAAAAGTCTTGGAACACTGACATCAATTTCCAAGGTCAAAACAAATCATCCCCCTCTCCCCCACGGAACAATGTTGGTTTACTATCAAACGGATTAGGATTTTAGGAAGCACTTTCTTTTGCGCTTCTTTTATGATATTTCTCTAAATCATCAACATTGTTTGAGGGGGAAGGGGGCGGAAGTAGCAAATTTTTTTCATGAAAGGAATGAAAGATATCAAATGCAGCGTAAATTGGTGGGTGTTCCAAGTACTTTTGGCAGGCATTGTACCTCACATGAAAGTTCTGTTCTTTTTACGCTAAGTGTGAACAAGGTAGAAGTTGATTCTGTTCCTATTTGCTTCCCTGTAAACACCACAAAAAACAGGTATGGTGCCTAAACAAGAATGAACCCAAGAAATTACATTTTTTATCTGTAGTGTAAATGGGGTCTAAATATGCTGATTTACAAACTGGGAAACTATATATATTGTGGAACTTGCAGAGTGTGCATTTGCGAAGAAGACTACAGATAAATGCACACCTTTTGATATCTGAACAGGGCCTATTGCTAGATACTCCTTAATCTAACACATCTGTCACAATTTTCATCTTTTCATATATGATTTTAATTATTATCTGTTTCAGGCTACAGAGTGGGAAAGGGGGAAGGCTATGCTGATCTGGAGTATGCAATGATGAAAGCATTTGGTGCTATTGATGATACAACACCAATAATTACTGTTGTCCATGATTGCCAGATCCTTGATATCCCTGATGAGTTAATGGAAGATCATGATTTTGATGTAAGTTTCGTCTTGAGAACATCTATTTGAGAGTTACAGGTGCAGAACAACATCCAATAAACTCATAGCAGTTTCAGTGAAATTAGATATAAATATATATAATTTTAGTGCTTGTTTATCAAAATGATCTAAGTTATCTCATGTCAGTCCTCGACTTTTCTTTGTCACTTATGTTCCTAATGAAATCAGCACACTTTTCAATAAATTTTGCCCGATTCCCAGTCTCTGATGATGAGGTTTCGCTTCCATTTAAGGTCAATATGAAAATTTATCCTAGGACATTTTTTTCCTTATCCTAGGACATCTTAAAGTTGCATTTTTTCCCTTTCAAACTTAGCCCCTAAAATGATTGGTGAATTTCTTTCAAAAAAAATATTTGAATCAATAAATTTTTAACCAAGGAAGTGTCAATTATTCAGTTGAGTAAAACTTTGGGGGGAGAGCTGAAAATTGAAGAAATTTTATGCTTGTAGTTTCAGCCACTGGTATCACTTCTTTTTCCAGTCATTTTGTCTTGAGATTCAGCCAAATATTTGAGAATCTTATAGACATGTAAGGATTACAAACAAAAAACCCATAAGATCTGTGTACGTCTGGTCTGTCACTTTTGAATTCTTATGAATTATGTTTTTAGGTCTTCTTTGCCAACTAATAACTTGTGTAGTTAATGAAGCAGTGTTTAATTGAAAATTTTTGCAATCTGATATAGGTAGATTACATTTTGACTCCGACTCAGTTAATTGAATGTCAGAAGGAGAGGTCTAAGCCAAAAGGGTTAATCTGGTCAAAGGTAACACGCAATAAGTTGAGAAGGCTTCCAGTTTTGAGGAGACTGTACAAGATGGAGAAAGAAGCTGGTCAAGATGTCACACTGAAGTTTGTGCCCAGGACACAGAGGCCACCAAAAGACAAGAGTGAGAGTGACAAAGCCGATGTGGAAGAGGAAGGAGAAAGGCCACCAGCAAGAAGAGGCAGAGGTGGTCGTAGAGGAAGAGGGAGAGGGTTTGGTGGGAGGCGTGGCAGAAATTTCAGCAGATCAAGACGCAGACAGCAATCAGAACAGTCTGGTGATGAGGGAAAGGAAAACCATGACCCAAATTCAGGTACTGTCTTTCTTTATATTCTAATTGAATACTTTTTTTACATTCCAATAAAAATTTACTAGTTACACTACCTACAAAATACTTAACATTACAAGGACGATGCCACTGGGTGCAGAATACTATGACTACGCCGTGGCATCACGAACAACTAAGATAACTTACATATGAATTACCAAAAGAAAAAAACAAAGAACCCTACACTCTCTCTCAAATTAGATATCAGGCGAAAATATTAGTGAATAGCAGCAGACAAGATGTCTGCTGCAGTTTAATTTTGCGTTATCACAAATCTCACCTCATATATAATTTGAGACAGACTTTACATATTATATTTAACTAAATAATTGTTGGCTTACTAAGGGGGGGAGGGGGCGCGATACTTTATTCAAAGTGACCAGTACAATGTATAAAATGAATTGTTAACTCAAGATGCTTTTATTGAGATGGTTTGGAAAACTCTTATCGCCGTACAATAAGATTTGCAACAGAACATCAGAACATATTCCAGCGAGGAGATCAGTCCTTTGAACACCAAAAGAGGCGCAGAGCAACAAGAAGTGCTCCATATCCTCAATTCCACTGTTACTTGGGCACATTGGGTTTATTGTATCTCTAAAGTTGTGTTGAAATTTGTGAAAGTTTAACTTGCTGAGACCAACCCTGAGTTGAGTAAGATTAGACAGGCCCTTCCGGTCATGAATCTCAAATACTGATTTTGTAGGGGGGCGGATCTTGGATAGTATCCTTGTCTTGAAAACAGCAGCAGAAGGTGACAATCTAATTTCAGGATCAAATTTGTTCCACTCGGACAAGTAGAAAGGATAAAAACTAGATTTATATTTTTCAGCTCGTATTTGCCCGATTGTGTCACGTTCGCGAAGTGAAAATTGCACCTGTTGAAGTGGTGGCAATGGGTCCCTTGTGTAGTCAGGGGTTAAATTATTTATGACTTTATAAAACAATGTGAGGCGTCTACCCCATCTGCGGAGGTATAGAGATTCCCACCCAAGGTCAAGAAGGTACAGCTTGAAAACTTTTGGCTGTTCTGATAAAAGTTCTTCAACAACCCTAAAGTAAATTTTGATTCTTTTTATCTATGTAGTCACTAAATCAGTGGGTAGTTGTTTTTGGCAGCTGCACAAAGAAAGTAATCTGAACTTTCATTTATACTTTAATAGGATAGATTGACATTAATATCATCTCAGTCTCTGATATTCCCAAAGCTGCACCAAAGTTTAGAATTTTTAAATCTATTTTGCTTGTCCATTAATTTTAGAGCCACACGAAAATGAAGAAGATGAAGAGTCTAGACCAAGGTACAGTGACGATGGGAGAGGCCGTGGAAGAGGTAGGTCACGAGGTCGCGGAAGCCGTTTTGGGGGCAGGCAGAGGTATGGCAACTATCGATCCTACCAAGGCAAGAGAGACCTAGACCCAGCTGTTTATATTGGTGGAATTGGTGAAGAAGTTAGAGTTAGTGCTTTCAAGACAGTTGTTAGGGAAAGAGGTGTCAGTCCAATACAAGTGCTCTGGAGAGGCAAAAAGGGGTATGCTTTCCTGGTTTTCAAGGATTTGGAGACTGCAGAGACAGCACTCAAGGATTTGGATGGAATAAAATACGAAGATTGTAACCTCACAGTAAAGCTTTCCAACAAATTCATAAGTGAAGAGCCGGAGCAAGCATAACATTTTAGTTTTGTTCCCAAGCAGCAAATGATCTCTTTGTTGTAATTGTTGTTGATGTAACCATTGAAAGTGCAGCAATCATTGTTTGGCTGCATGTTCTATGATTCATTATGTGAACACTGTTTTTCAGAAATCTTTTATAATGATATGGTTTTATGGAGATTGACAATTCCGTTGGGTTTTGCTAGCAGTCATCCTTCTGATGATCCTTAGTTCTTGTTTGTGGGATGATTTGGTTAACTTGTCCATTTTTACATGACCAAGGTCCGCTTGTGTTATCAATTATTTCCTACTTTCATTTGTCCGCACAACAATGGTCACATTAAAAAAGTCAATTTGAAACCCAATATTCTATCATCTGCATACCCCCTTCATCTAAGCCACAGCTATAAATTGTACATATTCAGGATTTTTTCTCTATCCCCCTACTTCATTCATCTAATATAGGCCAGCAAATTTTATAAAGTTCAAAGTGCTATTAATTTTCCTTTCTCTCGCAGGTTTTAAGCCTTCCCCTGCCTATGTCCTCTCTCCCCCCTCTCCTCCAAAAAATTTCCTGTTAAAAAGTATGGTTTTAGCCTAATTTTGCTTAATTATACACTGATTTTAAAACCTGGATTCTTAATGTATAGATTTTGTCTCGAAAAGTTATATTTTCGATATTCGTTGAAATCAACTTATGACATGAATGCTGTACACGATCATTTAGATCATTTTTAATGTTGTTAGATTTTCCTCGCTGTTGGCTCCTCTTATATCCATTGCGTCCTATTACCTGATTGTTGCTAGTTACTATGTAGTTCTAACCGACCAAGTGCCATTCACCTAATTAATGTTCTGCTAGAACACATACGTGTTAACTAGCATGGACTTTTGCATTCTATTTTTGTATAACCATTAATAGCTTGGGTTTCTACAATAAATAAATTTATATTTGATGCCAAATGGTTTTGTCAATGTGAATCTTTCTTGATCCTTTTCTCCAGACATTGTTATCACAGAGTGTACGTTAGGAAAGGCAAGCATTGTGGAAGAGGGAACCTGCGAGCTACAGCCTTAGCTTCTTGCCAGAAGATTTTCAATGAAGAATTAATGGATCATCTTCATCCCAAAACTCCTTGATAAAAAATTGTTCTGTCCATCCCCAGCTTCCCAAAACGGTTTTGCAAATTTCATTTTTTGCTACAAAATATCCAGATTAATTTGACATTTCTTTGAAGTTAAGCAGTTTTTCTGGTCCAAATGTTCCAAATGCATATACTGTCTGGTGAATCTTTTCACGACTCTCATGTCGTGGACAGTAAACCAACCTATCAATAACTTGACAGTCATCCTCTAGACTTGTGAATGTTTCACTAAATGAATCGCACGTGTATACGTTGTGACGTTATCAGCAAAGTTGCATATCTTAGATTCTAGTTTCAAATTAAGCAGATCGTGTCAAAGCTAAAAGTCCAAGAACAGACCCCCGTAGTGCGACAATTGAAATCATTCGAGTTCAGTTTATCGGGTTGAGGCCTCTTAACTTCGAAATAAACAAATTGTGAGGATTTTCTCACTACAACCAACTTGTCAATTAAGACACCTAAAATTCTCAAAAACTCAGGCAGATAATATCTTTAGCATCCATCACGGGCTCAAAAACAGTTTTTTGTTCCTGGTAGCAGGCATTTTTTTCAAGAAACATGTAGAAAATTTGCACTGGCAGTGCCAATCGCATTGTTGTTCTGTTTGTTCTTGCTGACATTTATGATAAAGCAGCACATCAAAAAAGATTTAATATTTTTCTTTGATCTTAAGGCGAATTCAAACCTTGTGTCGGGCAAGAATAATTTAAGAATAATCTTAGGCTCAAAATTGAAAATTTTTAAGAATATTGAGGCTCGGCAAAAAATAGATATTCTTATTAAAAAAATGTGGGTGAAATTTGAAAAATGTCGACAAAGCTGTAGTATTATTTAAACGAATTTACAATGATTTTTTCTCTAATTTTTAAAATAGTGACATTGGAGAAAAAAAATTGATTTAATGAAAGTAACGTTTTGACGCGAATGCTAAATTCTCCAAAAGCGTCTGTATCTTTGCTTTGGTGCTTATGTTTTTACCTCAAGCGTTCATTGTGTTGAAAGCATTCACGTTTTATGACAGCTAAGATACATGAATTGAGCAACAGCAAAAAACTTTTTATGGCAGAATGCATTTCAACCCAATGTTTTTCTGTTAAGATTATGCAATGTTTATACAACTGAAAAAATACGCATCAGTTTTATGCTCATAGTGCACAAGTAAATATTGAAATAACTTTTTATTGAATCGACAAAACTAATCCCTCCCTGTATGCTCTAAATTTTTGGTGGATTTACAGCTGCTTGACAAAAAGGTGCAAAAAACAAAGGTTATAGTCCTTTTTTTAAAAAAAATTCGCTCTATAATATCATTTTCTCTAACTTTTCTCTAATTAACTTTTTCAATATAAAGATTGGTGAATTTAGGTTCAAGCTGGCTTTGTTCATCTTTAAAAAAAATAGGACACCGTCTTGTTCTGAAATTATTAGGGCGTAAGTGAAAGCAATAAGATACAATACAATATTTTACAGCAGAAAAACAATGGATTTGTAACTGTATACTACAATCTGCACATCTATAGCTATTTTGATAACATTAACATGTATTGCTTTTTTGCATGTTTTGATTACATATATCTATTTTTCATTTCTACCCTTCCATGCAGAGGTGGCGCCAGAAATCTTCCGACAGGGGGGTTGGAGTTTCCGACAGGGGGGCTAAAATGACTAAGATAACGATATAAATTTCCCTCTATCAATGAATAAATTTACATGATCACCAGAGCCGCCTATAGGAAAAGGGGGCAAATTACCCCCAAGGTCATGAGGTCTAGGGCGGCTTATAAAGATACGAATTCCATTTTAAGAATGCAATAAAATCCAGCGTAACGAAATTACTATGCTAAAAATAACCCTTCAAACGACTGCGAGAAAATTACTGCAAGAAAAATTCTGAAATAAATTTTAAGTTATTTTAAAGCGCGTTATCGCAATAATATGGAGTATAGCTTTTACAATATTAGAAACTTTTTGATAGATGGATATGTCTATTAGAGCATAGTTGTAAGCGAGGATGCTCAAGAGCTCTTCCAGAGTTCTTTTCATATGTCCTCTTCAACTTATATATCTTGACTTACCATATAGTATTAATTTTGTATTAATGTATCATATCATTACCTTTCATTAAAACTTGATTAACATGAAAGAATTGAGAGTTGAGAATTTACATGAAATGAAAAATAATGAATTAAACATTGTGTTGCATGGAAACCGACTGATTTGTAATTGACTCCCTGTGGCCTCGTTCAAGAGAGAGTTTACATTACTGAAAATGGCGGATGACATCGATGACTTGTTGGATGAAGTTGAGTCAAAGTTCTGTGATAAAAAGGCAAAGAAACGTGTCACTAAAACTGCAAGCGAAACACAAAGACCAAATTTGAAGAAAGGGAATAGTTCTTCAAATACATCCTGGTTAGTAGGTGTTATTTATAATGTGTGTATTTTCAATGTTATCATTTTGATGTTCGAAAGTAATGTTTTTCGTTTAACCGAAGATCATGAACTTTTTGAACTCACAAACATTCAATTAGGTTTGTGTTTCTGTAAATTCTTTCAGAAAAGAATATTTAATCTAGCTCAGGTGCTGCCTAATCTACTCGGCAATTTTTCCTGGATAATGTTTTCTTTAACGCGTTTTTGCTTGTGAAATTAAGTTAAATTGGGGAGCATTTAGACAAGCATATTGTTAAGAAGTGGGAATAAAAAACCCTTAAAAAGATTTTTATCGCGCACAAATTCTCACTTGAATAGTTTCTTCTGTAGATGATAAAGCAAATGCATTTGAAAATTTAATGCAATTTTTCCTCTTAAGGATTTTGCAACAAGCTTTGACCCTAGGCTAAGTATAAGTTTGAATGCAGTTTTTCAATTATTAGGTCTGTGCCTTCCAGTTCTCCTGTCAAATTTTCTGCTAGCCTTGGTAATTGTTTAGTGTTCATTGTAACAGCGACCTTATTCAACATGCAAAGCAAAGGAGATGGAGCTATAGAGAGACAAACTGTTTGTGCAATGTAACATGATGCCTGCTGATTGATTATTTACATTGTGTATTGATATAAAAAACTGGCAAACGTGATTAAGCAATATACAAAGGAAATGGGTTTGATAGCTAACAATGGTGAAATTAATTAGGTTGAAGTGAAATGTAGTTAGCATAGATAATAATTAATGTAGAATAGCATAGGTATGTGGAAAATGCAATGATTGGCTGTACAAAACTAATGCAGGGGAAAATATGAGTATAAAAGAATTTAATGGGATAAGTAAGATCACTATAATTGCTCACTAGACCTTCACATTTTTACTTCAATTTATTTTATTTCATATGCACCAGTCTCTAAAGTTTGGGTATGCCCATTACGGATGCAGTAATTTCTTCCTCAAGTCCCATCCACACGTTTTTTAAAAATTTATTTTCATAGATTTTAGTGTGAATCACAGATTTCCATGTGAATCTCATACACAGACTTACCACAAGGCTGTCAAACCCTATTTAAAGGCAGTATGTTGCGCCGTTCATTGGTTTATCAAAACAAAGAACAAAATTTCTATTTCAGTGAGTGTTCTATTTTGTAACAAAAGACACCTCTTACTTGCTATTGATCAGTTGTACTAATCTGTCATGCTTCTCTAATTTCGAGAACCCTCGAAATTCAACAAACAATTGCCACAGAACAGCGCAATACACTGCCTCTAAAAGCAAAATCCTACAGCTTTTGACCTGATTTTTTATAACATGATTTGTTCCCATGCAAGCAGAAGTGGCATGAAATAATAAGTATTGAGTTAAAATAAGTTTCATATTCCTTAATTAAGCTTTTTGCCTTACGTCTTTATGCTACAAAAAAGGAAAATGTGTTGTGTAGAATGCAATGAGGCTAACATTCAAACTTAGCTGGGTCAATCTACACAAGCAGTTTATGCAAAGTAAAAATTTGTTTGAAAACTTCTTTATAATCTACATGTCTTTCAATAGGGCAGGAAGTGATCTTTCAGATGCAGTAAGAGACATTCTTGATGAAGATGGATTGGATCTTGAGCCAACGAATGTTTGTAGCTTCTTTTTGGATCTTTTCCTGAAATATAAAATATTGTTCCTCTACAGGTCAATAATGATGTAGTAAAGATGTACTAATGGTCCACAGTATATAATTTCTGTCTAAAATAGCAGCTCATTGCAGGAATGGTGTGGTTTATATCTTGTTGGCACAGAAATTTCAGTCATTCATGAGCTTATTATTTAACATAAATCCATTAATATGCATTTTTAGATAGATGTTTTTTTCATGAATTTTTTAGATGAATGAAAGAAATTTCCTTTTAGCTGACAAAGAAGTCATCAGTGGTTGCAAACAATGCTGGAATAAAATGTTTTCCAATATTCATCGCAGGGTCCTCAAGATCTGTAAAAGACAAGACACAAAGGTAGACAGTCCATCATTGATGTATTGAGTAGTGGATCACCCGTTTGAAACATTTCCCTTTACATGATAACCTTGAAAGTTGATGGTAAACATTTTCTCCAAACAGGCCTCTTGAAAGTAGAGTAGAAATGGCTGTGGTCAACAGAACAGGCATAAACAGGTCAACAAACAGGATATAAACAAGTTATTTCATTGAGTTACTTGAAACTGGGCAAACCAGAATGGAATAAGGCTAAACTATCAATTAGTGTTGTTTTCAATATTTTTTATTATTAATTGTTGAAAAGTAGCTATTTTGTTTGAGACAGGAGATGGCATTGCCAAATTTTTATTTGCTAAACCTTTATTTTGCTAGAGGCACCATATTACGTTGATAATTTTTTGTATCACTGTTCAAATTTTTGTCACCAGCTGAATTACCACTATCCAATATTGCACTTGTCGATAAGTGCTCAATGCCACCAAACCTAACATCTTTCATTTCCTTCTCTTCTACTTAAATAAAGCTTATTTCACAGTTTCCATTGTCTTTCAAAGTAATCTCAACTCCCTCTCTTATTGCAGGGTCTGTGACAGGCTTCACTGTACAACATGTGATAACAAAGTTGTCTATTTTGAGAATTTTCAGTGGAATAATAGCTGTGATTATCTATTTTTCCGTAATAATTATCCTGACTTTAGTAAGCTGAAAGGCAATTTGATACCTGATCAAGGTAAGTGAAAAATGTTTAGGCTAATAAAAAATGCAATCATGATAACCAACCCGCTTGAAATTTTTAGGTTTATAAGTTTTTTTTAATCTGACAATAGAGCAAAATTTTTGTTAGCCTCAGTCCAATATACCAAGGCTCAAACTGTGTCAGTCTGGTGCATTTCAGAAAAGATATTATTAAGATGTGCAATAGAAATATAGCCAGGTAAGGTTTAGCAATAGAACTCAAATTATATGAGGATAAAGTTTTGGAATAATCTACCACTAATTGTCTTTCAAAATTCTTATGTTTAGGTTAGATCCTGATTCCAACTCAATAGAAACATATGATTGATCTTAAAAGCGAACTTAGGGACTCATGTTTCTAGTAATTTGGGGAGATGACATCTCTTTTGATTTCTCCTCTACAAAATCTCTACTTATTGGTTCAAAGTATAATGGTAATTTCTTTTAGAGTTTCAATTTCTTTCTTATATCAAATTACCTTTCATATCTTACACAGTTATTTATAATCATAAAATTGACAGCTATAGTATTTCAAACTTTTTTGTAAAATGAGTAATTTTCCTTTCATTGCTGTCAGTTGCTTTCAGCTATTCCTTCTTTGTATCATTGCTGACCTGTCATTCATCACAAGATGGGTGGATGGGTTCATAGAATTTTATTGTTTGACACAGTAAGGCTAATGATATTTGATTTTTTTTGTTTATTTTAGGATCTCGGGCCTATTGTTGTCAATGCAGTTGGACAGCAGTGAAGACATTGGTGAATTTGAATCAACACACAAACTTTAAATGGATCTGCAAAAGGCATTAAACCAGGCAAATCAGTTTTTTAATGTGCATTTTCATCCTCTGGAAATAGCTTGATATAACAAAGTCAGTTGAATTGAATTGCATTACCTTGAACAATGTTAATTTTATAATTAGTAAACATGATAATTTAATTTAGCATAACGTGAGCACAGAAAGGGAATTTTTTATCCTGCAGTTTGAGGACATTTAGGTGGATGTACTGTCACTGCCTTCCTTCTATATTGTTCCTTGACAATAGAATCATTATGGTCTAATATAAGCCTTATTTAATTTCGGGAAGTTCCACTAGGAACCTGTGATTGTGATGGTACATTAATTTGATAATCCTTTTCAAGGTACTTTTAGACTAAATGTAATTTTGTGAACAATTTTTTGGTGGTATAAAGGTGGCTTTGAAAAAAGCAAATATTTCAAATTTTAGTTACATAAGATCTTTGTCTTCTTTTTATGTTAGCATTTTTTTTAAAGTCTAAGTACACAAGATTGATTTCTTTTTCATTTGCTAGTTAAATGAAAGAAATAATTGACTGTCTTTAGTATGATTTAGCAATTTTGTAGCTGTGAGGTGGTTATATAAATTTTCATCATCTAAAATGTTTGTCCCTCTGTTACATTGCTAATGGCTATTTTGGAATATAATTTTTCTAGCACAGAGTCACTTGATATAACCTAAATAAAGAAGTAGATGTGATATTGTAGAGATAATGTTTTTAATGTATTATTTATTGCATTTAAACTAATTACTTATAAGAAATTCTTTTAATTTTCTTGCTCTTTTATTGCATTCCCTTGCTGGATTTGTCAATTTTATATGGCATAGCCTGTTTTTTACAATCCGGACAAAATTGTTGAGACCATTTGAGACAAAATGCAATTTTGCAGCTTTATACTTTATCTTGACTGCTGTAACTTTCAATACGGCCCCTTCCCCTCATATCAATGTTGGGTATGTAGTCTTGTCATTCGTGCTTTAAAACATGTATTCAACATTGAATGGGAGAGGGGGAGTCATTTTTGAAAGGAAAAAGAAAAAATAAACTTTTCTTAAAAAAAACTCAACTATTTTTGTCTGGGATTGTAGCCTCCCAATGACAATCTAAATACAACTGTACCTCGGCTTTTTGGGGTCACGAGGAGGGGAAGTTGCTTCAGGGCCTCGAGTCTAAGAGGCCTCATAAAGTAAGACCACAATTTTGTTTGCATCTAATCTTCTTGACAATTCCAGAAAACTGAACATGTTCCTTAAGGAAAAAGCTCATTGAAAAATATCACTAGGTCTGTAAAAATCATTTGTGCTCTTCAATGTTACACGATTAGCTATACAGCCCTATAACCTTTTCCACTGACTACAAACTAGCAAGACAATGTATTATGCAAAACATATTGACACTTTGCTGCCAAAAAATGAAGAAAGTTATGTTTTAATATATTTCGCCGTTTGAGCATGCCAATTAATGAAAACACCTTGTAACAGTTTACGAATTGATCAATGAAACTTAATAAAAGTATGCCTAGAGTAAAGCGTTTTAAACAACTGACTGCAAAATGTATTTCGAAATGTATTGTTAACTGATTTGAAGGACGTCCTAACGAAAATTAATCGTGATGCTCCCTCTGTTTTTTCTCGGTTTGGTCGCAAGGGCCTTGTCTTCCAGTTTTATTTGAGGGCCTCTGAAACCTCTCGGCCGCCTGGTTTTCACCACAAATCAAATTCGGAGTTGAGAAAAATTCTTGATGAAACAGAAAAAGTTTTTGATAAATCGTGTCTCTTTTGGTGTTGTCAAAAGAACTGTTTCAGTTTTGGGAATTCAAAAACATAGCTTTCATATTTCTTTAATGGATAGAAAAAGGAAAAAAAATTTTGGAGCGTAGCTTCTATATTATACGAAGTAAACATTACATTTGAATCGATTATGTCTGTTTCCACTCCGATTTTCAGTAAGGAAGACACATTTGATATTAATGCCTTTGCGTTACATATAGATGATGTTGAAAAGCATCAGGGTTGATATCTTTTTAGATTTATCTTATGAGCTAGCAAATATTATGAATGCGTTTAAGATGTACCTCTTGTACTTTCACTGTTTGGCCACATTAGAAGAATGGACTGTGGTGTCAGCAAGATCTGTCTGGAAGGCATGACTAATGGAAAGAGAAACAGAGGACGACCATATAAAAGATGGAGAGATAACATCAAAGCATGGACAGAACTCGACACAATTTCCCTGAACATTCACGTTAAAGATAGAGAACTGTGGAAGCAGCTATCACATAGTCTGCCGCAGGAAGAGACAGCGATTGATGATGATGATGGTCTTGTACTTTCTGTAGGGCAATGCTCTAGGACCGATTCAGTACACTTGGATATCTTTTAATGACAGAGCTGCTAAGGATGCCTTGCGATAACCGTAAATCTTTCCGTCTGACATTCTTTAGAGAATAAAACGCCATAATGATGATAATTAAGTTAGGGGTCGATCGAGCATTTCCAATCAGAAACAAGAGCATATGATAATTCAGTATGGCAAAACGAGCTTCTTTTCTCTTTACATTAACAGTTTTTCTATTTTCTTGTCCATCGACTTTGAAGCTGCTAGATGGAACAATAACCTAGCTGAACTTTTTTTAGAACATTTACATTAGGTTTTACCTCGGGTCTTATTGTTGCACCACTTTCATTGAGGTATCACTTTTGCTCAATTTCAGTCAGTATTTCTTTTAAGTGGCAAAGAACTAAAGCTTGCAGTGCTTTAAAACCCATTAAAAAGTCTCGCGTTTGATTTCTAGAAAGAAAATTAAATATATGCCTACAAATATGACCTGGGAGCTTTTAGTATTAGTTTTTGATTTCTTGCTTAGTCTCAATTACGCAATCATTATAGCTATCATCATGCACATTATGTTTTCACTTCTTCTCCTATTTTATTTTATGTTGATTTGATTTAGTTCTTCTTTGATTCGATAACGTTGCTGATTTTTCTTTAATAAATGGAATAGATGATTAATGAAAATGATTAGCAATAAATCAAAATTAATGTTTTACCGGTCCGTACAGTACTTGGTGCCTTGTAGGTAGACCTGTGCACACTATGGTGGACAAACCAGAGCGGTTCTTGAGTTCCACGCTTAATGCTACCTTCAGGCAAATCATTTCATTTTCATTTCATATATGTTCTCATCATTAAATTATATACATAGCAACATAAGATGCAAACAAGATTAATTGGGTATAATTACAACAAGGTTACAGAAAAATACGCATCAAAAATTGCTGAAGAGGACATACAGAAATAACTCCTCAGAGCTTTCGAGCTGTCTGCCCTCGGTAAGACGTGGTTGCTACGATTAAAATTGAAAGATACTAACCGAAGAAGCATTTATGTATTAATAAACATAGTAACATTATTTTAAGAAAATTACATGAAGTGCGGGCAGAGGAAAGAGTAGAATAAATTGAAATAAAAAACAGAAAGATCAACTTTCAAATTAGATATTTTTTGTCGCTAAATTATTTATTCTTTGACACTAAATCTTACATAGCTCTAAAGTGCCGGGTGCGTAGCTCTAAAGTTCATCTCCAGTATTCAGTGAAATAAAATCTATGTAAGATATTAACAGCTTATGGTTTCGTTTAATTAGTTTTTCACTTTTAACAATTGATTAACTATTTACTTATGTATTTTTCTTTATACTGAAATGAAATAAAAAGCATTATAGATATATTTCAATGTATTATACGGAGAAAGAGTTCTAATTTCTAAAATGATTGTACAAGTTCTAGCCAATTTTTAGGAAATTTGGCTACGGTTATAGTTCCAGTTTAGAATTTTATTCAGGAGAAGGCCCTGAAGTAGAACTAGAACATTGAGATTGATTATCATTTGGGTAGAAAATCAAAATAACTGTCTTTCTCTTTAATCTCATCCGAATTCTATATCTACAATTTTACAATTTTTGAATTTTTGTCCGAAATGAGTGTGAAATTTTGTGATCGAAATTGGTTGTCCGAAACTTTCTTTTCAAAATTTGACAACAAATGAGATTAAGGCTTATTTTACAAATCTGACCAACACCCAGAAAAATAATGTAAATGTACTGATAGATAACCTAACTTCAGGGTTGGGACACGACACTGATGTGATCATTCTGGCGGCTTTTTCGGAATAATTTGTATTCTACCTCAAGAATTATTTCAGTTGTAGTGCTCAAATACATTTAGATGCATATTGGACAAAATTTTGTAATTGTAATTAGATAAATTTAAAAAGTATTTGACCCATCGCTGGAGTTAGAAATGCTCCTAATCCTATGACCCTGGCTCAGTGCCCTAGCCGCACTGCCCGCAACTGTGCCAATCAGCCTCTTTTCTAAACGAAATAATCAAAGCGGGGCTGTGAGATTTGGCGGTTTTTATGTTTTCATTTACGAAGACTCACCATCATGACATTGCCGTGTATCTAAGAAAGCTTGATTTTGATTTTTTCACTACTGTTTGATGCAACACGATGTATAATGGAAGATGGGCACAGATATGCTGACCAGCTAGGCCAAAATCTTTCTTTGATCGATCATAAAGTCCACAAGCTTGTTGATTTGCCTCTTCCTAGAGATTTGGTGCATTTAAATCTTCATTGCAATGAAATTGCTAGGATCGAAAATCTTCATGGACTGAGGAACTTGCGATCCCTTGATTTGTCGTCAAATGTCATCGTTAGAATCGAAGGTCTAGAATATCTAGAAAATCTACAGTCACTTAACTTGTCATGCAATCAAATCAAAGTTGTTGCCGGGTTGGGATCTCTAAGGTACAGAGGTTAATCAATTGTCCACCTTATTAAGGCATGGCAATTGTGTGTGCTGCTTTTGTAGAAACTAATATAAGGACACTCACGATTTTGCATATGATTTTTTATCCCTTGTAGAATAAACCTGGTATCGAATTTAAAGAGGATAAGGTAGTTTTATGTGGAAGTAGAGAGGTGTATGACCTAAAATTCAATAGAACAACATCTGATAATTTTCTTCACGTAGTTTCAAATTTTGCTGCAAGACAGCATCTGCTCCTTGAATTCTTTTTGATATTTTTGAAATGAAAAAAGTTTGACTTGCTAAGACTTAATTAATTTCAATCAAATTTCATCTTTGGATTTTTTGTGCATAGAATTGTTAGAATAGGTTGCTTCAGGGATGTTAGATTTGTAAACAATACTGTATGTGATTAAACGTGAGATGATATTAAGGATGCAAGACAAAGACAGATATAATCTAAAGCTATATAACTGAATTATTTAGACTTTTAAGATTCTTGTCTTTTTATCTTTAAGTTTTAAAACTTGAACATTTCCTATTTACAGGAAACTTGAAAAATTGAATTTATCTTACAACATCATAGATGATCTAACTGGGTTGAAAGATTTTCGAAGAAATACTCATGTGATTAAATTTGTTGACCTTCATGGCAACAAGATAACTTCCCTAGATCATTTGCTTGAATGTATTGCAAACTGTGGGACTCTTGAGCATCTAACTTTGCAAAAGAATGGAGACAGTAATCCTGTTTGCAGTATTCCTGCTTATCGACCAAATGTTTTTGCCCAAGTTAAAAACTTAGTGGCTTTGGATGAAAAAGATAAACATGGAAATGCTACAGTTCTTGGAAATGTCCAACAAATTTCACATCCAGGTAAAATATTTTGCAGCTTACTGCAGTTTTATAAGTGGTTCTAAGTCAAATATTATTTATGTTGCTTGATATGTTTAGACCTGTTTGGCACTAGACAAATTGTATAGATGCTTCAGTTCTTACTGCTGTATAGGGGTAGACACCCATAAATAATTTCCACTTACCTGGGTTTACTGATGTGAATCACACAACATAGTCTACAATATGTTAGTTTTAATAAGATTTCTGTACATTTGAATCATATTGAGTGAATATGGGCACACAAAAAGAGGCTAAGAAGAGATCAGTTGAACCCAACCTAGGGTACTACATCTGAATGCTCCGGATGCAAATCTTCAGGCCAGACAGCAAAATATTTCCAAAATTCTGAGTAATGCCAACTTCTTTGCTTTGATGTGAAGCTGCAAAATTAAGTAGGGAATAATAATAATAATATCATATTTATACAGGTTAACTTTGGTCAGCAACAACGTGCTGTTATCAATAAAGGACTTGTCTAAAATATACATGGATCAGGGGCGGCTGGGAGTAGAAAAGTATTGGTATTAGCCTTCGAAATTAAGACATAAGAAGGTCCCTCCGGATGGTCCTGAAACTATTTAACAGGGGTGGAGCTTATATGTTCTTATTCAGGAAGGTGGGCAAAATGACCTTTTCGATATGATGGTGTAAAATAGCTTTTGGCAATACCATATCTTACAAAATTATTTGAAGGCACTGGCCCCCGTTGTCTCCCCCCAGACACTGATGACCCTGTGGTAATGTAGTTCATCCTACTAGTTTTGGGTGAAGGATCGGTCCTACGAAATACAAATGAATTATGGCTGCGGCAAATTACTCGAGCGAAATCGTGTTTTGATACAGCGGTTTGCTGCCCAGTAATGGAGCCCCAAGGTATTAGCCCATTAATTCTAATACCATGAGGCTTTTGGCCCGCGAATGAGATTCTATTACGATAAAGCGAGCGATTTACTTTAGAGTAATGCAGCAAAAAAACGTAAGATGTATCATTTGATTTGAGAAACCGAGAGAAATCATGTGAGAATGTTGCCTGTGACTCTACGGTCATATAGAATCAAAGTTTTACAAAACATACAGTTCATACAAAACAACTTTTACAACTGCCTTTAGCTTAAACAAATTATTTCATGACTGTTGCTCTTTATATTCGGGGTCTAAATTTTGTCAATCCATCCAAAGGCATTGCTAGCAAAAGTACAGCTACATTTTGTAAATTCATAAAGTTAATTTCCAGAAATATTTTTTCTATAAGCTGAGGCCTTAGAATAGAGCTGGGGCTCTTTCCACCGTCCCTTCCACTGACAGTGGCCCTCATAGTATTAGAAATGAAAAACTAATACCTTGCAGGTGTTCACCCATTCTTCGACCATGGCTCAACAAGAGAAATTCACGTCATGCAGACCACAACAGACAAAAGAAATTTCGGGGCAGTGGATTAGTTTTTGGAGGCTAATACCATGGCCAGGGCTGCTGATTACGGCATGGATTACACTTTTCAAAGATTTCAATGAGGATTAGGAAAGCTTTCATTCAACGAACAGAAAAGCAAATATAGCTTGGCTATATGAATAGAGCTGGTCGCATCGATAAAATTGTTGTGAAAAAGTGGCAGCGTACAAAAAGCAAAATAAATTTCCTGCAATCTCAGAGACCCAAAGTCGCCTTCCTTTGAAAATAAAAAGGTATTAGACTAATACCTTTAATACCACCCCACGCCGCCCCTGACATGGATTACCGAAATAAAAATATACATGATGAAAATGAAATCTTAAAAGTCAAAGTTAAAATTTTTACAAAAAGTCTTAAATCTTAGAATTGAAGTTTCACACTTCATTTCGTCTGTTAGTTTATTAAAAATCTTTGCTCCTTGAAAGTAAAAGGCCTTCTTGCCTTTTTCTGATTGTACTTTGGGCAAAACAATATTTTTTGCATTGGCACGAGTACACTGCCTGTGTTTTACTCTAGTGAAGTAGTTTCAAAGACGTGTGGCGATGCGCTATTCAAACTTTTGAAAACTTCAAAAGCACACAACAGGCAACAACTTATCTCTCTTTTCAGTGTCAAGCCTAAACCTTTTTTAGTTCATTCTGAGCAAGTTTCCATATGCTTAGCAGTGGCGTGCTTAGCAGGGGGCAAGGGGACAATTAGCCCTCCCTGCCGATCAAATATCAGGGGCACCAAAATGAATTTTCACATTGAAGGGACACAGAAGGTTTCCCTAGCCAAATAGGTGACAAATGAGGACAATTTACATAAAATAACCAAACAATGCTAAAAGCAGACTTGAAGAGAACAAGAATCACCTTGCAAAAATCAACTCGTCTTTTTTACAAACTTTGATGTGCTTAACAAGGATCATCCAACACAATCTCCAAATCTCGTGCTTAATCTAAATGATTTTTGCACCAATTAGATACCAGGGATGTACCAAGGTAGGAGTTGCAGGGTGTTTTTGAGGAACCAGCCAAAAATTTTTGGCTTGGCAATAAATGTTTGGATAAGGCACCATTTCAAAAAATTATTGGGAGGGTGCAAGGAGTTTTGATTTACTGAAATGATAACAAATTATAGGAAGAAAAAGCTGAGAGATTGTGTCCCTATCTGAATTGAATTATGTTGCATAAGCTAAAACATTTAAACATTGACACCAGAAAGTTGATTAAAATCATCAAATAGCTTTCAGTCTGTAGATATTTATTTCAGAGAAAGCATTGTTGAAAATTGCTTCAAAAAGTGCATTTTCCTGCAAGCTAGAAGCATCAAAATTCGAGAGTTTTCTTTTCAGAAGGTTTTCTTTGCAATTTTTTCTTCCCTACCTCCAACCTTCCTACCCCAAACCTCTCGTAACAGTGATGTCCCTGATTATCATTGTTGTGCTGTACATTACATTAAACATTGGAAAAATCTATGAACTACCAATTTCATAATAATTCGTGACTTTTTTATAGTTTGTTTTAAAGTTTGATGCCTATTTTCTGATCCTGAATTATCAAATGATTGCTGGGAGGCTCTTTTGTATTTTGGATAGAATAGGGGATAGAATAGAATTGGATATAATATATATTTTGGATAGAATAGGGAAGAGAGTGCTTTCTTTCATCTGTTTGTAAATTTTTTCTAAGGGGACTAAATCTATCACTGCTTTCTGTCATTAGGCCTTGATGAATACTTGCAATGGCTTGTGCAGTCAAACCCAAGTGATTCTACCAGTGCAACTGTGGTAAAAATTTTCTATGAAATGATATTTTGCTATTTGCTTTGTTATTTCACAGTTTTTTACATCAATAACTGAATTTCTAGCAGTTTTATGATTAAGCAAATAAACTTTACTTTTTAGCAGGATATCTAAACAACCCAATTACACATAGTGGTAACTGTTTTTGTAGTACAAAGCTTCATTTTCTTACTTGTAGTCGTCTGACTCCCAAATTGATGTCAATACACCAAAAATCGATGAAGCTCTAGAGAGATTTAAAGACAGAGCAAGGGCTCAGAAAGTTACAGATGTAATATCAAAATCACAGTCTATGCAAAATGAAAATGAAGAGCATAAACAAAATGAAGTTACAGATAGACTCCACCTTCTTGAGAAGCAAATAGAATCGTTGCTGAACTTGCAAATCCAAAAGCAGGTCTGAATGGTGCATTTTTCTAATGCTATAAAAAAGACCAGTTGATTGTTTGAATGTCATCAAAACCTTTTATTTTTTAATTTTCTCATTTCTAAGGGTTTTTAATTTAAATAATATCTTTGCAATATATGTTTTTGCACTTTTATATAGATGATTCCTGAGAAGGACATAGAAACAATAACACCAACTTCAGCATCAACATCACCTGAAACTACAGGTACACAACAGCAGAAGCCAAGAGGCCTCACAAGAAGAAAAGCTCATGCTAAAGAGTCTGCTCATCGCGACTGTAAAATAACAAAACGTGTGCCAGCTATCAAAAGTGAGACTTTCTGTCAAAACTAGATATTCAAGGAATTCTTTATTTCTTCAGGAGTTACCTTACAATGTCACTAATGGATTTATTTCCTATTGATTCAGGAACAAATTAAAGAACAGAGAAAAAGCAAAATTGATGAATAGAAATAATTTGTATGGCAATAATTAGCTCCAGGTTGAATATGATTTTTTAGTGTTTTAGAATTTTAAATGACATCAAAATTTTTTAGGGAATGTCATAAGAGAAGTAAAAACCAGTAGTTCAGATGAAGTAAAGAGAGCAGCAAGAAAAGTCAGAGACCCAAAAGATGATGAAGCAGCATTGGTAAGTATTAAAATTTACAGTGTAATATTTGCTTTCATTTAAGTTAAGATTGTAATAGGACTAAGGCAATGTATCTGTTAGCAATTTATTTGATAATTTCAGTAGTCAGGTATTGCTGCAGTGGAAGTTTGAAAGGCGTTACTGATAGAAACTTAGTAAACGATAGAAATGTCTGCCTCTCTTTCTTTTATTCGTGAAGTAGATACAAAATGAAACTTTTCTTTTTCTTAATATTTTTGATTATGTTACCTTTGATCCTGTAGTGATGCAAAGGATATTTTGGATATGAAATGCTTTTTGGAGCGGAGTTTTATCTTTTTCTGATTTTTCTTTCATCCATTCTCTGTACTTTCCAACACTACAACTCCGCGATCTCTGCACTGTCCCGCTAGAAATCAGGATGGTGAACCTCTGTAAAAGTTGTATACTTATAACCTTCAAATCACCTTTTCGTTGCGCCACTTCGCATTTCAATTCAGAAACTCCACTTTGATTCTTATTATTTGCAAGATTGGCTAACAAGCTGTTGAAATTAAGTTTTTCAAGTTAAGCTGGTGTTTTGTTTGGTTAACAGTTAATGCTACAAGAGCTTGATGAGGAGCGAGAACGACGATGGAAGGCTGAACAAGCAGCTAGAAGACTAATTAACACAGTTAAAGACATGCAAGAAAAAGGTAACGGTATATTTACCAGGGACAAGGCTGACAATTTAGACTAACGTCCTTACTATGTCTTACTTTGTTTCTTTTCCAACAAAACAAAAACTACCTAGGTCTATTATCTCCGACTGGTCTTATTGGTTTCCTGCAGACATTGACAATCATTATGCAGAGGAAACGTCTGGGAACATAGCCAATATACATTGGATGGATGCGTCCGCTTTCTGGCGTTTTCTTGCATGATGTTGTTCGTTATGAAAGTTTGTTATTTTCACCCAAACTAGAATGATGATGTTGCAAGTAGTTTAGGGAGTAGAAGGTCATGAAACGCAAAAAAGCAATTTTACGTTCTATCACTTGACTTTATCTAAGTGTACCAGAATCTGTTTACGTGTCTGACGAACTTTCAAACTGTGTTTTTCTATTGCTCATAATATAATGATGCAGTTTTTATAAAGAGGATATCACCGCAACTTTTATTGCTCTTTTATTTGCATAATTGTTTCCTTTTTGCTTGTCTAATGCTGCTTTATCTCTTTAAGTGGCCGAAGAAAGAAAATATGCCGAGACTGCGATTTCCACTAGCGCAAAATTGAAGAGTGCTTTGGCCTTAGAGAAAGATGAACGGACGAAGTGTGAGAAGCTTTTAGTCCTGGAGCAGGTAGTTAAATTTTGTGAGGATTGTTGTCTTTATACAAATTTGCCAGTGTTCTCTGTTTAAATTTGTATGACTGAAAGAAGTGACTAATAATATCTGTTCTTAAGCACAAAATATCTTGTTTTTGTCTGCCTCCAAATTGACAGTGCCCATCTGTATTACCAGATAATTAATGTTGTAGTATTTTCGGTAATTCTTCATCCTGTTTCATTGTGGCTCGACAGCCAACTCTTGTTATTACTTCAGCAGAATATTACAAGTGAGACTAGAAATGTCTTTCAACTGATTGAGTTTCCTGCAAAAATAATACATTGCATTGAACATATTTTAGAGAATCAATAAATCTATCTGACTAAGTTATTCTGTAATCTATTTACCGGCTATTTGTACCTACACAGACCTTTTTAACCCAGGATAAATGTGAGGAACTGAAAGGCGAGGTTGCAAAGCTTCGACAGTATGAGAACGAGGCCAAGAAGATTATAAGTTCTTTAGAGGAAACTTCAAGGAATTCAGACAGAGAAAGGTTAAAAGTGCAAGCACTGAAGGTGATTTTTATAACAGGATTACATGTAGCCGCTTTATTGTCTTAAGCCTTTTCTGATAAATTCACGTAGTACTAGATGACTTTGCTATTTTCATAATTTCTATATGCCTCTTGACCTTATTCAGTACTTTTATTCTGCCATTTGTTAATGTAGAAATGTGTATTGTCTAGGGAAAAGTGCAATGAAGATAAGGTAGGAACAACGAGAAAATTGAAATGTATCTATTTGTCTATCGGGTTTACTGTGTTGAACTTAACATTTGCTCTTTCTGCAAAGGCATTCTGTCTAGGGTGTCAGCAAGCTTCAAAGTATTTTGTTTATATTAGCTAAAGTATGGTACTTTCTTTACAAAATCTATTGTTTTTCCCTGTTCTATACTAAATTTTGCTTGTAATCCGCTTTCTGGAACCTTGACCTTGATTTGATAATTTTTAGGATAAACAACTTCAAGAGGCCCAGTTTAAGGCCGCTGCCATTACTCGCGAAGTCGAGCTTCTGCAAGAAAGCGAGAAGAATTTGAAGCAGCGTGTCAGCCAACTGCAAGAGCTCTTAGCGAATCGGGAACAAAATCACATGTATTTTATACCATTTCTACTACTCCCCCAGTCTTAACAGTACAATAAATTTTGTATTTTTCGGATTTTTCAAGTTTTGTAAAACTGATATATGACAGACAAGCATAATACTAATTTTCATTTTAATTTATATTGTACCAATGTTTTGTGCTATTTTTTATATTTACAAGCAGATTCTTTGCCTGCTGCTAGGGCTCCTTGTAGCTGTTCTTCATAATTCTCAGTAGGAGCAAGAGAGAAAGCTTTTCCTTTAACCTTTGATAGCGTGGCATTCTTTATCGAAACTCCAGCCTTTTACGAAATAAACATTTTTTTGTTCTGTTTGAAGATAATGGTATAGATAGAAGCATGCTTTATTACCAAGAGGCATTGAAATACGATCCATTCACCCTTTCAATTTAAATATATTGTTGATAGAAGCTTCTTCTAAAATTGGCATTAATACGTTTTTTATTTCTTCAACTCAAGATAAACTTGCCAAGTCTTTCTTTGTCAGTCATAAGATTTGAAAATCAAAACTTTCTCTCAGAACTTTGTTGTAACACAAAACGTTGTAACATGTAAGTTCATACTGGTTTATGGCTGGAATATTTGGGTAGCAAGCTTTATGTTCTAAATTATTAAGTGGGGTTACCTGCAATACTTCTTAGTTCGTCTTAGAAGTTTAGGATAGTGCAAATATCAATGCCAGCTTTTTGCATAGAAAAACCTATCATTTTTTGTAGCTGGGTAATGTTCCAAATGCTGCTCACTGAAAATCTTTCTTTTGTTTTCAGTTTATCTTTCTATTTGCATGAGTTGTCTATAATCGTATTGTTCTATGCCTTAGAACGTCTTTGGATGGTATGGTGAAGCTTGATGGGAAAGAGGTACGGGATATTGTGGAGAAAGAAGTAGCCAAACAAGAAGGAAGGTATTCACAGCTGATGCAACAATACAATGAAAGGTAATCTGGTGCAATTCCATCACCTTTTTTACGACATGTCAAATTTATGCATCATGAATGACTCATCCTCAATTAGAAGATGTTCAAAGAGAATGTCTGTTTGCAAGAAAAGAGTTGCCAGATTGCTGTGGACATTGATTTATAAAGTTTACTCTATGTACCAACCACATGACCATAGCTGAAACAGATCTCGATACAAGTTACGATAGGCTAATTTTATTTTGGGTGATAAGTAATAAAAAGATGAGGTGATGGAATTTTATCTGGGCTTAGGATTTTCAATTTCTACCATAGAATTTAAAGAAAATCATAAAATTGCCCTAGATGTCTAAATACCTCCATTTATTCAAAATTTGCCGAAATATAGCCACGCGAACGTGGGATCTATCTCTATCAAATGATTTTTATTTGTTCTTGGTTATCAAATTTATTAACCAAAGACAATAGTAACCCTTTTTGTGATATTAAGGTTGTTTACTGGCATTATGTCAGTCGATTTATTGCAGATTTATTAATTTTCACATTTGAAATAATTTTGTGGCATTCTTTCACATTATGTAGTCCGAATTCAAAATTTTCAATGATATGTTTTTACGAAATTTTCACTTAACCACTGTATATTGAAAAAAATTTCTTTCGCCGAGTTTAAGCTCTGATAAAACCCTTGCATATATAAACGCGAAAGGAAATGTTTGTACATGGCAACCACAATAATTTGAATTTTTTTCTTATTGACTATTATTGTTAATCTCTGCTGAACCTGAAAATTATAAACTTTTATCTATGAAATTAAATACTGATTGACGTCTTCTTTCTCTACAAAAAGACTAGAAGCAAGAAATAGAGATTATGCTTTGCTTGAAGACGAGTTTAGAGCTGGTCTACAGATGGAGGCTAATCGCTTCGGAGAGGTAATTTTCCTTTGACATGTCTGAGAAAAGCATCGATTTGTATTTAATATGCAAAGTCAATTTCTTTTGGCCGACAATTCTTAGGATTTATTACTTTATTTGTTAAAGAGTTTTTTTCTCCTTTCTTAGTTTTAAGATTTTAACTAAAATAGATTTCCAGACATAAGGAAAATATGTTAAATGATTTTCGAAAATTTGTTAGCTACAAGGTTTGAGAAGTCTGTTTGCTAGACTAACAGTTTTCGCTCTATTCCATACAGTTAGAGCTTGATTCTGATTTGGTTTTGCTTTGAAGTACTGTCAAAGAGAAAACCAACTTTTTGAAATTAACATTAAAGTTGTTTTCTAACTTATCGTTAAAAAAGATTGGATGGAAATATTTTCGAAGCACAAATTAGAGCATTTTATCTTTTGTGTAGCTGCAAGGGGCGTATTCAAAATTGCTTGATGAAAGTTCAGAAATGCGAAGATCGATGCAGATTTTAAAACAAAAAGAGTCCAAAGCCACAGCACTGGTGACAGAACTCACTTCCGTAAGTATTTCTTCAATCATACATTGCAATTCTTCAGTAGGCACGATTTTCGCCAGCGTAACTTGTTATTTGACTACAAACATATTATAACATTAAACATGAAAGCATATAAGAAATTTGTTTGAATGCCTGCATTGTAATCATCGTCTGATAATAAACGGTTATTGCCAAAATCCATCAGCGATTGGCCGGAGTCCTTGGTTTTACCACGATGCTCCGATTCCAACCTTTCATATAAACAGCCCTTTTCACAGTTCAGTTTTTTTCTGTTGATTATTTTATCTGATTAGCTGAATAGAAAACAAGTGAAAACAGCTTGGTTAATTGAAAGTTGCATTTGGGCTAGTTTGCTCCATTATCTCACACAGCTCTGGAATACTCACAGGGAAACTGAAGATTTGCTGCCCACCGACCTAAACGACCTATTTGGTTCTTCAATCCAAATCAGAGATCGCTGGTTGTCCAATTTTTAAAATGCAATGGCAATCATTTTAAGGCATGCTTGATCTTTCGTCTGACATTCTTCAGAATATACAATGTCACAATGTCAGAATGATGATCGACAATTCTAAGCTAGGAAATGTATATATTCTGCTGTGGATTGAAATGGGCCAATCAGAAAAACTCAAGCACATGACCGGTAAAGTTGTCAAATCAGTAAATAGCTTTTTATAAGAGTCAACAAAATGTTGCTATGAATGTTGAATAACAACAAAATGTTGTTATTTTTTGGGAAGTAAAGAGTAAGGGGATTTTCCAATCTAATCTTGTAACGGCACACCTTTTTTGTTGTTTCTTTAATACATTCCAATGTCTGATTGTTTTGTTTTTTCCAATGTTTCTTCAAATGTTCGAGATAGTCCTAATTTCACCTAAGAAGCACGTTTGCGGTGTGATTTCTGTTCGCTGATTGGCGAATTCCGATTGAGACATTAGCAATGATCAGAGTCCACAGCCAATCAGACAGCTGTCTGCTTTGCTCTTCATACCAATATAATGTATGATTCTTTTTTATGTTCAGATGGTCAAAGAGCAAAAAGGAAGACTGACAGAAGTTTCCAGAAACAAGCAAGAAATGCAGGTTGACTTTAAGGTAAATTTTATATATTCTGTAACATTTTTAATTAGTATGGGGTCGAAATATAATATAGATCAAGGCCAATAATTATGTTTTCAGCAAGCATTAAGGCATTAGGAATCAAAAATTTTATTTTTATGAATGAAACATAACTTAAGCAGTCATGAAGCTAGTGGCCAAAGCTTAGTAAAAATCTCTGGTTTGTGAAATGATGCTTCGAATAAGCCAATTATACCTTTTTTTCTTGCATTTTCAAGCATATCTAACAGAAGGCTTCCTTTTAGATTTATTTTTGCATTTATTTCAATCTATTTTATGTGTTTAGTGGCTGCAGGGTAGCAATGTATTTCCATGCTTCCTGTCGTGTCGCAATGTTGATGTTTGCCCATAGATTTTACACTTGCAGAGAGTTTACGTACAGCCAATTGTTGAACTTTTTGAATTAGCAAGAATTTTGCTTTGTTTTCGTCGCGAAGGCAAATTTTGATGCTTGAAATGCTGGCTTATGATTATTTATTGTTAGTTTTTTCATAGCCTGTTTGGTAAAAAATTTTTGCCATCGGGTGTTTCTGTTTCAAATAGATGTTTAGGTTAAAATGTTTTTTTCTTAACTGATAGTAGTTAAGATTTTTTGTTTTCTTTTCAGGAAAGAATCCAGTTACTTGAAAATCAGCTAGAAGCTTCTAGAAAACAACTCTCGAAAATGGAAACTTTTCGGCAGGCAAGAATTTAAAAACGAAACCAATAATTTTATCTTGCTGAAGATAAACCTTTTCGCCAATCTATTGTTTAAGTAAACCATTGTTTCACTTTTTTTTCGTTGGAAGTTTAACTGTGTAGATGAACTCATATGACACTTATATGGGGGAGCTTCTTATTCAGTTTCACTTCGCTGCTTAGCATGTCAATATAAAGCAGCTATGCTATTCTATTAAAAATAGCTTGAACCTTCAAGTGCTATCATCTGTATTTTAAGTTTTTTATTGAATTTATATTTAGCAGGAGTAGAAGTGCATTATGCCAGTTTTATGGCCCAAATTGCTCCAAGCTGGATGCAATATCTATTTTATTTGCTACCTACTTTTCTGGTATTGTTTCTTGGAAATCGTATCTACCTCGTTTTGAACAGGATAAAGACAAGCTGCTGGCGCAAGTTAAGGCCCAGGAATCTTTGATTGAAGGGCTGCGTGCAGAAAGAAAACTCTGGGGCGAAGAGTTAGCTCAGCAAGGTTCGTTTTTAGATATTTAATGGAAGAATTATTTTCGACACAACACTCAGCGATATTGTCTGCTCTTTCCTGTTAACCGCTAAGGGTTTTACCAAGAGTCGTTATTCATATTTGTGTTTTCTTGCATTGAAGAGCCCGTTTGAGTTTACAGGCTTTAGAACAGCTATAGAATGTCTTCTTTCTCAACCCTTAGTAATTCTCGACGAATCTTTTGATGATGTTAAATAAGTATTCATCAATCTAGGTGCATCATTGGCACATGATCGTGGCCGCCTGGAAGCTCAAATAGAAGCCTTGACAAGTCAAGTGAAGCAGATGAAACAGAGAGAGCAGGTAAACCTGTTTCAAAATTCAATATTTTGAGAGATGTTTTGCATCTCCAATTTTATTCTCTATAGTCATCTTCAAAAGGGCAATGAACATTAAATGTTTTGCTTCTCATATTTTTTAGGAGAACTTAGATACGCTGAAGATAAAGACAAAGCTCATTGAAGATCAAACAGACACAATTAAGAACCTCAAACAGGTAAAACAATATGATAACATATATAATTATGCGAGTTAATAAATATTGTTACTTGGCAAATTCACTGAAGTCACACACCATGTGTGTCGAGGTGCCTGTTGCAGTTACTTTCACTTTTTATTTTATATTCACAAGTTCTCAATATAAATGGTATGTAAATCGATTAATTCTGTGTAGAATTTGGCATGATAGCTAACTCTTTGTTTATTAAAGAGGAAAGCTATGAAATGTGGGCCCCTAGAAACGCTTCAAAATTTAGTATCTTGCCGTGTAATTTTCAAGTTTTGACCTGCGGCTGAACCACATTATAGACGTCATGGCCGTTCTTTCTTCAGAAGCCGTTTTCTGCCTGATGCACGTGGGACTACGTTGTACTTTGGCTACGAGTGCTGTCTCAAGTAAACCGATTTTCAGATTGGCACGAATTTTCATGAGCACCCAAAAGCTTTTTAGTTAGTGTTTTGGTAAGGTTGAAGCATAACTTTAGAGCTATAGTCGACAAGAAGCTTTGCCATTGAATATCAAATGTTGTTTTGAATTTAGGAGTTAGCAATTCAAAAAACAGAAATAAAGAAAGCAAAAGAAGATCTATGGGCTGAAAGACGAGATCTAGAACAAGAACTGAAAGAAGAAAAGAAGAATTCAAACGAGTTTCAGGTTCGACTGTTACTATTTCGGTACATCTTTTGGGCATAGTTATGAAGGCATTTGTTCGAAGTTATATCCTGCGCAACCAAGGCCGGACACTTGATCAAATATTGGGGGGGGGGCAAGCCTATTGTTTTAATAAGATGACGTCACATTTTCCATTGTTCTAGAACAAAAGACCAATGTCCTCTAAAGAATTGGGGGGCAGTCGCCTCCCCCCAAGTGTCCGCCACTGTGCGCAACCGCAGTCAACATTACAACATATTGATTGCTTATATTGGATGATGACGTCATCAGGATGATTTTGTTTTTAATCAAATTTATCAAGATTATTTTCCAAAAGCAAGCTTTCATACGTACTTTTACAAGGCTTAAGCTTTTAAGTTATTGCTACTAAAAAAATAATCTTTTAATGCAGGAGGTTGTAGAAGCTTTACAGTCAAGAAAGGAAGAGCTCAAATCGCAGTTGGGAATATCGAATATGGATCTAGAAAAGGCAAGAGAGGACCTCAGGTAACCAAAGACTCTTTTTTTACTTTCACAAATCCTACATTTCAGCATTAAGTTTGCATTTTTGTTCTGAAGCTGTAACTCTCATTTTTCTAACATTTTTGTTGTTCTCTTTGATATCATTCTCTTTGGTGTCATTTCCGTGCATCAGCTATTTTACAACTTTTTTAGGATTTTGAAGAAACAATGGGACGAAAGGAGTCTAATGATTGATCAGCTGGAGCAAAAGGTGGTTAAAATGAAAAATAACTTTGACAACAAAGAGAAAAACCTGAGGGAAGAGAGAGACGCTGCGTTAAAAACAGCAAAGTCAGTAGACCTTTTTTCTTCTCTTTTTCATTTACTGTCTATTTAATCGTTACAAAGGAGATCTCGCAGTAAAGCTGGATTTCTAATTGTTTTATCACTCGGGAGGAGTGAAAACCTAGCTATGTTGAGTATTAGCTATTGAAAATAATTCTTTGCCAACTTTGGACACATTGAGACAGCCAAGCTCTGAAAAGTTTCTAATTTCATTCATTTCATTCGCAGCCATCAAAGGTGGCTTTATAGTTTTGTATATTGTACGATGTTTACATAGCATTCATATAATGACGTTGACAGAAGTGATGCTAGTATTTTATGAAAATAGCTTCTAAATATTGCGTGAGCGTGGTTTTTGTACACGAAATCGTTTACCAAGATGAGTTGAAAAATAAAGGAAAAAAGCACTGCCAGCATGTAAATACTCCAGGTGTGCACAGTTTCCTGTACTAGCAAGGGTTTTCTTAGTCATGGATACTCAAGTTAGGAAAAACAGTTCAAGCACATACCAGGAAGCTATTTTTTGACTAAGTTTGTGCTGTTATGTGAACGAAATTGTATTCAATAACAATGCAATCCCGACTGGTTTTTATTTTTAAAGATCATTCATTGTCCTCGAGAGATAGCGAAATAATTTTGTCACCTTGAATTGTTAACGCTCAGATTTTCTTAATTCTGTTCCTTAGAATGTCTGTAAAATATATGATAGGTTAATAAAGATTCGGGGAAAAACCGATTTTGTTTTATTACCTGCATTTTGTATCTTTGGTCTGGATAGATTTCCTGTTGATTTTTAACGCGATACAACTCTTGATGGAGAAGTCGTGTAATAATAATGACGTCGTCAAATGCAGCTCTTTGCGTTAAGCAACCTTGTCTAAAATGAACTTTTACGAAATCAAAATAAATCTAGCTTAAAATCTACTTTACATAATTGCAATATTATATAAATTTCAAGTTTTTATAGCAATATTCCACAAATTTCAGCTTAACAAGAGAAAAACTGAAAACCTGTGACGATTCATTTCGACGACAGTTGGATGAAAATCAACGCAATCATGATTTGAAACTGCGTCAAGTGATTGCAAGCAAAGATGACGAGATAAGCAAAACAAAAGCAAAAGTGACAGAAGTTGAAGATGAAATGAGAGCGTTGCTAGAGGAAGCTGCCTTATCAAAACAAAATCTTGAAATGAAAATAAAACAGCTCGGTAAAGCTTTCTCTGATGTTCAGCTCGACCTAGGGAGATAAAATTATTTGTAAGTTTTCTGTATATATATATATATATATATCTATATATAATATTAAAATTGTGATATTTATATATAATATTAAAATTGTGATATTTATAGCAATCATGCTTCCTTGTTAAACTGCTGTGCAAAATAAAACAAAACTCACATGATCTTGCCAAAACTCACAACCTTGTGCAGGAGCCAGGTTTGGCAAGGTGGGTACAAACTCGGGGAAAAGACAAACATACGTTCCGGAGGGTAAAATTTTCTTTGCTACCAAGAGTCTTGTTAGAGACAGGTTATTTTTAGGAACATCACTAGAGGAACGTTTCAAAGAGCAAAAGAAAAGGAACAAGACAGGGAGCTTGTTTGATGATGACCCTTCATAAGAGGCGCATATTGCCACTGCACATTGCCACTGAGCTGTTGATCGTCTCATCAAGTCTTTGTTAAAAATTTTTTTATTCTGGGGCTATAGTTACACAGAGATTTGTCAAGGGACCTTTGTTGTTGCCAAGAAGCATCGTGAAACCGATTGATTTGTTGTCTTTATCCATTCCTATCTCTTCAGTGAAAAACATTCAAGGCTAGTGATCGGTTAAAAATGTCATACTGTTAATGACGATATGAGTGAATTAAAACAGTTGAGCTTAAGTACAGTTTGCACAGGAGGGCTTCTCCTGTATGGGGAAGTTATCAAGCGAGAATATCCATATGCCTCAACTGCGGGATTTGTTAATTGTGGTGAGCACGAAACAGTACCGTGCTAAATTGTCATTCACGTGGCGAAAACCCATTTGCTTGAAACTGTTTGATTTATTCTTGAAATCACTATAACACCAAGAATTTCTTTCACCTTCGTAGCATCATTAAAAATACTAATGTTGTGCAGTCATGCCTGATTAGATAAAATCGAGTTTTATTTTGTAACTGGAAGTTAAACACCAGAGGATTCAGGAGGATTACTGAATCATTAAGAAATATTTTTTCTAAGTAGTTTCATCATGTCTCGAAAAGTTCGTTTTCAGACTTAGCGTGCGGTTTTCTTGATTTTCATCTTAAATATTCAGAGTCTATAGAGAAAAAGGATAATTGGCGATTGTTTTTTTTCATTAAAAAATATTGTTCCTCCATTAATAATTTGGTTTAATCAAGATTAATTATTATTAAATTTCCAAATGTTTGCCACGTGTCTCCTTGATCCTAAGACGTAAATCTTTTTGGAAAAAAGTCCTTTACTTCGTTTAGAAATTTAAATTGTCTTCATTTATGGGGGAAATGCCTAAAATCGTGGTGCTTTTTAAAAATGATAATATGAAAGCCAATTGCTAAGAGTTTTGTGGTCACTAGCTCAGCCTTGCCCCCTATTCAAATAATACACAATAATGTCTATGACGTTTTCCTTCCAGAAATGACGCTTTCTTGGGCTTTGTTTTTCATTCCCTTGCTATAAAGAGTAATTAGAACGGGTGTATGAAAACATGAACCCATGTTGAAACTCTTAGCGTTTTTCCTTTTGAAATCTTCTATTGCTAAAAATACCAAATTATCTAAAAAAGCATCTTAAAAAGGAGCTTTTAAACTCTATTTTCTAGTCTTATTTTTTGGACAATCGCAATCATGATTATGATGATTGTGGCCTCATCCCCTTCCCTATTTCTTTGATGCCATTTTTCAAATCCTCATTCAAGCATATTTTTAAAGTCACCATAACGTTATACAGAAAAATCACAAAATTGTAAGGTTGTAAGTTCTTAAACAAGGGTGCAAAGCCAGTGTCAGAAACCACGGATGGTAGAATACACATCACCGAAGTCAGACGTCTATATATCGAATTACAAAAACTTGTGAATTAAAGAAATTATCCTTTAATCGTTAGCGTTGTATTTTCTTGTCTCCTGCAACATCAGTCATAACTTTTATGTAGCCTATGGTTTCTAGATACGTCAAAGGAACCAGGCGCTGCAGAGTTTGCTAAAAAGGGGGAAATATTTGAAACCATGCCTTAATCGATATTTCAGAAGCGTTTCTGCTTTGCAATCATTTAGTGCTACGTCTCTTCTAAGTATGAATGTATTTTGCACGTTTTCTTTATATATTCCACTCGTGAATTAACAAATACCCATACCTAATCATTTTTCATCAATTTGTCAAAATAATTAAGTGAACCCTATTTGAAAAAGAGCGGGTAACGGCCTTCTTCCCATACTCCTGAAGTGCAGCCACGGCCTGAAATATACATGATTAGAAATAATTCTCGATGAGGCACTTTCAGTATTGAGTTTTCAATGCCTTTTTCTTCGTTCTCAGCATCTCAAGAAAGGCTAGGTCAGAACTGTAAGGATCCTACTGATTTCGGTTGGTACTCCTGTTTGTTGATCCTCTATTTAAACTTTGGGGTGTAGAGCAGGACTGTTCTAAGTTGCAACTCCGAGTTTCCCGCTTAATGTTAAACATCAGGGGCAACTCTTGAATTACTCACTTTTTGAGCATGTTATTGTGTTTAGTTGGTATGCCCTATAATTCGCCTATTTGTGTTGAATAGTTACATCAAGAGCCACGCTTCTGTTTTACAAGCAATCCTTTTCAATGATTAAACTGGACGTGTCTGCTCTTTTCCCCTGATTCCAGGGGCGTTGCGACCGGGGGTGTGGGGGGTGTCACATTCCCCCAATAGTATCTCAATAGAAAATTCCAGGTAAAATCCGCTCGGAGGAAAAAACGCTTTAGATATTTCAGAGACCTTCATGTCATAAAATCAATAAAGGATCAAGCAATGGTAGTTGCTCCGTTGGTTGAATATGATATTTCTTGATATGAATGAAGGTAAACAAACTAATGATTTGAAGATTTGAGGATTTCTTGTTGGCACTAAATCGAAAAGTCCAGGCCCTCTTTAGGTAAAATTGTGTCTTGTGTCCACTTCCTCTAAATGTTCTCGTTAGAAGCGTCCACTGCAATTCACTATGAGCTCCAAACCTTTTTTTAACATTTTTAACATTTAACAAAAGGCATGCTTAGATAGAAAGAGGGATCTAAATTGACAACTAGTGCTGCTTGTTACCTAGCTTTAGAAATAACTGACAACATGGTATTTGTTGTCGAGACCACAGCGAAATTGTACCAGTTGTTTGCAAAAAAATTATTTTCAATAGGATTAGGATCGCTTTAGTGAAATGTGCTTAAAAGAGTGCATTTTCCAGGGAACTAGAAGCATCAAAATTCGAAAATTTCCTGCTCCTTCGGCGGCAACCATGGTGCCGCCTCGGGTAGTAGTTATATCCTTTGCCCGTTCCGATACAGAGATTTGACAAAACTGTTAGGAAAATTCCGTTATTATCAAATTAGAATGAAAGTTGCGAATTATATACAAAGTTAGATTTATTTTTGCCATTTTAGTTGTATGACGTCATGATTATGTCTTCATTTATTTTGTGTCAACAACTACAACTACGCAGTAGAGAAATCGCAAAATATAGAAGGAAATGCATTATTTTCCAGTTCTAATAATGAAACTAAAAATCCAAAATTCATGTTAAGAAAACCTTTGTAAACGAACTATAAAAAATTTAACCTTTCAAAACCATCAACGTTTACGACATAGATTACTCGCAATAAATATTAATTTTAATAACGCAATTGTGCATTATAATATGTACATTCACTATTATAACTTACAATAATATTTCTTTACTTCTCTTTTAATAGTGACGATAATGGTGATAAAGGAAACATATGCTAAATTGCATCAATATGGCTTAAAATTTTTAAAATGACCTCAAGATGTTTGTTTGGTGAAGCAAACTGTTTGTCCCTCCGTTTTCTTAATAATTTCTTCCTTTGGTTTGTCTTGATTTGCGTGCAGTACTGGGGCCTTAATCTAGTTTGCTAAATTCCAGATTTATTAGCAGTTTCTATGAATCATACTTCTTCAAGGATTATTTTGTGCCTTTGGCAATGTCATAGATCATCTTTCTTGCCTCTTCTATTCTTCCCTTTTGAATCGAGGTGACCTAGTAGCTATTTAAAGTTTTCCATTTCAATGTGATCTTCTCAGTTTTACTTTTCAAATTTGTTTCCATTCCATCTAGCGGCAATTAAATCATATGCATTTTACTGAAATATTACAACTTGGGAAACGGTGTTAATATAAAAACTAAAAATTAAATAGCAACATGCAAGTGTCTTGACTTTTTTGCCTTTACGGACTTTCATGATAGACTAAATATACCAACTTACTCTGAACCAAGGTAGTCCTTAACTAAGACATTTCTACCTTGATGTAAATCAAAATTACGTCATGACTGAGTCTGAATCTGTTTACCAAAGTCTTCATGAGGGAATTTTTAAAAACCGTTGCCATTAACTTCATCAGTCGCAAGGACAAAAAGTTGATGTGCCTATCATTTTGTACCACACATGGTGCAGATGTTGACTGTACATTTAAACGTTGTTTTTGGTCAGCAATGGCTCTTAACCTTATTAATTTAGGTTTTATAGTTCTTCAAAAGAAAATTTATCCATGCATTTACGTTCTGCATAGACTAAGTATTATTATGAATATAGAGTAGCTTATCAAGTCAACGTTTAAAACACCCTAATTAAATCGTTTTTTAGTAAAAAACTATTATAAATAAACAAAAAGCCTAGTTCATTCTGTTTAAAAACAGATTGAAGATGCAAGACTGCTCACGCGACATTCTCTTAGCGGTACAAAGCCATACAATTAAATACACTCTACCGCTTATTAAATATTAACGAAATTTTTTATAGTTTTAAGTTATTTATTCTCCAAGGGGAGTAGAAATGCTAATTTATTCAATGTCCTTATTATTGCAGTTAAACTGCTTTCGTCTCGTAGCCGATTGTAAAAGTTATTACGACAGGAAAGCGTGCTACAGTTACGACAAGGTTTTGTAAGTGCTGCTGATCCCATCCAGGAAAACATTACCGTCAGAATCTGTGCATGTAGCAGGCGATGTACCATTATGGAACATCTGTGTGTTGTCACTGGCACCAATCCGACTGCCCGTATCGATCCGCGAGCAAAGCAAGGAGGAATCATTTGGTGGAGCAGTGAAACCTGTCGCATAGTCTTGGTAAATATCGTATGCAGAATGAGTGCCAATGTCACTTTGGAACTTATCAGAGTGTTCGCTTTTGAACTGGTACACGTCATCTGCGCGTTTTTCGTCATATGGGAACTGTAGAAATTTTCGATCAGAACATGGCAATGTGTACATCTGCTCTCGTTGGAAGTTTCCAAACATTTGTTGATTTTCGAGATAGCCAGGCAAATACTCCATAACCTGGTTATACAATGGTCCATAATGAGTGCTTGGTGGGACAGATTCAAACGATTGTGGGGTCTCAGCCAAACATGCTATTGATGTCAAATGCGTCAAAACTGGCTCCTTTTCTTCCAAGTTACTTTGTTTGTTTGTACAAGGCTTACTCGAAGGCCTTGAAAAAGCGAATTCTCCTTCAGACAAACTGTTTTCTTCACTTTTACTTGATCGAAAATCTGAGCTTTCGTTTGAGCTTGGGTTCCAATTATCTTCCTTGTCTTTGGACTCCTCTTTCGCATTCCCCATTGAATCACTATCCTCTGAATCAGACTTCGAGTCATTGCCTTTATCATGCCTAGACTTCTCTTGTTTTGTATCATTCGTTTCGCATTTGTGTTTTCCTTTTTTCATCTCTTTCTTTCTGAATCTTCTCCTCCTCCTTAAGTAGCTTCCATTTTCAAACATGTTCAGACTATCAGGATCTAGTGTCCAATAGCTGCCTTTGCCAGGCTTGTTGTCATCTCGTGCTATTTTGAGAAAGCACTCGTTCAATGACAAATTGTGGCGGATTGAGTTTTGCCAGCCTTGTTTATTTTGCCTGTAATAGGGAAATCGATCCATTATGAACTGGTATATCCCACTCAGTGTACTTTTCTTATCTGGCGAGTTCTGTATAGCCATGGCAATCAAGGCAATGTATGAATATGGCGGCTTTACAAGGTCCTTGGCCTGTTGAGTTTGTGCCATGTGCATACTTGAATTATAGTAATAATGCGAATGTTGCTGCGTGTAAGCGGGCAAATGTTGTGTATTGCCAACCGAATTTAGGCACATCGGCTCGTACATGCCTTGTCTGTAATACCCCAACAGCTGACTGGCATCGTAATTATTGTAATTAATCGCTTCATTCGATGCTCCTGCATACGCCGAGAACTGGTCCAAGTTCATTTCTATCCTTCTTTATTAGCTGCCTGTTTGAAATTATTTTATAGATGCTTTCGGTCAAATAAACCGGCTAGAATGGCCTGCCTACTTCTTCCTTTCGATAAATCTTACACTGCGCGCTGTTGCTTTCCCGTGTCTGTCCATCAACTCCCCAGTGTCCCGCTTGCCCTTGAAGCCATCTTACCAGGCTAAATGTCGACGCAGCTCTGCTAATGTGCAAGCAGTGGGATTCTATGGAGGAGTATGGCTGCCACACATCATGCACTGTACGAAATCACAATCCTTAGTTCCAGTTCATGCAATGGGGGAAGTGGCTACCTGTACAGTTGCTTTGGTGTTATCAAAGAGGTTTTATCGGCCGGATTTTGGCAACAACCGGTGTTAGGTACGCAGAGATGCTTGTGTTAATTTACACCATTAATCTATCCTGCAAAAACTGTAACGTAGGTGAAAAGTGTCTTCCGAGATTTTGGAAGGGTTTGAAGCTCACTCACAAGGACCGCAGAAGCGGTTGGCTAAGGGGTTTCTAGCCCACATCCAATAATTTCCAAAATATACTTAAAACCATACAAAAATTACTCTGGTTTTTTAGGATGTTTAGCCCTCTCCTTAAAACGTTTTAGCCCCGTTAATCTGTAGTATGCTCCGCGGTCTTTGCTCAGAGAGTCTCGCGAATATATCCCAAAAACAATATCAAAAGGCAAAGATTGATCAAATTTTACATGAAGGAGTACTTACTCCCTCCCAAAAACTTTTTTCATTAAAATTCTTATGACTCAAATAATACCATTAAGTTTAAAGAATTGCTACTCATACTACGTTGATTGAAGTTCTATCGATTGCACAAAGAGACGGGAGAAAGGTTTTGAAAAACATAATGAAAAAAGTTCTTATATATTCAAATTTCATTACTTTTTCAATTTTTAGAACAAGTTAGGCTTACAGCTTGGGCAAATACAAAATATTTCACGGAACAATTTCCAAAATTGTGAGTCTAGTACCCAGGATACAAAAATTGAAGCTCAATAGAAAATCCAGTTCATTTGGCAACCTCGTTCAGTCAATGACCATTGGGCAGTGGATGTTTGGTTGGGTTCTTATATCAAAGTAAAACTGTGTGCTAAAAACCTCTTCGACATTCCAAAGAGTTTACTACTAGTACTGTTAAAAAATCTGAAGCCAGCCCATGTACATATATATAAAAGACGTTAGGTCATTCATGTGAAGTAAGCCGGACTAGTACAATCTCAGGGTAACTACCTTCGAGTTACAGAAGGGCATCGCGTTTTCCTCCTTCATTTAGTTCAAAGAACTACAAGTAGAGTAGAACTAGAAAGTTAGAAAACTGATTTACTGCGCGAATCTTTTGTTTTTAGAACTGTTATAAAAATGGTTTTTAGAGGATAAATGGGAAAAATATCAAGGAAATAAACAACTCAAATTTTAGACGTTCGCGACAAGCAATTATTCTCTTGACGTGCTTGCCGGTGTATGACATCGTTTCTTATCTGACATTGCTAAGGTCATAGAATAAAAAATTTAACATGAGTAAACTTTAAATTCATAAGTTTAAAATTTTGTGGACAGTCTTTTTACTAGACATATCAGGAACAACCTTAGACTTCTTATGAAAGAGCATTTGCAATCTTCGTCAGGTTATAAATCGCATGTATGGTTACGATCACAGTGGCAATTCAATGTGAAAAAATGTTGAATCATATTTGCTTGGAGGTAAAAAATTTAGCATCACTCTTTAAACAACATCACAGAGTCAAGGAATTATATTCACACTATTTTCCACATGTGCGTGATCATTCTCATGATCAACATTTTGATTTGATTTGATTTGATTTGATTTGATTTGATTTGATTTGATTTGATTTGATTTGATTTGATTTGATTTGATTCAAATTCTACTACATTTCTAAAAAAAGCTAGTTAGTTATATAAATTATAAACATTCGACTAAAGAACGCAACAACAATAATAACATTATTTAAAAGACAAATCGACGCAAGACTTACGCACGAAAGTTTTAGCAATTCTCTAATGGTTGATGACCACTGGAAAATGAAGGAAAAACATGAACTATATCGGCAACCAATGCAATCAACTATCAATGTAGTTTGCGTGCACGTACTTTTGTAAGAAAGTATTTTATAAGAAAGTTGTGCTCGGTTCTTCAAAAAGTTAGGAAAGTTCAGGGCTGAATCTTTGAAATCTAAGAAAGTTGAAAAATTTAGGTATTCTAAGTTTTAAAGGAAATTTTGGTTTAGGACTGAAATATTTCAACAATACAGTAATGTGCTGAACAGGAAACAATGAATACAGTATGACGTTGAGGGTTTTCGAGAAATATAGCATATCTATAGCATTTCATCTTCTCCATCACTGCGCATGCTTAGTAACGTAAACATTTTCAGTTTTACGTTCAGAAAGTGTTATGATAATTTTAGTGCTGAAATTAGGAAATAGCTAAGGAAGTCTGAGGCTGGGCTGAAAAAAGCTTTCTTATAAAATAAACTTGTATGCAGTTATGTTAGTAGCCTTTGGGTATTTCATAAATTTTTTCAATGAGATTTGTCTCCTTTAATCCTTTCGTAAAATACTGCATCACTGTTGTGTTTGTCAGATATATGTCTTATAGCATTAATATATGCATTTCAACTTGAAATGAATCCAGTGGCGTAGAGAGAGGGGGTTGAGAGATGGGGAAAACCCCAATTAAAGCTGAACTGCTACTTTGTCGTAAACTTTCTGATTCGTGTTACATTTTGGAAGGAAAGATTTTAAAGCTGAATATGACATAAGGATTTCTGAATAAGGCACGTGAATGCCTTATAACAGTGATGTGCCTAGACAATTTTGCTTGGAGGGCGTTCAGAAAAAAGGTGACCAACTTTGCTTTTTTGACCGACTATTTCGACTATCAAAATTAAAAAAATGATCATATAAACACATGATGACAACAAGAAAGGGCAAATGATGGCAAATAAGGAAATTAAGTTTGTGGAAAATTAAATATTCCTGGATTTCGCTTTTTTGGGTTGAGCATCTTTTTGCGAAAAACCAATGTTGGGTTAACCTGCAAAAAATGAGCTACAGCTTCTTTTGAGTTTCTCATAACAATAATTTCAGCTTATAAAATATTCTCTAATCTATGGAATTTTATAAGAATTGAAGGGCAAATATGGCTGGAAGGCGGCCGAGAGGTTTCAGAGGCTCTGGGGCAAAATGGAAAAACGATGCCTCTGCGAGCAGAAAAATTTTTCCACCACACCTTTCAGGTTAGCTTACAATGCATCTCAGAAAACTTCCTGCAATTATTTCTTGCAGTTATTTCTTGCAGTTATTTCTTGCAGTTATTTCTTGCAGTTATTTCTTGCAGTTATTTCTTGCAGTTATTTCTTGCAGTTATTTCTTGCAGTCATTTCTTATAGTCATTTCTTATAGTCGTTAGCTTGCTCCTTATAGCAAGTGTTATTTGCAATACACTCTTTTTTTACGAACCAGTGAATTCGACTTCAGGTTGACTGTTTTTTCGAAAATCTGAGGGTGGATTGTTCTTAATTTGCTCTTAGATTAATAAATAGGCAATTGCTAGCGTTTTCGCTCAAGGGAGGTGTTCAGGCCTTATTTGCCAACAAAGTGAGTGAGACAACCTTCATTTGCCGACAAGTTTGAATAATCACCGAAAAAGCACCCAAACATGGCTGAAAGACCTCGTTTATAAGATAAAACGTTGTTCAAAATTGCATTTTACAGTAGCTCAGCCTCAGCTTGTTCGTAATTTGTTTTTAACTTTTGACCAATTTTGAGGCTCGTGTTCTTATAAAATCGTTATTAGAAAAAAAGAGTGTTTTACAAAAAGAAAGTTGACTATGACCAACCATGACCGATAAAATGAATATATTACAAGTTGAAATTTGGTCAAACTCTCTAATTAATGCAAGGTTCCCGCTGCATGACCAAAAATATTGAAGTTTGCAGACATTGGGGGGGGAGGTTTGCAGACATTGGGGGGCGTGACGCTTTGCTGAAAATCTGCTAAAATTCTTCACAAAAACTCAAAAACCTCAAGTAATCCTAAAAATTCTGAAATTTTTTTTAAAAAACTTAAAAAAATCTCGTACACTTTTCCCCAAGTGATTTGTCCCTCGGTTTATATTCATTTATCAGCCCTCTTCTATTGCAAGTTTACCTTGTTTGGTTGCCCCTGATTTTTAGTTATTTTGGTTTCCCTGTGTTGTCTGGTCTTGTTGTTGTCACATGCTACAATTCAATTCAGATTCAGCAATTTCTTTTTTCCTTCCTGTCCTTTTTACAAGAAACAAGGAAGAGGAACGGACGTAACGAGACAGCTTGTATTATTTTTATAACAAGAAACATGGCTGAGGGTGGAAAGTTAGTATATATGTTGCTTTATTTGAACTTGTCATATAGAAAGGGATCCTAGATAAATTTGGCTGCCTATGTCCGTGCTGATGCTTTTGCACGGGTGCTTCTCTGCAGGTACCAACCACTGTCTGCTTAGGCATCGATTGCTCAGCTGCCTGACTTTGGATCACTTTTTTCTTTCCCCTTTTCTCAAAAAAGATTCGATAGCTGTATACAAAATGTTTTCGAGCAATTAGATACTGAATGACAAATGAAAACCCTCCTGTGGCAAAGTTATCTACGCACGCATTGTGGCACCTAGCCAATTTAAATTTGCCAGCTTTAATTGGCCACTACAAGATTCTATGTCTTAATGCAAACACTTTTATTGTGCTGTAACTGATTCCATGAGAATTAATCTTCAATGTGCATTGTAGCCAAGTAAAACATTGATGATTAGGTATCAAATTAGAACAATATACCTCTGAATTCTTAGAGAGGGGCTGGTTAGTATGTTAGTGTTCCAAGACTTTTGGCAGTGATTGCATGTAAAATTGAAAAAGTCACCAGTTTTTATCATTTTCAAAGGGGCATCTGCTATATTTGATAGGGGTGTAAACCCCTTTTTTCTAACTGTAGTATCTTTAAGACTGCACACAGATCCATCACTGTAGTGCACATTGAATAAAAATTCAAAAGCCACATAAAGTTTACATGCACTTGCCTCCCCAGATCCTCTGACGTTCTGCAGCATGCACTAACTGCCTTTTTTTATCAAAATGAAATAAGATAACTCTGTGACCCTAAAGCTTTTTTTGAAATGCCTAGTGGTGCTGATGGTGAAGGTGACTGTCATGCCTGTACTCAATTTGCATTCTATGAAATTATGCAAAAAAGAATTAAAAGTTAAAAATATAGTTTGTTAATTTGTCTGTCAGGTGAATTTGGCTGGATTTAAATGCTTTATCAAAGAAATACACCCATTTGCTGTTTATACAGTAAATTAGAATTTTTGCAAGATCTTAGAATCAAAATAGCTGAATAGGATGATATCTTTATCTCAAAAAGGAAGGGGCATTAGAGGAATTAACAAAACTACACAGTGAGAACAATCATTTTAAATTCAAGCTGAACTCTTTATTTCAAGATTATACAGTAAATTAGAATTTTTGCAAGATCTTAGAATCAAAATAGCTGAATAGGATGATATCTTTATCTCAAAAAGGAAGGGGCATTAGAGGAATTAACAAAACTACACAGTGAGAACAATCATTTTAAATTCAAGCTGAACTCTTTATTTCAAGATTATACACTTAACAATACTTTGTACCTTTATTTGTTTGCCTTTTGAAAATTTGGGGTACAGAGTGTGTGAAGGTTCTCATTTGCTCAACAGCCCTAGGAAGTACTAAATTCCCTTAAAAATAGTTTTTATGAAGGGCCCATTTATAGTTCCACTTTCATTTGGAGTAACACTTATCATTTTGTGAAATATTTCAAATAGTTCTAGTAAATCTATTATGCCACTCAGTTTGCTGTAACAAGATTTTAACATTTATTGGAACATTTTATTCTTCATTTACAAGCAGCTTTCAGTTGGGAGAGCATACTCTCAGTGTACCTGTTTCTCTTCATGCAAAGAACAGAGATCGCCTTTGTGAAAGACTGAAGAATGTCAAAGGATATGAAAAGGGATCAGTTGTTATTCTGGAAGGTGGTCAAAGCAAGACAAGATATAGCAGTGATACTGAAATTATATTTAGACAGGTATGTTTAGAATGTTTTCTTTGTCATGGAAAACTTTGCTCATTGCTAAGACTATTTGCAGGCTTAGAAAACAGTAGTTCAGAGAATTCACAAGAAGCGCAGCTGTAGGTATTTTGAAATTTTAATTGTTTTAATTTCTTTGAAGGGCACATTTTTAGCTTTAAAAATTATATACATATTCAATACACTTCACAAGGAGAAGTAATTTCTAAGTTGACAAATGTTTATCTTGCTTTGTATAGGAATCATACTTTCATTGGATGTTTGGTGTTAAAGAACCAGACTTTTTTGGTGCTCTTGATGTAGACAGTGGAAAATCTATGTTGTTTATACCCAGACTACCTGAAGAATATGTTGTATGGATGGGGAGGTTAGACAGACGTTTTTCCTTTATTAATTCATTTGATGCTATTTTTATTCATTATTATTTCTAATGTTAATAGCTTCTAGGGGTGAATCTTTGCATCTGGTTATTAGCTGACACAAACTATTCTTTTATGGCTATTCTTTTAAATTTTATATTTTTTTGCCTCTTTAAAGATCTTATTATCACACTTAACTTACATTTGTTTTGAAATTGATTTAATTCAGGATTCATCCAAGGGAGCATTTCAAGAAATTGTATGAAGTTGATGAGGTGTATTATACTGATGAGGTTTGTGTTACTTTTATTGTTTTTAATGTTGTCATGCTGAGTGAGTATATGTATCATATAATTTGAATTTTGTATTCACAGATTGTATTATCAATGACTTATCAAAACATCATACTGAACAAGTATGTTCTTTCATATAGTTTGAATTTTGTATTTGCAGATTGCAACAATTTTGGAAAATAAGAAACCAGCTCAGCTTTTGACTTTGGTATGTATTGCAAAATTGAATGCATCATTTCAATTTTACAATCACAATGTTGTCTTTAAGACAAGCAGATTGATATGTTTCAGAGTTCCAAATTTTTCCTTTTCTCTGCAGCTATAGAAGATTTTGTGTCCTTTTTTGGAGGACATAAACAATTTAGTACTCCCTAAAGCTGAAATTTTAAACTTAAGATCTGGGCAAAATGTAAAAATAATTATTGGAACTCTTTGTCTTTTTTGCAAATAGTATTGTTTCTTTCTAGCGTGGGCAAAACACAGACAGTGGACTAATTACAAAAGAGGCAGCTTTTGATGGAATAAGCAAGTATGAGTTTTTTGAACACAATATTATATTCATGTTTTCATTTGAAAGCCATTTTAGTGAAAACTGAATTGGTTATGATTGATATTTGGATTCTCTTATAAGAATTCATCAGTACTTTTTTGTATGTTACCAGATGACTTTTCTTTCTGCCACAGCTTCAAAGTTGACAATACTCTGCTCTTTCCTGAAATAACAGAATGGTATGTATTTTGCTTTTGTATGTAGTAATATTTACATAAATGTAGTAATGTGTAGTGCAGTATTATATCATATTTTGTTGAAAACATATCGTCCAGTGAAGAACAATGATATTGATGCCATAAGAAATCCATAGTTTGAATTGTGTTCTCATTTTCCTTATTGTTGTCATTTGAATGCTCATCGAGAAGTTTTCTTTTGAATTAATAACAGCATCTTTTCTTCTGGTAGGAGTTATTTTGTCTCTGTATTTGAAATAAAATTTGTAAAACTGTGATGGATGGAGCTGGTTTCTACAAAATTCCTGCAAAGAACAACATACTTTTCAAGAATCAGACTATTTTTGCTTCTTATTCAAAGATTAATGTGGTCATTTCAGGGTCAAAGCTCATCCAAAATCGCATATTTCTTGATTTCGGGCCTGCCTTTGGGACAGAAAAAAGCCAAAATATCAATTTTTTCCCGAGAAAGATAATTTTTTGAAAATTATTTTGGGCTCAAAGTTTTATAGATTCTTCCTGGCAAAAATTTACTGTAGTGTCAGCAATTTCATAGGACAGTTCTTTATTGAAATTTATAATCCGTTTTGATGTATTAGGCCTAGCTTTTTTTCAAACTGTTGGAAATAGAACCACTGCTTTACAGCAAAGCCACCCAACGACTTCAAGCTACAATATTGTTTCCCCTTTTTTGGCTCTTCTTTAGCCCCATCATAATTGTCTTTTTGTTAGATTTTGAGCAAACGGTTTTTTTAAACAGGAATACTGTAAACCAAGCGCAACTATAGGTTTTTCAAGGCTCACAAACTTGCAAAGAGTTCTATCAAACAGCAGCTCAAAGAAAAGAAGATCGCTAAGCCAAAAAGCTGTATGGAAGAATCCTCCAGATTCTACAGCAATTTTTATAACATGTTTCAAGGTCAGCGCTTTTGAACCTGAGTAACAACCGCCGCTAAATATGTCATTTCCTTTCAAATATCTCTCAAGCTGTTTCCTTAACTTACGTTTTAGTCGTGTAATAAAGACTCCTGAAGAGTTACGTGTTCTTCGATACACCAACAAGATAAGCAGTGAAGCACATCGAGAGGTATTTTTTAATATTTTCAAGTTTAATAACCGTCTTACCTGGCACAAAATTTGTGCGTTAAATTTTACTTGAAAGACACTAATTGGAGAACAAAGTTCTTGTTTTAGTTGTGCTGATTTTGAAATGATGCTAGGTAGGTCTTTTGATCGAATCTTTTTTTTCATTGTTTTTTATTCGTCCAACAACATTCATTTTCATCTCACATTGATTCCCATCTCGTATGTTTTAGTTAACAGTTATTATTTCACAACTCATCTATTTGTTCATGGTACATTTCTAAAAAATGTTTACTTTAAACAAGAATATTATTTAAAATTGTGTTGCTTTAATGCTACACTGTATTGAACTGTGCAATGCAGTCATTGATCGGTGTTTCTTTAAGGTAATGAAGCGAATAAGGCCAGGAATGAAAGAGTACCAGCTGGAAAGGTATTTATACCATCATTGGGTCATAACCTTGTTAAGGACTGAAATGTTACTGACATGAAAAGAGTCGTTTCCTTTATGATGTAAAGTATGGAGCATCTTGTTACTATGCTGTTCAGTAGACTTTGGTAATATTCTGAATTGTCGTGCATTTTCGTTACTTATGAAGAATGCCGAATAGATGCAGTATCATAGGCATTTCCTAATCGAGCTGCACTGGACTAATGCTAAATCGTAAATGCTATGATTGGTATATATGCTATTGTTGCATGTCTATTGAATTTCTGAATAGTTTCTGCTATTTTATGGCAATTTATCGAAAGTATTTATATCCTGCATATCTTAAAGTTTCATGTTTATAAGAGCATTCGTAACCTTGTTGTTTGATTTTTGTCATCGTGTTGATTGATAAAGTTATTTCGATACATTGTTTAGCCCCCTTCCAGCTGACTGCGAGTTATCTTTATAGCGCAACTGCTTGTATGTTTTATTTAAATCTAACCTCTTTCACGATATGGCCTAATACGTTTATTTTTCCTGATACGACTGATAGACCTGTCATTGTCTACTTCGCAGCATTTTCTACCATTACGTGTATGCAAGGGGAGGATGTCGCCATCTTTCTTACACCTGCATCGCTGCTAGGTATGATGCCGATAACATCGCCGTTCTTACTACAAGTCATGGATCCCAATTTTGCAATTATTAATGTGTATTTGAGCACATCTTGGCTCGTCTTAAATTGTCTGGTCATATTATGGAAAAACACGTGCAAACTGCTCGGGCAATGTCATTCCTTTGAATTCCTGCATATACTATTTGTGTATCTTTGATTCCTAAACATAATTATTTCTATAAACATAATAATTATTTCAAGTCTTACTTTTAGCTTTCCACTTTAAATGGTTGTAGGTTATTTCTGTATGTTTACTCCATAATAACTTTCACTTTTGCACAGTTTATTTTGTTGCCCAGTCCATTTAAGGCAACTTCTTTCAAAGTACATTTATAATGCTTCATCTTTTCTGTGCTATACCGAGGTGTGTTTTCTTTGTAGCGGAGAGAATGGCGCCACCTTGCACTATGGTCATGCTGGTGCACCCAATGACAAGACTGTAAACGATGGTGACATATGGTAAAATATATATTGGAAATTTCATTGATTTTAAAACATATAGATTTTTAATTCAGGTAATCTCCGCGAAGGCTGGAAATATGTACAAGAGTTTCATTGGCTAAGCAGTATGAAGTTCTGCATACATCGATCCCTAATTCTATCTTTAGCTTTTTCAATGTCTATTGATAGGAAGACTGATATTTAAATTGTAGGAGCATTGATCAATCGTGTAAATATTTTAGATACCCGATCAGTCATGATAGTACACCACAAACAAAGTGAAAAATAAGAAACGGGTGTGTTGTAGATATGATAAATCTTGATGATTATTCATTATCTATTCGAGGAAGTGTGGAGGGTCAGGGGGCTGTGATTTCCCCCAATGATCCGTTTAGATGACCGCTGCATTCTGTATGTCCTGAGTATTCGTTTCGTGCTTCGTCTAAATGATGAAAGAATCATCGTCAAGAACAAACAACAGCGTTTGACAACTACGTTCTGCGAAAAATGTCGAAAAATATTCAAAATGATTGAATTGACACAAAGTGTTTGAGAAAAACACTCATCTCCTCTGCTGACAAAGGTCATTAACCTGTCAAAAAATAATATCTTATCACATCTCAAGACGAATATAGCAGCTACTGCTGATGTCAACCTTGGCTTTTGAATTTAGAAAGTTGCAAACTTTGGGGTCACTTATTTCTCGCTTTTTTCCCTTCAGTCTGTTTGATATGGGTGGCGAATACTACTGTCATGCATCAGACATCACATGCTCCTTCCCAGTAAACGGCAAATTCACTGACAAGCAAAAAATTATATATGAGGCAGTTTTGAAGTCAAGCAGAGCAGTTATGGCCGCTGTCAAACCAGGTTTGTCTCCAGCTTTTGTGTTTCAGTTTCCATTTTATACCATGGGGTGTCAGGCGATAAATGAAAATATGTTTTAGAAATATTTTAGAAGTTGCTTTGTTATTTTCTTTGATGTCTCGTCTCTGCAGGAGTATCTTGGGTAGACATGCACTTACTGGCAGACAGAGTGCAATTGGAAGAACTGAAGCGCCATGGTCTTCTGCAAGGTGACATTGACGCAATGATGGAAGCTCGACTGGGAGCTATTTTCATGCCACATGGCCTAGGGCATTTTATGGGCTTGGATGTTCATGATGTTGGTGGCTACCCAGAGGTATTTCGTACCGACATTTAAATTGGGGAGCTTTAATGTGTTTCGAAATAACTATTTGAAAATGTGTTTTCGAATGCGAAGCATTTTTTGTTTTATAATGTGGAGATAAAATGGTTTTGTAGTTACTAAGATCTTTATTATAAACTTTTAAATGCGAAGTTTTCGTGTACATCATTTCAGCCAATGAAGTCTAACATAAGCATGCCGTTAGCTACAGTTAGCTCTGTTGCTTCTAAAAATAATTTAACATGGCTGTCCTAAAAAATGGTGTAACATGTCTGCCTTAATTAGCCAAATCTTGGAATACCTTAAGCCTTATAGAATACCTAGCAATGCCTTACAACAAAATCACCTCATTTTAACAGTAGGTTGACGAAGGACCTTTAACTCTCTCTGTGTGGGGTGTAGCAAAGGAAATATATCGACAGTCTGTACCTACTAGAAAGTTTTTTTAAGGAAATCAAATTTTTGTAGTTTTGTATCGTTGTAAGTGGAGTTCGGAGTAGGGAGGGGGGGGGGGTAGGTAATAGATTGCTCAGGTGTTTAATGAAAGCCACGGCAATGGTTTGCGGCAAGAAAAATTTTGAAAACATGACATTGTAATGATGGCCTGAAAAGGCATCTAAAATAATAAAAACATATATTCCCAATTAATGGATATCATAGCAACTTTTCATAATCTTTTTTATTATGATTATTTTTAATTGTTGGACCTGTTTGATTTAGACATGACGATTGGAAAGCCTCGAATAAGCTTTTAAGCGTAGAAAATGGGACATGGTTTAGCAATAAGACATATATGGAGATTAAGATAAGGAAGTTTTGCAAGCTGAGGTGCAGGATGCTGCGAAGACTTCTTTTTCAAACGAAAATCTTCCAACTGTTTGCAAAAGCTTTAACCTACCCTCCTTTTACCCCTTTTGTGCCTAAGGGGAAAGTTTTTGGATGGAGAGAAACACGTTTAAGTAGAGCAAATGGTGTTGGTCCTGACGATAATGATCTACTAAGACCTTAAATCCAACTTATACCTTTACCGACAAGCCTAAAATTACCAACGGCTTCCTCAGAAAGAGGGGGTGTAAAATCCTACACCCACCCCCTATCGCGGCACGCCTCTGTGTTCTAAGCCCAATCCAGTTTAACGATGATGACTATTGATCACTATGCTATATTTTTAAATGAGATTTTGTCATTAAAATGTGACAATAAAGATTCCAAACTTTCCAAGAGTCTTGTAGACTTATCCTGTCGTATAAAGCCGTGAATATCACAGAATTTTTGCTATCAATGAACGAATCATTTAACCACAATTGCTCAACTGTTATCATTTAATCTTTTGGAACAACTTGAGCAGAGTGAACTGGCATCATGACATATATATATTATAAGTTCTTCGCTTTCTTAGCCTTTATTTGTGCCCTAGGGAGTCGAAAGAAGCACCAAGCCAGGACTGAGGAGCTTAAGAACAGCTAGAACGATGCAAGCCGGAATGGTGCTCACCATCGAACCAGGAATTTACTTCATTGATGCAGTAAGAGAAAGTTTTATTTTGACATCAAGTTTTTAAGGCAATTTTCTTTGTTCTAAGAGGCTCAATGTTTTTATATTTTTAGTAATCTTAGGCCCGGGTGTTCTTAATGTTGTTTGTATTTCAACATTGGTTTTTCTACGACCTCATACAATAGTTATTTCTAAGACCAATGATTAGCAATTTTGCATACATTTTTAATGTCACTGTCGGTAAGCTGATAAAGGTCAGATTTTTGTTAAAGTAGAAAACAATCTTAATAAATACATCCTTTCTTTTATACTCTTTGATCTGAGGTTTGGCATGCTCTTGCCTTTTTTCTGGGAAATTGACCCTCTTTGTTCTTGTAAAATGTGATTTATAGAACAAGAGTGTAAACAGTAAAATATATTAACTATGGAAGAAACGACTTGCATGCCTGAATTCCGTTGCATTTATTTTGCCTTTTTATGTTGACTTTGCCAGTCATCTGTCAAGTTTTGACGTTGCTCGTTCTTCTGAACTTTGCTACGATTTGCACATATGCTATCGCACTTCCACAAAAGACTTTAAATAAAGCTTTAGAAAAATACCAACTTAATTCTCCATACATTACAAGCGCCATTGGGCCTCTGTAGGTGCATCTCATATTTGATATTGTGGAGGGGAGGTCAAGAAAAGAGGCAGGCTTATATAAGAGGAGCAGGGGAATTTTTCCAGAATTCAGCGTAAAGCAAATGTCAACAGAGTGATTTTTTGCTTTTTTACTAATTTGAATGTCACGAAGATTCTGAAAATAGCTCCAACTCAGTGTCCACACAAAAAAATTAAATGCGAAAAATGCATTGGTTCCGTTTTTCTGATAGTATAGTCTTGATATTTCTTATAAAAACAGATTGAAAAGCGCTGGGTAGGGGTAGATCAAATTTCTTAAGGATAGTTAACCTGGTACAAATCACTGAAACGAGGCAAAATGGGCGTGGTCCCATTTATGGTGCCCATTGCCCTCCCACTCTGTTTTCGCTTTTTATTCTTATTTTCTCAGCCTTTTTCCTGGTTTTGACATTGAATTTGCTGCAGGTTGTTAACTTGGTTTCATATCGTTGCAGGTATTGGAAAAGGCAATGAATGATGCTGCTTTGTCAAGTTTCTTAGTAAGAGAAAAAATCGAGCAGTTCAAGGGATTTGGAGGGGTAAGAAAATTAGAAAAATTTGTTGAGTTTTCTATTGTTACAAGTGTCTTTTACATGTCTTGTCCAAAATCAGGCTTTTGTTCGAATTACTTTTACTTGTTAAGTTGTGGAAAACAAAACCATCGGCATAAATGAGGGCAATTTCCACAAACATGAAACAGAGCAAGCTTATGATTTAATTTATCCTTTCAACACTCACTTATGATATTATCAGATTGTTTTATTTTCAAATACATGTTGGTCAGACTATGTTACTCTTAAATGCGTTTACACTCAAGGTGCGAATTGAAGATGACATCATCATCACAGAAGATGGCATGGAATTGATGACAGACGTGCCTCGTACAGTCGAAGAAATTGAAAGCCACATGGCTACTGGTGGTGACTTGAAGCCTGTCATTTAAAGAACGGATTGCAATACCTAGTGGATGACTGGCATTTTGTGTTGCCTTGCAAATTGCTGCTGATAATGCATTGATAATTATCTTAAATTCAAATCTGATTTTCTATTATTCAGTATTCAGAGTTAATATAAATTATGTAGATGCAATCATCAGAATTGAATCATTAGATAGTTGGGGAAAATGTCGAGTATTCACCGAACTAAAAGTGGAAAAGACCGAAACCAATCCCCTGGCAATAGATTTCGTAGTAGTATCAGCAAAGGCCTTCAACTGTGCGCAACTAAACCCAGGTGATTAGTGAATCAATGTTTACGAACTATGTTATGGAATATTCCAGCAATTTACTTTTGAAGTGGATTTAACGACTTAGAAGAAAGGATTCCAAAAAGTGGCTGGCAGATTCGTAGAACCTGTCTTGTTTTAGCGAGAAACCAAAAAAGCATGGCCACCGTATTGTTATTGTCAGGTTTTTCCTTGATGATGTCTTACCAAACATTTGTAACTTTTTCCTAAAATGTTGATGTTATTTAGATCTGTTTCTATAGGTGGGTAATGATTGGAAAAATTTTATTTTGTTGCTGAGATTTCAATCTTTTTGTTTTATTTATTCTTTGTATTTAAAAGGGCTGATTTCCTTAATGCTATGCCCGAATACAAAGATGGCCTGCAAAATATCTCGTATGGACTTAAGCGACAAGCAATAGTTTTGTAGACAATCAAAGTTCAAGTGTTGCCAATCAGATGCCGCCATCTGAGCATTGCTTCATCTTGTTATCCGCCACAGTGCTCATAGCATTGAGGATTTCATTATCAAATATCAACCCACCATTTCATTACTGGCAAAAAATACTTTCACTTTGTTTCAGATGATCTTCGAAAAATTTTCCCTAGCTGAATTTAAAATCATTCAGGGTTCATCAAAGCACACAATAACCACTCACTGGCGTAAGGAAATTCTCACTTGCTGAATCAACACAAATCGTTGAAGAACTATACAACGTAAAGCGAAACAATATCCTTTACGAAAATTTATTAACCCAAAGTTTCATCCCAGCATACTGGGTGAAATTATTCTCGTGTTATAATCTAAGGGAAGTCAAATAAATAAAAGGACCATAAAAACACAAGAAAAAAATGGTTGTTAATGAAAAGGTTGCAGTAGTAGATACAAATCCAGCCCAAAATTAAAAAAGATAATTGATAAGAATTGTTGATCAAATGCTTTATATTCGACTAGGTTCATTTACCAGAATTCTAATGTGCCTGAACCAATCAAGTCAATTTTCATAACGCTTTTCAAGATTAACATGTTGCCAAGGAGAACGTTAGAAGTGTTTCAAGGTTGGAGAGGCACAGGTAGGAAGGACACTTTTCTGAAGGTTCTGAAGAGGGCACCTCTAAGAAAAGGGGAATTTCTCCAAATACTGGGGTGCAATATTCGATCATTCATGTGGGCATTTTTTGAAAGAAAGTATTTGAAATATGAATGGCGAACAAAGAATTGCCAAAATAAGGAAGCACATCAGAAGGTGTTCTACTTTGCATCGCTAATTCTACCCATTGCAAATAATTTTCATAAAATAATTTTCAAAATTATCAAAAATTGACATGCCCGTTGTCCCGCGGCTACAACGTCCACGGGGGACATTTTTGATCCAACGTACGCTGTTGGAACATGTTCGAAATGAGGCCAGATTTTTGGCGGGAAACAAAGGCCTCCATTTTGAAGAACGATCAACTGGAACTGGCCTACAACACAAGACAACAGCTCAAGATGTGGCTAATGAAAGACGAAGGTGGGGGCCAGGCACGGGAATTCTTTATAGTTCCTGGACAGGAATATGTAATTGGACGAAAAGGTGAGCATCTGACTTAATTTCTACTACACCTAGTTTCATTGTGTTGTTGTTTTATTTTTCTATATTATTATCATCAGTATTTTGCTAACAATTATTATTGTTGTAGAATTTGAATAATAAATAAATCAAATCAAATTTAAAGGCTATATGGCTGGTACTACAAAATGGTTCACTGCAATTTTGACGCATCGTTTTGTATTCGAACTTGGCCTATACTTTTCTATTGTGCAATTCACTTCATACAGACAATGTTAGAAAAAGTCTCATTACTAGTAAACGAGCACTCTTTACTTTAGATTGCAGGATTTTGCTTCAAAATGACTCTTCAATAAGCCGAAAACATTCTGTCATTAAAACTGGAGAGCCATATACAAAGGTATTTGAATTTCATCACACACTCTGACTTTCCATCGATCTTTCATTTTCCCCAGTTATTGGCTTATCAAACCAGCATTAGATCATTTTGCTTTTCTATCCACTTAGTTTCAGTTTGTTCATTTCAAATGTTTCTTTATATACTGATAACTGACATTTAAAGTTGAATTGAAATGCAAAATTAACTTGACCACAAAGCTTATCGAGGATCATTACCTGAGAAATTATCAGTTTTTTATATTCAATATCGTTTTCGAGTTTTTGAGCATCAAAATCAACCACCAATAACTGTCCTAACATGTGCGAGTTTGCCCGAGCCTATCATATTATGATGACGTCACAAACACTAAAATCATTTTGGCAGCCAGACAGTCTGGAAGGCCATACTTAAATTATTTGGTGGAAGAGCATTGCCACATGAATTGAGTAGGTTTTGACTGCATTTCAATAATCTTATGTTTATGACACTTTTGCAAACTTTTTATACCAAGATTTACAAAGTTACTGGGGGGTTCTACATGTATGGCCCCTTTCTCCGTTTGTAATGACCCAGTGTGTGTATGTGTGGGGGGGGGGGGGCAACATATCAAAAAAAGGTAGCAATAAATAAATTGGCAAGATTGAACAAAGAATGGTAATTAATTGTAATTTTTGGCCTTGAGAATATTTGTCAACTACAAAACAACTCCTTCCTGTGATTAGATTGTCCCTGTTTAAAAAAATTGCTGTTTTTTGACACAGTCATATTCAGCCAAATAAATAAATTTTTTTAAGGGGTTAAGAGCCCTGTACAATAGATGTCTCATTTCAATTTGACACTTATATGAGACAAGCAAACATTTGCATTGTCCTACAATTCCTTTTTCGACCATATATTTATTCAAAAGGAATCTAAGGGCCTATACTTCTTGACTTGCTACAGGCTACATCCCTCATCGAATCACCAAATCTGATGGAAAATCTTGCAAATTTCCATACTTTTTCTTGTCATTATATGTAGGAAAACAATGTTTTCAAAAGTTCAATTCCCACTGTGCCCCTATAACTCAGTTGCACTTATGAGTTTGCAAACCCAAAATAACATTTGTGATTTATTAGGATGCAGAAATGATATACCTAAACAATTGTGATTTGAGCTGCCAGAAATGCCCTTTCATCCCAAACTTCAATGTTCTTCTATCTCCTTCCTCTCATAAAGTAGTACCAGCCTACACTTTTTTCTTCTTGCATTTCACTAGCCATGAATTTTTGTAAATCTGGGATCCAAAGCTACATGTATCTTTAAAGCTCAAATAGAGGCTGTGCTTTATGAACTGAACTGAATAAAAACATGATGTTTGTTTGCACTGGGTCACATAAATTGCAGATAATGGCTGTGCACTCAGCGATAATTTTATGACATTTGAAGCAGAATTGTGACAAAACAGAAAGCAATAATTAGCCGAAATCTTGAAATTAAGATTCTATGCACCATTTTCTACATCATATCAAAAATCCAGTTTTGTTGTCAGTTCACCTTTATCAAGAATAACAAAGATATATCAACATTTTAATCAATTGTCTTATAAGGAAAGTTCAGAAATAACTCTAACAGACTGCTCAAAATATGGCACTACAGTCAATGGAATAAAAGTCACAATACCTGTGTCTCTAAAAGAAGATGATGTTATTTGTTTTGGCCAAAGTCATCACAAATTCAGGTGATTTCTCTCATTGTTGCCTCACTTTGTAAATGCCTAGCTGCCTTTTGTTTCCAGTGTTGATGAGTATAATTCATTTCCGTTACAAGGGGTGGCAAAGCCAATGGGGCTTGTGGGACTTCAGCCCCCTCCTTTTTTGTAAGAAGTTTCTTTTTCTGATGAGGCTACAGATATGGTGCTGGCAAGCTTTCTATTTCCTTCATATTGTTTACATTTCAAATTTAAGCCTCCTGCTCCAAGATTTGTTCCACTAAGGGTCTTGGTATTTTTTACGAATATACAGTACTTCTGTTTACTTTTTCTTTATAGTGTTTTGAATAAGTTCTGCATTTTTCATAGGCTGCTGAAGTATCCAATTATTGTGGCAATGTCTTGCATAAATGATAAAAAACAGAAGTCATCATTAAGAAGGGATGTCTTCAGATTGGGTATTTCATATGCTTGTGCTTTTTCAGTTTCCACTTTTTCCTTTTATGTAGCATTGAGTTTTTTATCTGAATCTGATATAGGTTATTGGACATGTAGCTATTATTATCAGAAAATTTCTTTTTTAAAACAAAACTAATATACATATCCGTAAAAATTATGTATTCTGTATCTGAATTTGTAGAAATTGATTCTTATGGAATCATTCCTTTTTCTTAAATGCTAAATAAAATAGGGTATTCCACTCTTTCATAGCAGGTTTTTCATGAAAAACTGCAAATGCATTTTTGCTTCAATACTATTTCTTTGCATTCATTAATGTTACTGCAAACATCTGTTGTCTAGTCAGTTGCTGTAGACCAATGGTCAAGTAGAAGCAAAATAAAGCAATGTCCTGTAGAATTTTAATTTGATAGAAAATTTCCACATCATAATGCCAAAATTATTTATCAGAGGGAAAATTAAGCTGGTCTAAAATTAAGGCCAAGTATGGATGGATCTGGATAGGAATTTCTTACCTTGAAGGTAGCTAGAATGTATTTCATTGGATCTTCCAGACACAGCTGTGAAAGCTGAGACTTTTGGCCAGGATCAGGAAATTTTGTCTGGGATCACAATCAGTTAGACTTGTCTGAGTTTTCAACCGAATTTTATCAAGAAAATTTTCTTTTCTCTGAAATCATTGCTAGCAAACAAAGGAACATTCACCTTTAAGGGGACCATTATGGAAATATGGCCAGCTTGACCTTTCAGTGCTACACTTGTCATTGTTATTAGGGTGTTTATCTTTACATTTTTGCCTTATAATTGCATTTTATGTTATAAATCTTGAAAATATTTATGAATATTGTGGTAAATGATACATACATACATTTAACAGAACATGATGACATTAGTACTCAAGCTCATTTTTTGTTTTTTTTAAAGGAGGTGAAATTGCAGCAGAATTAAATGCAAGTTGTACTCATTTGATAATGGAAAAAATAACATTTACAATAAAAGTAAGTAAACAGTATATGATCTCTTTGTCTTGATTGTATAAGAAACATGTCTTCAATGTTGGGAAAGGTTATACTCTAATTAAATTGAATTTTTTTATTCCAGATAATTATATTTTAAATCTTTTATTTTGTTTTTTAATAGGTTGTATGTGCAATTGCATCTGCCTGCCCGATTGTTACGCCAGATTTTTTTGAGAATCTGGTGAAAGTTGTTGAAGATCCTTATAAACAGCCAGATAATACTGCAATGTAAGCATTCTCTAATTTTTCTATATTCATCATTCTTTTCATGATTTGTTTCCATTTCACTTTATTTATCAGTCGATTCCAAATACAATTCTACAAAATTGAACTACAACTAAATACTTACACAATCTCATGGTGCACAAAGATGAAGTGAACTTATAGTAAATCCATGAATTAGCCCCCATGGGGTTTTTATTTAGGCATTTTTAGATAGGGTTTATTTGATAGTGGGGTTATACTTACAAAATTGTCTCAAGTTGCTATACATATAGCTCATTTTGTAGCTTTCTCATAATTTTCAAGTTCATTTCATTTGCTATATTGCATATGAACTGTTTCTGAAATATCAAACAAAGGGATAAATCACAGCAGAAAAAGATATTCACTCCAAGATACTGATATGTTTATTGCTTTTTGATAAGAGGGGGTTTTAGATATGAAATACAGAGGAAGGACCCAACAGGATTACACTGTTAAATAAGTTAGTTAATCTAGATGAATGCATTATATACATTTTATTTTCTATCAATGATTATTCTTTGGGTTTTTGTTATACAGATATATTCCAGAGGTCGCAGAGCCATCACTGATAAACAAAGATCTCCTTTTCCAGCCAAATGTTAAGAGAAAGACTATCTTCAATGGAAAAAACTTTCTGTTTTTATCCAAAAAACAGGTAGCTATGATAAAACTTTCTAGCGATTTCAAAGCCTTTTAGCCTCCATTTGAGAGGGCGCAAATTAAGTTTTAAAGTGTATCATTTAAAGAGGATGCTGGTTTATTTAAAAAATTTCTCCAGATTGCACCCAAAAAAAAGAAGATTAGTTGGTTGAAAAATCATTTTGAACTAAGCCTTTTTAATAAGTAAATCAAGTTTTATTTGAACTATTAGTTTCCATTTCTTTTTTAGTCTTCGTCTTAATCTTAGTTGCTACTCAAATCTTGTGACAATTATTGTTAATGCCCAAAAAGGTAGAAATAATTTTGTTAAAGTCACCAACATGGAAGTGTGAAAGATATGTTCAAAATCATCAAGCAAAAAGGTATCCACAAATAATCCTGATAAAAGTTTGATGAAGCAATACAAACTTTTAATCAACATACTAAAGTAGCTCTGGGATTTAAAGGTGATCTATGTATAGTTTCTCCGAGAATCAAAACATTCTAAATAGCTTTCCCAGATGCACACTTGATACAGTACATCTGTAAAATAATGTTATTGTTTAATAATGAATAAGATAGCAAGTCAATTTAGTTTTAAAATGATTTGTTAAAAATACTTTTAAGCATATAACATTTTTTGGTTTTACAGTTTGCAAGGCTATCACCTGCCATCATAATGGCAGGAGGAAGAGCAGAGCTGAAAGAAGAAATCGATCCGGAAACGCTGAGGTCTTTCCCTCCAGACAGCATGGTGATAATGACCCCAGAGCGTAAAGATGAACTCGCAGCAAACGTAAAGCAGAGGGAATTTTTTACGTCTATTAAAAACGAAATGCATCGGTTAGTAGCGGACAAATTTTTCTTAGGAAATATTTATATTTTAGTTTCAGAGATGGCAGAAATATGCTTTATTGGTTGAATTTATTGAAATCATCACTACCTTGAATATATTGACAATAACAGCCCCTTTTGATGTCAATGGCCTTGATTCTGTATCAAGAATCAAGGTAGTTACAAGCAACAGAACTGGAAGGGTAAAATGAAAAACTGCTTACATTTATTAAAGCGAATAAATCAACCCATTGGAGCCACAATGAAGTTGCCTGCGCCCAGGTCTTAGAAACCGTTTCCTGATTGGTTATGTAGACCCTTTCCACATTTTTTAAGCAACGGTCTGATCGAGAGTAAGAAAATATTCTGCGACCGGCACACAGACCTTCACGGTGTCTAGGGGTGTTTTGGGACCGAGCACGTTTGTCAGGATTTTTTATAGGACCGGTTGTCTTAGGGAATCCTTCTTTAACAAAATCTCAAATTTTCAACATCAAGTCTTTTCCCAAACCAAGCACCTCCAGACAGCCGGCTATGTTCCTTTTTTCTTTATCGAAAAACAGTTGCTCTACTCGTTTATTTCTTAGTTTATGTTTGTTTTTTATGTTTTAAATTGAAAAGGATTCTAAGCTACGACTTAGTAGCTTGTCTTATTCTTCTTACTCTCTCACTAAAACCAGAGTTTTCTGTACAGTAAACCCCCGCACTTTCCTTATGCTTATTTTGCTATTTTAGTTTAAACTTGCGAACAGTTAATGAGTCTGAAGTTGGCTTGGCAATCCTTCACTTATCGCTTGAAAATTACTGTAATCCACGACATTCAACAGGTTTGTTTGTATTCCTTGCCATGCTGAATGCTCTATTGTTGAACTCTTACGAATGAGAAACGTGGTGGGGTATCGTGGCTCCTGTTGATATTTTTTATTGTCCTCTGCAAACCTTTAATTAAATTCCGTATCCTACCATGAGTTTGTGCTTGTCTGTTAAGCGACATCTATACTTTGTTTCTCTCATTATATAAAAAAAGGCGATACATAATATTTCCTCTAATTCGCACCTTATAGACGCCTCTCCCTTTATGCTTTTCCCATTCCATTACAACAATTATAATAATCATCTATGTCACCTCCCCCCCCCCACCCCACCCTTCAACACAATTAATGCTACAAACGACAGAGCAGCACTTTGTTGGAAAAGTTAGAAAAAATTCAGGTTTTTAAAGTAGATTCTTCCTCTATATGTTGCCAGAATTTTTCTTTTTAATGCTATCCCTAAGGCTAAATCCTGCACCCCCACACCCTCCATATCTTCTGCATCAATTTCTAAAAATATAATATGCGCTAGGGGTATTTTTTAGAGGAAATTCCGTACTTGTGAGATCGCGGTCATTTAATATTTCAATCTCGATTGTGGAGTTATTAAATCATCACTCCCATCTAAATTATGTAAATATTTATTTTTCTAAAGTTCCTTGAAATTTTTCTAGTTTTGTAAAAATCTTAATACATTACCTTGTATTGGTTTTCAAAGTATACTGGGGTTCAAAATACAATGTACATAGACAGTGTAACATGACTGACAAATAGCTCTCCAGCTCTCCAGCGTGCAATTGAACTGAAATTTTATGATAACTGTAGTTACTGAATTGCTATAAGTATACTTGTTAAAGGGGGGTTTCGTGATTCTCGCTTTCTGACTTTGGCTATTGAACTGCTTCATCTTTTTTGGCGTAGATAATTCAAATACCAGCAGAATGCATTCACAAGCGATACACGACACAAATTTTGAGCATACTTGTCAGAGAAACATTAAGGCAAATACAAGTACGGAAACTAACCACGTAAGTCAGTCTTTATCACCATTAATTTGTACAAAAGATCGAGGGGAGATAGTTGTATTAGGGTTATTGTGACATTTAAGGTGTTATTGTGACGCTTAAGGATTAACCGGTATCCCATATGAACATCTAGTGACAAACTTCATCAGAGAATGTTCCTTAAAGAATTGCTTAATTTCTCACAACAGTTCATGTACGAATTTTAATGGGACACCTCAGTTTTTACAATGGAACTTAATGAATAGGCGGTAAACAGTTCTTTTCACATTTCATATTTGATAACATTACAGATGCTGTACTTTCCAATCATAACTAGACTTATTGAAAATGATTTTCAAGGCAAAAACTTGTAGAATCTCAAGGTTAGCGGAGCCCAGTTTTTTTTATCAAGAAAGTCAGCAGAACTCGGAATTAGTTAGTTTTGCGGCGCTGAATACTACGAGCCATACTGATCTAATTACTAACTGGTATTGTAAAAATTTTTACCCTATATATTACTTGCCCTTCATCAATCAAGGAAATAAGCAAGAATGACGCTCATTCCAAAAAGCAAAACGATATTCTGGCATCTGACAGTCAAGCTGAACAGGAAAAGAAAAGGTATTCGATTGACTTTCACACACATGCATTAATCTTTGTTAAATATGATGTTATTGAAAAACTCTTTAACTTTGTCGATAAATTAATTTTTCACGGCAATTGATTGCTAATCAGGGTTTCTGGATACCCTGTTCCACAGAAAAACAATCAATCTTCCCTAAAGAGTGTGCAACTTAAATTAAAGGCAGTCTGTCCCCTCTGGGATTGGCTGATGTGAACAAAGAACCGACGTCGTCACTGATTGGCTGCAATTATTAGTCTATGTCAGCATTCACTCCAGTGAAAAAATTGAGCACAAAAGATAATAGTGTCCCTAACATATCAAAAGGTATAGCTGTTGAATGTGTTCATGCTACAATGAATAGGACGCCTTCAGTACTAATCCATCACCTGATTTTGCTTACAAAATAAATGTTTACTTTTGATACTCGATTTTCTTACCTGAGTGACAGGCATGGCCAGTTACTAGATAGGTTGCCTGGAGAAAGAATTCACCGAACGGTTGATGGTAATTTAGATGCCCGAAAGATCCTCAGACTTCTCATGCATTTTTATTTCGGTCCTTTCAAAAAGTGTAATGCAAAAAAAAACCTGAATTCAAACATCGTTTAAGCCTTGAGTAATATTTGACTCAAATATTGGGTGGCCGTTAAAGCAAATGCTTTGGTCCATTGCATTTTTTTCAGTTATAGTTCGTGACTTTCAACTTTTCTCCAAATTTGCTGTTTTTAAGGAAGCGATTGTCAGACACCTCTATGTACGTTACCGATACGGTACCACTGGATGGAACTCTGCCTTTCCATTTGGCAAAAAGAAGTAAGAGGGGCAGCAGTGATGATCAGAAGGAGCCAGAGGTGCCTACAGATGTTGGTAGAAATACATCTGTTGTTGGCGAACAGGAGAAGCACAAGAAGGAAAGCAGACATGGTGGTGCCAAGAAAGATTCGTCTGCTTTTCATGGGGGTAAGACCAGGCAAGAAGAGGAAATTGAAGACATTGCAAACAGCATTTTCGAGAACGATGATGGTTTCGAGGAGGCCTTATTTGCTGTGGATACGGAAAATAGGACGATGGATGTACGCGATAAAAAGTCAACGGACAAAAGCCCTGGGATAAGGAACACGGACAAAAGTCGCGTTGCAGAAAGCCAGTTTTGGGGTAATCTGGATAACGAAAGTAATAGAAAACAGCTGGCGGAGAACGCTGGTTTCCATGATGTTTGTGATACAAATATGGATCAGACAGATCAAGACACCCAACATTCTAAAAGTAATCTTAAAGACGCTTCAGGCTGGATGTCAGTCCATGAAAAGTCAGCGAAAGTTAAAGTTGGTTTAAAAGATGAAGAGGCTGCAAAATCAGAAGTTTCTCGTGTTTTAGAAAGTCAGTTCACTGAGGGAAATCGAAATAGCCAACAAGAACCTACCCTAGAAAGCAAGGACATAATCAAAATTGGAATGGAAGTGGAATGTAGCTCAAGAAAAACAAATGGGCTAGATGGTTTTAGTGCGAATGTGAGGTATGATGATGATGATGCTGATACCGGTGCCAATGCTGGTGCAAATGTTGCAGAAACACCGTCCCTCTCAGGTTTCAAAAGTGCAAAAATGGACCAGGTATCATTTCTTAACCATTTGAACATTAGCTTCGCCGCAGTAAGATTTAGCTTAGTAACCAACCTTTTTATTCTTCCGCGATGTATTCAGAGTTGGGCTGCAAAGCCATGCTTAAGTCATTTTTGTCTTGCAGTCCTCAGAATATAAACTTCTGATAGTCAGTAAGAGTAAGCATAATTTTATATCCAGATGTGTATCGAAAGTAATGAAAGAGGAAAAATGGCACGTTTTATTTGCTCCAAGTTTTTATAGAAACATAATAAAATCATTGTTTTAAATACGTTGACCTGGCGATGTTAAGAAAAACCTTATTTAAACAAACTGTAAGGCAGTTGGTGCATTCACTATGACAAGCCATTTTTCTTTCACTATCAGTTTCGTGTGTTCTTCTAATCTAATTTCAGTATCTCCTTATTTCATTGTGTTCTAGATTTTTGGTTTTAGATTATTCACTTTTTTTCTTCTTTACTTAAACTTTTTATTTTTTCACATTTCATTTTTAATTGTGGCATATGGCCTATTTTTCTTTTTCTTTATAATTCGCTCTATTTAAGTTTTCAAGCTATTTTGATTCTCAAGCTATTGTCGATGAAAGATGTCCTCGAACTTAATGTGAATATATTTTGATATAGGCCAAACCGTGGGGCATCTCCACAAAAATCATTTGCGAAAATCCTATGGCAAAAATCCTTCTGTTTGCGAGAAATCCCCCATAATTCCCTAAAAATATTTTTGTTGTGAAAAGTCTCGTACGCTTTTTGGGAAGAGTGATACACCCCTCGGACTAAGCTTTTGCAGACGCCTGACATATCTTCTGCATATTATTTGCAAAATAAATAGACAAAATACTTTTTTGTAGCGAACAAATGACATCAAACCGGAAATCGACCCTGACCAACCAAATGCATCAACAATTGTCAGATTCTCAACGTTAGTCGTCAAACGGGTACAAAAACAACAACAGTTGTCTTCAGCAGACCTGAACGTAAAAAATTTCAAAAAGTTCAAAAAGGTAGTTTTTAAGATATATTTTTGATGCATTTTTTTCATGTATATGCCCTTTAGATATATATTTATTTTCATATATATTTATGTATTTATTTCTCAATGAGTAAAACGAATGTTGCTCATGAAATTAATTGGGGCCAAGAAATAAGGGGTTTCATTGACATGTAATCACCCCCTCGCCATTTTATCAAACCCTGATCCACATTATTCATTAAAGAGAGTAGATAAAAGAGGAAAATATTTTTAATATTCCCCCAGGGATAATAACAATGCTAGAAGTATATAAAATTGAAATGATGCAAAAAAACCTGTGGCCTAACAACTTTACGCCCATTGTTATTCTTCCTCCTACTCCTCTTTGATTGGTCCTTCAACTTCGTTCGATTGCATTGAATTGGCAATGGCTTTTATTGGTTAATATTCTTTAACAGGCCTTCTTTCCTGGAAAAGACAGAGTAATTCCAAATATAATTGGCGGAAGTGATTTGGCTCCTTTCAAGTCTGAAGATCAAAGCAAGAACGACCTTTTTGAAGAGCTTAGAGCGGTAACGAAAAATTATTAAAACGTACCTCACTACTAAACGTAGCTTCAATTGCTTGTTTACATTACAGGCAGAGAGAATAAATATGATCTATAGCCTGAACAGTTCCGGGTTATTCCATTCGTTGTTGCTGCAGCAAACGTTGTTTTAGCATATCTAAAAATCTTGTAAAGGTTTGATTAACAACTCCCTGTTACCGATGTACCAATATGATGGCTATATATATAGTTTATATATATAGTATATATATAAACTATATATAATATTAAAAAAGAAAACAAGTATTACATATAATGAGTTACACACAAATGTCAAACGTTGAGCAACAGAGAATGTTTAACGGCGATTTTACAACGAAAACAATCCATCCTTGGCTGGCAATGACGGAGACATGAGAGGCCAAATGATTCCAAAATAATGGAGCCCAGAAAATAACCAAACAGTTGGCATCCGTAATCAACAATGACCAATAAACATCAAAGAGAACATTTGTGGTCCACAACATGAAGTCATTTTAGTCAACAGCTTTTTATATTAAAAATTATTCAGTCCTTGATTCTGGTATTTGGTTTTATAGCATTTTCTAAGGGAACTCGGCTGGGGGTCAAGCATTTGTTTGAAAAAGCGGAGGACAACAGGGACTTTCATTTTGAAAAATGGAAGGACGTAGGATATTGCCCCCTCTTCCCTTAGTAAGTACGTTAAAAAGGCCCTGTTTCGTTTAAATTAAATATATATATTTTCATTTAGGCATATGCTAGAGAAGAACGGGAGCAGAGAGAAGACGATGACCTTTTCAAGTAAGTTTTTATCATAAAATTATATTTTATAAGAAAGTTTGGTCTGGGGTTTCCTGCCAATTTCTATTCTGGTTACAATATAAATTTTGAATTTTTTTATTCTTGTTACAATATATTAGTAATATGTAACTAGTTAAATTGTATTTGGAGACAACAATACTTACATCAATCTTGTTAAAAAGTTCTCAAAGGTGCATTGTTTGTGACATAATGTATAAATTTTTCAAGGAAAGAAACAGCTTAACAGCTTAGACAAGAATAGTTTCAAGAAGAAACACAGCTTTCAATAACTTCAAACACATCGTTTCTTAAGGATCATTTTGGATAATGTTTAAAAAGTTTCTAAAGATTTTGCGTTTTACTAGTTTTAAATTGCAACTTGTAATTGTTTCAACTCACTTTCTTAAAACGCATAGAAATTATAATAAATTTCCAAGCAATTGACACCACAATACAACATCTGGTCGCCATTTTCTTGCTGATGAGCGTTTTGTAGAAGCCTTTTAAGGCCCTTTTTTGTTTTTGTTTTTACTTTCCTCCATGAACCATGTCTATATTTCTTATTTTAGAGTCGATCTTAAACCAAAACAAAAGACAAAAAAGCTGACAGCTCGCAGCTAATCCTTCAAAGGACATTGTTAGACTCTGACAGAACACTTTGACAGAAGATGTTGGCAGACGACTCATCGGGTTGATGTATTCAGCCTAATTCAAATCAAAGCTGCAATGTGTACTGCGGCTTGGCCTCCTGTGTATTATTATTCTCAGCATTTTCATGAATTTGATCTTGCCGTCTTTTAAAGTACAACCTGCACTCCAAAACCGACAAGCAGAAAGAATTCTTTGGGCCTGTTGAAGTAATTTTCTCAACAGTACCTGATAAGACATGCCACAATTCCAACATTAGTAAGAGGCGAACCTAATCCGACGAATTAATACCTTTTAATCCTAATTGCTCAATGTAATGCCAAATTTCTAAGAATCGTTTGGTTTCCTAGATGGGTGGTATGTTGTTCTAGTTTTTTATATTCTTTGTAATGAGTGGCTATAGCCCTTTAAGATTAGGATCAGTGGTAGATAAGTCCATTTCACAAGGAAAACAAATCGTATGGATGTTTTTCACTTGGTTTTCCATCAACTCCTTAGGCTTTTTTAAACCATAGTCTGTAGTTTTCCCAAATGAAATTGATTGTTTTAATCAAAAACGTTGAAAAGACTTTCTGCCTTTGGTTGCAAGACTTTGCAACGTCTACTCGAAGTCATTTGAGGGACAAAAATGAGAGAGGAAAGGAGAAAAAGAAGAGGAGAAGGGTGCAAAAACTAGCAATATAGAAAAGTATTCAGAATCGTCAAGAAACACAGAAACATCAGAAATTGCCACTTACGTATTGAAAGATAAGGAGCAAAGGCCTTATTGCCTCTCTCCTGTTAGCTATGTAACGTACTTGGACGAAGTACCCAAGATGAAGCTAGCTATACTTACAACGTTAATTTTGTTTATATGTGATTTTATCTGTACAGATTTTGTGGAGAGTATATTTGGTTCAATAATTGTCTACAGTGATTTTGGAAAAGCTTTACCTGTTTTGTTAGATGTTTTTCTTTCTGTAACCGTACGTTTCTTGTCTTTTGTTGATATAAATGCTACCTATGTGTGTCATTCAAATTTAATCTTCCTGTATTATGATGGGAATAGATACGATTGATTTGATGGAAAATCCAGATAACCTTTTAAAAAAATGTAGTGAAAATTTGAAAAATTCGAAGAAATTAATTTCTAAATGGCTTTGAAAAAAGCAAACATTTAGTAAACTAAAACTTTTCGTCTGACACTCTTCAGAGTTTAAAACGTCAGAACATTCTGCCTTGAGATGACTTTTTGACGACTCTACCGGGGGGAATATTTGCAAATGCATAAATGAACAGCTTTTCATGCTTTCTCGTCCCAAATGCTTTAACTCTAAATTGCATTAAAGAGAGCCCTCAACAAAGACTTTATTGGTTGAGAAAAATCATTGCAGTACTTGTGGCCTGTTGTTTGAGTACACTCTCAAATTCTTACTTTACACGTGCTCTCTTTCTAGAGTTCTCTAGATGGCGACCTTATCAGAAGTTGCTTTAGAAGCCCTGCAAAAGAGGCGTGAAGTGAGCAGAGAACTCTTTCCCCCATACATTTATGTAATCTTTAACCAAACTTTATCTACACTATGGCCCCCTCTACTTTGAAGTTGACGACACCGCCCTAGAGATCCAAACAGATGGAACAAACAAAAAGATCTTGCTGTTTCTAATCAAATTATTTATTGTCTCTAAGTATTTTAGGGGAAACTTCTACCAAAATAAGTTTTCATTAGTAAATCCCTACTTGATTTACTAATTAGCATTCTATTTGCGAATATGATTATCAAAATGAAATTTAAGATTCAATAACTGAGAGAAGTTCAAACCAAGGTAACGATAATCAAATCTGGCTCGACTAGAATATATTTAGAAGCTTGTGAGTTGGTCCTTAGTTGGATATTCAAAACTCAAACCGTGTAGTTTAATTAACCTCGTTGTTATAATGTTACCGGATTAAACGATAACAAGATAAGCCTCGCCATTGTCAAGTTGCTTCTATGCAACTACTGTTTTTGCAATCCTTATATGGCTAAAATTTAATTCCACGAATTCAAGATTGTACAAATTCTACAGCACTTTAAGTTAAGATGAGGTTGCTCTGTAGCATTTTGCCTTGTGTTTGACATTTTTTGCGGTGTATTCAATGTCCTTATCTTGCTTCAACCGAACATCTTGCTTTGTCTAGGATCATTTTGACCCATCTTTGCTCTTTGGTTGCTTTTGAAAGGAACTCATCAAGCCGTCTTATCAAGGATAAAGGAAACACAGGGCGAGCATTTAAGGCATTCCTTTCCATCGTGAAGCAGCCTCAGTTTACTCGTAGCACAGTCAAGGCCTGGCAGGTAAGGTGAATTTCAGATAGCTTTGATTTTATTTTTCTAACAAAATACCTGTATATCCATGTAGTCAAGTAACGTTTGTTTTTTCGTCATGATGAAATCATACATTTGGATGCCTGGGTACCGGCTATTGCTACGATGAATACCACGCAGAATGTGAATATTACTGCGAATGCCCTGCGAATGTTAGTTATTTATTGTTTATGGTGTCAAATAATCTCATGTTTATAATATCCTGTAAGTGATAAGTAAGCTATGTGCTCTGTAAAGATGAAAAAAGATTTGCGTTTTTTCTTGAGGTTAGAGGAACGACACTCCGAATACACCCATCACCCGGTGTATTCTGTTAATAGTGATTATATCATGTTAGTTTCGATTCGATGCAGTGTTGATATGATGCCTGTCAGGGTTTCAGTGATGATGCAAATTCTGCTTGTGATACCCTGCCACTGTTGCCATGTTATCTCTAACAATAAGGGACGTTGGGCATGCGCATTGCTCCCTGCATTTTCTCGATGAATCGCTTACCTCTTTCTATATAGCTTCAAATACATGGCCAATACTAATTTCATTTGCGCTCTTATGAGTGCGAAAGGTATGACTGTGCGGAAATAATATGTTTTTAACATGTGACATCATTTGCAAGGCAACTCGTTGCCCGAAAAAAGAAAAACATGAATCTGTGGTAATCGTATTTGACTCTTCGCAGACAGTTTTTACGATTATGTTCAGAAGTAACTTTGCTTTTGGTTTTGTTAATATTGGATTATCATCTCGGCATTGTCGTCTTCTGAATAGTTGTCAATGGATATGATTTCCAGGTAAGTCGCAAAGCATCCCGAAATGTCGTTTCGCTGAGGAATTTGCATAGAAATACTTTTTGCAACACTGGGTTTATGGGAGATTTTAATTATGATGTTTGTATTCCGAATTGATTCACAGGTAATTTGCGGATATGTGTTAAGTCCTGTTAAATATTCTTTAAGTGAAATATCAGTGGAGAATTTTGCAAGTAAAAGAAGTAAAAATTGTTTACATGGTTTAACATCCTATTGATACTGTTTGTTAAGAACTTGCTCTGTTTATCGAAGCTGAGTAACGACGGGCTCGTCGTTGTTAAGAAATCTAGTATTTTCTGTTATGATTAAGAATGTTAATAGACATTTAAGTAGAACAAGGCGGTTCTTAGTTGCTACTCAGAGTAACACACTTGATGCGATCGCAGGCAACTGTTTTTAAACTGTTTTTCAACTGTTTGTAAGTACTTTCAAGTACCAAATTGTAGAGGGTTCTAATAAGGAGTGGAGCTGGTTTTTTTTTAAATTACCCCTAAAATGAGGGTTCGTGATGGATTGAAATGCTTAGATTTTCCAAAATTACGTTTAAATTTGGGGGTGTTTAAATAGGAATTTTGCATTAAATACATAATTAGGGGGTGTTAATAAATGGAAATGGGTATGCAAAATTTCTAAAAAATGGAGTTTACCCCTCGCCTTAAAATTAGGAACTTGAGAGTACTGATATTGACTGCTAACATTATCACTGCCTCCAAATGTTTGATCAAAATTGTAATGAAAATCATGATAAGAGAGTGAGGTCACAAGAGGTCATTCACCCACATACAATGGAATCCAAAACGAACTTCAATTTCAAAGGGTTCTCATACCAGACATAATAGACTTATCTCCTTTTCTCTCGTGTTTACCAAGAAAACATTATCTCGAATCTGCAAGGTGCCCAGTCAACCCATTAGGCCACTGTTTGCAAGCAAATTGCGTGTATGATTATGTTTAGCTTCTATGCTAGCCCCTGTATATGAGGCTGCTTAGACCTTTAAAAGGGTAGGGAAAATGTTTATGAATTTCATTCTGCCAACTACTTTAGAAAGTGACAAAATTTTAAAACCAGATCGTAAAAATTTTCCTATCATATCTATGATACACGATGTAACCACAATATCTTTACTCTTTTAAGTATAATGAAACAAATCTTTTCTCGAATTTCCACAGTCCCAAAATGATTTTCAGGTCCTCCAATCTCCTTTAGCTGGATGTTTCCGGATATTCCAATGTCAACCTGTCTAGGGCAGGGGTGTCATTAGGCGGTGGCCTAATGGAGTTTAGGGCACCTTAGTTCCATAACTAAGAGCACCTTAGTTCGATAACCCAACCAAATGGGCAACCAAATTATTTTCATATCCATGTTTTTAAGACTTGCTCAAGTTTACGTCATTTTTAGAAGCTTTTAAATTTTTTCAACCTAAGCTTCTTCAAGTTAACGAATAAAATTATCATTTTGACATCTTGCTATTGTGTAAGACATGGACTACAACGTTGGATGGGACTTGCTGTCCCTTAATAGTGTCCCCTAGCACGCTAGTAAGCGCTTCAAGAGGGAGCACCCAACTTTTTCTAAGAATTTCTTACTTTGTTTGAGATTGTCTGGTCTGTAAAAGAGGCTATTTATTTACAATAGAGTCACTCTGTATCAGATGGAAAGTGAATGGAACATGGTTGAATTTTACACAGAGGGAGAGCGATTTCTGCCTTTAAGCTTGTTTATCTAGCTGCTTCCATGTATACGAAAGGAGATAATACACTACACTTTTTTTATAAGAACAATTTTATAAGAACATGAGCCTCAAAATTGGTCAAAAGTTAAGAACAAATTAAGATTAAGCTGAGGCCGAGCATCTGCAAAATGCGGTTTTGAACAACTTTTTTTCTCAAAATCGAGGATTTTTAGCAATGTGTGGGTGCTTTTTCGGGGAATACTTAAATTTGTCAGCAAATTAAGGCTGTCTCACTCACTTTGTTGGCAAATGAGGCCTGAACACCACCCTAGAGCGAAAAAGCTAGCACTCGCACTGCTTACACCCTATTAGATTAAGAACAAATAAAGAACAATTCAGCCTCAGATTTTGGAAAAATCAAGAACAGTCAGCCTGAACTTAAATTTACTGGTTCTTATAAAAAAGAGTGTAGTTTGACGAACCACGGCCTCTGTTCTACCTGGAGTCCAGGGCGGGATTTAAGGTGGAAAATTCTTTCTTCTTGCATTTTGCGAACAACTTTTTCCCTTGTTGTTCGCGGAAAAACTTTTCTCCTTGCGTTTGTTGATGGCTTGGGAATCCACGTGTAAACTCAACCCAGATAATACTGCCGCTATAGTTACCCAGGTCTGAATCTTGAAGGACGAACAAACCTTCAAAATAAGCCGACAATTATCCTGTAGTAATCTATGAGTGTGCAGAAGTCTTTAGAAAATTGATTGTTTGCTTTGGTGCATGGAAGGAGGCAGGTTGATGGCTTGGTTGTATAAAAGATTTTTTTCGTTATATTTGAAGTACGAGAACACACAGTGTAGTGTGTTGCTTTTGAAAATATCATTCTTCTTTTAGTATTGCAAACAATTTTATCCCCCTATTGGTTTCTGCTGATCATTAAATGCAAATAACTTAATAATGTTGTCTTTGAGCTTACTGAAGGTATTTGATGTCTTTCTGAAAAATTACATTAAAATATGCTTCTTGTGGATTAGTTAATAAATCCTAGATTAAATTTTGGATTACTTTAAGTAGTTTGCTCAAGAGCGTATTTCAGCATCACTGTTCCAGGTGCACATAGAATGTTTTGCAACTAAGTCGAAACTCGAAACAGAGTCAATGGACAGTTTTTTTTATTGACTATGGTCGTAATGATGACAAAATCTGAAAAAAATTACGAGGCCGGTTTCAAGGCGAGGCTTGCCCTCGCAATCCTTGACCATCTTAGAAGAGCTCAAAGCTACGCAGGGCAATCATCATAAGTAGTAAATCTGTTACTCATCACTGTTTTGAATACTTAATTGATCAAACTGACAGCCGGTTGCAACCAAAACGTAAACATCTAATGAAAAAGGTCTTTCCACAAGCCTTCTTTTATATGTACTAAACTGATATCATAGTAAAGAGCTCTAGAGGGGGGAAGGGATTAACAAAAATAAGTTCATGACCCCCCAAGTAGCCAAGAAATTTTGGAATCAATACAGCCTCTGGTCAGGGAATTAGCTTCTGTGTTTTGATTTATTTGCGTACGTTTTCGAAGATATATTTTTACATTATGAAGTCCATTACTTTTTACAACAAATCTCGTCGAATGAATTTGCCTTTACCTTTTTTATATCTACTTTAAATGAAGATGACTTCTGAAGTATTTCTTTGGTTGTCATTTTTATTTAGATCATTAGCAGCTTTTTCAATTTCAATAAACGTAGGCCTTTAATTGAAAGAAATCTTATAGATTGGAGTTGAAATAACATAAGAAATTAGTTGTATGTCTTTGCATGTGATCAATCGTACTAGGCTGTGTTGAGGAAAGTGCTCTTTCTTAGTGGCGTCGCTTAACCTTCCAGATAAGAGTAAATTTTTCAGTCAAGGATATAGGTGAAGAAAATTTTAAAGGCAATCTGTCTCGTTGTAGATTGATTAACGAGAACAATAGCTAGAACAATAGCCTAAACACGATTCCAGCCCACCGCCATATCTTTTACAATGCGATAAATTAAAGGGGGACTGGAAACAATAAAAAATCCCTTTGTTCTTATAATCAATCAACTTTGTGACAGATTGCCTTTAAGTGTTATCTCACCTACCGATTGAGCGACCAGCAGAAATTTACCGACCAACTCATGACAAATTGAGGGGGTAGGGGGTATCACACCCCGATACCTCCCGCTACCTCCCGCTACCTCCCGCTACCTACGCTCCTGTACATTCTACTCAGAAGTGTAGAGCCAAAAAATGTTGAGGGAGAGGGGGGCATAGAGCTTTCTCTATTTTGTATACAGAATGAACATTTCGATTGTTTTCGTTTGCATGGCCTCTCAATATCAATTTCTGGTGTTAAATCATTTTTCAATGTCTACCTGTTACTTGAGTAGAGAAAATTTGAAAATAAAGAATTTAAAGTAGTGATATTTGCCAGCATTTATTGCGTTTTCAGTTATCAAGAGGACGATTGAGTTCACACATGAATGCAAATGTCAAAAAGTAATATAGGTTCAATCAAAGATTTGATCTTGGCAGAAACTAGTCATAATAATTTAGAATTAACCAGAAAAAGGAAGAGGGGGCGCAGCTATTCTACAACCCTGATTCAACCTCCGAACTAGACATCAACACTTTCAAAAGCTTCTTCAGAAATCGGTTTCACGGATGTATGTAGTCTTAACGTGTTGGGTTATTTATTGTGGCTGTCGTAGAACGATTAAACGTTGATAGGATGCAACATCATTTAACGTATGTACGCATTAAGTCGAGTGCCCACCCCTGCTGCCCAAAAGTATATGGCAAGACGCATCTCTGTGACAGAATGCAGTCACATCTCTGATATCTAAAGCAGCTGAAGTAATACACCGGTCTACTTTCCTCGTCCCACGACAACGAGGCAGTGAATGTTATCGAGTTCTGTGCTTTCAAAACTCCTTTTTTAAGTCTCTTTTTGCCGCAAATAACACGTATGTTTGCTATTTTACTTTTCCCTTTAGAGGCGGCCCCTTCAGCATTTACAATATCCCACCCAACTGTTAAATCTCGTTGAAACGCATTGTATACCATTTGCTCTTTACTATTGAAAATGAAATAACAGATGCCTCAAATCGTTGTGTCCATAATAGTGGTGATTTCAAGTGATTTTATTGACCGGGTTCTTATTTGGTGTTTTGTCAACAGATCTTCCGTGGGAAGGCCTCTCGTCCTCGGTGCAGCATCAAGTATCGCCCAGATATATAAGGTAAACTAAGCTTTTTACTACAAGTTAAATTGCACTTGAATGTTTTCCGTTTTATCTATTTTATTTTTCAATGCTCTTGGAGCCATTAATGGTATAAAAAGAGGTGTTCATTGCGTCTTTTCCAGAATCGATACAAATTAGTAGTTGTAAGTATGTAACTGGTATGTGATTTTCAAAAATTAATTCCTTTCCATTCAAGTTTGTGAAGGTCCTTGTGATGCAAGTAAACGAGGGTTGCAATATTCTTGAATCATGATTCTTACAAGTTCTAATGTTCCATGATTCGCTTTTTCTGCAAAATCTGCTCCTCTGCAAAGGGGAGCAATTTGCTGCAAATTTGGCTGTAGTTTTAAGGGGTTTCAGGGGGTGCGACACTCCCAATATTTCATGAGTTGGTCCATAAAATCCTTAGTTTGTCTGTAAATTCGCCTATCGGAAGTTGGAATAGACCTAAATTTGTCTTCATTTATTTCTTCGTCGGTAAATGTTACTACTGATAACGCTCCACCCACTTAGTCTGGAAGGTCAAGCTACGCCACTGCTTGCAAATGCAGTTTTTCTTATGAACACGCTCTTTGATATCGTCATGGAGTAAGATAGATTTCCCTTGCAAACCTTGAACAAATCTTGGGCGCTGTTTTCAATTAAATACAACTTTAGTGAATACTTTTGTTAGTAGCAAATTGAATGAAATATTATAATAACTGAAAGAAAATTTTAACATCTTTCATAGTTTAGAACTGTATGTGCCCATACCCCACTCGGAAAATATATTTAAAAAATCGGACAGAAAAAGAATAGGCTTGATTTCATGCCCTTCCCCGCCGAAGGAAATCGATTTCCTCCACCAATTAATAGTTACTGTCCATTTTAGAAAGATAAATATTGTAATGAGGCTGCTTGCACAAGACCCTGCTTGCAGGAAAGCGATACTTGAAGAAATTGGTTGTCCGCTTTGAAGGTGTCCGTCATTTGAAGACGAGCGTCATTTAATGGCGTACATTATTTGAAGGCGTCCGTCATTTAAAAGTGCTCGTCATATGAAGGCGCTCTTTTTCTGAGGTACCCTTTCTTTCAAGGTGTCCGTCAATCGTGGATTACTATAAACTGTACCACCGAAAGAATTGCTTCTATCTGTTTGATACTTATGACGTAGCTTCTGATTTTATTTTCAAAATATGGAGCTTTATTATTAAATTCGTATTTTCCCTTCAAACTAGGTAACCATAATTATGACGTTGTCAAGGTAGAAAGAGCGTAAATTCTAAAACATTTGACTTAAAAAGACCGCGCAAGTACTATTTTGTTAAACTCCTTCCCTGTTCGATTCGACACCATCCACCTGTGAAACATTAAAAAAATTATTTTAGTTATAATCTGGTTTACAGCAAAGGAATTATTACTTTCGATGACTTAATAGCCAATTCAGGAAATGCGATTAGGTCAATTTTGAAAATAATTTATAAACCATGCTCTTGTTCACTAAGAAACAGCAAACGGTTACTAACAACTATGATTGTAATGCAAAAGCGTGATGTTTTCAGTCTCTGTGTGGCCATTTCTTTTCATTGCCAAATAGAATCCAGATAGCTCCGATTAATATGGCACTGCAAGATTCCAAATTTTCAACATTGATCTTTTTTGCAAGAACCAGTGTTTTTATTTCCGGACTGCCGTTTCTTTTTCATTTTTTGCAATTTATATATTCTAGATTGTAAAATGGTATATATCTCCAGTTCCGGGTACCGGAGCTTTATAGTATAGTAGAGAGGGTACAAAGCGAAAGGGGGAAAAGAAAAAATATCATTACTGACTCTCCCATTCCCTTCCGTTTGCCGGCCGTTGCATATAGTTTAAGTAGCTGTCTGTCTCATAAAAATTGAAAGATTTTTTGAATGAAAGAGCTTCTGAAGAAGATCCTAGCAACTTAATTTACTAAACAGATGCGACATTTTCGTGGATTTTTTTAGATTCAAGAGTTATACCTCAGCTGCCACATCTCGACGTCCGTGGTTGAGATAAAAGCGTGGGTTACGATTTTCCTGAAAGATACCGAACCGAAACATTTATCATTCATACTCCCTTCGTTTGTAAATAGTGCCATACAAAATCGTTCTGCTCTTATCGCCGCCAAGCACAAATTGAAATGCAGTCGGGCGATCTTTTTGTAAGGGTAAAAGACACAAAGTAAAAAACCCTCTCAAAAAACATTAAAAGTTTAACGTGTAAAAGCTTGTCGTCACGAACTGTAGACTATAGGTTATGTTCTTGACCGAGGTAAGAATATTTAGCACATGTTTTTGACGAGTGCAGGGATTGCCAACTTAAATTGTTAACTAGACTTTAATAGTTCTGGTGTAGTCGAAATGAAATGTTCTTTGACACTTTAAAGCAATATTTCGAAAGATTGTTACTTATTTTAGATGTCACTGTATTTTCTATTCTAATCATGAGAATGGGCAATTTGTTCTTTGCACTGATAATTTTCTGCCTACATAGCCCAAGCCTGTACATGGCCAAGCTCGATCTTTCTCTTGTCCGTGAACACAATGTTTTAAAGAAAGCAAATTCAGCTTTCGATGTAAAAATTTCTTTATAACTATTTGTCGTAAGAAACAGTGTACCGTTTAGAGTGTTGTGACAAAACAAATCGCATGAAAGCGACTCACACGAAAAGGAGTCTCGCTTATTTTCTTACACTGCCCTGCAACACCATAGTAAATTAAACGCCCTATATTGAGCTAAGATTTGCTTTTAAAAGGTGCCAAATGTCTCAGATCAATTTATGAATGCAATATAAACATAACCTTATATATGGTTACAGCATTAAACGTACAGTCATTTTGAGAAATCAATCTTGCTTGTCATTTTCGTAATGGAGAACTCCGTTTATCTTGATTTTCTCGTTTCTCTGCAGACCGCAGAATCAGCCACTATGACCCGTCTTCATTCAAGAAGAAAGAAGAAGAGTCCTTTTTCTCAGGCCAAAGCCACTGTGAGTAAAACCATTTTCTTATCCTCTCCTTGCCTTCGATCCAGTCGTTTACTTCGAACGCTTCTCATCTTGTTGCTGATCTATCTATACGTTCTATACTACCTAGGTTAATAATTTTATTTTTGTTGCTATCTAGCATCCGAAAGTAGTTTTCGGACAATGAGAAGCTCAATGATTATTAGACAATGATTATCGAGCAGCGTTCTGGCCCTTTCTCTCGATGTGACCACATCTCATGATTCATATACTTGGAATTACAGAAAGCTGGTAACTCCCCTCACTCAGGTTGAAAGTTCGGTCATGTCAGCAACTCAAACCCCAGACCCTTGTTTCTGTAGACTTTCACCGTTTTGGATTTTTTCATTTTATTAATTTTTCGTTTGATTAATTTTACTTTATCAACCGCATTCAGTTTCTCAGCAAGTTTTTTTTTCACCCGCCATTTTTTCTTCGCCATTTCTTAGTTGCTTGTGTTCAGAACACTGATATGAACATGTTTTTAATCAAAAGCTGCTATAATCGCAGGGATTTCAGTATAATTGCATCAAATATCTATTGGCGTTTCCAGTCAGAAGCATGATTGTGTCCTCAAACTGAAATCTAACAAAAAGATATGTCCGTTGTTCTTGAACATTGTAGGTTCAAGTTGAAAAAAGCATACGTTTCTTTTGCCACTAAAAACATTTGCTTTAAAAAGATCCAGTCTCAATCATTTGCCCAGGGCAGCAAAACATCCACAAATATCATTGATAGTTTCAATTATAAATTTCCTTTACTTACAAAAAGCATCGCTCCATAGAGTGCCTGGGAAGTTTGCTTTGAAGGTCTTAAAGAGGATTTGATGACAACGTTAAGAGACAGGAGGCAGGGGCGTTGTAGCTCCTAGAAAATGGCCGGGAGAAAATAATCGCAAGGCGACCTATTTTCAGAGGGCATCTGCCATAATTCATAAAGGTGTTAAACCTTTTTTGCGAAATTACCAAATCAACAAAACTGTTCTAGACCTCTTACCTTCGTCCTTTTCCATATCAACAACTTTCCCCCCTCTTTTGGAGAGCGATATTTTTGATAAAGTTGTTATGTCATTCTCTAAAACGGACATTATCTCACTTGAAAAAGGAAAAGAAGAAAAAACACACACGACTCATCAAGTAATGCTCAAATTGCCCTAATGCGTTAGTTTAGAAATTTGACACGAAGGGAGTGGAAAACGAAAATTTTCTTCGCATTCACAATTTTACGAGGCTATAGTAACCAAAATTCGAATAAGTGCTACCTTTAATTTGTAAAATTTAGTCAATTTGACATACTACACACTTTTTGTTCTAGTGTTGCTCTTATCTAAAGGGGTGCAAAATTGATCGTTCACGGTACTGTTAGAATAAATATGATCGTAGATGAAGTTTAAGCGCAGAACAGTCAAAATGAAAATATTTGCATCTTTTTGCCTATCTGTGTTTTTTGCTTTGAATAACGTTGCAAATGGCCTCGTGTTTTAGCAGTTTTTCCGTCTCTTTTGTCCTCTTTTAGTTGAGACGATCTCGTATTATTGATCTTCACAATTTATTTGATAAGATCGCAGAGTTTCCAGCCTAGCTTGTCGATTTTGGCGTTTGCGTGATTGAGGTACCCCCCATCTAAAAAGTCATCCAACGCCTCAAGGGACCTAGTTTGAGGATTTGCGGTATTTTTGATAGCAAAGTACCCTCCAACAGGTCCCCAAAGCCTCTTTCTAACAGGCCATCTTCTGTTTGATGTTCATTCCTTTCAAATCCAAAGCACACATTTACGAGACCCACTTTGTGAATGTTGCCATCCAAGTCTCTCATTCTAAACTTCTAATATGGGTCTAATTATTTCACCAATATTTTATTCAGAAAGAATATTTTCTTTGGTTTTAACAAAATCACTTGTAAGGGCACAGAGAAATGTTTCGGTGGTCTGCCTGGCCACAACGGCCCTGACAGGAGGAAGGTGGCAGTATGAAATATATACTTCAGAGAATCATATAATTGAAGTGACAGAGAATAAATGAATTTACAATTACTACTCTTTCTTTGCTACTCATGAATTGAGCTAGTCTTTTGATTGCATTTAACTGTGTGGCAGCTTTTTTGCAGACTTAATCAATATGCGAGTCAAATTTGGGTTGTTCATTGATTTCAATTCCAAGTAGAGCTTCTTACGCTAAGGTGTGACACTTGAGACGTCTGGGCTTCTCCGAATTGACAAAGTTTTGCTTGCTATGCATGGTACTTAAGCAAAAATGTCAAGCCTGCCAACAGCTTTTTGTGTCTTGAAACAAGTAAATGTGCTTGGGCCTCTCAAAAAAGTCACTTATAGTTTTGATTATAGTTGTAGTACTAGGCATAAGGCCCCACAAGGAAATATATTTTAATTTTGATTGTCTGATTAAAAGATATTGAATGAATTTGGGGAATAACTTCAGGAACACCAGTAATTTTATAAATAACAAGCAAGCACAAAACAAAATAAAGCTTTTAAATTCAATTGTGTTGTTTTGTATCTATAAGGCATTATTTAAGTCAAAAATAAGAAGTTCAATTGCCCATCTGAAACTGTGCAATAAAGGTAATGGAGTGATTCTAAGGGACCACACTGATAACTGTATTAAAATAGAGAAGACACAAGTAACCTACCAAAGTTGTTAGGAAAACAGCTAAAATGTTTCAGAATAAAGGCAGATGATATAAAACCAATCACCTGTAAGAAAGGCAGTCTAAAACAGGAAATTTTTCACAAAGTTTTTTCAAACCTCATGTACAGTAAATTCATAAAGTTACAATCTTGCTCATTTGCTCAAAAGCGGTATTTTGTTTCATATGATACGTAGAACCAAGACAGTCAATTAACACAAGTTATACAAGTTAATTTCCTAATTAATCATATTTACATTTCAGTCATTAATAAACTCTTAAATTTTGCTTTTAGCCTTCTTCTTCCAAACTGGCTATAACATAACTTATAAAAGCTTCTTTAATTTCTGGAAGAAATCTTGCTTTTATTTGCCAGGGGCAGTAACTATAATACAACCCTGGGAATTTAATCATAATATCTATCTATAATAAGTGAAACATTTTTACCATTGCTTAAAGGTTGATTTGACAGTAAAAGACATAAAGCTGAGGGCTGCATACATTAAATCAATAAACGGCGTCCTTTTCTTCTTTTATATGAAAATATACGCTCACTGGACCATGTGACGTCTGTACCACTTCTGAATGGGTGATTAGAAATATTGTGGCAACTCCATAAAATAAAGTAGGGACACCCAAGTTAATTACTTTCAAAAAACCAAACAACTTATTTTCTAAATCGAGATCTTCGAACGGTCTTTTTGTACAATGGTATTTGATGTACGGAAAGCACCCGGTTCGTAGCACATGGTAGTTTACGCCATCGACAGGCCAGTTGAAGTGCGATAGTCCAAATTGGTCGTTCACAACATCTTTGCGAGGCACAAAGAACGATGTCCAGTAAGGTAACTTGCGTTGGATAAGATGATTTGTTAACACTTCTGATACAACAGGCCGCATAATTCTAAATTTTCTGCATAGTCTTGCTACTTTTTTAACGACTCACGTCGAGTCATTTTACTTCATTATTTCCATTATGTTTTGAAATTTAGAGTGGTCGCCTTTTGCTTTAGCCTCGTCTCCGCTGCTGTCATCATCATACAGCAATTACTATGCTTACTTTGCTTTTGAAAGTACGGGTGTTTGGGTGCATGTTACAGCTCACCAAAGAATTATGGGCAACCACTGCCTATAAATACCCAGAATGGGGGCAATGCTCTCCTATTTATGAAATATCAAGCACACCAGCGTTCTTTTATCTATCTAACATTTTTCCTAAGACGTTAGAATAAATGGGACGTTATGACAACCTTCGACATCCCCGCTAATTTCTTCGCCTTCTTGTCGTCAACACTTGGTGATCATTTTTTAAAAGTCCTGCTCCCCTATTTTGCATGCGCTATTGGGCCCTATTGGGTACATTTTGTTTTATAAAAAAATTTAACCCTTTGGTCATCTCAGAACAATACGTCTATGTCATCTCAGAACAATATATATGTCATATGCACATCCCAGTGGTGGCGTCAGGGGAGGGCTATGGGGGCTACAGCCCCTCCGTCGGAAGCATCCAGCCCCCCATCGAAAGAAATTTTGGGTAATTGTCGGAGCAAATTTGACAAAATAACGTACGAAAACTGCTTATTGTGGTCGTTTTAGCCCCCTTGTCGGAAGCTCAAGCCCCTCTGTCGGAAGATTTCTGGCGCCACCTCTCGCACATTCCACCAGTTTTTTAGAGTAAATTAGAAGGTTCGCAGGGTGCAATAAATACCCGGTGGGGGGGGGTTGCTTTTTTTGAAATGAAGTCTTAATTTTACAAGTCTTGAATAAAGAAACAAAAGGTTACAATTTTGTCGTTTTACTGTACCATCGCGTGAAGGTATCTAAATATTTTCAAAACATATTTTCTAATCACGTAATTCAATGTGCGTAACAATCTGTGTGCGTATCTCGAAAATCATTCTTGTGGTTTCACCAGATCTTTAACCGTTTTACATTTAGGAAGATTCTCTTGTCTGTTCACCAAGATTCAGGGTACTTGTAAAATCCCACTGGCGACCAACTGCAAACAAAGGCCATTGTTTTCTCCGATACATTTTGAGGCCATCTGGAATATCCGAAATTCCTCTTCTTTTATCGATATCACTATGTGCTTGTCTGTTAATTCCCCGTAATGCCCATTGCTTGTGGCCGCCCCTCTGTTTGACATCACCAAGTACATCCCTATTAGGAAAACCAGCTGTTCCGACTATGTAGTGAATTGTTGTCCTTTCATCAAGACTTTACGAGACAGCTAACACAGGCATCATATCCATTCAAAAAGAGTGCTGGTTCAAACATGGCCTGAAATCTGATGACACTTAAATTTATTACGTCAGAAGCAAATCGCATAACACAAAACGTTTCCGAATCAGAAAGAAGGAAAATATGAGTAACGAGGCTGGCCTACAACAACACCATGTAAGTTAAACCAAATACATGGCTTTAAAACTTGTCAAATGCTATTGACAGAATTAAATTTTCTCTCCCTACTATGTATTGTATTCATCGAATGCGCATTGAAACTTTATACTTGTATTCTCAATTAACAAGGAAGTGTGACTCTGAGAGTCTCGTCTATGATAAGATTAGAGCTAAACCAAAATTTGACTACTATCTTGTCTATGCATGTCTTGAGTTTAAGAGAAAGCGATCATTTGTCCAATATCAATCGCCCTATGTACCTTGGACTCATTCCATTAGCACTTATATATTTTACCAAACTGAGTAACAGTTACCTGCAATTTATATTTGCTTAGTTTAGTTGATTCGTTTGTAGGCAAACGTGGCTTTTGCTTTTGGGCCTTATGAGACAGAAAAGGCACACAATCTTCACTAGCTGGGGGCTGTGCCTTTGTACATTTTCAAGGTCGAGTTTATGCTTTGCTAACACTGACCGTTTGAAGCTTTTTGATAATATAACTCTCAATTTTTCGATAAAACTGAAATGCTCCACTCTAATCGAGGTTTCTATCAATAATGCAACATTTTTTAACACAGTCCTGTTCCATTTTGCTGCGATATTGCTACCAAGCTCAACCCAACTTAGATAGGACGAGTCTTTTATCACGCAGGTCCTAAACCATGTTCGTTGTTTTTCTTGACCGGTGGTTTTGGTGCTGTTAGGACGACATGATTCAACACCTGTAGACCAGCAGGTACTGAACAACCTGCGTACTTGTTTTAATTCTCTATCTTCATTCGATGCCATTTAATGCCCATCAATCAATGCGTTAAGGTTGTTGATGTTGCTGGCCTGAAGAATTAAAGACCAATATTAGATCTATGAACCGTTGGGGGAGGGGGGGGGGGAAGGCACGTTCCCCCGAATTTTCGGAAACAGGGTGAAGCTCCTACTTGCAACTCTTAAACATATATCTTTTGCTTACATTTGCCCTTCCACCCCTACTTCTTTGCCTTGAACTGTTTGGGCGAAAACCAGTTCGCCGAGTATGGCCGGTTTTGCCAAGATCTTGGGTGCATAAACAGGCCCTACTTCAGGTGCAGGTTTGCAAAAAGCATTTGATAATACCAGGCGCGCTATCACTATCAACTTTTCCAGGTTATAATTTAACAGATCTTATTTTTGTTCGGTATCTAACTTGTACCGTAAATCCTCGAATAACCCCCCCCCCCTCAATTTGTTAATTTTTACAATCTGAGATTGCCTTTGGCGTTTTATTGAATTGCCACAAAAATTTATGCTTTTGTTAATAATTTATTGAATATTGATAAAGAAATTCCTATTAAAATATATGAGCGAGGTCTTTTAAAAATGTCTTCTTCATTATGTACATCGAGTTACAGAAGATTCTAGCAGTTTTGTCACCACTGTCTGGGCATGTTTCAGATAATTTCATAAGCTATAAGCCCCCCTCCCCTCGAATAAGCACCCTCCCCTCGAATAACCTCCATCCAAAAATATGCCCGCCACCCTTTCTCCCCTGTTTTGAGGTTGTGGCTGTTAACCTCTGCTTCACATCCGTCCTTGAATAGTACCATCTTCTAGAGGACATTTCGCACAAATTGGTGAAGTAAATCATAAGTCAGGAAATAAAGCATAGTGGTCTTACTTTGATATCCTTTAAAGCCAGGATTGGATATCAGAGGCGGATCTAGAGTGAGGTTCTTTGTGCACAGAACTCACTCAGTTTTTCAACATAGAGCTGAAGGTAGTGATACTTGAAAGAAGTAATATTTAAACTAAAAAAGTTAAACCTAAAGATTCATAGTTTTATCATAGTCTCTTCAAAATCTTAAAATTGCCAATTTTTATACAACTCGTTCGCACTTGTCGTCCGTTCTTCTCTGCAACGATTCATAAATGATTTCCTAGACGCTGTGGAGGACAACAGGCCACCAGGCTACAATGCCTGCCAAAACTCCTGGGAACACCCTGAGATTTCTGTGAATTCGCGTGTCCCCTTCTATTTCCATGTCAACAAGGAGGGTGTTGCCCCCCTTCCCCCTCATACAATGTTGATTCGCTAGCTGAAAACAATAGCTATGTAAAAATGTATCACTTGTACATGTAGGATTATTCATATTTCCGTGGCACAACATTGTACAAGGGGGGAGGGGATGTTGCAGCTCTTGCACAACGTAAATTATAGCAAGTGTTCCAAGACTTTTGGCAGGCATTGTAGCTCTGATAATAAGAAAGGAAGTCAATCCTGCATAATATTCAATTCGAAATGACGACTTCAGATGCTTATATTCGCGACCTTTTCAGCATTCTAGCAGTTTATTAAGCGTTTGAGATAAATTATGGAAATATCGTTAGTTTTCCAGGAGCATTCACCACCTTTGTAGCAGACCATATTTTGATGAATGTCTACGGAGTATAATATACTGTCTACGGAGGCAAAACAACAATTTCGTGGTCAAGCTAAGGGCCTAATCATATGGGCTCAGTTAACCGGGCTGGCACGATATCACTTTTTTCATCGCGTTTACACTGAAACAAAAAGGAACAGGACCAAATTTGACCCCGTTTGCATTTAAGCAAAAAGAACGGAACTTTCATGTGAATCAACGCGGCAATGACGTCTGAGATTTTCAGAAAGCCTCGCCCTAACCCTAGATTAAGCCCCGTTTTTAATCGTAATCAATAGTTCCGTTCCTGACCGATGAAACCAGAAGAAACAAGCACGATTCGGGAACGGAACCAAAGAGTTTCTCATTTTAGCGAAACCAAAGAAGAGCGGAACCGTCCCCAAACTAGCACAGAACCAGGATGCTTAGTGTAAACGCAAGGCCTATCGTCGCTTTTTCAGGCACGGAACCAAAGAGTTTCGTTCTTTTTTCTGTAGTGTGAACGGGGTCTAAGTTCCAGAGGCGAAGCTAAAGAATATTGTTACAGCGGTGCAGATCCCCCAAAATTGCAGACTTTAGGAATTAATACAACATGGCCAAACCACTTCCGATGAAGTTTTTTTGCCTTTGAAAATAAAAATACAATTGTTTCTGACCGGAATGGTGTTCTATACTTGGAAGCAAAAGATAATAATTTAAGAATCTAGAAATCTACCGACAAGCCTAAGTAAGGCGGATATAGGGCACCCTCTGTTCCTCCTTTGGCCACGCTACACCTCTGCTAAGTTCCTCTTGTGTAATTTGTTCTGGTTTTATATCTAGCCTAGGGGTAATTTGTAAGGTGTACACTGTTTCTGGTTACGTAGTCCGAAAATGTGGCCAGAATTTTCAATTTTTCAAAAACTCCGAATACTCCCAATTTTAAAAATTTCCCAATCGCAGAAATATTTGGGTAGCGTTCAATATCCATGACAATAATTAGAGGTACTTCAAGTAAAGAATGACTTCTTTTTGCATCCGTAATTCACTTGTCCACATCCCTTAACGGATTATGATTTCTGTCGCAATTCGTGTCTTTCACAAACTTCCGTATAACTTCCGTTTTTGTCTCAATAGTCATCAGAATATTACGTGGTAAAAAATATGTAATGACTTATAACAAATCTCATCAAACAATATCACAAATGTTTTTATGTAGTCAAATATTGTGATCAACCAGCTTCGCAAAGCTGAAGGAAGGTACTCTTTGGTGCCTAATGGAAGGGGGGTTGGAAGAATTTCCAAAATATAATAAGCGGGTGGGATGGAATAGCCGAGGAGGAAGGGGGGGGTTGGAAAATTCCCAGAAACTTAATAGCCAGCGGGTAAAGAAAAGCAATAATACTTCAAATATTAAATTTTCTTATAGAATATCACGTGAACAACATTCTATTTCAAAAATTTAATAGCCGGGGGGTTGGAATAAGAACATTCTAGGTGGGAAAAAATTAAAAACTTAATTAGTGCGGGAACGTCTATTTGGCACCAAAGAGTACAATTTTAAAAGGTGTTAGTTGACAATAGTGTATTTTGACGGGTTAAAAGGAAACACTAACGTTCTGAAAACCCTGGTACGTTGGTTTTTCAAAATAGCGGCTGGAAAATCCAGTTCTTGTCTGATTCTTAAAAACCACGCTCCGGTACATCGCAAAGAATTTTCTTTTGTTTCCGTTATTATGATGAAGTTATGATTGATACAAAATCATATTTTTGACATCCGCTGTCTCGAATTTTAAAGGAAACTGAAGTTTGTTCTAGCATATTAACTATAATTCTAGATTGCGTTGCTCAAAATAACGAATGTCTCTTAAAAGTAAAAAAAATTGATTTTAGATTAGTTACAAAGAACTGTATGAGAAACAAAATGATTAATGCCAAATCTCATCGAAAACTCAATTGTTTTAAAAACACAATCGAAGGGTCGTTTTACAATATTATCAAATTTTAGATATGCTAACGCAGCATATTCTCATGCTTTGAAAGCAGGCATCACTACCCCCTTCATGGCATTTCTAAAATCATCTACTGCTGTTTCGTCATATATGACATCGTCCCTTTTTGGGTGTCTTCTATCGCCTTATCAACAATCTTCTAGCATGCATTTCCTCTTTTGTTTGCAAAGCTATTATTGTTATTGATTTTTTGTTAAAATTCAAGAAATCATTCGTGCTTAGTTGGGACAAGGGGCAAATCAATCCAAGAAAATCCCGTACACCTTTTGTGAAAATCCTATTGTTTTATCTGAAAATCCCCAGGAATCCTTTTGTTTTAGGTAAAATCTCGTACGCTATTTGCAAGAGTGAATTGCCCCTCGAGTTGTGAAGCTCCTTGTCATATCCTTTCAGTTTCTCGATATCTTCTATAAGATCTTTGCAAAGATTTTATGTATGATTATTATTATTCTTTATTTCTTCATTATTCTAGCATTGTGATTGGTCTTTCTAAATGACAACCAAAAATGAATTTGTTGCAACACATTTTGGCGCGTTTCTTTTTGTGGTTCATAAAGTTCGATATAATGGGAAATTTTTCTCCCAAAGAAGTAGAAAGAGGTCTGAGACTGCTCATGTGGGTAGCCTATAAAGGAAACAAAATTTGATGTATGCAGGCAGTTAACACAGAAGTGCCTCCAATTTAAGTTTTCACAATTCAATTAATTACAAAGAATTCCAAAAAATATAGGCCCAAAGCGACATGAATTGCAATCAAGTTGATAAGTAGACATGACATGGGGAGCAAAAAATTGGCGACCTATATTCACTTTTGAAGTCTGTCATTGCAAGTACGGAGGTAGAAAACGCTTTCGTGCATCATAGTGGCGCAAATGGGGCAGTTTTTCAACGGTACCATCCGCATCAAAAGCAGTGGGCGAAAGCTCCTTAATACGCCAATCACGTTCCATCCGCTGTTTTCAGGAATTTGAAACCATCATTTTAATCGTTTCTCGTTGGCAACAAAAGCCAACGTACCCCTTTTGTTTTATGTAGGAAATTTCATATACTGGCAGGATGTTGAAAAATTTTAGACTCGCCTGCATGTAAATAACATGTACGTACGGAATTTAACGTGTGGAAAGAAATTTTAGTTACATGATGGAAGGTGCTAGTCATCTTACTTTTGGAGATCTATTGCTGAATTACGCCTGTGATGGCGACTTTCGGAGTTGTTCGCCCACGCGAAGGTTTAGAAATAGAAACAAGGTCATTATTTTCTTTATATAAATTAAGCAGCAGCCTTCCTTTTTCTTTAAATGTTCCTGAATGCAGAAATGCTAGCTGTCTAAACGTCGGATGGCTAATCCGCGCCTGCCTTCACCATGTTTTATGAAATTTCTCATACTAAGTATGTATTTTTATTTCCTAGAAATCTGGAAATGAACGACTTGGGTTCCCAAGCTCTCCAAGAAACAGAAAAAGGTTCTCAAGCAAGGTTTGTGAGTTATAAGTTGCATTGCTTTTGTGAGTTATACATTTTTTATACCAAGTTATCCATACTAAGAAACTTTTCGCCTGACACTCCTCAGAGTATAAAACATCAGAACAAGGGTCGATAAAGTTTATAAAGTTGATAAAGTTTAGCAAGGTTTAGTAAGAAGAGCGTTGGTCATAGATATTTTCACATAGGGTCAAAAAGCAAGCTAGATCAGGTCATCATCATTATTTTAGACTGTTAATTCTGTGGTCTGGTTCTTAACCCCCTTTTTATCGGCAATCGATGAGAAAACTTCAGTGTGAATAAACTTCTTCGTTCGCTTTGTAAGAAAGGGTTTGTAAAGTATTCTGGCAGTCTTTTGACAGAAATTTAGAGCGTGTTGCCAAGAGAATGGAGGTCAGCTGATATACTGTTTTTACCACTTATTCGGTTTATTTCTGTTACTTGATGTGATTTACGTATAGTCATAAAGAAAGGGTTACATATTCAAATCGGGTGAACATTGAAAATATTTCATATCTTGATGAAGGGGAAAAAATTTGTGACACATAATCATAAGGGAGAATTTTAAAAACATGTCGCGCATCCAAAGTATTTCAGAAACTTATTAGTTTGAGCCCCTCAACAATTTCCTTTAGAATAATATCAATGTGACGTCACAACCTGTCAAGCTAAAGCTGATTGCTAATGGCTGGTCTATTTCCTAAGTCATTGAGCGAATTTCCTATTTTCTGCCATCTCTGCCTCCATTTGCGAAATATCTAGAAGTTGTTTAGAGATGTTTAGTATTCAGTAGAAACCTCCAACCTGATTTCAGAACCTCAGATCGTTTTTCTTATACTTTTACTTACTTTCCAAGCCCATTTTGCGCGAAGCCTTTCACTCGTGCAACATACCATGTAACGTGGCTCGACTCCTTTACAAAGCGCAACTTGCTTTGAGTGTAAAGAGAAGATGAAGTAAATGTCTCAGACGCGGATAGAAAAGCCAATCAAAATCTCATTTAGAGATAAGATGCGGTTAAATTGCTCGAAGCGGTATCAGAAAAAAGAATGAGAACGAACCTAGGCCTAGAACTCTTTCTTGGGAAATTACAGAGACGGACCGGCCTCTGAAACTGGCATTTGAACAACATATTCAGAAATGTAAATTTTGTGACCCAAAGGGCAAGATATTAAAATCCAAAAGTATGCCAGCGGTGAAGATTAGAAAAATAATCATCTTCAACAAAGAAGCAACTAATCATTTAATAGGTTTACTTACTTCCCATCACAGTTTTAATAACCTCCCTTCTTACAGATTGTGCTTTTAAAGTAATTTATTATAAGCAGACATTTAAAAATGAATTTATTCCAACAGGCCTGTCGTTAAATTAAATTTCGATTAAAATGTTAGCATTCACCAGTTAATAAAACTCGCTGTTTTCTTCCTATGCAAGTAAGCTCCAACCCCCGTCTTGCAATCAGCCTCGAGGATTTGTAACAGTGTTTGCCTATTCGGTGTCTCTCGTCGTTCAGGTCGTGGTATTTGCCTTTAGATCTGAGACTCATACAAACAAAAAACGCAATTCGAGACGTTTGTTCACGTTTTTAAGTGTTAGTAAATATGAACCTGTGTTGGTAAAAGTTGCCGTTTTTCCTTTCATTCCGTCGTGGAGTACGTTAATAAAAATGGGCTTTATCAACGTAAGTATCTCTTTATATTTTGTTCAGGTTCTTTGAATTAATAATCCTTTTACACGCAAATGTGGAAGTAGAAAAAAACCCTTTTAAATAACTAAGATTCTGTTGTTGGTTTTTCTAAAATGCTGGAGAAAGAGCCATTAATATTTTTAAGGTTTTTATGAATGCTGCAAAGTTTGCAAGAAAAAATCGCATGTTTTGGTTTCATGCATAAAGAGTAGGAAAGCTAGAGATAATAGACTAAAAAAATTTTCCACACAGAATTCAATCAAAAGGTGTTATTTTTGAAGGAGAAAAAAACCTGATATTATCCTACGTCTGAAATAGATTTTGTCAAACTTTCATTTTGCCATTTCAAAATCGTAAAGTGTCAAATTCTTAAAATTACACCCCTTCCCCATTTCACTGTCTTTTGGACCCGTATGATTATATAAAGCATGTAGGTTAAGAAATTGGCTTGTATAACTAAACTTGATTGTTCAAGGTTCTTTCTTATAATTAGAATGAGTTTTTACACAAACATTTCTTCCTTTCAGCTATATTTGACTATATGCGGTGTTTTTGATTTGCTTTTTTCATACAAATTGTTTTCTCTACGGCTGCAAGCGAGAATGTTTTTCATCTTAGCTTAAAACAACATCATGTTGGTTTTGCAACATCCCTTTCCTTCCTGTATCTTTTTCAGATTCACTCCTGCAATGCAAAACCAGCATTCTTCATGTTGGATACACAAATACTACTGCTTCGTTTAATAATTCGTTTCGAACTTATTGATCTAAAGACACAGATGACTCCCTCTCTTGTTCTGTCCCTAAAACAGGTCAAATTCTCTCTACACCACCTCATTATGACCCATTTTATTAATTTATGGAGATAGTAAATAACCCCCTGTCAACACTCCATTCTAATTTTTGGGGAACCAACTGAAGAAAATGTTTTTCCAAGGTGTCAAAAATACAGCAAAAGCTCGTATGCTTAGTGACAAACTTGGTGCTTTTGTAAGTAAAGCTTAGAGAAGGAAAGACTCGACGGTTAATTCGAACATGTAAATTATTATGATCCGTTATTACAGTCAACTCTCGATAATTCGAACATTCAAGGGACCAGTGAAATGATTTGAGATAGCGAATGTTCGCTTTATCGGCGGATTTCAAGTGAAGACATTGGGCAACGGGAATTTATATAAGTTCGACTTAGCGGTTCGAGGTAACGAGGGTATACTGTACTTTGATTTCCTTCATTTGCCATTTGAAGCTAAATGACTCAACTTTACTTTCATTGGTCAAGTGGATCTCCTTTACCCAGAACTTTGCGTATGATTTCTACAGTTATTTTTTCTTATCAATGTATGTTTGAGACAGCGGTAAACCATACTTCTTTCACCTTCAATGGGTAATCTGTCTGTCGATATTTTTCATTCTTTACAATCTACGTACGTGACAGAGATATCGTTGCTAAGTAGCGTAACCATGGTTAGGGCAACCTCTTTTTCAATAACTTCTAGCAAGCAATCTCATAAGGATCTCGTCATTAAATTAAGGAAAACATTTACGAAATAGAATAATTACGAAAAGTTTGTTACATCATACGCATTTTAAGGCATCAAACTGACTGACAGCTACATTGCGCTGGCCGTAAAGACAGTTTCCTTGGCCAAGGAACTTTCTCAATTTAATATTCTTTCTCAATTGAAGAGTTATGGTTGAAACGTCGCAACAATATCCCATTTTCGCGTACAAAGTCTTTTTTAATTACATAAATTTGTATGCATTATTCATTCAACGTTCAGCAGGCTAAACTACATCGATTGTTTAATTTTTGCTAGTGACGCAACTTGTTTTTGAGGACTTATTTGTGAGATATTTGTGCAATACGCTACCTTTTCACGCATAGCAGCGTTTAAAGAACAAACTATTGCAAGAGTACACACAGTTTTTTATAAGAAACTGGCTATAAGAAACGAGTACTGGACAGTCAGAAAAAATTAAGAAACTTCAGTACTCGAAGCAAATAGATTAAGAAACTATTAAATCGAGATAAAACTGAAATCCAAGAACATTATTGCCCTGATGGTCTAGAAATTAAGACATACTAATTACGAGTATTGCGAAATCGAAAAGCTACAATTTCCAATAGGTAGATATAAAGAATTTAATGAGTTTTATGCTCGAATCCCGTTTTCTAAACTATTTTGTGACATAGACTTCGCAAGTGCATTTTTTATTTTATGGTTTGGTACTTTGAGGAGATAGGGGTAATATGGTCATTATTCGTCACATATCTTTCGATTTGATTTGTTTTACAGTGTTGTTATCGATGTACATGTTCTAGCATTTCAAAAGATCCTCAGAATGATTTCACACCGATAATGTACTGGTTCTCTAAAACTGGACAGAATTGATAACTCTTAATTTAAGAATGACGATATTTCGGAGTTGTTTTTTCCACAAAGCTACAATGCCTGTATGAGTGGACCCTCATGAAAAGCACCCTCGAGTGACTGAGGCCTTCCTTTGTAAATATATGTATTATTATTATTATTATTTTTATTAGTGCTAAGGCAATGAAGTGAAAAGTGTTCTTTTTTGATACTGGGCCTCATTAAACTTTGTTAGCAGACCTTCATGAACTTTTTTATCGTGAAACCACTATTGTTGTCAATTTTAGATAGATAATCATTTTTATCCGGTTGACACCCCAAACTTTATGAATAGAAATCCGTTCTGAACCCACTAAGTTGACCGAAGAAGATCTGTGATGATCACAGCGGATGACAAAGAATGCGACCACTCGACGACCGGGGGTATCTTCTGTTTAAAGGACTAGAAAAATCACCAGCTTCTACTGGCTAAAACTACACACTATTTATAAAAACCAGTGAATTGATGTTCAGGCTGGCTGTTCTTAATTTTTTTAAAACTTGAGGCTGGATTCTTCTTTTTATGTGTTCTTAAATAAGCAAGGTATAAGCAGTGCCATTGGTCAAGAGGAGTTTTCAGGCCCTATCTACCAACAAAGGGAGTGAGCTACCTTTTATATTTTCTGAATAGTTTGAAAATTCATCGACAAAGAATCCCTAGATGGCAATAAATTCCTCTTTGTCTGAGGTGGAATTTTAAGGGGGTTTCGAGATATGTGGTGCGCAATGGAGATGGTCACTGCTTGGTATCAACTTATGTTTAGTGGTAGCCATCAATAAATCAAAGCTTTCACGGGACAATGTCAGGAGTTTCTCGCCTCTACCTTAGTTAACACTAAACACTTGCCCCAACAGGTGAAAATAATAGTTAATGGTACCATTCATGCATAGCATCTTCATCGATTTTTAAACATGCGTATTTTATTTGAAATACTGACTTGGAAGCATGTCAGGATTCCCGATGCCAGAGACAACAGTAAGAATTTTGGCGTACTGGAAGCAATAACGATGGCTTTCATACATGTGGTTAAACAAATACTTCATAAATAATTCTGCATAATTCTAGATTGATTTAGATTTAGATTTGTTGAGCAAAGGTTGTTCAAGTCTAGCTTGATATAGATATAGTCTATTGTCTTCTCAGTTCTCTAAATCAGCTCTCATTTACTTTCCATAAATCCTTTTGCCATAACCTCTGCCCCAACCATATCCGCGGCCAAGGCCTTTGCCGTAACCACCATAACCTCCGTAGCCGCCATAGCCTCCGTAACCTTTTCCGTAGCCGTAACCGCCATAGCCTCCGTAGCCTTTTCCGTAGCCGTAGCCGCCATAACCGCCATAACCGCCGTAGCCAAGACCGTTGTAGCCAAGGCCGTATCCTTTTGGATAGATCACACTTGGGTCCATTGACGCTGCAAATTGGTAGAGAAAATTATGAGACTTTCTGTTTGATAAATACCTCTTTGATATGATGATTAATAAAACTACCTATATAAATGCCTCTTTGATAGTTCTAAAAAATGGATTAAGTACATAATACATAAGTCTTTGCTCTATGATGCGCCTAAACTAAAATCGCCGAGGGCCTATCATTTTTAGCTGCACATTTCGTAATAAAAAATGTGCAACTAAAGGATGTCTAAATCAAAACTTGTCTGCATGTAAGGAGGTCCTGATTGTTCTTGCATACTATCAAACATCGAAATACTCAAACCTTCGTCGCTTTCGTTGTCACTGGCGTCCATTTCAATTGCAGATGGGTCTTCAGCCTGCTTTGCATCTTCTGGAATTCTGGCAGCTGAAAGAATATAATATTTGAGATAATAGAAATAATAGTTGAGATAGGAGCACAGACTGATAAGAGTTGCCAAAGTTGAAAAAGATCAAGCAGACAAAAGACAATGACAAGGAAAATTTTATTCAAGATCCAGAGAAACATACTCCACTCCAACTGATGAAAATGCGTAGCCAGAAACTTTGAATTCAGTATAAAACAGGATTTGATCATGCAACAACTTTACCTTGAATGCTGATGGCCAGTCCAAAGAGAAATAGAAATGCAACGACTATCTTCATGACTCAACTAGGAATAAAAAAAGCCAAAATAACTACCTTTTCAAAACACACCTTTAGCAGGCTCCAAAATGTTTCTTTAATATTGGAATTTTAGCAAATTGTCAGAAGGAAAATTTCGAAGCTTGACTACTTTTTACGAAGACACAAGATAAAGGGCTGCTCAAAAATCTATCGTCAGTAATCTAAAACTTCTACTAAGCTTTCTTAAGGTAGGGCACACTTATCATATTGAATTTATCTTCCAAATGTTTTCTAAATTGTCCAGTACAGTCTGCAGTCTTTTAAGGAGAGTTAGTATAGTGTTTTCAGCATGAAAATTATGAAAAATTTCAAGAATTGACCCTTGTTATAATGAAGGCTTAGGGATGCTTATTCATAAACAGTTAAAATACAACAATAGATAGCATGATCAAGCAGTAACGTGGAAACAATTTCTTTCTCTCTAGTTAACAGCAAACTTGGGTGTATATACCCCTGACATTAGAGCCGTTGTAAGACTTAACTTAATTTTAAGTATAATAGGTGAATACAAAACCGTACTTCATACCTTGATTGGTTTCCTCAATGTGCAAAGGTATTGGCTGCAATCTTCAGATCTCCCACTTGTCTCTTCTTTCAATGATGCAAAGAAGCAGTGATGATGAGACCGGTGTCAGCTCGCTCCATTTATACTTTTCTCAAGAATGACCATCGCGTGCCATTAATGCTAGATATGCAATAAAAGGCCCATTATTTTGTATAGCATCAATCATAGCACCAATCATTATGACCAGGCCTAATGCGGTAAATGTAATTTTGTTAAATTTTTGGGATTTGGAAACCGATGATTTTTCTTTTTCAGGCGTATTATTCCAATCTTGTGCTTCCCATGCTTCTTTTATTTTGCTTCGGCCATCAAATGCACTTCATGTTGGCAAATTTCTTGTAAAGTTTCCAAATAAGGGCTTAGATTTAAGTAATATGTAGGAAAACAAAGTAATTTCTTGCTGACGGCCACGGGGAAGAATTTTTGAAAATAACATCATTCCTAAAGCATGAACTACCGCGAAGTTTTTTATTGACTTAATTACTGCATGCTTGGAAAATTAAAATGTGTTGGGCCATTTTTGTATGCCAGGATATCATTGCCTACATTTTGTCTAAAAAGGCCTCTTCGCGTACCTGTATAGTCTGGGTCTCAGAATGTAATCTCTGAAGTAACTGATGAGTCGAATCTATTCGCAGAATTATTTCTTCACCACGGCATTGGTCTACAATACCATCAGTTTACTTGGGCTCTAGTCCTATGAACCGCTTATATTACGGATTTGATTGGAAGAGGATAGATTTTAAAATGTTGCATGGGGATGGCTCTGCTATTTTATTGAATTTTATCTGCGTTACAATACTTTAACTCTTAAAATGTCGCATAAACCAAAACATATCTTAGCAATGGTCACTGGTACGCAGCCAATCTTTCATTTTAAGGTTTTGATGAATATTAAAACAGTCATACCTCATAGATCTAAGACAAGCCAATTTAAAAATTTTCAGTTGAAAGTCCTGTTTCAAGATTCCTCAACATGCAATATTTTACTTCAAAGCTAATTACATGCAGTGACTATGAATTGCATAAAAATTCGTTATTAGGAAGCGATTGGAAGCAAACACGTAAGATGCTGCTTCCAGAGGAATTTTTAAGAGGAGCCTTCTCATCTAAACAGAGCCAATCGAGGGAAGAGGGCCTTATTTTCTGAAATACCTTCACTTTTTCTTACCTAAAAAAGGACCTAACGTTTCTTGACAAAAAGTTACAACAGATGACGAATTTTTATGTCCACTTAAATATTGTACCTAAGCCTCGCACCAACAGGATGCACAGATCTGATACCATGTTTCAAAGTGTTTTTTTCGTATTAGTTAAGTGTAGTATGTTTCCCTCTGGGTGTTGGTTTTCTTATATAGACATACCCGTAGAGATATTTCTTTACCTCTTTCTGTCGCCTCTCTCGACTTGATTTTATCAGATTCAATATAGCCAATTCAATTTTTTTGGAAATAAGGTCTATATTTCCTGTGAAACATTTCCTGTGTATATGCAACGGTATCTGATTGTGATCATCAGTGCCCCTTGCCTTTCCAAAGGTCAATTTTGCCTGCCTTGCCTGTCTCAAAGCAGATTGAGACCTGTTCCTTTTTTATTTTTGCGCTGATTTCATCCAGTTTCTTTTTCTTACTTTTGGGAAAATGTCACAAATATCATGATACCTTTTTTACCCTTACGTTTTGCCAGCAAATACACACGTATGAAGGTTACCTTCGAAGTCCTATCACCTGTCAGCTTGAAAAAAGACATTTTTCGCAACTCGGCATTGCCCGCCAGGGGCGTCACTGAAGGAGGTTGCTTTCCCCTACAAAATTTTTTTTTTGCTTTGTAGTATAATTATAATTTTTTGTGACAGCTGCAACATGTTAAGTTTTCTGTAGCAATTCAACTTCAAAGTAATGCAATAAAAATGCTTCAAATTGAAATTTAGATATAAACACAAAATAGAAACACAAAAAACAGCAAATAAAATGACGTATCTTATGATCACACCAAAAAAAGTTAGATACGCCCTTTTTGTCGGCAAAAAGCAATACTATACCCCTCCGAAAATTTTTTTGACTTCGCCCATGTTGCCTGTCCAATTTTTCAGTGCTGGCTTCGTGCCTATCCCGCTTGTACCAACAGCAAAAGATGATTTTCTGGAAATAATGTGCCCCTTTTATGGTTATTTTCTCCCGTCTCTTTTCTAGGAGCCACTTAGCTCCTGGTTCTCAACCATCTGGTCGGGAAACATTAGTGCCTTGTGATAAATTTCCCACTAGTTTTTCAATTAGACAATCCCCTGTCGGATCTCGGAACAACTTTGCAATTTGATTTCTTTCGTGTTGTCTTACACCTTTCCAAGATTGCTTCTAACCACTTAGCAGAACTTGGTTGACCCTAGAAGGTAGCTTTCGGCTACCTTTATTGACGCTTGTTCACATCCACAGGCCCACCTTCGGAAAGCAACATTTTAAAACATATTAAAGCTTTTTGTATGACACTCTTCAGCGTATGAATTTATTGTTTTTGAACATTTCCAAATTCAAGAGTTTTTGATCCATGTTCTGACGTCTTATATGTAAAATGAAAAGCTTTAGCGTGTTTCGAAATGTTTGATTTTGCAAAGCCATCTTCAGAAAGCATTTCGTTGGTTTGGCACAGTGGCGGTTTTAAGTGGGGTCCAGGGTGCCATGGCCCCAGGGCCCGCGCTTATGATAGCCAAAAGGGGCCCCATACCTAAGAAAAAGGATGGCAGAATACGGCCTTAATGATACCGAATTTATTAAAAATGTTTTTATAATATTCTAAGCCATTGGGTATAGGAAATACTTGTGAGTCCCCTTCTGACGTTTTATACTCTGAAGGGTGTCAGGCGAAAAGCGTTTGTAACATGCTTCAGATTGTTTGCTTTTTTCAAATCCATTTGGAAATTATGTATCACAGAAGGATTTTCTGAAACCTCTTTTTAAATTGCATATAATATGCCATCTGGAGCCTTCACCCCCAGACCCCCCTGTTAAACAGGGGAAAGCATAATCCGGGTTTTCTTGTAAATGCTGCCTAATGGCAGAATCACATGTTCAGAGACAAAATCTCAAAGGCTACTAAGAAAAGGCAAATAAGAAAAGGCTATTATGTGAAGGAGTAAATAATTGTGGCTTTCATATATTTGGTTATACAAATATTACATAAATAATTCTGCAAAATTCTATATTAATTTAGATGGAGATATGCTAAGCATTGGTTGTTCAAGTCTAGCTTGATATAGATCTAGTCTGTTGCCTTCTCAGTTCTCTAAATCAGCTCTCATTTACTTTCCATAAATCCTTTTGCCATAACCTCTGCCCCAACCATATCCGCGGCCAAGGCCTTTGCCGTAACCACCATAACCTCCGTAGCCGCCATAGCCTCCGTAACCTTTTCCGTAGCCGTAACCGCCATAGCCTCCGTAACCTTTTCCGTAGCCGTAGCCGCCATAACCGCCGTAGCCAAGACCGTTGTAGCCAAGGCCGTATCCTTTTGGATAGATCACACTTGGGTCCATTGACGCTGCAAATTGGTAGAGAAAATAATGAGACTTTCTGTTTGATAAATACCTCTTTGATATGATGATTAATGAAACTACCTACATAAATGCCTCTTTGACAGTTCTAAAGAATGGATTAAGTACATCAGAAGGAATTGCAATGTTATTTTTGAATGATGTTTCTGAACTAAGATCGCTGGAACACTTTGCTGTGTACATAAAGTTTTAGCTGCGAATTTCTTATTGAAACAACAGAGAACTGAGGGACGTCCAGATCTTTTCTAATGAGTAGCAAATATCGAAATACTCAAACCTTCGTCGCTTTCGTCGTCACTGGCGTCCATTTCAACTGCAAATGGGTCTTCTGCCTGCTTTGCATTTTCTGGAATTCTGGCAGCTGAAAGAATTCAATAGTATTGAGACAATAATTTCTAAAGATTTGCCAGAATCGAAAATAAGTCATAAGGATAATAAATAAAAAATTAAGGCAAGGAAAATTTTATACGAATTTTGTGTAAAGCAGGATTTCAATGCGTCATATAGCAACTTTACCTTGAATGCTGATGGCCAGTCCATAGAGAAATAGAAATGCAACGACTATCTTCATGACTCAACTAGGAATAGAAAAGCCAAAATAACTTCCTTTTCAAAACACACCTTTAGCAGGCTCCAAAATGTTTCTTTGATATTAGAATTTTAGCAAATTTTCAGAAGGATAATTTCGAAGCATGACTACTTTTATGGAAGCTCGGCAAAAAGGACTGTTTAGAAGTCTATGAACAAGGACAAAATCAAGTGACCAAATTCCTTTAAAGTTTATACCAAGCTTTCTTAAGGTATTGTACACTTATTACTCAAATTGTTCTTGCTAGGTTTTCTTAACCTGCCCAGTACAGTGTGCGATCCTATATGTAGAACTAGTATATTTCTTTTAGCAGACAAATTATGAACATTTTGACTCTTTATTATAATAAAGCTTTGGGTTGCTTATTCAGAAACATTGAAAACATATCCGACATTAACAAGGCTATAGCATGGACACGATTTTATTTATTCTAGTTGATAAAAAAATTGGGTTTATACTTGTATTTAAAAAATACACCCTAGATAACAGAACGGCTGTAATACTTTATTGAATTGTAAAAACAACATATGGATACAACATTTTATGTCAAACCTTGGTTGGTTTCCTCAATGTGCAAAGGTATTGGCTGCAATCTTTTATCTCCCACTTGTCTCTTCTTTTAATGATGCAAAGAAGCAGTGATGATGAGGCCGGTGTCAACTCACTCCATTTATATTTTTCTCAAGAATGACCATCGCGTGCCATTAATGCTAGATATGCAATAAAAGGCCCATTATTTTGTATAGCATCAATCATAGCACCAATCATCATGACCCGCATTTGATGCGGTAAATGTAATTTTATTTAAGTTTTCGGATTGGAAACCGATATTTTTTCTAATTCACTCCCATAGTTCCAATCTTGTGCTTCCCATGCTTCTGTTATTTTGCTTTGGTCATCAACTGCTCTTCATGTTGGCAAAATTCTTGTAAAGTTTCCAAATAAGGGCTTAGATTTGAGCATTGAGTACAAAAACAAAGTAATTTACTGATGACGGCCACGAGGAAGAATTTTTGATAATAAGAAAAAACACAATTCTTTAAGCAAGAACTACACAAAGATTCTATGCTTTGAAAATAAAGATTTATTGTGCCCTGTGCGTGCTTCGAAAGATATCATGCTCTACAAGGCGTCCAAGCAATTTCCAACGAAATGGCTCTTCTAGCAGGGAATCATGAGTCATCTGCTGAGGATATCTTCGGATAAAAGTTCCCCTTACTGATTCTCGGAACAATTTTGCAATTAGATTCCTTTCGTTTTGTCCAACACCTTTTCAAGATTGCTTCTAATCACTGAGCAGAGCTTAGTTGACCCTAGAATTATGATGATCACAATGGAAGACAAGAAAGCGGCTTATAGGCATTTAGAGGTAGCTTGAAGAACAAGAAAAACACCCAGCTCATTTCATTTTACAAGCAAAGATAACGTCAGTTTGGTGCAGTCAAGTTGGTTTAGATGTAGTTTTCAATTTTTGCTATCTGAATGTTGTAATATGGTGGTCTTTCTTGGTTATTTAACAGGGCCTTGCATCTTCGATGTGAACAATGCCTTTTGGCAAAACTTCTCTCTCAACTCTCTGTCAGAAACCAATGGCACTCGTAGAAAATTCCGTTAAAAATAACTCAAACCTCTGTGTTTTACACTCTTTCGACTATTGCTAGTAAAGGGGTGGCTTCAGGAAGGACATGGTTGAAAAAGAGGAGGGAGGGAAGGGTTGTCGATTATCGAAGTACAAGACAAAACATTTAGGGACATACCCTTTTTACTACTAGAAAGCGTCCTTTTAGCAACAAGGAACGCCCAATTTACCTGAAGGGAACTCCCGTGACTACGTTTTTGTTACGTAAAAGCAGTTTCAAATTTACGTACTTGTGCACCAGTCTGCTCATGTGCACCCCCCCCCCCCTCAAGGCTTTGGCAGAATGCAAAGATATGTGGCAGAATACAGCCTTAATGAATATTTTGAACATGCTAGGTTGCAAAATCAGGCCGTTTATGTTGAATGGAAAATAAAATTTGTAGAATACGCATAGGAGAGGCTTCGTGCCCATTTTTCATTTAAGAATTTACTTTTTAGATCGACATATAAATCAATTTGCGATAGACAATAAGGCTCCTAGGTACTTGAAAAAATAATGGTGGCATTCATACATGTGAATATACAAATATTTCATACACAATTCTGCAGATTTCTATGTTAATTTACATTGAGACATTTTAAGCATAAGTTGTTCATGTCCAGCTTGATATGGTACTAGTCTTATTTTAGTTCTCTAAATCAGCTTGCATTTACTTTCCATATCCTTTGTTGTACCCTTTTCCGTAACCACCATATCCTTTACCGTAGCCTTTTCCGTAACCACCATATCCTTTACCGTAGCCTCTGCCGTACCCTTTTCCGTAGCCTCTACCGTAGCCTTTGCCGTATCGTTTCCCATAGCCTCTGCCGTAGCCTTTGCCGTATCGTTTCCCGTAGCCTCTACCGTAGCCTTTGCCGTATCGTTTCCCGTAGCCTCTACCGTAGCCTTTGCCGTATCGTTTCCCGTAGCCTTTGCCGTAGCCTTTTCGGTAGTAAGTGCCGTATCCTTTTTGATAGGCCATGCTTGCATCCATTGCCGCTGAAATTTTAAGAGAAAATAATGAAACTGTATGTTCCTAAGTACATTGAATTAAAAACATGAAAAGCAACGGAGTAGTGTTTAGTTACATGATGTGGCTAAACTTAGTTCCTTCGAGCATTTTGCAGAGTACTTAGAATTTAGCTGCGTATTTCTTATTGAAACAATATAAAACTGAAGGATGTCCAAGTCAAAAACGTTCCCTGCACGTAAGAACATCGAGATCTTTATTGCACAGTAACATACATGGTATAATACCTTCATCACTTTCGTCGTCATTGGCGTCCATTTCAACTGCAATTGAGTCTTCTGCTTGCTTTGGGTCCATTAACCCTGAGATTTGAGAGAAGCTAATGAGACTATCTGTTTCTAACATTGCCTTATATACATTAGAAGTAATGGGGTAGCATCTTAGTAAGAATGGAGTAATGTTTGTTTTGTTGCATGGTGTCTAATAAACTAACGTCTTTTGAGCCTTTGACAAGGACAAGTTTGACTTGTAGGTTGAATATTCTATTAAAATTGTTTATATGAACTTGGGGACATCCAAATCTTCAAACCTTTTGCGTAGTCATTAAATTTTTTAGCCGCACGTTTTTTAGTAAAATAATATGAATACAAAGGATGTCTAGATCAAAACTTGATGTCTGCATGTAAGGAGGTCCTGATCGTTCTTGCATACTATCAAACATCGAAATACTCGAACCTTCGTCGCTTTCGTCGTCACTGGCGTCCATTTCAATTGCAGATGGGTCTTCAGCCTGCTTTGCATCTTCTGGAATTCTGGCAGCTGAAAGAATTCGATAGTCTTGAGATAATAGTTTTAAAGTGTTTTCGGAATTAAAAATCAGCATATAGCAAACAGATGAAATATGAAGGCAAGGGCAATTATATTCAAGAACAATAGAAACTTAATCCACTCTAAACGGAAAATTAGCATTATCCGAAACCCAGTGGAAGGAAGGGATTTGAATGCATCGTATAACAATTTTACCTTGAATGCTGAGGGCCAGTCCAAAGAGAAATAGAAATACCACAACTATCTTCATGACTCGGCTAAGAATAAATGAAGCAAAATTAGATTCTTTTCAGAACACTTTTTTATTTGACGCTACAAGCCCTATGGTAAACGTTCCTTTGATATTAGTATTTTAGCCAATAGTCAGAAGAGTAATGTGAAAACTCAGCAAAATATGACTGTTGCGAACTATATTCCATCAGATTAAATCTGTCATTTTAGAAAAATTTTGCTCTGACGTTTTACTAGGATTGGATCGGATTGGATATGTTTAATGACAGTAAGTTTGGGTTTAATATAACAAAAGCCCTGACAACAGAGCCATTCTAGTACTTTGTTCAATTGAAAATACAGTATATTGATACCAAAAGCGTATCTCGTACCTTGATTGGTTTCCACGATATACAAAGGTATTGGCTGCAATCTTCTATCTCCCACTGGTCTCTTCTTTCAGTGATGCAAAGAAGCAGTGATGATGAGGCCGGTGTCAGCTCGCTCCATTTATACTTTTCTCAAGAATGACCATCGCGTGCCATTAATGCTTGATTTGCAATAAAAAAACCCATTACTATATTAGCATAAATGCGCTAAATGTAATTTGATTAAATGTTTCGGATTTGGAAACCGATACTTTGGTTATACAGTCATATAATTCCAATCTTGTGCTTCTAATGCTACTAATGTTCTGCTCTGGCCAGCAGTTGCACTACATATGGGCAACAGTTTTGTAATGTTTCCAAGTTAAGTCTTGTTCTCTAGAAATTTGAACGAAAACATAGTAATTTGTGGCTGACGACAATTGGGAAGAATTTCTTACACTCGTGTCATTTTAACGAAAACAAAGTAATTTGTGGATGACACCCATAGGGAAGAATTTTCAAAAAATTAACAGCATTCTGGAAACAAATACTACCAACAAGATGTTTTGAAAATTTAAATGTATTTTGCTCTATACGTGGATATCGTACCCTAGATTATGTGTAAACATGACATCTTTGCTTGCCTTTGGGTTCTAATACACATTATGATATGAAAAATGTTTTAATTCTTGTGCTCTTAACAGTACTTCCATTTGATTTCATACCTGTGTCCTTTAGGATTTCAGGACCACTTCTACCTGATGCTTGATGTTGTCTAATTTAAGGATTATATACATATGGGTTCTGTTACTGCCTTTCAGGACACTTTTAAAGGTGAAACAGTTAGACTCACTTAAGTAGCATTTTCGAAGTTGGTTTTGAATTCCAAATTTTATTTTTGCAGAGCACCACTGACAGTGGATCAGAATTAGATGACCTGCACAATACAAACGCATCGCCAAGGCAACAATCACAACCTTTAGGGCAAGGTAGGAAATCTAATAAGGATCGATTGATGATTTAAAATATGGCCTAGATTTGTGTTAGCTAAGGACTTTGGATAATCAGATGGAACTGTGCAGCCATTTGGCTAGCAAGTGCTGCCAGCTCCAGTGTTGTGGGCTTGTCTCCTTTCAAGAGAGCTACCCATTATCAAGTTCTTTTTTCGGAAGACTTATTAATCTAGCTTTGTTTTTGCAAGCCATAATACAGCTTTGTTAAAACGTACAAAAAGGGACTCAAATCACTATCCATGACTGTGCTGAGGGCGGAGAGGGGGCTTGAGGTTGTTTAATAGAATATTGGATGTCTTTAAATACCCATATTTCTAATTCTTATTTTACCTTCTGTCTGCAATGTACAATTTTGACTCCTTTAACGTGCAGCATTTAAGGTACCTGCAAATTTGATTGTGCGCATTTTAGAGCTTATCTGTTGAAATTTTAATCATTAGAGATGTTCTTGATAATATCAATGGAACTAGTCAGCTCCCTTTATAAATGTCTATAGAACCCTAATCTTCTTATACATGACCCCTGTCACATAAAGTATATATATAACTAGAAATTTCTTGAGTATGCTGATATTAAAACTGATTTCTATCATTCTTTTTTTTAAGTTCGAGCGGGTCTACGTTCTCTGTCCTCGGATAAACCTGTGCGGGTGAAGTTTGTCAACCACTCTGGCCGTGAAGTGCAACTTTATTGGATCAACTATCATGGCGAATGCGAAAAAGCGTTTAAAGTTGCAGATGGTAAGAGTGAAATTATCGACACCTACGAGTCACATCCATGGGTAGCAGCAAATGCGAGAAATAAAAAGGTTCACCATGCTTTCACTGTGAACAGCAACCTGGTTTATTATCCAACTATCAGTGTCGATGGTGGAAGATATTCAGTGGCAGAAATACGAAAAGCCCCAGGTACGTTGTTTACAGTTTCTTGGTTTTTCTTTCTTTATTTATTTACAGTTTGTACAATGTCTAGCTAAACTAAAGCTAATCAGAACCAACTATTTTGAACTACCATCATACAATACCTTGAGTTGTAAGGTTGAATAAAGAAATGCTTTAATCTATAACAGAAGTTTGTTTAGTAGGGAAATTCTTGGAACCTAAGATAGTGCTATCTTGGAATCATGCTAATTTATGTAAATTAATGCAAGACTTAATCACAACCTTAAACAGCCAGCTCTTAATATGGGGTCGCGTAATGAAAGTATTTTTGCAACATTGTTGATATGTAGAACTGTTTTTTATTAAGTGTGCTCGTCTGCAAAATGTTGTCCAAACCTTCCAAAAACCCTGTCTATGAGAGAGTGCAGAGAAATCATCATTACAGGAATCTAATCATCTATTAAGTCAACTCGAAAGCCTTAAAAATTTATCTTTGTCCATAGAAAAACTGGCAGATCTATTATCAAAGCCAAACGATATTGCAGTAACCGTGAAATTTGTAAACAGAACTTCCCGTGCTGCATTTCTTGAGTGTATAAATTACGAGGGGAATCGGGAGCTGAGGCAAACGATCGAGGCAGGCAAAGAATGGACTGTAAGCACTTTTGAACAGACGTATTGGGTTGCGACCGCAAATCGAGAAACAGACGAAGGGCTACTTGTCAATTATGGATGGTTTTATTCGCCAAAGAAATCTAAAAGCAAACGAGAAAGAGTTATTATAACAGATTGTAAGTACAACCTAGTCTTCATTGTGTTTCAGGTTTTGAATTCTTGAGCCTTTTCGTCCCTTTGCTTCTAAAGAAAGGATTACCTTGACCTCCGTACTGGGGATACGAAAAATGAAATCTATTGGCAACGACATTCATTAAGACTTAAGTGTTTCCCATATCTCAAGACGATTTTGAAGAACAGCTATCAGAAAAAGGATGGGGCTTGTTTCAAACCCTCTCACACACCTTCAGATACATTTCCGGTACCTGAAGCTCAAAGATTCAGCTGACAAACTAGATCTAGCAGTAGATAGAAGAAATCAAGTTTGTCGGCTGGTCAAAAAAATCCCTTGCTTTTATTTCTATGAATTGTTGATGCTGAATCCCAAATATTTTAAACAGCCCGTCTGTAGTAACTGAATGTCACTTTTTTCTATGACATGTCTTAATGTTAACAACTTCCTGTCCCATGCACATAAGTGACTCCCTCCTCTATTTTGCACTTTTGGGGCAAGCACATTTTGTATTTTATTGGTCATAATGTCATCTTGACAATGTTGTATTTCAAATACTTCCCAGTTCAACGCTTGCAGTTGTATCCTTTTAAACATGTTTGGCTTTAGGGTGTCAGGCGAAAGGCTTTAGTATGATTCTAAATGTTTGCTTCTTTCAAAAGCCCTATTGATACAAAAAATGGTAGACAAGCTCGTCTTCAAGGGAAGGCGAGCTGCTTTAAGAAGTTATTGATGAATTTGAGAAAGCCACAATGTTTTTTTTATTATTTTTTAGATATTTAGAAGAAGGATTCTCAACTTTTCAAGTTTTGAAAATGCAGAAGAGATGAATTTTATGACGCGTCTGGAGCTGCAAATTACCAGCAAAGGCGACTGGACAGTCTTCTGATGGCTGGAGTCGTGTTTATTTGCCAGTGCATTGCATTGCTTTTATTTTGAAAGTGCTAATGCTGACATATATATAATTGTGTATAGTAATATCACGTGTCATTTGGTCAAAAAATTATTAACAATTTGACAACCAAAAGCAGGATGAAGTAGAATACACTGCACAATCTGAACAAATAGGGTTTACGTAGTTGCACGTTGTTGGCATTCCAATTGCCCTTAACGCGACGAAAATAAAGTAAATAGCTACCAATCAAACATGCATGCTCAAATTTAATCTTCTTCTGATCGTATAAACAAATACCATGAATTCACAAAACTGACGCTTTATAAGGGACCTACTTAACCTAAAACTAGGCGCAGCCTTTTGCTCCCGTGTGCGCGACTTTTCTGTAAGAATTTAGACATTCCTGACGAATTCAGAACACAGACTTTAGACGTTCATGTGTGCAACAAACGATTTCGTACCTGCTTTATGGGAACTGGTAGTAAAATTTAAATCCATGTTGTGTGACTGTATTTTTAATTGTTACTGTTGCATTTGGTAAGTGAGTAATTTCACAGACCTGCCTTTCCTGATATTTGCTAGTTGTAGACCGAATAAAATTAGCTCTTGCACAAGGTGACAGAATTATACCCATTGACCTCCCCGAACGTTCCTGGCCATCTTGCCACGGAACAGAACTCTCCAAAACTTTACCCAACTGAACCTTTTTTACATTGTTAGCTGGCATAAACGTTATCTCCAAATTGATGCTATGTTTTCGTTTAAGTTTCTGGCCTCCTATGTTTCTTCCAAGTTACAATTCAGATAAATCATAGAACATATCTAATTTATTGTTACAATTATGGAAAGGCCGCAAAGAAACTAAAACTTTGTAAGATTGATAAGGTGGTGTCATTTCCATTATCTATAGTAAGATTCAGAGGCTAGCCTGTCGAAGCAGCAGTTACAAGAAATAATGGTTTGTGTAAGTGCTTTTTTGTAAAAAAAATTAAATAACTTTTTCTGTATCCATATCTCTGTTCATAGCAGCTGAAGTTGCTCACTCGCGTAAATGATCAAAATGCTGTTTGTGCAGTCAATTGTAAATTTTAATTTAAATCTTTTGATATAAGACATTTGTAATTAAAATTTAAATGAAGAATTATGTAATTCAATAAGTATAATTAACAATCTGCTATCTTTTGTGGCTCTGTCTACCAAAATTACTGATGAAAGGAACATACTTTATTTTTGATGTCGCTCTTTGCTTACCCCCAATACAGTTGTGTTTTCTTTATAGGACTGATCTGATTTATTTGAATTATGTATAAAATAGAGTCCAGTACACGCGGTGGATTGTTTAAACTAACTGTATCTTGTTGATTTGCGAGTCATAAACCCTTTCACTTTATAAAAGTCGAGAAAAAACCTTACGCAAATCATGAATAACTACGGAAAATGAATCTTTTTCAGAATTGTTCAATTTTATTTTAATTGAAATCGAGAGTTCATAGTAGCGACCTTCGGAAGAATTTGTTCATTTCCATCGACCAGATTAGAAAGTTGAGAAAATGCCAGATCAAATTGTAAATATAAAAATGTATTTATACATATGCTCTGACGATGTGTGTTCTATGTTTATAAGTCACTGCTTAAAATTATAGAAGTAAATGCAGAACGTCCCTGGAAGTAAGCCTTTTGTAATCTTGCAGATTCGTGCGTTTCGAAAATTAGACTTTCTACGACTTCGTTTACTTTTGAGCTATTTTTAGACAGAAAGAAATGTTTCTGGGTCTAACATTATAGGTATTGAAAAAACCGGTTGAAAGAAGAAAAACACAACCAACCCCACTTATTAGGGTGAATTCTGAAAGTTTTTTAAACTTTTTTGAAATGCGACTGTTTCGAATGAGTAATGGAATTAATGTCTATATGTGAAAGAAAGGTAAAAATGATTAAGACTGCAATGCTAACTACTGCTATAATTTTATTTAGCACCTAGTAAATATTTCATTGACAATGTTTCAAGTTAGCCCATAAAGACGAAAGGATGATCGCCAGCTGACCTCGATTGTATTTAAGGTGCAGCATGCAAAAGAGACTCGTGACTTTATATGTTGTTGTTGCAGGTTGCTAAGTAATGTAAAACTTACAATGCCTAGTCAATAATTCTGTAATCATACAACTGGTTGGTTTGATTATCAAGCAGGAAAGATGGATGAAAACACTAAAGATGAATCTGAAGAACAATTTTTGAAAGCAAAAGCATATTTGCAACAAGTTAAAGATGAAGGAGATTCGAGCTTGTAAGTTCCCTCTAAACTTACATCGTGTATCCAGTGCATCGGGAAGATTTTGAAATGGCTCCAGGCCTAAAAACTAGACCAATTTTTACAAGTGTAGAGCAATGACTTTTCATATCATGGTTTCATATGATGTTTCATTCTAAGCTAAAAGGTTCATTTCAACAGATTTATTCAAGTGACTACATCCACGTAACAAATTTTTATGAGTAATAATCATTCTTGTTTGCAGGTATGATCATTTCACATCGGTACTTACAAAGCTGCTTGATGAAAGGCCTCAGAATAGTATTGGTACGATTAATTCTTTCTACCTACCTTCTTAATCAAATCAATTGTTAAGGCGCCTAAGTTTAATGATTTGTTAAATACAATAAGAGATATGTGTGGACTTCGCAACATACAGTATATGTGTGGATTTCGTGTTCAACTGATTTGCACCTTGTTTATTCCATGAGCATTTTAAAAAGATTCTCACTTAGTTAGTTGACTGACTTAATTTGAATTCTGAAAGTGAAAATTGAGAATAAACAAACCGGTTTTGCATAGTGGTGTGTGTAATAATCTACATGTTTGTCAATAATGCACTTCAAGACAAAATGCTCTGCCCTTCCATTGAAGCAAAGACTTAAAGGACTTTTTGTGGATGGAATGTAAATTTGACACAATTATATTTTCAAGTTCCTTTCATGATAACTATTTTATTGTAAATGACTTGCTTAATTATGGGAGTCAGGGCTTCTCTCTATTATCAGGCAACATATTCCTGCTGACTTTTTTACTGTCTGAGGAATGTAATAAGATTGCTTTTTTTGTAATGATACCATTATTTGTTCATTTTTAACAGATCTTATAGAGAATTATTTTGAAGAGAGTAAAAAGCACGTTTTAAAAAGTGAACCTGTTAAAGATGTGAGTTCAAATATCCTTAATTATTAGATAAACCTGTTATTTCAATCTGAGATTTTGGTTAGAGTCGCTGCATAGGATGTGATGAAATATATAATTTTCTCAAATATTATTAGTTTATTCTTTGACAAAATTCATGAGATTTAACCTTCTAGCCTTTATTGGTGTCAACCTTTTCAACCATTCCAGGGTACAATTTATGTCAACTGTACGCCCAAGGTCCACCAGGGCTTTATGGAGGGCTGGAAATGTGAGCTGTCAGTTAAACCAAAAATATTGTTCACCATGCAAAAGAAATTGATTGATAAATGAAAGCTATGGTGTTTGAGTCTTTATTTTATCCGTTTTCCTGTTAGCTATATATGTGGCTTCTTGTTTTACATTAGATTTTGCATGCTATAAAAATTAGTTTATTGGTTTGTACACCGAATGCCATAGAAAGAAGAATGATAATCAGAAATGATCATGTTAATATTTGTGCATGGGTGTCACATGTTGTAATTTGATTCAAGTTGATTTGCTGATCTATGAAAATGATCAGGCCATAAGTTTTTATACTTAGGTAGCTGGGTACTTTCTTCTTACTGAGGAGGCTGTCGAAGGCCAGCCAAAATTCGAAAAAAAAATTTTGAGCATGCATGTGTGTATTTAATTATGGTTTATAAACACATTAAAGGTACCAAGTTACCTAAGTATAATTTGTCATACAACACATGGGATCTCTTAAGATCCTTGGCCCAAAAAGCCAGTGACCGATAAAAAGTTTTTTGCCATACATATTAATGTCCTTTATCCCCTATTTAAACTCATCTAAAGTTAAAAGCCACTTATTAAAGTTCAAGATTATTTCATCGCAAAGCTCTCTTTATGATTTAGATTGTTATTTCTTTAGGATGCGTCACCTGACACACCAACAGAAGAAGTCCTTGCACAGCAACAAATTAAATTATTTGATGTAAGATATCTACTATAGATTTCAATTTTTAGTCTATTTAATTTCTTTTTATGATGCTCCTTGCTTTGCAGTTTCTGCAATTACTGATATATTTTTCAACCTTTCTTGGTTGCTGCAGATTCAGAAAGCATGTAGATAAAAAGTATTTGGCTCTCCTACATATACAGTATAATATTTTCATTTTTTCTAAACTTGGAAAGTGGATGCTTTTTAATGACATTCAGTATATTGTTTAAAATAGCCAGAGGCGGATATGGAGTCAGCAGAACCACCCCAAAATGAAAATGAAGAAGAATTTGACATCCCACTCCCCAATGTTATGGAGCTTGCCCACTGCTTTGAGCAAGCAGGAATTGGTCTAGCAAGGGAAGAATTATATCGAGTCTTCCTTGCACTAAAGCAGTTAGTCTTCAGCTATCCACTGACAAGTGTAAGATTTTGGGGTAAGTTGTAGATTCTGTTTAGCTTATATACTTAAGCTTACTTAAGATTAAGTCCTAATCTAAACTTAAGCTAAAAATCTTGATGGGCATTTTTATAGAATTTTATAGAAGTTATTATAGAATTTCAAATTATGTCTTGTCGCCCATCCTTTATTTCCTCTTTTATATGAAGAATAATGGCAAATTTTTTTATTTGCCATATTTGAAAATATTTGTAGCAAATATTAGATTTATTACAGACATGAAATAAAGCAATGATGTAAACTAGCTTTTAGGACATAATTTTTGGTATTTTTCACTATAATATGCTGCATAAAGTTTTTGAATAAATTAGAAGTGAAGTTGTAGCATGTGCATTTTTTGGTGTTGGCTCTTGTAGATTGAAATAAACTTACAAAAACTAGATTAGGCTGTTTACCATTGGTATACAATTTTCTAAGTTTGTAAGATGCCCAAAGTCGAAAAATATAATGAATGCAAATGGATTATGTTGTTTCATTTTACCCTGTTTCTTAGGAAAGATTTTTGGAGTTGAAAAAAATTATATTGTTGCTGAAGTTGAATTTAGAGAAGGGGAGGATGCAGAAGAAGAAGTTGGTGAGGTAAATAATTGGCAATTTTATTGGTTTGATTTTAAATTCAGCTGCAAATGTTCTCTACTTACGGATTCACCTTTTTGACAACTTTTTATCCTCTTACATACACATAACATTTATCTTCATTTACTTTTAGGTTTTGGAAGAAATAATTGAGGTTTGATGCAATAAATTTAGATTTTCATAAAGATTAAGATAGAGAATATCATAATATTTAATCTCTTTTAAAGGCACTATGCCCTGTCTGTCAGCTGTTCAGAGTAAACAGCAGGCTTTGCAGCATGTTTAAAATTGAGAAAACATGGATAATTAGCTGATTGGCTCTGTAACAATAGGTCTATTGTATAGTCTAACCAATGAGAACTTAAATGGCCATCAAAATGCGGTGGGACATTGCCTTTAACATAAGCTTAGAATATTAGAATAAAACATCAAGGTTTTTGTAAAATCTGATAACATTGAATTTAGAATTATAAATTGTAAATTATAAAGTGTTCAATTCATAAATTTAATTATATGTTTAATTTTTAAACAATTAAATTTTTGAAGAGACTTATCAACCATAAAAATACCATTTTTATGTATATTCAGTGATCAAATGCTGTCTGAATGTGCAAAAAAATTCTCATTTATTGTATAAAACCCATACATATAATATATTTCAAAACAATGATAATGTATTTCACATAAATTACCTTCTTTCAAGAAATTTTTGCCTTTTCTGTAACTCAGAATAGTTAAAAGCAACTTGATTATATATGGCAATTCCTGGCACCCTCAGTACCAGAAGCAAATGCCATTTTTACATCCTCTAACATGTAAGGTTTTCTATTAAATTGAAACTTAACATGAGGTGAATCAAGTTCTTTCTATAGAAATTTTAGAAACTAAAATAACATATCAATTTTTAATCCTTAAATCATAATGTAAACAAGTGTTCTTTTGAAGATGTGCTATGGTTGTGGTCATATTTCCAAGTCCTTATCTTTTCTAAGGAAAGTGGTAAGAATCAATGCATAGTCTATGGCATCATCATATTTTAACATCTTGGCATGTAAATATAAGCTTATGTGTTCATAAACATAAGAATCAAATTTAAAACATTTTTGAGAAATATATTTATATTTCTATTCAAAGTAAACCATTAAAGTGGAACTTGGTTGTTTTAATCAATAAATGTAAATACTGCAAACTTTGCTTTTAAATATCGATGTAGAAATATATATAAAATTTTCGAAATTAAGCAAAAAATAAACTAAAAATTAAGTCAAAATGCACCAATCTTAAATACAAATTAATTTTAAGATTTATGCTAACTTTTTGAGATTATTAATTGTTTTTCCCTTTATTTCATTGACCAAGGCATCAGTCTTTTACTTGTTGCTGAGAAATTGTTGGTTGCGCCCCCGTGTATAAATTTTTGTGGCTCTATGTTTTTTATCGTCGGGAAATTTGTAGGGTGGCACAGGATATTCAAAATAGTAGAGACTCAGGGTCTATTAGTATCTTATCGATGCGCAGCAACTGATGTTGAATGGTATTGTATGATGATATCCTTCAATTGTTTAACAGGCTAGAGGTTCCCGTCATGGGATCTTTTCATAAGAACATTTAACTGTAGAAACTTTGCCCACTAGGCTGTGGCCGTTCGCCTTAACAATTTAGAAAACATTTTTTCTTATGAATGACGTCATAGGTGTAAAAGTGCATCTGTGATTGTTAAGCCAGAAAAGGCTACTTTTTCAAATGCCCGTGCTCCTTACTAAAACCACATAAAACCAGAAATACACTATCGATGTGGGTCTATATATGTTTGTCCCATTTTTAGGGTGAAGGCGACGAAGAGCGAGAAGATGATCGAAGGGATGATGGAAGCGAGGGTAATTTTCACGAAAAATTCTTAGTTCGGCTTTCTAGAAGCTAGAAATTGCTCCTCCTTTCTTAAGCAAAGAGCCAACGCTGTTAAGAAATAGTGGTGAAAAGATGTAGTCATGGGGTTTCGTATCTCTGATTCTTATGCTTTAAATTTTCCCTTCGCAGTAGTTAGCCTTGCAGCCGTCTCTTTTGCAGATTTTCTAACGATGCTAAGTAGCTCTTGTTCAATATTTAATGAAGACCAAGCTCATTTTAATGTTCGTATCAGGTTCATGGGAGTGAATACATTGCAAAGGGAGAAAAGCAAATCATTACTAACGAATGGTGCGATTTGGTCCATGCACGGCTTTCCATATTGAAGCCTATATATGCAGTTATCAACAACATGTAAAGCAGGATCATTCTAAATAAGCTGGAAGCGCGTGGAGTTTGTGTTAAATGTTGTGATCACTTCTCCGTCAAAGTTAAAAATAAACGCAAAAATTGAAGTAAAAAGTATGCTCTAGTCCTTTACAAGCAGAAAAGTAATTATTACAAGCAAAGCAACAGAGTCAGCGTTGGAAGCTTTTCCTGTTCACTGTTCAAAGCTTTGCAAGAGTACTCAGCGGACGTTTGAAGCTTGAGCTGTTACAGCACAGTTCTTTAATATCATTTAGCCCAAGATGTATTGCTTGAAAATGAAAACTTCTTGCTGTTGTTTCTACCACAGGTGATGAGGTGCACTGCATACCTTGCACTGCATATAATGGGACACGTAAACTTGGAAGAAAAAATTACGTAATGACGTAATAGTTTTATTATCGCTGTGAACAATTTATGAAAGGTTTGAGAGATTCTCTGTTCCATATTTTGCTAACAAGGCTTTATTCTATCTTCATATAGAAGGTGTTCCAAGTGAAGAGGACGACATACCAAAGTCCCAGTGGAAACCGCCTCCTGTTATTCCCAAAGAAGATCATCACAATGGAACAAATAAAAAAGTCTACTTTGTCTGCAATGAAGGTTGGTGAACATTTTGTGATTTTGTGATATTGGAATTAAGTGATTGAATAATCTTACAGTTCCCTTTCCTTTTGGTTTTGTTTTTTATGATATGGTTGCATTACCAGAAGTTTACGGGCAGTAAATTAAAGTTGGCCACAATGTTCAATGCACCATAGGCTTGACTGCCTGCTAGCGGATTGCCTCATCTCTGATTACGTAATTGCATCTGAACTTTGTCAACTATTTGCACTGAAATATTAATTTACCAACTATTGAAAAATCCTCTGTACTTACGATTCAATTGAGTATGTTTTACTAGTTGCGTCAATGAATATTTGCAATGTGCGCAAACAGTAGCAAAATTTCCTTAATTTTTTAGCTGGACAGCCATGGGTTAGGCTACCGCACGTAAATCCAGCACAAATTGTTGCCGCAAGGCAGATAAAGAAATTCTTTACTGGAAAATTGGATACCCAGGTAAGATACTCAGTAAATTAGCGTTATTGTATTATCGGGGTACAACTATGAAAGCTCAAAGGATCATATAATCAACATATCCGAAAGCATAATAAAACATTTAAATCTTTTATCCTTTGCAGCCTTGCAAAATGTTGCTTGTATATCTTTGCAGTGTTATTTCTTTATGCATGCAAGATAATAAGGAATTTATTCAAGAGAGAAGCCTAGAACTAATGCTCAGTTTCTCAATGTTTGTTGATCTTGGTACTTGAATTCTCTAAAAGACCTCTTAGATACCTAATGCTAAAATCCTTTTTTCTTTAATTATATTTTTGAAATAAAATTAAACGTAAGATTAGGTCACTTAGAATAAAACACCTACTCGGTTACAAGTGTATTTTCTACCAATTTTTATGTCACTTGAACCGGAAATCGGTACCTTTTCGTTTAAAAGAATCATTCCCATCCCATTTTAATTGAAGCATGTTTGGGTAGTGTCCTGCGGTTGACATTGCTCAGGACTTTGGTTTCTTATTTGTTTGTCATATCGGGGATTAGTTTCTTATAGATGTTTTCTTTTAAAAAGATACGGAAATCACATCATTTACTTGTGAATTCTGAACTGCACCAAGTCAGCCTTTTTATTTTTCTTCAAGATCATCAGTTTTCCACCTTTCAATGGTACAGAAGCTAACTACCTTCGTGCTCAAATCGCAAGAATTAGTGCTGGTACCCATATCAGTCCGGCGGGATACTTTATTTTTGAGGAAGACGAAGAAGAAGAGGAAGAAGGACAGCGTAAGTATTCTCATTTTTTACGATGGTATTTTACCAGGTTTTAGATACAGTGTCCAGTCACAGGTGACAAAAGTGACAGTCACATGAGTGACGACCTTGTGAAGATAGTTCATAAAAGGCAATTTATTTAAAAAACTTGCGCTTTTTTGTTTAGTACTTTTTAAGGCTTTGGATGTTTTCGTTCTCTGGCCGGATGAACTATAACTGTAGGCTACTTAATTAAAGTAATGCCTATCTTACGTTGCAAGTATTGATTCTCAAATCTTCCTAGCGCAATAGATACTAGCTTGCAATATGTATCTGCCAATGTATTTGGTTTGCACCCAATTAACCAACACAGATTCCAAGGAGTCTTTCAACCGACCTATAGAAAAAGCTCACATTTGAAAATCTTCTTTGACAGGAACCCGATTTCTGTTGCCTTAATAGTCTTGTCTAGCGCCAAGTTTATTTTAAAAAACTTACAGACCAATAAGAAGCTGTGATTTTTAGGCTAAATTGGGTTCTAGGGCTACTATGAATTGTCTTGCCCACGAACTTTTTAGGACAATTCACGTAAAATCTATCATAAAAATGTGTTTCATTTAAGCCTTTGAGATATCATATCTATCGACAATTTACGGTCACATTCAGCTTTTCAAATGTTTATGTTCACGTTAAGCTTTTAGTTTCATTAATAAAAATCCATTGACCTTTGGCAGCTTGCTTGTCAGAACATTGTCGCAATTTTCTGCAATTGTGCCTAAACTCAATTTAATCACAAACACAAATCATTTTAGCTCGGGATTCATTCGAGCAAAACGTGGAATTCGAAGGCCTACCTCTGCGGGATCTAGTAGATCCATCAATGCAGAACTGGATACACCATGTGCAACACATCCTGCCGCAAGGAAGATGCACTTGGTATGATCCCTTTCAAAAGCCGGAAGATGATTTCGAGGATGAAGATTTGGATGAAGAAGAAGAAGACAAAATGGACAGTGTCCAGCCAGAAGTGGGCCCACCTTTGCTGACTTGTGTTGCTGATGACGAGGGTAAGCTCCTATAGTGAGACTTATTATCTGAAATTCCTGATTTCGCAAGATAATTCTAGATGGTAATGCTCAGGTGTAGTGCCGCTTCTTAAAGCAAGAAAAAAAGCTTCTTCTTGTTGAAGATTTTCTCATAAGGCTTGATGTTCTAAGCTTTGGGATAGATGCTTGTCAATTGTAATGATAATTGCAACTATCTATTTTAAATCCTCGAAATAAGGTAAAACAAGAAAACTTCATAGCCACAAAAGGGCCAATTAGCAAAGTGTTCGAATTTAATTGCTGATCCACCATACTACCTTACGAACCAATGTAAGTAGAATGGCAGAAAATCGTAAAACAGTACTACATAATGCAACTGTAAACGGCCTCTGTCCTAGGGAGTATGTATTTGGCGCCATCAGCTAACCAGTATTTCATTCCAGTTTTCAATCTTAGGCAGTAGATGTTTATGCTAATGTAAATGTTCATTTCTATGTTTTACTCAATTCAGAATATGAAAATTCCAAATCCATGTAATTAGCCGTGTCTTCCTTTTCTCCCAGCCTTACCCACAGTGCCTGCTTGGACTACTTACGCATCTTCAAAAGCATTGCCTGAGTATGCCGTTGCTGTAGTGCGGTCAAATCGTTGGCCAGGTGCTTACACATTCTCTAAAGGGAGGTATGTGCTTGCTGTTTTTTCATTCAATACATCTTAAAGTGATCCAAATTGAAAATTTTCTATTGTAAAGAAGACACCCTGAAAATCTGATTCAGAGATTTGATACAATTAGTTTAAATAGCTTTTTGTGTGTGCAATTGATAAACTTTAGAGAACCTCCTGTCTCGGTTTTGGAGAAAACCCCCTTGAAAATCTTTTTGGAAGTACCTGAAATTCATTTCAGTCTGAGCCGAAGTGCTCAATGAGAGGGAGAAATGAAAATCAGGTCGACCTGATTTCGTTTCGGTTTTTCAGGTCGGTCTGAAATTTCAGATCAACTTCAAATCCGCATGTGTGCAGAAAATTCTTTGAAAATCGGGGCGAAATTAAACTCGTGTAGAAAAATGTATTGCCCTCTGGGATGCATGCATGGTGAATTTGGCGCCATTTGACCATTTATTTGACCACAGCCAATATCTGCACAAAGCACCACATTCTCTTCATAAGCAAGAACAATTTCCTGATCAAGATTGCTTATTTGAGACATCAGTTGAAGAAGCAAAACAAAATGAAGTTGCAAAACAAAGACTAAAACAACCAAAATCGATTTCAATACTAATATGAAATTTGAATTATTTTGCGCCATGTTTGTTTTGATCAGAATTTGAAATAAATGCGTATGTGTATAACCCTGTGGAATTTCAAGCCGGTTTGGAAATATTCATATAAGCAGTAGTCGAATTAGCACGCGCAATCAAATTTCAAGCCGGCTTGAGTTTCAGACCGGCCTGAAATTGTTCATGTGAGAGGGGTCTAAGAACAATGTACAAATTTGTATCTATATATTGCAAACCTAGTAGGGATAAAGACTGGCGTGTGAAAAATCATGCCGTTTCTCACGTTAATTATTGGGATCCGATCCTCGAGATAATTCCGTTAACTGCTGGGTGAAATATTTAAGCCTGGAAGTTGTTTTTAGTATAAAATATTCTAAATTATTTTTGGTGCCGTTTTGCGATTGTCAATTTTTGAAAATTGACTTCTTAAACCCTGCTTCTTACATCGACATTGGTTTTGAAACTCTAAGATATTGACTGATTGAATTTTGTGGCAATTTTATTGCCAGTCGCCATTTAATTGCTGTATGAGTTATAGCACTGTTTTTGGCGAAGATACTTTCACCATTTCAGCGTGGAGCTTTAATCTCTACTACCCTTTTTTATTTTGAATCATAGTCGCCGGTTTCTTGATAATGAGTTCTTATAACTCTCTTCAAAAATTAGAAAATTTGAAAACATTTACATTGGTTATGGGCATAAATACAAAGCGGAGAATTACTCGCCTCCAATACCGCCTACTGCACTTGATGAATACCCAGTGGGTCCCGATGTCATGGAAATGGATGACCCAACAGTCGAGGATGAGCAAGCATTAAAGAGGGCACAGGAAGAAGCCATGAAGGCTGCGGAGGAGATGGATGGAATCGATGATGATGAGGACGATGCAGACTAGCCCACGTGACTTTCAATTACTAGTTGTTGATATGTAAATATGGTAAATTTTTAATATTCCTCATTATCCATGCTTAGCTTGAAATTTGTACCTTAATCTGTCTTAATAGTGTGGAAACTCTGTTTTCGGCTATGTTAATTGCATTCCATAACTATCTGCACATGAAACAGTACATTGCTTACTGTTCATTATAGTTGTCAAATATATTGCAAAACATCTATTTAGAGCCATTGTAAATATTTTGCAGATTTTGAGGTCAGGATCATTAGTTGATAAACGCCTTACTAGCCTCTGTAAGATCACGGGCTAATCGAGCACTTTTCCAAAAAATTTTCATTTACAAAATATGAAAACTTGGGTAAACAATTTATGGTTTGAAGCCTGTGATTTACTCTTTGCAATATTTAGTAGCTGTTTCGTGGATAAAAAACATCTCATACCTATATAATGTTTTAAGTTGCAAGCTTGAAAGATGTTGACACGCGAACATAAGCTATGTTTAAATATAAGACGCTCACTGGAAGAACAAAACTTGATCTCTGTACCGATTCAAAAATTCTCTTTCGTTGTTGCCTTGTTTTGAAAAAAGGTAGTTACCTCAGTTATCGTAAAGACTTGGTTCATTTGTTTGGTTTTGGTAGGAAGTTTGGTTAATTTTTGCCTCTAGCTCGCACACATTTATAAAACCTAGTAATCGAAACGTAGTTTATTGAAATTTGTGCCAGAAGAATCAAGGGGATAAGCGAGTCCAAAGAAAGTGGCTGCCACGCTGATGACGAAGGTAAGTCAAAAGGAACAAAAGAGTTTCATGTTCTGCGCTCAGGCCACGCATTTCTTTAATGTTTTGTAGGAATGTGTTGATAGTTTTGATGTTTGGACCAGGAGAATGATAAAGCCATTTTTGACTCTCTGTGCCAACTATTTAGTTCTCTGTACAGAAAGCCTGTCTTGGTGCCTTTGTGTCTCAAAATTACCATGGCGACCACAAAAAGACGTTTAGCGCTGAGAAGTAATTAAAAGATACATTTGAATAGCGATTGTTATTGGCTGTCTCCCTTACAGAATTAAGGACGTATAGGGGATCATAATTCTTTGTCATTAAACAGAAATAGCTGATTACGTATAATTCATTGCAACATTATGAAAAGGAAATTAGTTTTTAAAGTGGTAATTTGTTTGAAAATTTAGATTTCTTTTCCTCTTCAAGTGTAACGTCAAGCTGACAGGGCCCTACCCACCAAGTTTCCTGGTCTTTTCAAATGATGCCAAGAATCCAGCTCCTTAATTAGATTTGCAGCTGAATCATTGTAGCTAGTCCAATTGATTCCAGTTGAATAATTCATATTAATGATTTAGTCAATTAAGAAAATTATACATCTAATACAAGGACCAAATTTCGTTAGCCCTGTTCCCGTTTTACGTTTTTCGTCAGTATACTGTAGGGTTGGTATTGTTTTGTCATGTGGTCAGACATCAATTCAAACAATGACTCCTCTAGCACTAGAAGCATTTTATTTGTAATGAAAGATTTTTTACATTGCTGTAGATCCTCTCATTCTGCAGATCATGCTAAGTCCTTTGAAGTTTGTCTATCAATTTATCAAGCATTGACGTAAAACTTGCTAATGTACGACATCCAACAGTAGATTTGTTGCGCTTATCGATTCCGTGCATCCAAGCTCCATAATGTTATCAAAATTTGATACATCTTTAGTTAACTACAGTTATGGGTAGAGGCATGGGGGCTGTAGCCTTCATAACTCTTACACACTATGAAAGCTACTTTTTGTTGAACTGACAAAACATTGTAAACTTTCTCTGCTTCTTATAATGTGTTAAGATCCTTAACCCTTGATGGAGGGAATCCTATACAGCCTGATTAAATCGTAAGTAGAACTTTGCTAATGCTCCTTCTCACTCGTTTTCTCCCCGCGACGCTCAATACAGATCACCAATCATTACGATAGTTCTGTGCGGTATAGGGTAGCTATTAATTCCATAATTGCTTCTTTCTTTAGAACAAAATGATTCTTTGCCTATACAAAAAGAGTATCTAAATTAATTTTTGTCTGAATTAATGGGACACTACTATCCCACTTTCCTTGAAACTTAATGAACGATTTCCTCAGAATAGCAAGTCTTCCTTTTAGCACTGAACCTTTTGTTTCTTTCAGAATTCAGCGAATATTTTTGATATCACAATAAGGTTTTGATTATGCCCTGCTACATCATCTATCTATTTAGCCCTTATTACTCCAGGAAACAGGACTTAATCAAAGTGACTTATCAAGCTTTTTGCAAGTGTAATTAACAGCTAGGAGTTACTGTTATCCGTGTCCTCAATGGTATTTCACATGCCTGCAGCTAATGGGCAGTTTGGGGAAATTTAAAGTTTCCAGTAAAAGATGCAGGGAATAACCCCTCTTTCCTCAAACAACGTTCCTTGAAGAGCCTATACCCTGGGTACCAGAGCCTCAGAAAGTCAAAGGATGATGACCGGTTTGAAAAGTTGCAAAGAACGGGGAAGTCCTTCCCATCCCCATTCGCAATCCCTTTTCCGCCTTCATAACCCTTCGACTCTCTGAGGCTCTGGTACCCAGGGTAAAGAGCCTGTTGCATAAACTATCGAACAAAACTATCTTGAATAAACTATTGCTATTATACATTGTTTCATGAGGAGCTGGGGATGCTACTGAAAACACGCGACATTCTATCGTAGTGTATCAGGCATTTTGGCTGGCATTGTCAGTGGCGGTTTTAAAGGGGGGCCATGGCCCCAGGCCCCGCGCTTATGGCAGCCAAAAGGGGCCCCACACCTGAGAAAAAAGATAGAAATTGTAAAGAACAAGGGCCCCGCAGATGTTTTTTGCCCCGGGCCCTCCAGTCCCTAATACCGCCACTGGGCATTGTAACATTTGTGGATTCAATTTTTCCTGTTTTTGTAAGCTTGATTTACCTATAAAAGTGTCATATGAAGCTATGCATCCTTGATTCAACCAGCACGTGTTACGATATTACCAGTAATGTTCTACTTACCCTTTCAACTTTGTTCCTCTTTTTCCTTCATTGAGTTGTGAATTTGAGTTCGGCCATGTAGATGTGGTCGGGCAAACATATTTTTAATTAGTAATGCAAGCATCGTAATGGGAAAATGTTTGATTACGAAGTTATTGCATTGTTCAACATGCATTAGATTGCTTCTACTTGGTTTTTCAAGCCGAAGTGAAATCTAATAAAAAATTAACGAGGACTAGGCTTGAATTTTACGCGACTGGAATAGAAACAATTTACTACGGACGACATCAGAAGTGACATTAAGACATTAAGAAAGTAAAGGTGTTCAAAATAATCTTGTATTTGTTTTAATTTCATTCTCAAATTTTTAGCGCTCCGTGAAATACAAATTGTTTTGTTTTTATTTCATCCAAATCAAAAACATCACTAGCTACTCAATAAATCCCCTACAACAAATAAATCATATGCTTTTCTGTCACGTCCAGCTGAATTCGTGATAAATTATGTAGACCCATAGGTGGACAATTTTCCCAGATCTTTTATGTGTTCAATTATATGTCGATGTAAGTCAGTCAATTACGCAACTTAATGTAACAAAGCCTCTGCTACATTTGAATATAAAATCGATTAATGAATTGGTGGAGTCGTAAGAACTAATCAGACACAAAGCCAGATGTTACAGTGGCCACTCCCTTTGGTCGAAGCACTGTGAACATGCTTTCAATAAACATACATTTACCATGTTATAAGCGTATTTTTATGAGAAGTCAATGGATGGAAAAAGGCTATCGGAGTTATAGTGTGTTAATACATTTTGTACAATTTCCATTGGTCCTCTCGAGTCTTGCAAAGAAAGAAGCTATTTCATTAAGATCATGACAAATATCAAGCTACACCAAATCTTGGAATTCCTCCAGTTCAAAGATTCAGTGTAGTGAAATCTTCAAATCTCAGTTACCAACTCTTGCAAACCACCAGAAACTCTTACCCTTCAAACTACTAATTTGTGAAATGACAGAACATTAGATCCTTATAGGCCCAAATCTCCGTTTTATTCAGTACTCCATCATTTGATAAACGAAGCAACTTTATTTTTCTGGAGACGATTACAAAAATCTTTCGTTTTTATGAAAGGCTCCTTTAAGTCCTCTGGGCATAGCCGCTCGTAACACATCATTATGCTCATATATTGAACAAGTCGCGCGCAAGCAGTGATTGTTCATTTATTTGTAAAATGATGTCATTACTTGCCCAATGTAACATTTGCTATAAGATCAAAATTGAAGTAACTTATAATGAGTTTCCTTGTACCCAAGCTTTCATCAACCAGCGTTACACTATTTGACCCGCTTATAAACCCTTAAAGTCTACGCCAGTTTATGCTTATTCACCCTTTACATAAAATATAGATTTAAATAAAGCCTTGGATTCTGATTAACCTTAGTACCAATTTATCCTTCACTATGTGCGTTCGAGGTGTTTAAGGTGCGTAACACTCCCATGCATTTCCTCTTTATAATTACTTATTTGCTATCAATTGCCGTTCCTAATTGGCTGTTAGTGTGTACATCATTGCACTGCGCTGCCCTCATTGCTTAATTAGATAGAGATTCGGACCACGACGCATGTGTCAATGATCACTAACTAGTTGGGTCTTACATAGAGGGTCGATATCAATCTGAATCCGTTCGAATGAAAGCAAAGACGGCACAATGTTATAGTCATCTATTAAAAGAAGCTTTTTATATCTATTTGTTTTTCTGAACAGCAGAGGCCTCTGAATGAGAATGGAGCATTGGTGTGGATGGATTCTGTTTATGACAATACTATACTGTACGGAAGGAAGAGATTTTCATGAAAAGGCAAAATACCTCGGTTTGCAGGTAAGCATACAAAAACGTATTAATCATAATTTGCTAAAATCTCTGACATCCATATCACCACTTTTTAAAGGTTGGTGAGTTTACCTTTTTGCAATCCTCTGGATAGGTTTAGTTCATGTGACTTCAATATATTCTGAGTCATTGGTGAGGATCTTTGCTACTTAGCAAGCTTCTGGGGTCAATTTCTGAAATGTTTAAATCAGTACTAAACTCGTAAATACAACATATTTAAGTCTACGCATTCTTATATTTTATGTTGGGTATGGAGTCTACTGGTACAAATGAAAACAAATAAATATTTTGGGTATGGAGTCTTAATGGATTGGCTGACATTGCTCTATGAAACATTCGAAGCACTGGCTTAACTAGATTGTTTCCAATGGTTGCGAAATGAAGAAGAGTTTTATGTAAAACGTGGCTTGCGCTGCTTTCTGATCTAACTAACATCTTTCACTTAAGTGGGTTTATAAGTGGCAAAAAATTACATGTTGCGAATGAGTTTTAGAAGCTGGCGTATGTAAGTGTGCAACAGGAACTATTTTGCTATTTCTCTTGCCAATGTCACCATTAACCAAACTTGATTACCTATCTAGCCAATGAAATATCTCATTTCATTATTATGGTTTTGTATTAATTGTGAGAGAAACTGGATGTCATTGCATATCGTGTGATCAACGATAACTTACATGGTCCCCCAGTACCCCCGTTTCGTCAATAAGGGCTCCCTCTATTACCGTATTTGGTATCAATGCTACAAAAGATTGAGCAAGGAGCTTTGAAGCGAAGGTTTGATGTGAGAGAGGAAGCTACCTGAAGATTTGTCCCCTGCCAATTTGCCATGATTTGGGTATTAGTTCTCTGGAAAAGGTAAATAAAAGCAAAAGCAGGGCTGTCGCTAGCGGGGGTTGCGGGGGTGCGGCACTCCCCCCCCCCCTAGAAAATTCTTGTCGGCAAAGTTTCAAAAAGTAGAGTTTTGTTAGGTTTTGCTTTCAAAGTTTCCAAAGCAATAGCTTTAACTTGCAGTGTGGATGACATGATGATAAGACCGAAAAAGAAACTGTCGGCATATCCAGGGCCACCTAATTTCCACCTAAAGTTTGGGGAAGATCAAAATTTATTGAACAAGTCTGAACGCTGATCCTGGAGGTACTGGAAGCGGGGCAGGGCAAGGGAGGTAAAGTGCCCCAGGGTCTTGAGGTCTAGAGCGCCTCCTAATGTAGTGAATTCCATTTTAAGAATAGAATTAACGAAACGTAGCAAAAATATGTAAGACGTTCAAAACGTTTGCAAGAAATGACTTCAATAGTTATTCTGAAATGTATTTTTAAGATAATCTAAAGGGCGTGATCGCAAAATATTTCTGGTCGATCCTCTCGTAAGGGGCCACGTCTTTCAGTTTTGCCTCCAAAATCACTGTCCAGTGCCCCTACCCTTTGCCCCACTTCTCTACAGCGACACCCCCGTATTAAAGGGTGGTATATTTTAAATATTTAGACTAAAGGTGCGAATATTGAAGACCCTGAACATACGGAAGATCTCAAAAAGCCAACACTCGTTCCCCGTTTTTAATACCATGCTAAAAGCCAATAAATGCAAGCTGGGCACGTTGTAAATTCACCGCAAATTTGAAAACAATAATCCCAAAGTATCTCACTGTTCAATTATATTGATCAGAAATATATTACAAAGTTGTTATCGAAACCACTGAATTCTCTTAATTTGTGTTGAGATGATGGCTGTAACGATATTGGATCGACCTAGTCTCGCGTTCAAACCTTGATTGGCTAAAGAAGATATATTGCATCACCCGGAATCAATGCATTGTGACTAGATACAAATATATGAACACAATTTCACCATAGTAAGAAATTAGCGAATGAGTGCTTAACTATTGTTGACTTAGTTACAAACTGAGTACAAATGAGTTTAAGGGCGAAACTTCACTATTTTCATTAGGGGAGTATGAAGCTTAGATGCCCGAAGAAAGGGCGTGTCATGCTTGATGAAAGGGCGTGTCTTGCAATCACCTAGCTATTCTAAATCACCTAGCTATTAAGAGAGCAGTTCAAAAAAGAGATTGAAGTAGGGTCTCAGTTTTATCAAAGCGGAATAAAAAACACAGCTTGGAAATTTCGGAATTTAGAAACAGCTACGCAGACTACAATGTTTCAACAAAAAAGAGCTTCAGTTGCATTTTCCGAGTTTGATTTTCAACTTTCAGTTGCTCCGGAAGGAATTTCAACATTTGTAGAAACCAGAGCACAAAGTAAGAATCTCTGAATTCACCATAACAAAATCTCTCAATCAAAGAGAGGTTTTTTTGGAAGTATTTTACAGGTACACCTTTCATCAAAGCTCAATTTTCGTGTTTTCGTAATCATAAATATTGTTCAGAAATAGAAGAAACTCGAAAGTTCATATCTTAACTACAATTTCTTGATAAATTTCCTATTTTTTCCCGCTTGAACTGATTAAAACTTTCTGTTGCTTGTCACGGTTATTAGAATTTTTTTAGTTAAAAAACTTAGCGGCTGTACGGCCATTCTCTAGCGAAGGGTGCAATACTTTCTGACCGTAAGTGTAAAACCTTAAGAGAATTTCGGGGCATAACTCCTTATGAATGTATGATGAAAGTTTCATACATTTGGAAAAGAAAATGTCGCTTGATTTTTCTTAATAACGTATTCCGGGATGGTATATCCTTCAAGCTTTGATTTATGATGCTTCTAAAATTGTCAGTGTCTCAGGAAAAATGAGACTCGTTACCTCATGCCAGTCTAATTGCTATTTTGTGGCTTTTTTATTGCAGATATATCATAATTATTACGCGTTAGGCCTGCCTCTCGGATATCATCTAAAGACTGAACAGAGACCTTATATTAATATGAATAGAAATGTGTTTAATTGTACAAAAATGATTAGGCAGTTAGGCCTCTTTGTTTGGGTGTTGGAGTCATGATCCACTAGCCTGCTGCAATACTTTTAAGAAATAACACAGCAATCTCATAACAATTGCCAAATATTAAACTGATCAATTTTGAATCAATCAGTTCAAAATCAAGGCTATCAGCTCGCGTTGTTTTGATATTAAATGCCTCACTATAGCAACCACAATATTACCGCCCTTGTGCTTGTTGTTGCTCTTTTCTTTAAAGGGTTGTCCATAGGTTTCAATTCAACAAAGCAAAATGTGGCAAAAAACGCTTTTCCTTTCAGGTCATATGATTTGGAGCAAATACCAACACCCAAAGGGTCGTTTATCAAATTTCGAAATAATCGTAAGGCTCGAGACAAACGCATTGTGTATGTCTTTGGCATTAGGGAACCACGTGTAGTGATGGGAAAGGTTAGTCAAGGAGGCTTGATGCATTTCTTCTAGATCAAATGGATGGTACACTTCCTGGAACTGCATATTTATGCACTGTTTGATTTTATGTAAATTGTATCAATTATTGGGAAGGATAAGCCCCCTCAGCCACCCCATTTTCTGAGGTCCCAGCTCGAATCTCCAAACTGGCCCATTGTCTGCTGCCACTCTTTATCTGTGAGCTCGAGAAACTTTCTCGTTTTTCTCCAAGCCTACATCAAAACGTTTCATGCCTTTTTCGGTGATTATTTGGCGTCGAAGATGCCTGTTGGCATGATAAGTATTACATATTTTTGATTATCATCTTGGAACGAATAGTAAGGACAGCTTACTCTTTGATTGAGTGGCTTCTTAATAGCAAAAATTTATGTAGTTTAAGATGCGATGTTCGAAGAGACTTTGCTCGCAATGATTTTCTTATGGTCAGGGCCGTTGCTGGCTATTGTCTACTATCAATAGTTTTTGCACTGGGGAAGGGAACTGAGGGGATGTGTCCTCCCTCCACTTCTCGTAAGAACGATTTTGTATTTGTCTCTGTTGGGGGAGGGGTAATATTTTTGCCAAATGTTTTTTGTGACGTGGCTCTTTGATCTAGAAAGTGCTTTTATGTAGCCAAATGTTAGTAACGGATGGTCGTAATTGGTAAAATTAGCATCCCCCCTGTTGGAAAAAAGGTTTGTCCTCCCCCCAAAAAGTCCACCCCAGTGATTGGTCCCACCACCGTGTACCTTGGGTGCCAGAGTCTCTACAATTTGGCCTCAATTATTTATTTTAATTCTAATTTCAGAAAGGAATATTTGAGTAGTAAAAGGAATTTTAGGCCTCTTTCCCTCACCTTCTCCTCATCTACTGCATCGTCGCCAGCGAATTTTTATCACACCTCTCACGTACGTTTACCAAAGGGTTGTCACACCCCCAAACTCCACACCACCCCATATCTTCAGCCGAAGGGCAAATCACTCAATGAAAATCTCGTACACGTTTGGTAAAACCCTGGAAATCTTTTTATTTTTGTGGAAATTTTATACGCTACTTGCAAGATTGAATTGCCACTCGGCTACGGTCCTAATTGTAGTTAGTTGATTGTGTCTGGATTGCTATCTCTTTAGACTTGGAAATTTTTTCCTTGGATTCGGGGGAAACTCTTTCAGTGGCCGGTTTCTGAAAGTAACTTTTTCCTGATTTTAATTTATCTATTTTTTTAGATACCCGCAGTAACTTCACATGGCCTAAGATACAGACGACAAGCATCGACCTACTGTCCATCTCTAAGCACTGTCGATTACCGGTTGTCTGTAACTTTCGTTTTGTGTGTTGATTACCAAAACCTACAGCTCTTTGAAAGAGATATTATTACAAACAAGATCTCAACATTCACTGGTGAAGGAAAGGACAAAATTTCTATGTACCGTCTGTATGTTGCTGATAAACAGCGCGTTTATGACCACATTAAAGGCCCCCCTGGGCTGTCTTGCAGCAACAAAACCAAACTGAAAGATGGATTTGCAGATCCAGGGGGATGGGATCCCATATTTGTTGGGTACCAAACATCTGCTGATGTGCAATTTCAGTGTTCCGAAGATCAAAAAGTGAAAGATTTGGTGAACAGAATCATAACTGAAGTGTCTGTAAACAAATTGCACGGTCACGTTGGATACCACGTCATTGGCTGGACTCTAAATTTGTGGCACTGTGCAGCTCCAACATCGCTACCAGAAACGTAAGCTACAGTATAAACGTTCATTGTCAATATGTATGTATGCATTTTAAAATTAAGATCCAAACTTGCACCTAAAGTTGGAAAAATAACAATAAACCCAACTGTCTTCATAGGTTTTCTTAATCATTTTCTTTTCATATAAGAACTGTGCCAGTTAAAATGCTTTACTTAAAGAAAGATTTGTCTGTTTGCTTACAGAACGACACATGGGCCTTCTTCAGAGCCTGTTCCAGAGACGAGCCCAGTGCCATCATCCGAACCAGAGCCAAGCACCACATTTGTGCCAACGACAGAACCTTTTCCAACAACGGAGCCAGTAGCAACTACAGAACCTTTTCCAACATCTGAGCCACTACCAACAACAGAACCGCTTCCAACGTCAGAACCGGAGCCCACCACAGAACCAGGACCAACGCCAACTGTAAAATACTGTCCTTACACCAACAGTATCAGTTATCATTTAACCATCAGCTTTGTTCTGTGTATTGACTACGATTTTCTCATTAATTATGAACGCACTAACATCCTGAATAAGGTCTCAGTTTTCATGAATGTTCCGACTAATCGAATATCTATGTATCGATGTATGTACCTGACCAACCACGAGTATACGACAGCATAAAAGGTCCCCCTGGTTTTACATGCACTAATAAAACGAAAATCGATCACAGCCTAGCAGATCCTGGGGGCTGGAAGTCAGTCTATAATGGATATCAAACATCTGTGGATGTTTACTTCACTTGCCAGAATCTCCAAGATGTTGCGAACTTAGTGCAAAAGATAAAGTACGAAATATCTCTCAATAAACTTCACGAGCGAGTAGGATTTCATGTCATCGGCTGGGTGTTGTACCGCTGGTACTGCTCAACAATGTCAACAACACCAATGCTGAGGTATGCATCTTGGGTGCACTTTCTTTTTCAATTTTCAAATTTTCGTCATTTTAGATGATCACAATGGGAGGTAGAACGGAATGAATATTTGGATGATTTATGTTGAATCACTTTTTTGAATGAAATAACAGAGCTAAAAGTAGGTTCGCTTTCTGTTCAAATATTGGAGATGGTTGAATTATGGATAATTATTAGTAGTTCTTATATCAAAGAACGATAAATTAGAGCAAATCAAAGATACTGGTATCCCCCTATAGGTAAAAACAAGCAAGTGTGCAAAAAACAAGAAGCACAGACAAACGAAATTGAACCGTTTGTAGTACCGCCTATATGAAGTGGATACTTCATTTTTGTCAGGCCCTAAACAAGTTTTTTCGTAATGATTAAGAAGCTTTTTAAACTGCAGCCTGAGAAACTTAGGGTTCATAAGAACTTTATTTCGAGGTTTCAGCATTGAAAGTGAGCATGGAATCTTATTTGCTACATAATTTTGTCAATGTAACGGGAGCGGGGCGACATGACATATTATGCAGCATGTCAAATGTTGCTCAAATTGGTCTTTGCAAGTGGACCAAATCCTCATTATCGCCATTCCTTCTTCAATACTTGGCATCTTAATTTATATTACAATGTCTCAAACTTATCTTGATTTTCTACTGACTCTAACAGTGGCTGATACATAGTAAACTTTCTTATTTTCAGCACACACTTACCGACCACAGAACCCATCCCCACAACTGAACCATCTCCCATGACGATTACTACAGCGGATCCAGGGACAGGAACCACTCCCAAATTAGTTTACTGTCCTCATACCAACAGTTTGAATCACCGTTTGACGGTCAGCTTTGTCTTCTGCATTGACTACATCTTCTTGCTGCAATATGAGAAAACCAACATTCTCAGTAGGGTATCTAATTTCATGAATGTCACCCAAAGCAGACTTTCCATTTACCGACTGCAAGTGCCTGATCAGCCCAGAGTTTACGATTTTATACGCACTCCCCCTGGTTTTACATGCACTAACAAAACAAAACTCGATCACAGCCTAGCGGACCCAGGGGGATGGAGGTCTGTCTATAACGGCTACCAAACATCTGTCGATGTTTATTTCACATGCCAAGATGCACAATCGGTTGCAGATTTAGTGACAAAGATAAAATACGAGATATCTCTCAACAAACTTCATGATAGATTAGGATTTCACGTGATTGGATGGGTACTCTATCATTGGGACTGCGTGGCTATGACTACGACACCAAAGGTTGACACGTAAGTCAATTAATGAAATAGTCCTTGTTTAATGTAATATACTCACTTTCTTAAGTTTCTGCATTGTAAATATATGTAATGAGAAATGTCTTCACAAATCTTTATTTCTTTAAACACTGTCCAGAACAATATTTCCAAATATATTGAGATAAAATCCTATTCTCCAAAATGTTACTTCAGGACTACTGAGAGAACAACAACAGCCGTGCCATTAACTACAACGAATAAGCCAGCTACCGAAGAACCAACCACAACTGCACCAATAACAAATGTGCAGACGACAACTTCTGAACCAACCACTCAAAAGCCAACTACCGAACAGCCAACTACCATGGCAACAACGTAAGCACTTATTTATAAATCTATGCCTATGCTTCAGTTAGATGGAAAATATCTTTACCTGAATAATTATTTGATTATATTATAGTTTGGTCAAATAATATGCTTAATAACTAATCATTAGCAACTAAAATGGATGTCTTTTCAATTCAAACAAGCTCACACTTCTAAATGTAACGAAGATTACCACTTGTTTCAGTAAAGATGAATCTTTAACTCTGTTCCTTTTGAAAGTGACTATGAATTCACTCTCCCTTCCATAGGACTCCTAGAGTCTGTCAAAGCCCTGTCCAGAATCTTCCAAGTCCTGTCGTTTCATTCACTGCTGGAAATGTGATTGCATTCGTCATTCCTGCTACGTTGTTCCTGGACGCAGAAGATGGAAACACAATCCAACTTCAACTGCAGCTCACCAAAAGCTCTACCAACTTCCCTTCAAAGTGTTGGTTTGCATTCAATCAAACAACACAGTCAATCAGTGGTCTAACCTACACTAATATGGTACCAAGTGGTCAAAATACAATTTCATTTGTCTTCACAGTCACAGCAACCGACTCATGTCAACTTTCCACTTCTGCTGATGTGTCCTTCAACATTCAAGTGCCTGGACGCTCCTGTTTCACAATGTTGTTTGTATTCCAGACGCGAATAACTAGAAACTGTGAGTTTGTGCCTGCACAGCAATTCGCCGAGAAAGTGGCTGCATTTTATGGCCTAAGGCTGAACCGGGATATAACAGTTATAGACTTTTCTAAAGTTGCTGGCAGCAATACGCAGTTTCAAGTCTTGATCGGATTTTCAAGCAACGTTGTTGGTTGTCAACCGTGCAACTTTACTGCATTGACTGAACTGAAGAACCGAATTATTGAAACGTCAACAGGCAGTGTTAAGCCAGAATTTGTCAACGTTGTGTCCCCAGAGTTCATCGTTAACAGCGTCGCAGCTACTGGCTTGGACTCCTGTGCAACACAAACTACCACATCCTTGCCAAGTACAACCTTGACTCCAACAACCACACCACTGACTACAGTTGCAACGTAAGCAAACTAAAAAAATTTTTTTGTCTCTTAGCGTTCCATGGTTAATTTCATTTTTTTATTCTTCAAAAGGTCTCGAAGAAATCTAAATTTTCTTCTATTAAAATATGCTGGATAGACAATACGCTAAAGCTAAAGATCGTCTTTATGGATCCTATGACATACCTTATGACCTGATAGAGGTCTAGGCACACTAATACCAAAGATTTCAAGTTTTGTACCCAACCTGTTGCAACACACATCACTTGACCGTGATAACCGTGATAAAGGTATTTGATCTGGGATGGCCATTTCAAATCAGATCAAATTGCTTTATGTCTAACCTATCTTTGTACTACGATTTTTCTCTCTTTCCATAGGACTCCTAGAGTTTGTCAAAGTCCTGTCCAGAACATTCCAAATCCTGTCGTTTCATTCACTGCTGGAAATGTGATTGCATTCGTCATTCCTGCTATGTTGTTTCTGGACGCAGAAGATGGAAACACACGCCAACTTCAACTGCAGCTCACCAAAAGCTCCACCAACTTCCCTTCAAAGTGTTGGTTTGCATTCAATCGAACAACACAGTCAATTAGTGGTCTAACATACACTAATATGCTACCAAGTGGTCAAAATTCAATTTCATTTGTCTTCACAGTCACAGCAACCGACTCATGTCAACTTTCCACTTCTGCAGATGTGTCCTTCAACATTCAAGTGCCTGGACGCTCTTGCTTCACAATGTTCTTTGTATTCCAGACACGAATAACTAGAAACTGTGAGTTTGTGCCTGCACAGCAATTTGCAGAGAAAGTCGCTGCATTTTATGGCCTAAGGCTAAACCGGGATATAACAGTTATAGACTTTTCTAAAGTTGCTGGCAGCAATACGCAGTTTCAAGTCTTGATCGGATTTTCAAGCAACATTGTTGGTTGTCAACCGTGCAACTTTACAGCATTGACTGAACTGAAGAACCAAATTATTGAATCGTCAACAGGCAGTGTTAAGCCAGAATTTATCAACGTTGTGTCCCCAGAGTTCATCGTTAACAGCGTCGCAGCTACTGGCTTGGACTCCTGTGCAACACAAACTACCACATCCTTGCCAAGTACAACCTTGCCTCCAACAACCACACCACTGACTACAGTTGCAACGTAAGCAAACTAAAAAAATTTTGTTGTCTCTTAGCGTTCCATGGTTAATTTCATTTTTTTATTCTTCAAAAGGTATCGAAGAAATTTAAATTTTCCTCTATTAAAGTATGCTGGATAGACAATACGCTAAAGCTAAAGATCGTCTTTATAGATCCTATGACATACCTTATGACCTGATAGAGGTCAAGGCACACTAACACCAAAGACTTCAAGTTTTGTACCCAACCTGTTGCAACACATATTTCTGTCTATTATCTATTGCCAGTTTTGAAAAGCACTTGACCGTGATAACCTTGATAAAGATATATGATCTGGGATGGCCATTTCAAATCAGATCAAATTGCTTTATGTCTAACCTATCTATGTACTACGATTTTTCTCTCTTTCCGTAGGACTCCTAGAGTTTGTCAAAGTCCTGTCCAGAACATTCCAAATCCTGTCGTTTCATTCACTGCTGGAAATGTAATTGCATTCGTCATTCCTGCTACGTTGTTCCTGGACGCAGAAGATGGAAACACACGCCAACTTCAACTGCAGCTCACCAAAAGCTCCACCAACTTCCCTTCAAAGTGTTGGTTTGCATTCAATCAAACAACACAGTCAATCAGTGGTCTAACATACACTAATATGCTACCAAGTGGTCAAAATACAATTTCATTTGTCTTTACAGTCACAGCAACTGACTCATGTCAACTTTCCACTTCTGCAGATGTGTCCTTCAACATTCAAGTGCCTGGACGCTCCTGCTTCACAATGTTGTTTGTATTCCAGACACGAATAAATAGAAACTGTGAGTTTTTGCCTGCACAGCAATTTGCAGAGAAAGTCGCTGCATTTTATGGCCTAAGGCTGAACCAGGATATAACAGTTATAGACTTTTCTAAAGTGGCTGGCAGCAATACGCAGTTTCAAGTCTTGATCGGATTTTCAAGCAACGTTGTTAGTTGTCAACCGTGTAACTTTACTGCATTGACTGAACTGAAAAACCGAATTATTGCAACGTCAACAGGCAGTGTTAAGCCAGAATTTGTCAACGTTGTGTCCCCGGAGTTCATCGTAAACAGCGTCGCAGCTACTGGCTTGGACTCCTGCGCAACACAAACTACCACATCCTTGCCAAGTACGACTTTGCCTCCAACAACCACACCACTGACTACAGTTTCAACGTAAGCCGGCTAAATAATTGTTGTTGTTTGTTGGTGTTTATGTTTGTTGTCATTCGAAACGAATAAGAAAATTCATCCATTTGTTGCGGTTGCAACATTTTGATTCTACACATTGTCAATATGATTCTTAGATGGAATACATAGGGCAAATTGAGGTTCCTGCACATTGAAATGAAAGACATCAAATTTTGTACCGAGCCTGTTGCAAAGAATTTTTTTTAGGCTTTTTGCTATTGCTAGTTTTGAAGAGCACTGGACCGTGACAAGGAACGATGATCTTGGTTTGCTATATCCAAATCAGGTCAAATTCCTTTATGTCTTGCCTATCTTTGTACTACGATTTTTCTCTCTTTCCGTAGGACTCCTAGAGTTTGTCAAAGTCCTGTCCAGAACATTCCAAATCCTGTCGTTTCATTCACTGCTGGAAATGTGATTGCATTCGTCATTCCTGCTATGTTGTTCCTGGACGCAGAAGATGGAAACACACGCCAACTTCAACTGCAGCTCACCAAAAGCTCCATCAACTTCCCTTCAAAGTGTTGGTTTGCATTCAATCAAACAACACAGTCAATCAGTGGTCTAACATACACTAATATGCTACCAAGTGGTCAAAATACAATTTCATTTGTCTTCACAGTCACAGCAACCGACTCATGTCAACTTTCCACTTCTGCAGATGTGTCCTTCAACATTCAAGTGCCTGGACGCTCCTGCTTCACAATGTTGTTTGTATTCCAGACACGAATAACTAGAAACTGTGAGTTTGTGCCTGCACAGCAATTCGCAGAGAAAGTCGCTGGATTTTATGGCCTAAGGCTGAACCAGGATATAACAGTTATAGACTTTTCTAAAGTGGCTGGCAGCAATACGCAGTTTCAAGTCTTGATCGGATTTTCAAGCAACGTTGTTAGTTGTCAACCGTGTAACTTTACTGCATTGACTGAACTGAAGAACCGAATTATTGAAACGTCAACAGGCAGTGTTAAGCCAGAATTTATCAACGTTGTGTCCCCAGAGTTCATCGTAAACAGCGTTGCAGCTACTGGCTTGGACTCCTGCGCAACACAAACTACCACATCCTTGCCAAGTACAACCTTGCCTCCAACAACAACCCCACTGACTACAGTTTCAACGTAAGCCAGCTAAATAATTGTTGTTAATTCTTTGTGCTCTATGGTTGCTCTGGTTCGATTCTGGTTCTTCAAAAAATGTCCCAACAAATTTTGAATATTGTCCGGTTAAGAAATGGTGAATTGGCAATATGTTGATTCTGAAGATTGCCTTTTTGGTTCTTAGAAATAAAATATACATGCTGACATGATAGAAGTTTAGGCATACTAAATGGAAAGACCTCAAGTTTTATACCCAACCCGTTTCAACCAATTTTTTTGTTCATTTTGCTATTTCCAGTTTTGAATAGCACTTTACCGTTATAAAGATCTTTGATCTCGGATGGCTATTTCAAATCGGATCAAATTTTTCTATTTGTAGCGTATCTTTATATTACGATCTCTTTCTATTTCCGTAGCACTCCTAGAGTTTGTCGAAGTCCAGTTCAGAACATTCCAAGTCCTGTCGTTTCATTCACTGCTGGAAATGTGATTGCATTCGTCATTCCTGCTACGTTGTTCCTGGACGCAGAAGATGGAAACACACGCCAACTTCAACTGCAGCTCACCAAAAGCTCCACCAACTTCCCTTCAAAGTGTTGGTTTGCATTCAATCGAACAACACAGTCAATCAGTGGTCTAACCTACACTAATATGCTACCAAGTGGTCAAAATACAATTTCATTTGTCTTCACAGTCACAGCAACCGACTCATGTCAACTTTCCACTTCTGCAGATGTGTCCTTCAACATTCAAGTGCCTGGACGCTCTTGCTTCACAATGTTGTTTGTATTCCAGACACGAATAACTAGAAACTGTGAGTTTGTGCCTGCACAGCAATTCGCCGAGAAAGTCGCTGGATTTTATGGCCTAAGGCTGAACCAGGATATAACAGTTATAGACTTTTCTAAAGTGGCTGGCAGCAATACGCAGTTTCAAGTCTTGATCGGATTTTCAAGCAACGTTGTAAGTTGTCAACCGTGTAACTTTACTGCATTGACTGAACTGAAAAACCGAATTATTGAAACGTCAACAGGCAGTGTTAAGCCAGAATTTATCAACGTTGTGTCCTCGGAGTTCATCGTAAACAGCGTCGCAGCTACTGGCTTGGACTCCTGCGCAACACAAACTACCACATCCTTGCCAAGTACAACCTTGCGTCCAACAACTATGGCGTCAACTACAGATGGAACGTAAGTCCTTGAAATTATTTTTGCCGATCATACAGTCATTTGTTTTAATTATCAATAAACAAAGTATGGATTTATCTCTGAGGCGCAAATTATTTTTACATTATTGAGCCTCTTAAAGAGCAACAGTAGTGGAGGTATTTCATTGTCAAGTTCATAATCGCCCAATGTGATGCTCCAAGCATTGTACTTGAAGTTCTTATGTTAATTTATAGATTGCTTTTTTCCTCTAAAAACCATTTACTAGCTTTTTTTGAGTTGATGGTCAACAATCCATTATAAATATGGAGGACCAAGGCATTTTTAAATTTTTCTTTATTCCAAACATTTGGATTATCAGCTTGTCTCTTTTAAATGTCACATGACAATATGCAAATGGTCAGTTGTCTTGTGTTTCGGAGGCTGTTTTGCTTACAGGAACTTTTATGGTAACTCATGCTTGACTTATATATTTTAGGAAGATATGTCTACCTCCAAGACTTGTTGAAAAAACAACCCCATTGAGAATCGACACAGGTACAGCATTTTCCTATACAATACCAGAAGGAACTTTCTTTGACAAAGAAGACGGCAATACACGATCCTTGTCTTTAAAGCTTCAGCCGCTTACAAGTGGCTTGCCTGCTAAGTGTTGGTATTCTTTTGACGAAGCCAAGCAAACATTTAGTGGCTTATCTTACGACGGATTACTGAATGAGATCAAGTCTAGGAATGTTCAGTTCAGTTTGCTTGCAACGGACAGTTGTGCTCTTACATCTAGTGACAATTTCACCATGCAGCTTTCAAGGCCTAGCCGCCATTGCTTCGAAGTCTCGTTTGAATTCAAGACACTGAATTTGCATGAGTGTGAATGGATCCCTGTCAGTCAGTTCATCGACAGAGTGAGCAGTTACCTGGGAACGAACTCAAGTCTTGATATTAGAGCGAGGAATTTTTCCAAAATTGGAACAAGCAAAACTATGTTCCAAGTTAGAATAGCTATTTTGCCAACAAAAGTCGCTTGCCGCCCTTGTGATTATATGGCAATATCAGATCTGACTGACAGGCTAGTGGATAAAAGTGACAAAAGCCTAAAAGCTGAATTCAAAAACTTTATGTCACCTTCTTATAATGTTATAAAAGCAAAAGCTTCTGGAACTAATGCATGTGCGCCAGTTGTCACACCAACAGCGATTGTGTCATCAACGGGAAGGTATGTGAATTGAAGTTTGATATTCTATCTAACAATAATATCAATTTAAACTTACTTAAAATTGGTTTACGTTCTTTGAGGCTTGATTTAGAAACGATTTTTAGAGAGATGAAGAGAAGCCATTTCTTCTTTAATGACAAAAGCTGTTAATCTCAGTAGTTCTTTGACTGAAAAAGTTTGTGTTACGTGTCGCCATTTTTTAGAAAGTATTCTTAACAATGGCATACAAGATTTTGACGAACCATTTATACTTTTACCCCATAGCAAAGTAGCGTGGATTCAAAACATCTCCATTTAGATGTTTGATTACTCTCTTTGTAAAAGGTTAAAAACATTGATGTAAGAAACTGATATAGTCAATGTTATTTCCCAGTTTTGGTGCTACTAGTCTTTGCAGACAGGTGTTGTGATGATCAATTTTAAAAAAAACGCAACAATGCTAAAAATAGAATCATGTATAAAAAATGTACCCTTTTTACATTTTTTGAAATGATTTTTCGAATTGGTATATCTTTAATACTGTTTCATGATGCTGATTTAACAAATAGTTTTTATTTTCTAAACAGGATATCATGCAAGAAACCGATACTTGTACGGCCAATTAAGCCACTGAGGATTTTCGCAGGGAAGAATTTAACGTTTACAATTCCCTCTGAGACATTCTACGATCGGGAAGATGGCAATACACGCTTTCTAAGTGTTTCTGTTGGCTTGCGCTATCCCGATATCTCGCCTTACTGCTGGTTCTCATACAACGCAACTGCACAGAAATTAATAGGCCTTCCCTACAGTGGACTTCTAGGGGGTAAAGAAACTATAACAATTGTTTATAACATGACAGCTATCGATAGCTGTGGACTTTCAGTTGCAGATAACTTTTCTCTTGTTTTGAAAAAGCCCCCTCGTCACTGCTTTGAGATGACTTTCACATTCAGGGCATCAAAAAACTATTCCTGTGAGTGGGAAGCCATCTTGGAATTCGTTGGAAGAGTAGCTGTCTTTTATGGATTTGACATGTATTCGGATATGTCCGTTGTCAGTTATACTAGATCTAAAAAATATTCAAATCGTTACTTGGCAAAAGTGTCCTTCTCTCAGAAAATTATCAAATGTGACCAGTGCAATTCAACACTAATCTCAAATTTAACGTACAGAGTACTCCATCAAAAGAACTACACTGTGCACTATGCTTTTAACTCCTTTTTGGCCCCTTCGTTTATCGTTGCTAATGTATTCATCGCTGGTGTTGATTCCTGTGCGGCGTATGTACTTCCATTGACTTTAGCGAAAAAAGAAGGACTGCCAATCTGGGCTTGGCTATTGCCAGTTCTGATATTCTCCATTGCGCTGGCATTGATTCTGCTATTAGCACTTTGCCGTTGCCTGGGATGTTGTACTTGTTGCGTATGTCTGTTTCCAGTAGAAGAGGATGAAGAATACTTTATGAGAAGAGAGTGCCCACCGCGTCGGCACAAGACGTACCGCGAGTTCATTGGCAGTGACTTTGACCAAAACTACCCATCAATGCGCAAAAATCGAGCCGGGCAATCACCTGATGATACGTCAATAGAATCAGCTGATGATCTAGTTTCAGCCGGCAGCGATGACAATAACCTCATACCCCCTTATCCTGGGAAAATCAACAAGCCAGCCAACTTTGGAGGAGGAGCAAAAGCGACGGGAGCATCTGTAACAACTATTGTTTACGCGACACCGCCAATCGGCAAAGAATCCACAGAATTAAGCGTCTTTTCAAATGCAGCCGCTGGTGGAGGGCCGACAGGCGATGGGGTCAATGTTGTGTACCACAATGTCACAGAAACGTCTTTTGGAAATGATGACGATAATTACAAAAGGACACACGGCAGCTTTGAATCACTAATATTACGTCATACCAACAGCACTGGAAACCTTTCGGGGGGAAAGGTAAACGGAGGATTCACAGGAAGCGCGACATCTGATCTAGACAGAGTAGGCGCTGGTTCTAGCATTGAGCAGGTGGGATCTTCAGCTGCAGTTACTGGGTGCTGGAATGACGGTTTTGAGCCTCCTGCTCCATTGCTAGACGAAGAAAAGCATGAAACCAATATTGGTGGACTAGGTGTCAAGAACGGCACTACAGGTGTTCAACTCTCAATTGTCAATCCAGCTGGCGGCATCTCAAATTCTGGGTACGATCCTGATGAAGTCGATATTGAAGCGGGGACAACAGGTCATTTTGACAGTTCGAGCAGTGCTGCAGTTACATTTAGAAACATGCAAGGACAGTCAAGTTTGCAGCAAAATTCAAGACTCTCCTTTGATGGGAATATTGGAGTGAATGGACAAAGGAATAGTTACCATGCATCTAGCTGTAGTGGGTTGAAGAAACCCGCACACAGTGCTCAAAGCAACGTCAGCGGAAAAGCGATTCTTGAAAGCTCTGTTGCCAATGAATATGCTTCTAGCGGGTCAGTTAACGATAGAGGCAATGTTGTTAATGTTATGACACACATGTCTATTCCAAGGCTTAACAGTGCTGGGTTACTGAGCGACTCAGATACCGACAGTGGCCAGAGGCATTTTGATGGTAATCAAAATGGGTCCGCTGTTGGAACAAGTGACAGTTATACAACCACTACCAACATGTGCTTACACCAGGCACTTCAACCTGTACAGAATGAAGCGAATGCGTGCCATGTTAAATTACGCTCAGGCATTGAAGGTAAAGATTCAGATGAAAAATCCACAAGAGGGCTTGATCAAAGTCTTCACGATCAAAGTCTTCACGATCAAAGTCTTCACGGGCAAAGTCTTCACGGGCAAAGTCTTCACGGTCAAATTCTTCACGATCAAAGTCTTCACGGTCAAAGTCTTCACGATCAAAGTCTTCACGATCAAAGTCTTCACGATCAAAGTCTTCACGGGCAAAGTCTTCACGGGCAAAGTCTTCACGATCAAAGTCTTCACGATCAAAGTCTTCACGGGCAAAGTCTTCACGGTCAAAGTCTTCACGATCAAAGTCTTCACGGGCAAAGACTTCACGATCAAAGTCTTCACGGGCAAAGTCTTCACGATCAAAGTCTTCACGATCAAAGTCTTCACGGGCAAAGTCTTCATGATCAAAGTCTTCACGGGCAAAGTCTTCACGGTCAAAGTCTTCACGGTCAAAGTCTTCACGGTTTCTTGTCCCAAAATGACTTTGATTCATCTGTTACTAAAAACGTAGATGCCGACAAAGCTTTGTGCACAGTATGCAGTTCTCATTCACCTTGTAATGAAAACACAGACATTATCTGCTTGGTAGGTCATTCAAAGACGTGCCCTACTGCTGGAAATGTGAGTTGCAGCAAAATGGAACGGACTGACGAAATAGCCACGAACCAACCATGTGGAAAGCAGTCTTCAGATTCACTACTTCACTTTCCCATGGGGAGCTCTAGCTCTGGTGGTGAACCCAAAAGCTGTGAACAATGCCAAGATGCTGCTTGGAGATCAACTTTGCCCAATATAGCCGAAAGACAGGCTGGAAGATGTACCGTATCCCTCAAAGGATCAGCACAACAGAATTTGGAAGACGAGGATTATCTTGCAAGAGACACTTGTAGTGGGGATTGTCCTCATAGAGCTTTAAATCGTATCAGCGAGGAAGGCGATACTCATTTATCATTTGCCAATACATTGAAAAATGGATTTGCAACTGGATATACTTCTGAGCGGGAAAATCCCCATACAGCGTCAAATCAGGTCGACGTAGGGGCATGCCCGTATTCATCAAATTCTGTAGCAAATTCAAATGGACATTCTACAAGGGATACGTGCGGGGCGCAATGTCCCCATAAATCTTCAAATAACATCAATGGAACATGCAAGCATCTATCGATTTCAAATGCTGCAGCAAATGGATTTTCCACTGGAGATACCTTCGGAGGAAAATGTCCTCACACAGTGTCAAATCAAGTCTGCGATGGAACATGCACACATTTGTCAGATGTCAGTTTGTCAGCAAATAAAGAAGACGCAACGACGAACCCTTGTAGATACACTTTTGAAAAGGTAATCAATCTGATAATAAATATAGATGGTATATATCAATTTGATAGTATATTGTTGTCGAATATCATGCTATTGCAACACGTGATTGCAAAGCATTTTTTTATCTATACCAAGCCGTTCATGTTTTGAAACAATGTTTTATGCATATCAATTATATTTAGAAAGATTTCTGTCTTGCCAGCAAATTCACAGGTCATCAGTTAATTTTGTTAGCAAACAGTTTTATCTTTGATTTCTAAGATTTTTAACGGTAAAATGAGTTATTCCAGAAAAAGGTTTGTTCATCTCAGTACATTGTTCTAGTCTAGTAGCTACCTCTAGTTGTTATTCATGCTACCATTTTCGCTTTAATTCTGTACAAATTTTGCTCTTGCCTACATTTCTAAAATATTCTCATTACAGGAAATTCATGTTGGGCCGAAGGACATGGCAATTAATGCTGCAGAAGTCAGCTTAAATTTCTTAGAAATTGCAGGTAGTAGACAGAACCCCGCATCATCAGACGATTTAAAAGAAACAGAACCAATGTCGAATTCAGCACATAGACCAGGTTCAGATGGTGTACGTTCGCACACAAGTATACACTCCCAAGTACTATCTAGACCGTTCTTTTCAGACCACAATGGTGTCATTTGCAAAGAAGACGAGACGACGCAAGGCTTCAATGAAGGTCGCATGCCATCAGCTAATACCAGCAAGAGTGATCATAGTTTTCATAGCACATCAATGGCATTCATGAAATCAGGAGGATATGAACGTTCAGAGATGATGTTGGGTATATCAGGAAAGCCAGAAGCATTAGCCGGTGGAGTGACGTCCTACCACGGGGAATATGGTAACATGCCATACGATGGGAGAAACTACATCACAGCAGATTTTCATTTTCCAAGAGGAGGAGCACGTTGTGATGAGCCTCATGATGTCAAATGGACACCTGCAATCGAATCTGTGACTCCACTTGGGAAAGAAAGCGAAGGTGATCCTGCTTTTGCAAAACATTCCTACCGGTCACAGCTAGAGTTCGATGGAACGTACCGAGGAGAAGCACTTTCACAAGGAATTGCTTTAGACCAACGCCGGGACTCGCTGCCTGCGTTTTCAGAGGGGCAAATTTTACAGGACGACTTTGGTAGAGCAGAAATAAGGCGCCAAAAGTCTCTTAGGAGGAATATTGCCGAGGGGGAAAAATTTGAATTTGTCTCGTGTGACAGCGATTATGATGCGATAAGAAGAGCAAGTCTTCGACGTGCAAGCTGGCAAAGAGGCCACGAAGGAGGTATTGGCATTGGAGATTTTGACGAAGGATCTGTTTCTGACGCTGTTAGGTGGCAACAAAGTTATGATCAAGCTGAAGAGGGTGGCATAGGGAAAGGCAGGAATTATGGAGTAAAAAGAGCTGGCCTGAAGAGAGGAAACTGGGACACGGGAGAGGAAGGTGGCTTTGCAAGTGGGCGAAACCACGGAGTAAAGAAAGCAGGGATACTGAAAACGAATTATGATAAAGGCGAAGAAGGGGGTTTTGCAATTGGTGTGAACTATGGCACAAAGAAAGCAGAAAATCTTAAGAATAACTGGGGTGAAGGAACTCTCGTTGGCATAGGTGAAGGTTGGGGTGTTTCGGATGAACTGGAAAGTGCAAAGTTGCAAAGATGCAGTTGGGGGCGTGGAAGAAGGCGCTACTTGTCGGATTCTTGCATTCTTGATAACAATGACGATGATGAGGAAAATGGCTTTATTTCACGTGATTTCGCCGCAACATACGGGTCAGAAGAGAATCTCCAACTGCCAGCAACACCATTTGATGAGAGGTTTAACGAAAACTCCTATCGCGATAGATCGTATTCCTTGCCTGATGAGCTTGACGATATGGATGACGAGAGCTGGCGTTTCGAAGAACCAAGAAGTGATAGGCCAAAAAGGCTCATCGAGTCAGTACGGTTTGTGAGGCGACCATTGAAAAGGTCATTGAAAAGAAATGGCTCAATGCAAAGGTCAGGAGGGAAATATACAAGAAGACATCCCGATGAGGCAAATTTGATCATGAGGAGAGGCTGGTTTGACGTCAGAAGATCCATAAGAGTAAAGGTAGGGAAACGATTGACAAGCGAAGTATGCTAGGGTACAGAAAAAGTTTGTAATGTTGTGATATTTTTGCTATAACAAAGGTCCATCTGAAAAAGCGCTCATCCAGGGTTGTAAATAAAAAAAGGATATTCTTCTAAGCACCAGATATTGTAAAGATTTCCAACAAAAGAACCTTTTAGCTAAAATTCTTTATGCAAAAGTCTTGAAAAAAGGAATATATGACATCTACTTTAGAAACAGCACATGGAACACTGAAACTTGTTTGCAGCGACATGCTGACAAAAGTGCTTAACACGAATGAGCTCGATATAACTTTTTGCATCACTGGGAAATTTCTATGCTGTGTACTTTGATGTATGTCTCATCGCTTATTCTATTCTATAAAATTATAGGTACCCGTCTCGATGCGAGCAAGAGTGAAAGATGACGCAGTGCTAACGGGGCCGGTACATCTAGACTCATTCAAAGTTAATGCGATCCAGATGCCGGATAGTTCATATACAACTCCGGACTCCATTACACTTACAAAGACGCCAGATACAAAGATTTTAATCAAAGGAGAAGCACACCGACACAGTGCGAACGACACTTCATATAGCTTTCAAACGAACGAACTTGAAAATAAATCTAAATTCGGGACATATGAAGTAAAAATACCGTTGAAATAATTTTTCATTATAATTTAAAGACTTTGATACGATTGAAAGAAGTTTATGGGTTTTTGAAACACTTTACTCTTTGTAATTAGGTTGCGATTTTTTCTATTCAATGTTTTAATATGGGTTTTTGAATAGTTGAGTGACTAAGATTCACTTTTTTCAACATTTCTCCGTTCTTAGTTCAAAGTTACTTAAGTAAGTTGGACAACTGTATTCTCACACCTTGCTCCCTGCAATGACATGGCAGGATCGTGTGTGGGACAACGAGTACGCCCTGTTTAGCTTGGATTCGTTTTAGATGCCTTATGATAGATCTAAAGTGGCAGAAAGAGCTCAGTAATCGAGCTTTAGCCTGCATGAATTTTATGGGTCTAACCGATTTGTAAACAAAAAATTGAACACCAGCAGTTGACCGAAAACACTTTGATTTGAGCCCGTTTCTGTTCTAGTATCATAATGCACCCTACACCATCCTGTCTAAGTTGAAACACTGACTAACGACGCTTATTCCAGTCATCATCGATGTGTTAAAAAGAAAGTGCGTGTTAATTTCAAAAGGGCTCCTGATTTTTAAACTCGAATTGCTTGAAGTGTGGTTGTCCAATAAAAGGGTATACGTAAGTTTTGATATAAGTTTGTACTCCACAATAACTTTAGAATTTGTTATTAATTAGAAGCTTAAATCTCTATTTGTATCTCTATTATATGCATTTCATCAAGTCATTAGTTAATGTATTTAGTGTTATGATTCAAAGTCGATTCATTTCTTAGTTAGCGAATATCTTAAGAAGCTGTATTTAACTGTGTTTCAATGAAGTACTTAATGGGTGTTCATTTAAAAAAATACCTAACTTCATCGAACTTCTGCTATATAAAAAACTTTTCTAACTTCAAAATGCAAAACTGCCAAAAAGCAAATCCTAAATGACCCTTCTTGTTAAACAATGTTTTATTTTGATTTTTGACTTGTACAAGGTAGACAAAATGATATCAGACCGATTTGCCATAACGAGGCTCCTATCTATATTCCAGTTTGAACTGCGTTTGAGATTTTGTTCTCAACGATCTTTTTAAAATTTTATTGACAGATATGTACTGGACCAGAGCACCGATTTGTACTGGATTTTATTAGACAAGTACCAACTTCTGATCAAGGAAAAATTCCAAACTCATCAAATTTAATTAAATTTTTCCATAGATTTTTTATGTTCCATAACCTGAAAGATTGTCTGTGTCTTAATAGACCTTGCTTGTAAGAAGTTGCAAAGGTCTTTCTCTGAGGATAAAAATCAATTAGAGGGTTAAAAAACCAACTGGAAGGCCTTAGCAAATTTTAGCAAATGCAAAATTTAATAAACAAGGATTTAGATAGGGGGGGGGGGTCCACCTTTTATGAAACAAAAGAATGTTTGACTAGATTGCAAGCAAATTTAGAATTTCTAGACTTTAGCAAAAAATCTTCATTAATGGAACAAGGGGTTGAAAAAAGATTGGGGATTCAAAAGTCCCCAAAAAGCATAAACGATATGTGATATGTCCCGGAGGATTGAGTTAATCGAGTTAATCAATCTATAAAAATATGTTGCCTCATATTCAGATTCACAGCTGTCTCAGAACCGAGGCATCTAAAATGGCGGGGTTTTCATATGTCTGTCTGTGCTCCACTGATCTATAAAAAAACTTACCTTTAAAGATAAGTGGTGTGCTCTCAGTTCAAGGCGGGTTAGGACACTTGTGTTAAGAGTAAATGGCGAGTAACAAGTCAGTACTGAAGTTTTGGAAGCCAGGTATGAGTCCAAGCATAAAAGTTGGTTTTTGAATTGCTTTGTATGATAACTATTTTTTAGAAGCGTTATGATTTTTGCTCGTGTTTTCACCGAAGTGGAAAGTTCGAATTTATAATAATTTCTTTTAAAGATTGACTTTTCCGCCTCATCGGTTCTGGCATTTCTGCAAGCATACAATTAAACTTTATGATATAGAAAATAAGCTTAATTTAAAAAAAACTGGCCGGACTGCAGAGTACGGCAGTTTCCAACTAGATCTCAGATGTACAATGCAAGTGTGCAATTTTTGTATGTGGATTTTGGTATAAATGTGCACTTTATTTGTGATAGTGTACATGATTGATATTTGATAGTTATTTTGTCGATGCAAGATATGTTGGTCATTTGCTCTAAGCAATATAAGACACATCCATATCAAACATTGTTTAAGGTAGAATATCATTATACTCATTTTTTATTATAAGCCTCTGCAAATATGAGAACACAAGAAAAACCCAAAGGACAATATGAAGCTGACAAGTTCTGTGAATAATCACAGAACTTGACTGACCCATTTTATACCTTCATCACATATGGTATCATGAACTGACAGAGTAGACTTTATCATTGATTATTATTAGTCCAGTACTGTACTGATCACATGAAGTTGGTACTGACTTCAAATAAGTATTGATCATCAGTAGAAAGTGCCAAATCTGTGAATAATGTTCCCAAAGGACATAAACTCAAACACTTACTTTTCAAATTATGCAAATTTGATACAGAAAATCACCCAATCGAAACATCTTTGAAGCCAGTAGAGACAAGTAAAAAGCAATTAAAATGTGTAGTCTTCTTCAAAAACCAGGAAAGTTGACAGATTTAGTAGCTAAATTGAATATTACAAGACAAAGAAGGATAGTGATTGTTTTAGTATTTGTACTCTGTATTTGTTATGTTACGTTTATATTATTTAACTTCCTTTTACATTGTTTATACTTTCAAGCTTGGATTATTTCTAATTATGTATCCAGTGGAATTTAAAATAAAATTGAACTGAACTGAACTGAACTGACTGATAACAAGATTGTAGACACCCTGCTTTGACAGCCTAAGAGCCATGATGCATCCTTTGGCACCTAAGGCAGAATGGAACCACTTTTAGTTCAATTTTCGTTGCAATTGTTTACACTTTTTTTACACAGTTTACACATACTGACTGGCCCCTTCATAGCACTTTCTCCCAAAGCAATCAGCTCACTGGCCTCCCTCTTAGTTGGCCACATTTGAGTACATTGGGCAGGCAAGGTCCTCTTTCCATTTAGGTCTTTGGGAATCATAATGATTGTTCCAGGCTAGTAAAGACATAAAGAGTTCAATTTGACTAGGACATATCAACTAGATTAAAAATTAGCAATTGCTTATTGGTCAAAAACAAGGAACCAATAATATACATCATTCTCCCTCACACCTTATTTTTTATGTGCATCTGGATATATCTTTCTGCTAACCTGAGGCCATTATCCAACATTTATACCCACAAAAAGTGTTGGACAAAGATATACTTATTTTGCCTCCACTTTTCTGTGCTAGCTTACTTTTTCACTGTATGATTTTATTGTTAAAACCTTTATGAAAATTTCATTGAACTGAAAGAAAGAGCCAAAAATAATTTGTTGTCACTTTGATCTCTACCAGGAGGAGATGCGCCTGGCTCATCAGTTCACCTAGAGAGATCAGAAGAAGGTGATGGTGCAGGAACATTTTTTCGATATAACCCAAATATATCTTTGTCTATTCAAAAGCAGAGGCAAGAGTTACCAGTTTTTAAGGTATATAATCCTTTGCTTACTTGTTTGAATTGATATTGACAATAAAATAAGATACTTTTCATCAAAGTAGTGTTACTTATGGATCAAACTACAAACTCTGCTTGACTGACAAGAATTATAGTAGCTAGGCAGGTTAGCTCATTACTTGATATCTTTCTTATTTCCAAAGTGCAAGCTACAGGATTTCTTCTTTCATTTCATTATGAATCAATCCCATAAGTGGCAGTCTCATAAGGCACATTAAGTACAATTTCAAATTGTTGAAATCTTGAATAAAAAGCTTACACACCAAACCAATGTTTTTTGCAAACATTTGGCAAAAGCTTCAGCACACAAAAAATCATGATAACTTATTTTGATTTTCTACAAGTCATCGTTTATCAGGCCATGCTGGGAATAAAATGGCAGGGGTGCAATGAATCGCACTCCTTGTGGTGCCAAGGCGTGCAATGGTGTGCTATTGCACCAAAGTACTTAATAATACAGTCAGCTGTATATGGACTAGACTACATAACTTTATCATAAGAAAACATAAGCAAGGCTAGTCCAATCAATACATTTTATCAAACAAGCTTTATTAAACCCAACATATTAAAGAGAAAAACATTAACAATAAGGTAGGTTAATTATTATGTAATCCTGCAGTTTATAAACCCTTCTGGTCTGCTTCTCCTGACAATCTCGTTCTCAAAATTTAAAGGACAAGTGACACACTTTTCACCCTATCTTTTCTTTTCATTAACTTGTAGATCATCATTTAAAAGTAAGTTTTTCCTGGTTTAGAACAAAAAATTCTAATCAGGGGGTGCAGGGGACTTTTTATCACGTGACCCTATGACGTACATTGTGATAACTCGGAATTTTCCTGTAATTAATAGAGAGTTTACGAAACACGACGCGACAGGTCCAGACGAACTGAATTCGTTTAGAAGCGTGCAGTAAACGTTAATATTGCACTGTATACCAGTAGCAGCAATAACAAATTATCACAATCTACGTCACGGTGTCACGTGATTCATTTCCCGCCATAATTTGAAAAGGGTTTTTAAGTAGGAAAATGAAATCCGAATAGAAAAATATTTCAACAACACTCTCATACAGCATTTTACTTTTAGTTAAAAGAAGAAAAAAATTTGGCGCCAAAAGCGTGTCACTTGTCCTTTAAGAATTCTAACTGTGTTTTCACCATAAAGAAAACTTATCTGTTGACTAATGTTAGAACGAATTAAATGGTTAATTGCACGTTTATATTTTGTAAAAAAGCTACAGTAGCTAAATCCTCACAATTCAAAGTCTCTTAATTTTGGAACATTTTTGGCCACATTTTATTAGTAAAAGTTTCTAAAGAGTTTTGTATTTGCATACAGATTAGAAAAATGCACATAAAGTAAACTGTATATAGAGGAATTGTGAGTCCTGAGAAAACGGGATTTTACTGATCGCACTTGCAAGATACACTCGTAAACCACAGTGTCATCTGGGTCAAATCATTTAAAGCTTAAAGATCAATAAGCCTGTTTAAATAAACAAAGCCTTACATGTGCCATGGGGTTGTAACTACAGTGGAATCCCGATATAACGAACTCTGAAGGGAACCAGAAAATAGTTCGTATATCGGGAGTTTGTTAAACCGAGAGATAATGTTTTTGGGGGTCCTTTCGCAGTTCATGCCTAAAAAACCTATGGTGGGCTTGTTTAGGCTATCTCCAACCTCTGTGCACATGTACAGCCATACATGTACCATTTAACTCAAAAAACCAATCTGAATTCAAATAATACAACTGGCTGGTCATGTAAAATGAAAATCTTAGTGTTCCTTTTATAACTTGGGACCAAGAGATTGGCAAAGCTGGTATCACTTCGCTCCTAGTTGGTGCCTGAATGATGTCTTCAATTACTTCACATTCTTATTTGTCTTTTTCTGCTTCTCCATCTGGGTCTCTCAATAAAGTTTTGTCGTCGCTTATTGCTAATGCCTTATATGTAAGAAGTTATTTGTTAGTGTACTCAATGTACTCAAATTACTGCAATGTACTCATTCGCAGTAATTTCTGACGCAATCAAATTTTCATCTCGTGCATTGAGTCTATCAGCCAGTACTTGAAATGTATCATCGGCATGTTTTGCCGATTATAAAAATGATTTCTCCCCAAGAGAAAGTGATAAATGAATACCGAAAATAAATAAACAAAAATAACAGATGAAGAATTTATGAAAGTTCGTTATATCAAGGGTAATTATGATGAAGGGACCTAAAAATGGTTCGTGATAACGAGAGTTCGTTATATCCGGGGTTTGTTATACCGAGCGAATTTGTAAGGAGTTTGTTAGGCAGAATCCAAGGGACCAGGCATCTAGTTCGGTATACCGGGAAGTTCGTTATATCCGTGGTTCGTTATATCGTGATTCCACTGCAGTTATTGCAAATGCGACAAGCGACCACAACTGCAAAGCAAGGATTATCGGCCTAAAAGGTCGAGCGATTTTCAGACCTCAACTCAAAACTTTGATAAAGAAATTATGGAAACCTTCGTTTACAGGGGTTTTTCGCCACTTTCAGAACTTCTGTTAGTTTTAAACATGGTATCATCGTGTGCCTTGAAAGTCCGGCTACTAGAATCTGAAGAAATCGAGAAGTGGATGTTTTCATTCAAAAAACGTTTACCATAACTTTAAGCAAATTAGAATATTCGCCAAATTTTTCGTCAAGTAGAAATCAAATAGAAACGATTGCGTGATTATCACCGTTCGTTCATAGTTGAATTATGATAAAAAAATTACATTGGGCCATATTGGTCACTTTAGAATAAAGTGTTATTTGCAGATTATTTAAGGCGTGCGATAAACTGCACTTCTGAGCAACGGAAGGCGTGTGCCAAGGCGTGGGCGTGCGATCGCACGCCATTCCCAGCATGGCCTGTTTATGGATACTTTGATGTCAACATATTTTCTATAATAATTATTTTGTCTCTTTTCAGTATAGAAATCATATTCTTTACCTCATTGAGAAGTTTCAAACAGTAGTTCTTGTTGGAGAGACAGGTTCTGGAAAGACTACACAGGTATGTGCTTTGTATTTCTGTGAATTATGTCTTTGTCAGACAATTAAGTTGTATAATGTAGTTAATTTTAAATTTCTACCATTTTTTAATAAAATTTCAAAAAATCAAAGATTTTCAGAAAAGCAAAGAACGTTGGTTGTAGAATGAAGGTAAACTGCATTAATCAGAATTTACACTGTGAGTTATTTCATAGAAGCTATTAGAAATCTATGTAGTGGTTTGAACTCTTTTTATAATTCTCACCCATAGGTGCCACAGGTAAGCTGATTGTTTTGGCTCATGCATGCTTCCAGGAAAAAGGAAAGTTTTCTTATACTATATTAATTGATATGTTTAACTTGAGGCTCTTGTCTTTAATCATCACATTTTGAAATACTTTAAGCCCTCAAATTAGTCCCCAGGGGCTTATTCATGTTTTGCTCATTTGAGGAAGATTGTGTGGAAGGGGCTCGTTAAAATAATCAGAAGGTTGACATAAAAATAGTTTTCAATGTTTTTTAAATTTTTCAAGTTCACTTCTACAAGCATAAGATGAAAAATATTGAAAAATTCTTTGCTTACTTGCTTTTTTATTCTGCACTATTCATGTGATTAATCTTGGATAACAAGCATAAATTGTAAGAACTGGCTTGCACGTGATGTTATTCATGGCCTAACATGATGGCCTGTATAAAAAGGAGGTGGCAGTTCCAGGATTTATGCTACATGAATCTATAAATTTACACTACCAGACTTTTATTAGGCATCAAAGAGTTTTATTTTAGGTCATTAGAAAAATTCAGAGTCTATCATTTCTTTGTATGGGATAATTATGTGTCTTGTTATGTAATATTTTATTTATCTTCGGTAAATTGAAACAAATAAATAATAAGTTATGCTTTTAGTTTGCAAATGCTTTCTCTCAGTACTCTGTGTTTGTTGTTCTTGAATAGTATCTACATGAGGCAGGATGGACAAAAGATGGCAAAATTGTTGGAGTCACTCAGCCAAGGCGTGTTGCTGCAACAAAAGTAGGTTTTTATTTTAAGTTTGGAAATATTGGTAGAGTGGACGACATTTTAGTGATAAAACAGTTGTTCAATGCAAGTCAAATTCAGAATTTTGTAAGCAAGGCAGATTCATTAATCATGTGCAATGATTATAATAATTACAACCCAGAAAGAGGCAATACACATTGTTGCAAAACACCCTTAATAAGTGCAAATTTTTTTGACATATGGTGTTCCTTCACAATTATTTAAAGACAGCTGCTTCTTTGCCAGAAACAGAGACGGATTCTGTCGAAAAAGATTGGGGGATGTTGGATAATGATTGGATTTTGGTGCCACACCCTTACAGTGCCTTGAAAATGATGGGAATGCCCCTTTTTAAAAATTCAGTTTCTATTTTAAGATAAAAAGATAAGAAGATAAATAAAAAAAAATGTTTGCATCATTTTATTTCTACTGACTACCAAAAAATGCTCTTCACCGAATCGAAGCGAAATTTAAGGACACAAAATAAATGACACCCATACACCCCCGGTAAATCCGTCCCTTGCCAGAAGGGTGAACAGTTGTGCGAAGCCGAGCTGCTTCTGCTTTTCCTCTGTTTTCCTTCATTTCCAATTTCCAATCTTTTGTAGATGTATTGCCTTGAAACTGATGATGTTTAAGTTATGTTTAGAAATTGTCTCCAAGTGTTATTTTTGGTATCCGTTTCGTTAACCTCAGGTGACAGAAAGAGTTGCTGAGGAAATGGGTGTCTTTGTTGGAGAGGACGTTGGCTACGCTATTAGGTTTGATAATTGCACAGATCCAGATCGTACAAGAATAAAGGTTGGTTTTGGAAAATGACTGGAATGTAAATTATAGTTGCTTGATGATTGCATTGAATTTGAAAATCAATGTTGCAACCTAGAACTGCCCTGTTTTATACACCAAAGCGTTTAGAGTGTTATTCAGATACAATATAGCCTTTTGAGTCAAGGGTCATTCAATGATATTTGTTCTGTTTTTATTCTTTGGATTTCACTGAATTCGAATTTAAACTACCCAAAGGCTCAAATCCATTCTTAAAAAGAGTTGTCCCACTTGATCCCTCCCTCGCATCCCCAAGATGTTAATCATTTTGACTCATTGAAGTATCTGCCGTCGATCCCTTCCTTGCATCGTTTTTCTCGCTCTACAACATCGACCCTAAATAACAATATTTTGTACTGAAGATTATGACAATGCGATCTTTTTACCACCGTAGTTCATGACAGATGGTTATTTGTTGAGAGAGATGATGTCTGATCCACTTTTATCAAAATATAGGTAAAATAGTTAATTAATTAATCCAGATTTATCAATTCAAATTTTTATGCCGTAAAGCTTTCCGTAGACCTTTATTAAATGTTAACTTGATCACTTTTTAAAGGGTCATTGGTATCATAAAATGCTCTGTATTCGTCTTGTTATCATAAGCTAACTACTCTGTATCCAAGTAACTACGTTAGTTTTATCTGATTGTATACGATACTTACATTAAGACTCATTTAATAGCTATATTCTGTAGAATATAGTATTTCAAACGCGACTAAGTCTACACTCAGTTTGTTTTCATATACTGTTGTGCTAATTATACTTTCTAGCGTTATTATACTTGATGAGGCCCATGAACGGACACTGTACACTGATATAATCTCCGGCCTACTCAAAAAGGTAATCCTACATTCAACAAACTTTTGCAATTGTCAGACTGCCCATTGCTCATTGGATTTTTTTAACCATACATATTTGGAGAATTCACACATCTGAGTAGACAGTATCTTGAAGTTTTAGAGTATTTCGATTAGTAAATGACAAGAAACTTTAGTTGATTGTATATCTTATATCTTTTTTTCTATTGACGTAGATAATGAAAAAGCGTGAAGATCTTCGTTTGATCGTTTCATCTGCGACATTAGATGCGCAGGTTTGTTGAGATTTGACACGTTTCGAACTTGCATCAGCCATATTTAAAATATGTGTTTATGACGTCATCACCGCTCTGTTGCCTTCTGTTTACATATTTGTGAATCCTGGGAAATGGGACGGAATTTTTAAAGTGCGGGTAATAATTCTAACGATACGGTTTTATAGATGTGATATATTGATATATTGGGTGACCATTAAACGGTAAAATGGTCCATCGATTAAAGAAAATTGGTCCTTAATTTGAAATAGAATTGTTGTTTGAGCTTTAAGCACTACCTTTAAACAAAAACCCTTCAAGCTATTTGCAATCTAATGGCATTTATGTCTTCATGACAAATTTTCGCATCGATGGTTGGTTCTCGGTTCTCTTAAACAATTCACGTTCACTCAACTCACTGTTGAATAGTATGTCAGGTTTTAGCGATTTTAATGTCTATACTTGTTATAATGGTATCAGCCTAGAATATTGTTGTACTATACTTCATGTGTTGCGAAACACTAGCCATTCTTCAATCTTATTTTAAAGAGATTAAACCTGCTATGTCTTTGGACCCTATTGCATAGAACGTCTAGTAACAAATCGGAGCTTCGTCGCTTAGATTTCCCTATAGATGTGACGCTTACACCCGTCAAGTCTCTTTAAGTAATCGCCATCTGGTTCAAAGTAATGATTGTTGCTATAAAACATTATAAATATTCCCGGATTTTTATTGTCACTCTCCTTTGTGGAAAGACACTAGAATCAAAAGATTCAGGATTTTCAGGATTTTTATTAAAATGCCATTTTCTAATGATGGTGTTGACACTTTCTTATTTATTGTGTAATTTTTTGGGACTAACTGCGTGCTTCTTTGCTAGGAGTTTCATAATTTCTTCAATTTCAACCACAGTAAACACGATTCTAGGTTTGTATGTTGTCAGCTTCATTTGGTTAGGTCAGTTTGGTTCAAGGGCCTCGATAGGGGGGTGGTTAGGGGGCTAAGAGGCTTGAGCCCCCCCCCCAGCAAATTTTTAAAGATGCACTTAATTTCATAAAGCAATTTTGAGAATCTCTATAATCTATATAATGATGGAAGTTACCCCCCCCCCCTCTTTCACATTTTGAAACCTATCTCGGCTCTTGGTTTGGTTTCTATCCAACATCTGATATTTTGAATTTCAAACATGAGTAAATATTCAACCTTGACATGTTTAAATTCATTATGAACTCTTCATATTGGAAGTATAGAAATTACTGTCTTTTGATGCAATTGACCTTCAGCTGGTCAAGTTAGTATCTTGAATTTCCTGTATTGCTGTATTCATTTTGTAATTACGGTTGTTGAAAATGGTATTCTTGTGAAGTCGATTCTCTTTTGCTGGTTTTTCTTGCTTATTCTCAAGAGATGTTTTTACTGTTACTGACAACACTGCAGGTACACGAACCTTTCAGTGTTGTAAAAAACGTCAAAATTAACAAAAATTGAAGCATTGAAGAGAAAATAAGCATATTGATCGATATTCGCGAATACAAAATGTCAGCAACATTCACGAAATATTTGCTAATACAATTCTGTCTCTTTCACGCTGAAAATGCTTATGCTTGTTTGAGGTGAAATAAGAATTTGTCTGAAAATTTGTTTTTAGCAGCCCCTACCTGGCATTAAATCGCCGAGACTTCCCTAAACAAATTCTCTCCCCAAATGAAACTGTTTGAATCCAATTTAAGCGTATAAAGACTATTCATCTTTTACCATTGTATGATCAGTGACTTCTACGTAGTCTTGGATATAAAACGCCTTGCCCTGGGTGTCTTGGTACACACTATAAAAGTTTTTAGCAAACTATATCTTCCAGCAATTTGGATAATGAGACAAACTTGTAATGTCATTTTTTAGTAAAGATTCATCAGTAATCATGACTGTTGAAGGAAGGATGTTTCCTGTTGACATTTTCTACATCCAGAGGTAAATTTGAATATTTTTTCAACATATCACGATCTTGCTCTTTGTATATCCTTTCAAGAATTGTCTCATTTTTCCCTAAGATTTGAAATATTGCCACAAAGATTGTAGTAGGGCTCTCAGCTTTTTCTGTCTAGAAAGTTGAGTTTTAGATACTATCTGTAAGTAGTAATGATGCCAGCTACGGCGGTTACTTTTCGTGTCCCAACATAATGGCAAAGTAGGGACAGTTCCTATTTTGGCTCCCATTTAATTCTCTATTGTTTTTGTCTGCTCAAATCTTCATGCTTCAGCAATACATCAGATGACTTAGCCACTTCTCCACAGTGCTTATCTAGCCCAGTTAAACAAATAACTGAAGAAAACGCTACATCTTCATTTTCAAGTCCACGTCTTCAAAAGTGTTGTAATACATATTGGGTTTTACTAAAAAGTGTTCTGTGCTCCTATCAACCTGACCGTTTTCTATGTGAATTTTTTCGTAGTCCTGTTCCAGACTACCTAAAAGCAACAGTTGAAACAGTGCTATCAATTCACAAAGATGAGCCAGTTGGTGACGTTTTAGCCTTTCTTACTGGGCAAGATGAGGTTGAGCACGTTGTTTCACAGCTAAGGTCAGTAAAAATATAATTTTCCTGTTTGATTTTTAACAATTCACATTTCGAGAATATCCTTATTTTCTATCTTGACATCACAGAAGTTTTCTTATTTACAAGCTAGGTTTGCTTGCATTCGTTTCGGTCCTGATATTTGCGAGTTTATGCAACAACAGCATGATTTGCGTTTTTTGTTTCGCACGATATTTGAATACCTCTTCGCGATATTTCAACAAAGCAATACATGTGGTGCCATTCTAAAGATCATAGCAACCTTATATTTGCAAATAGGAGCCATAGAAATAAATTGAGAGATACTAATATTTAAATAAAGTTTCGTTGACCTGTTCAAAAGACCGTACTGCGGTATCGTCAAAATAGTTGGAATTGGTAAAGGAGCTGTGAAATCTTTGACGTCAGCGAATTGTTGTTTACGTATAAGATTTCAATGCAACCACTCTTCTTCCATTCCAAGTAACTACCGTTTGCGGAAAAAGACTTTCTGGGTTCCGTGAATTTCCTTTTGACCGCGTATGAAGATGGATAGCTCGTCTTCTGCCGTATGGCTCTACCCAGAGTATTCGAATGTTTGAGTCTTTCACTAGCTCAGAACATTTTGTAGAATACAATAGCATTATCTTAAGGTGATGTTGATTTCAGTGGTGGCGCTAGAAAAATGTAGAATCTAGATATCTCCCGTGTGTACATCCTAGTTTCTAAATCGGTCTTTGAGCTTCTAATAAGCTGCAGGAGACACAGACTTCCTTGGAATCATTCGTATGTACCACTGTCCCAAGATCGGGCACATTTATTCCTTCAACTATGGGTGTCACTACAGAGAGTCACACAAGCGTAATGGTTGTAGTTCTGACTAAACCTTTCGGAGATAAAAGAAAAGGAAAAGATACCTGCCTTTGCCAAGACCAGAGGAGTAGTTTGGCAGAAGGATGACGTCATAAATATAAATTCTTTACTTTTTTATTTTGATGACATAACCTAAAGCACACAACAAAATGCCTCTAAATTGTCGCAAATCAGTAGAATGTGTTCCATATTGGCATTGAGATATTGCCAGCGTAGGCCTAAATTTGCCAATGGATTACTGATTTTTGGCCTGGTAGATTTTCGAAGCAAGATCAACCATCATTGATCTCAAAGACGAAAAAGTTCGAAATATGCGCTAAGTGGGCTGGAGATGGTTTGAAATCAGCGTTACCTTGCTTATCAAATGACAACCTGATTCATACGCATGAAAATATTGAGAATAAGTGAACTTTCAGTCTCATCTGAATTCATTTGATTGGCCAAATGAATAACTTTGCAACCTATGACCTTTGACCTTTGTCCGATTCCCTCTTGTTATTTGCTCACTTATTTTGTTGTTTGCTAAAGGTGAAGAATTGATGTCAAAGTTCATGGTTCCATCCTTTATTGCAACGGAATTCACCTGTCAACTGTATTTTTAAAGATACAGCCGACCGTGCTGTTGGCAAACAAGTTCTAATTTAGTAAGATTTCACAATCAAAGATTGATTAATTATGCTCGAAAGCACCGCAAAACCTGCTGCACTATTATCCATTGTGGATGATTTGATAGCAATGGCAACGGGAACTAGAAATGATCTGTCGCTGTTTATTTTTCCTTTGAACATACTTCTGACTTCTTTATCTTATAGCATCTATATGCAACACTCTATTCTTCACGTTTTTAATCGTCACTGCTTCATATTATTTGTAATGGCTACCCTCATTCAACTTTTCCAGTATAACCAACTGTCTTTTTTGGATCATTTTTGGGGGAGAACATATTTTTATAAATGTCTTTTAAGGTTACGGTAAACGTTTTGAACACGAAAATTGGTTTTTCCTTCCTAAAGGCCAAACGGCTCAAGGAATCTGGATAAACTATATATCATTCGATGCACAAGATTATGGCGTATCTAGCCAGATAAAAATTATTGGCAAATAATGTTAAATGTTATTTTCCATGCGAATTTACTGGTCAAAAAGTGTACCACCTTCAAAAGCTATTATGTACCCTTGCGTTTGAGGTAACAAAATCTGACTTAGACCAGCAGGAAGTGCAGGACCTAAGCTACCAAAGTGTGTCTCAGATTTTCTAAATTCCTCCTCTTCTTGAAACTATACCCTGTCAAAAATTGGCAAATAATTTTTCCACCCTCCGGCAGCTGCATTTGGGTATAAAAGACGGACCAGAGAAAATAAAAAAATTTTGAGACACACTTTGTTTGCCCAACGTCTGCCCTGGCCGTGTGCAAATTTTCGAGCCATTCGATTGGTTTCTTGGGTACATAATAGCTTTTTCGTACCTTCATGTAGAGGAATTTCGAGTCCGGAGAAAACGGGATTTTACTGATCGCACTTGCAAGATACACTCGTAAGCCACAGTGTAATCCGGGTCAAGTCACTTAAAGATTTAAGATCAATAAGCCTGTTTAAATAAACACGGGCGTACATTGGGTATATGGATGTGCCATGCGATATTGTAAATGAGACATGCGACCACAACCGCAAAGCAACGATAATCGGCTTAACAGGTCAAGAAATTTTCAGGCCTCAACTAAAAGTTTTGATAAAGAAATTATGGAAACCTTCGTTTACATGGGATTTTTTCCACTTTCAAAATTTCTGTTTGTTTCAAATTTGGTATCATTGTGTGCCTTGAAAGTTCGGCTACTTGAATGTGAAAAAATCGAAAAAATGATGTTTTCATCCAGAAAACGTTTACCGTAACCTTAATTGCAGAACAAAGCACAAATTTGTCATGTGTGCTTAAACCATATTCATTCTGGCATCTAAAGGCCTTTGTAGTCGTGCAATATTTCCGAGACAAAATCCGCTTTAAATTCTGCATTATGAAATGACACTGCATACAAAGTGTTAGGGAGACCAGGCCTGTACTCAGAAAGATTTTATAGAGGCATGAAAACGCAAAACCGTTACCCTCTGGATAACGATAGATTTTCTAGAGGAGATTATATTATATGCCATTTTTAAAGATTGAAAAGCACGAAACCATACAAGGAATCTCTTTTTTAATTTGTTGAAAGGTTTAAAATATAGTTTGAACAGGCACGCCAGGCTGTAGTCCCCCTCCTACTTGTTTGCTTCAGTATGATATTGAGCTTGTGACGTCATATATAATAGTGGCAAACTACCATGAAAGTTTGCCAATTATTATGGCCCCCTCCATTCAAAAATGTGCTCCGGCATCCTTGTTAGAAGATGTAGTCCAGAAGCTGGCACCATTCATAAATGAAGACCAGAAGGTTTAAACAAACCTTACATTCATTATGATCGTACAAAACTCTTAACTATTACAAGCACTGAATAACGATCGGTTTTCTCGAGCAGATTGAGGAAATTTATGAAGACTGAAAAGCAGGCAGCTGATACACTTGATTCTTTTTTATTAGAAAAGGTGAAAGATAGAACTTAAGATATATAGTTTAGAAATTGGCAACATTGTTGAATTAAGGTTTGAAGGGTAAAAGCCACCATACATTTAACATGATCGTATACGTAAATTTGCATTTATTGTTTTTAGGGATGAAGCTGCAAATGTCAAGTTAGGAAACATGAAATTGATGGTTCTTCCTATGTATGGAGGACTTCCCATTGCAGAACAGGTTAGGTATTTTCCAGAGAACGAAGCATCTAGTACCTATATTTGCATCAAATAACTTCGTATGCAAACGATTTGCACTGATTTGTTTATACTGTTATTGTATGTACAAATTTTAGGAAGAGGGGGGGGGGGGCCGTTGGTATAAGCATGGACATGAACATCTTTCTTCGATTGTTAATGGAAACATGCTTTTTATCTTATGTTTTTATTTATTCTTAATCTAGATTTTACATTGTAAATAGGACTTAGACTGTAAAGCGCAACCGAATATTTTTATATTGTGGTGCTATATAAATTTTGCATTATTATTATTATTTATTATTACAAAATAGTTCTACGAATTAGCTACCTTTGATCGACAGCACCTGAAAAGCTTTTGCATCTGTCTGATAAATGTCACTCGCACGCGATCCTGCAAGAATATGTAAATTAAGGGGTCACTAAGAATGACCAAATTGTACGATAACAGAATAAATGACAGCGCAAGTTCTGTGCCTTTGGACATTAGTTCAAACATAACTAAAAATGTTATTGTTGGTACGACTTCAAAAAAGATGAATGTCAGGACTATTAAACCGATAACTTTTACGAATTGTTGATAGCTCTGCATTCTTCGTGATCGAAACGTGACCCCATTTACGTTTTTTAATGCTGAAACCCTCTTCATGTGGAACCTTCGCGTATATATCGTGGTATATGTTACAATTATCATAAGCAAAAGGACTCCATCAAGGGCAAGCCACACGTATTTCGTGTAAACACTGTAAAACAAGTGAAATTCAAAGCAGAGAATAATCCCGTTGGCCATTCCTGTAAGCCATAATGTAAATAGAACCATTTTGATATTTGACCGTGTTGCAATTAACCGATGCTTTATAGCGAGATTGCAGGCCATGAAGCGGTCAATTGCCAAAAAGTACATTACTAAATACCAGACTGAATAAAATCCTGAACGCAAACCCCAGACTACATGGGCAAAGGTCTTCTCGAAGTAGATAGTATAGTTGTTTCCATGGAGCGTGAATGCGTCCTGAATGATGTAGCCAATGGCGATAAAGATTTCTGTTATACTTAGATTCATCAGTATGATCGTCTGACTCGGACAAAAATGCCTTGATTTGTGCAAGAGGTATACACCGGCGCCATTAAACAACATCGATGCCGTAAGAATGCATAAAGACAATGTTTTGATTATCAAAATGGCAGCTGAGGTCATGATACCGATATTCCTCGTTCGTTTAGTGTAATAAATTCGTAGCAGTTTCAGATCCAACATGAGCATCGATCTTCTTTAGTTCGTATATGAAGATACCACCAGTTCTTATAGAAGCTGAATCAACAAATGATTCTCTCTACTAAATTGAGATAATGAAATAAACAATCAAGCTTGTTTGTATGTATGCGAAAATTCAGTCTGATTCCGTCTAAGGTGCACGTTGAATGGGCTTCTAAATGTTAAAGAGTTTTATTGAATTTTCCGCATTCAAGAGCCGCTGTCAAACGTCTCTCTTCGCGGCCGACTAGCTTCAAATTTGGTAGTTTTCTTTTCAGTACAACAAGGACAAAATGAAATTTTATCGGGGATGCCTCGCAGTCAAGTTCCAAAATTAGACTGCAACTTGAATCAATTTTCTTATCAAGCAATTTTTCAATTTAAACAACTTTCTTTGCACGAGGTTTAAGCATAACTTAAGTCTGTTTTTGCACGAGATGTAAACTTTTTATCGTTGGAGTTGTTGCAGATAAGTTCCTTTTTCGGAAAAAAATATATGTTGCTATGTTGTTTGATAAGGAATTACTTAATTTTGATGCCTGTTTTATAGGAAGTGGTGAACAAAGTGCATAAAAATCACAGCATGTGGACGGACTGTGATAAAAACCATGCTTTTCTTTGTTCGTGCCTCGTATCTTCTCTAACTTTTTCAGCAGCCCTTTCAGTCATCTTGACTGCTTAACGTTGCTTTTCTTTATTGCTTTGTAATCTCTTGCAAAAGCCTTTTATTTCTCAAGATGTCCCCAACATTCCCTTCTCTCATGGCATGTCTGACTAATTCCCCCTTTCTCTTCTCTCGTAAGTGCCATATTTCCTATCCATTTTTGTGAGGTGCTATGACGTCATCGTCAATCCCACAGTTTTACGTACTATCCATTTTCTTAAATACATTATAACACTTGAATTTATCACGTTATCCACTTGATAACGGGCTAGACTCGAAACGTCCTTATTTTAAACTCGCTTATTTTCCTCGTACAATTTCAAGTCATCTTAAAGTTATATTATCAATTTTCTTGTTTTATTAATGTAGCACAAGGAGAACCAAGTTTTTCTGTCTGTCCTCTTTAATTTTCTTTTCAATTTCTCAGCTTAAAGTCTTTCAGCGGACCCCACATAATACACGAAAGGTGAGTTGTCTGGAAATCATTTGTGTGTGTATTCATGTGAATAATCAGTGTCTTTATATGCTTATAATTTAGTGTGTCGTCACATTGCTTTACATAGGAAAATCTTCCACTACCATCCAATACCGCATTTATGATTTCTACCTCTTGGTCGTTGCGGAGCTTGTAAGGTCAGACGATGTAGTCTAGTCATGTTCTATGTATGTTCAAACGAAAGGGATTAACTTGGATGATCTTTTTCGAAATAACAAGTTTCTCAGGTTGTATACTTATCACAACTCAACAAAATTTGCTGTCCTTATGCTCATGGTGGAGAAAAACCCCAAGGCTCTAACTTTGAAACTATGTGACGTTTTAACACGTTCATCCCATCCGATAGTTACAGCAAGATATGAAAGCTATGTTTTTCATTTTAGTTCTCAAGCTGTTAGTATGGAGTTGTAAAAATTTAAGATTAATTAACATAACTGCAAGTGTGTAACTGATAAGATCACATGTTACTAATATGTAATTGATTAAATATGATATAAAACGTTTCTGTAGGTTGTCGTTGCCACAAATATTGCAGAGGCGTCAATCACAATCAATGGCATCGTATATGGTAAGTTTAGTGTTCCATATAGTATGGCCTTAGTTATGCACTCTGAAAATAGCAACGTCTAGGACTTGTGTTTGTTTTAGGTATAAATGAAACTTAACTTGAAGTGACAAGGCAATTGACATAGCTTTTGTACTCCTCTCATTAATATTTCCTCGACAGATTTTATCTTGATTGCAAAACTTGATTGATTTTAGTTGTAGACTCTGGATTCGTCAAGCTGAAAGCCTACAACGCCACTTCAGGAATCGGTATGTTATCATATTATTCACAGGTTTACGTTCACTTGAAAACCATCTCATTGCTTTTTATCTAAGATATTAACTTAAGGGTTAGATCATTTTGATTGTAACAATGTTTGAAACAGGCTTGTCTCATTTTAAGCTTGATTTACTCCATGTAATGAGCGATGAGACCACAAGATGAATTTACCATATTGAAAGTTTTGGAAGATTGTGTTGTGGTTTTGCAACCCGTGCTCCGTTTCAATGTTGGTGTCTCTGCTTTTAATCAAATGATGTTTTATCATGAAATATATGTGCCCTAAATTTAAAGTGTGAGGGAAATGATACGTCTCTCTCTATACACGTAAATGCTACCTGACATTTTTTTAGGAGTTTATCTCAACAGGTTTGTCTAGGATTGTAGATATGGAGCAGGCCTAGCTCACAGGACAGTGGTGATAGCGAAACACGGCCTTTAGCTTTCACAAATCAGTGGACGTTGAGTAACTAAGCTACTCAAGTACTGCATAACCCATATCTGCAAAAACGTTTAGCTGAGTCAAGCTTTCATTACAATCTTTTCCTGTATGTTGTATATAACTTAACAAAGCATCACTTAAAGCAAATTTTTAGAGGAAGACCTATTTTCAGAGTCTCTGGTAGTTGTTCCATTATCCAAGGCATCAGCTGAGCAAAGAGCTGGAAGAGCTGGCAGGGTTAGAGCAGGTAATGCCCTCTTTATTACTCCCTTTCCTCAGTGTCATCTTTGTAACAAAGTAGCTCCTCAATCGTAAACCTAATGGTCATTTTTATGTGTCTCACATCAAAGAGGTCTAGCTCAAGATCAGTTTCTACAAAAACTGCTTTGAAATGGTTTGTTGGCTTTACCCTTTTTTCTTGCCCTATATTAAAATGTTCTAGTCGTCCCCAGTTGTTAGGGTTTTAAAAATGAATAAAGGTATTTAGACTGCATGCATTAAATTTCTCAATTCTATTTTCTATAATCGCGAATGTATTTTGTTTCATAGGCAAAGCATACAGACTTTACACAGGTAGCCTTTGATAGTGACCAACATTATCTTAAATGAATATGCTTTTTGTTAAGAAACTCGGTATATCAGCTCAAGTTAAGCATACGTTGCATACAACTGCAAACTAACAAGAGAGCCATTTTGACAATGAACACTTCAGTATATTTTCATTTTTTCTTGATAATGGTTTAAACCTTACAACACTTTTTCATCAAGCCGGTAGTAATTGATGCACGTGATGGGCATCTTGAAGGAAAATGTTTTAATGTGTGCCTCTTTTAGTGTTTTGCATTTGATCTCAACAAATGTTTCTTTAAAATTAACTAACATATTGCAGTATCTTAGATCGATTAACTCTCAGCTTGATATTATTAAGGTAAAAATAGCCCATATTTGTCAACCATATTTTTATCAAACATAATTTTATTTTATAACTGATTTTTTTCAACCTGGGTTTTTATAATTCCCTCTCAGAGGACAGCTACTTGGATCTTGAAAAACGTACATGTCCCGAAATGCAAAGGTATTTACCAGTGATGAGATTAATTTAGAAGGACCCTGATTTAATTAGAGATTAAGATTTTGTAAGCTTTCAAGATATGGCCTAAATAAGATGAGCTTTAACTGTGTTTTTAACTAATTTCATGAACATAACAACTATTTACATCATCAAAGAATGTAACTAAATACTCTGCTTGTAAACACGACAACTCTTAAACTCGTCATGAAAGGGAGGTTGTGACGCACGAATGCTGCGAAAACATTATACCAAGGATCTCCTGATACATAATATCTCCTGATACATAATATCCATAGCTTGGCCTGTGTTCCTGGAATTTGCTTTTGATGTCCTTTCAATTGAAGTTTTGGATGTCCTATGTATTTCAGCAAGGGAAAAGATTAGTATGAAGTGAATTGAAACATGTTGTTTTAGCGAAATTGTTTCTGTTGATTCCCTGCCCAGAAAACCTGCTTTTTTAGATAAATTTCCGATAGGAAATGGGTAGTAGGAGGTAAGCGGTTTACTTTCTCCCGACTCATTACAATTTACGTCATATTTCTGTAACCAGAAGCCTAGCCATAATCTCTTTCAGATCTTGATTAAGAAATATAAATCTGCCAGTCTGAAAACGGTTTTACGTTATAAGACCCTGAGGCCGTCTTGCATGAGGCCGTCTTGAGATTCCATTTGGGTTAAGATCATAAACTAACCTTGTTTGTCAGAAATAAACTGAGGAATGATAAAACGAACCTGGCCCTCTTCAGCTTTTACCTCCTAACTTGAACAAGTAAGCTTAAGACGACCATGACGACCATGTTCACATATTATGACTCAAGTTATTTCTGACAAAAAGAGCTGTTTAAAAATTAAATTTTGTTTAAAGCGATACCTTTTACTCCTCGCAGATCTGATCTTGCTCCTGTCATCATTCAATTGAAAAGTCTTGGAATTTCAAATGTATTACGTTTCCCTTTTCTTTCGGCAAGTATTTAGTAATTTTCTTTGCTGCTGAAAAAGGTACCATTTTGACATTCGTTTTCATGTATTTGTTTCAGTCTCACTTTGATAAAGAATCATTTGAAATGTAACTCAATGCAGACAGATGCCTGAATCTGCGTTTTTTAATTATAATACTTCACCATGTCGCTCTGTTCTATAGTTGTTTTCTCTTAAAGAAAAACATGATTATTCTGATTGTGTCATAATCCAGTAGATCCTTCGCATGACGGACACCCTTAAAACCAGTGCTACTGTCCGTTGTTGGGAGGTGTCCGTTTTTGGGAGGTGTCCGTTGTTGGCAGATGTCCGTTGTTGACAGGTGTCCGTTGTCTGCAAGCTACTTCTACAAAGCTTTTTTTGCAAAGAAAGGACATTGGAACACAGTTGCTTGTATGCCGTTTGATGGTCTGTGTATTGAGGTGCTGTCCGTTGACAGAAGTCTTGCAGTGTAGTTAATTATCGTGGAATTGTCATTTGTCTTTTGTTTTTTGCCTGTCTTAATTATTCAATTTTTGCATAATTTTAACGATTTATTTTGATTTTTTTAAAATTCTCTCCTCTTTAGAGGCCACCTGCACAATGTATGGTTCGAGGGCTGGAACTTTTGTACGCACTTGGAGGTAAACTTGTCTCCTTTGCGTCAGTGGTTTAAATGCTTCATGATTTCCTTCACTTTCTAAATAGCTGTCTAACCAAAAAGGTTGCTTAGTGAAAGCCACAAAAAATTACCAAAATGATCATGTTTAGTGAATATTATGATATACTGGTGTCCTTGATATCCACGAAGATTTAACTTTCTTTCTATTCAGCTGTTAACGAAAGTGGAGACCTAACAGACCCTCTTGGACTTCGCATGGCGGAGCTTCCTGTTGGTCCAATGTTTGCCAAGATGCTACTTAATTCAGGTAGGTTTTATGGTTTCCTTGATAATCAAAGAACAGGACAGCTTAGATGAATTTTACACTGTTTCACGCCAAATCATTTTCCAACAAGCTTGATTTTGATGTTTTGTAAGCTTGATTACCGGGAAGAAAGAAAATGAAGAATGATTTAAAAAATGAGCACAGTCTCAGTATGTTACAGCTGGTTGTACTGAATGAGCTTAAAAACGTCTTTGTAAAAGAATAACAACAAATGAGATGTATAAAGAATTTGATGATGCCAATCGATATTTCACTAGCAACACTGAATTGAAAGCTAATTCCTGTAAAACTTTACTCCCTTTTTTTCATTATAGCTTCAGCTAAGAGTATTATAGGTAGTGTGTGTGGATTTATGTATAGGAAAACTTATGATTTATTACGAGAAAGTTACAGATAATGCTCAGCAAATTTTTACCACAAAAGTTTTTGGAGAATAGTAAATATAGTCTAGCATGATAACAATCTCCTTATCAAAATGACGTGTAAATCAGCTCATAACCATAAGAGAGGTTATCAATTTGTATTTACAGGAGAGTTTGGCTGTTCAGAAGAAGCCCTTCAAATAGCTGCGATGCTTCAGCTCGAAAATATCTTTATTATTCCACATAACAAAAGGAAAGCCGCTGTGAGTATTGAACTCCTTTCTGTACGTCTATTATACCACTTTCACTTTGTCTGCAACTTCCTCAGAGAGCTTTACACAGGGCAAATGTTTTTACTAATAATTTGAATTGCTATTCAATCCATTAACTTATACATATAATCAGTTTCATCTGCATGGTTGTGATAGGGCTGTGTACCACAAAGCTTGCCCATCCTACTTGATGCATACCTGCAGCTATGGCGTACGGTTGGCCTCTATTCATAGACGTAGGAGACAACATTTATCGAATCTCAGGCCTATTCTGGCAATTTTATCTCGATGAAACAACAGTATTCGGGCAAGACTCATACTTATCCCCCCTAATTGCTCAACCTCCGCTACGTCCATGCCTATTTTTATATAGAACAGCGTTTTTTTAAGACCATAATGTAAATCTTCGAAATTCTCCCCTCTTTAAAGCCCTCCATCTTGAATAGGCCCCGCCCTGGAAGGAGAAATTGTTAATACATCCTCACTCTGGCAAGCAAACTTTTGCTTTTTACTAAGCCCTCATTTGGGCTGAAATCGATTCATTGGTTAATAAATTGATTCATTGGTAAGTGATGTACAGATGAACAGCCCTAAATGAACTACCGAATTTATCACCCTACAACTGACAGTAACTTGCCTCTTGCAGGTATCAACTATATGCAAGCTTGACTATAGGTTTAAGGTATATCACAGTATATACGTCACAATATATCACTGATGCATATCAGCGTAAGCTAGTCAACTATTAAAGCAGAAATATCTCAGCTTGCACATGCATTTTTACATTATCATGATTTAATTATTTTTTCTGCAGGATCATGCGAAATTGAAGTTTTCTGTTCACGAAGGAGATCATTTAACATTACTAAATGTTTATCGAGCATTTGTTAAGGTAGGGTCATAATGACCCCACTTTTTTACTCAGTTCTAATTCAATCAATTCACGAGTCCCATTGCTCTTTGATAATACCCACTGTAGTTCTGTAATACAGCAACCCGGACAATAAGACGTAATGGCTTACTGCTGTGAGAAAACATTTTCAATTTTGTTCAAGGGGACTTTTTCGATTAAAAGATAGAAAGAAAGCGACCCAAATAACGTCCTTATTTATTGTACAGTAAGTATTGTCAGAGAAATAAGGAGTACTTATAACAAACTGAAACTTTTCGTTGGAGTATAAAATGTAAATTTAATGATCGAAAATTCTAAGCTAGGAAATATATATCCAGCTGGGATCGAAGTAGGCCAATCAGAAGCGCAAGTACATGACTGTAAAGGTCTCCAATCAGCACTGCTTGCCTGTGGAAAATATAACGAATACCGCCGGAGAATGAAATATTCTGTAAATGAACAAACTGAACAAACTTGTTAAACGGTTTTTTGAGACCTCTTCTTCGTAGATTTTAATTCTCAAATTTTTCTCTTTCTTACACCTAGTATAACAAGAATTCTAAATGGTGTCATGAAAACTTCCTTAACTTTAAAGGTAGGGACACGAAACCTAAACTTAGTACATCATGTTTCATACTATTACTTATATTCTACCTCAAGTAACTATAAATTGATTTTTTAAATATGTATCTATAAATTTTTCTCTCAAGGTTACGAGATTACATTTGGTATTGATATCAATTCATAAATTTTAAATCAAGGGAGCTCAAAAAGTCTTTAATATTTATGCAAATTCTTTTTTAGCTTTAAGCCATGCAGTAAGAATTAAAGGGCAGCTTGAGGCAATCATGAAGCGGTATAAAGTCCCAGTAGTTTCTTGCGAAGGTTTGTGCCTAATTTTCGTGGTTTTGCTAACAGTTTTTCTTTACTGGACCCTTAGCGTCCAGCAAAGTATAATTTTTTGTAGAAGAGACAAAGAGAGTATATCTACCGGAGGTTGAAGCCAAAGGAGATGGTCTAAGCTGACCAGTAAATTGTACTGGTGGTAACAGATATTTTCAATAAAACTTTATGTACACTTGTATATTTCGTTAGAATTTGATATGTTTTAGCGACACAGCTTGCATTTTTGGTTCCCCACAGTAATTCTTAGAAACAACACATAACTTACTTGCAGCTAGATATTTCAATGCCCGCCTAGTTGTGTTGCATTATTTAGAACTGGATGTACTGCTAAACAGTTTCCAATATATGCCAGTTGCAAAGAAAAAAATTTCATTTTAGTGATTTTAAGACCTTTCGCATTTGATGCCTATTTTTTACCTGCCTTAGCAAAGCCAGTTTTAACCTGTTCTTGTGGTTTTGAAAGCCACCATAATTTGATATTCAGATATATTGGCATAATAGCGGTAAGCGTTTAAGAGGTGCATTAATAAATAATGGGGATTGATTGTAACTTAAAGGAGTAAGATTCTTTTAATCCTTGCAAATTAAGTAAATATCTATTTGAGTTTTCAAGGATAGAACCAGCTGTTGGATATATGGTCGGTGTCTTTAAACGTGGCAAGTCTCGGGTGAAATGTGAATGAAAATTCACGATTTCTTTCCATTGTCAGCTGGTTTCGAAATCTTGCACCTTTTAAAACTAGAAGCCTTTAGAATAATTTATGTTTACTAATTAGAGAGAAGTCACGCAAAGTTTGATTTGCATATAATCCCTCTTGCTTCACTGGATTTTTGTCTCTCTATTTTTGTAATCGTATATAAAGAAGATCATGTTTTAGATAACAGAAAATGATCACAGGTAAAATTTAGATAAGCAGGTCTATGTTCATTTAAATTATCATTTCTAAAGGAATGGCTCGAAATTTCCAAAATTCGCGACAAGGGCTGAGTAGCTGAGTACATAAAATTGTATGAAGGCCTGATCTTGTGTCGCCCTAACTCGCAAAAGTTTAAAAGAGAAACGGTTTTGTAAAGCAGGAGATAGATTGTTTCGCATTCTCATCCTAAAATAGAAAAAAATTATTTTGCTTTCTGTTGCTCACAATCTTATTTTTGATTTTTTCAGGAGATGACGAAAAAATCAGAAAATGTATTTTATCAGGATTTTTTGCAAATGTGGCAAAATATCATCCAGCTGGCGAATATAGGTGCGTAGCACTATGTTTTACTTGTTTTATTGATGTCTTGTTAGAATAGACACGACCTGTATAACCTTGTGATATAAACTTTATACTACTTAGTCAAAGTTAAAGTTGCTTTCAAGTCAAACCAATGTCTGAGGTTAAGTAGCACTCTTTGGCTTTAATGTACACTCTTCAGAAGAAAAACCTTTTTTGCATGATGCCTCTGTGGTTGTATAAAAAGCAGTTTCCCCCTTTCTTTCCTGTAACATAAAACTTGGCATACTAGAACACAAGGTTGTCCTTTTTATTTTAGTTTCCTTGTCACATTCTACAGCATATCTTCTATTTATCTTCTTCAATGTATCTTTTTAGCTGTAGATCTAGTCATCGTCGGTTTTATGTTTTGCATCTTTCGACAGATTTTGTTTTACCATTATCTTTCGGTCTTTCTCTGTCTTGTTCTATCTCTCCCTTAGCTTTCTTTTTCATTCTCTACTGTTTTTTTCTGTCTGTTTCTTACTGTCTCTTGTTGTCACTTTCTGCTCTCATTGTCTATTTTTGCCCTTGCATGTCCCCCCTTTTCCTAAACTTTTTTCTTGTTCCCTATCTTTCCCTTCTTTCTTGGTCTAAGTTTTTCTTGCATCTGCCTGCGTCTCCCTGTGTCTATTTGACCCCTCTTTATCTGCCTGTCTCATACTTTATGCCTGTCTCTGTCAGTTTCCTACTCTCTTTCACTGTGTTTTTCTGTCTCTCTTTATCTCTCCTTGTCGTTTACTATTTTTATCCATCTCTATTTGTTTATTTGCCCTTTTTACTTTATCTTTCTGTCTCATTTTTGCATTTGCTTGTATCTGTCTGTTTCTTTCTATCTCTTTAGTATTTGAATGTAGATTTAGGACGCCGAAAACTTAAATTGCTGTTGGATGCCTTAGTTCACATAAAAAATAAATGTAACACTAATTTAACACCTCAAAACAGAATTGATATCAGAAAACCACAAACAAGACAAAGGGGAATAACATTACATATTTTTACAAGAAAATTAGATGAAGGAATCAAATAGATGAATAGATAAATAGATAAATTGACTTTTGCTCGTCAAATCACATCTAAAATCTTTTCCATGTTCATTTTGCTCATGTTTGCCCTTTTACTCCCCTTTAGGACGGTAAGAGACGATCACTCACTGCATCTTCACCCTCAGAGCGTCCTATCGACTGAGACACCTCCTCAGTGGTAAGTGGATATCAGGTACCGTCCGTCCGACCGTAGGCCGAATTTCCAGATTATTATATCATGTTACGACATATCCATGTATTTATTCATATAATAGAAAATTCTCACAAGAATAATTGGTCCATACTAAACACCTCTCACTACATGTCAGTAAATTTCCATGTATTTCCATGTAAATACTCACAGCAATAAGTGATCTAAGCTAAAAACCCCTCATATACTTTTCAGAACATTGTTGCTGTTAAAAAATTGAATGTGTCGAAGTAGCTTAAAGTTGGTTCATATCATCTAGAAGCATACAGTTTGTACAGTGTTTAATGCGTGATAAACAAGTTAAATTATTTAAAGTTATCTGCTCGGTTAGTTGACATTTTGTTATAGCTTAATATTTGCTTTTACCTAACTAATGCACTGATTATTTGTTCACTTTTAGGGTGGTTTTTAACCAGGTTCTTTTGACAGGTAAAGAATATATGAGAGATGTAACAGTTGTAAGTACAAAGATTCTATTTGAGTTATAAGGTCATGTTACTTGGATAAATGTGTAATTAATTAGATGGCTATGAGTTATATATTGTATTTTTTCCTTTGGACTATCTCGTTGGTTAGGCCGTCACTGGTTAGATTGAATGTGTAGGAGGCTCTTTGCACAAAGACAGCAGGAGGCTAGCTTGTTGTTTATGGGTCAACGCATTGTCCAGAAACGTTATCCAAAATCTGCTGGACAGTAGCAGAAAATCTGTTAAATATATTTACCATTTTTATATTGGTATTAAGTAGTGAATGCTAATATTTTGGGTTTCTCTGCGTGTTTCGTGTCCTAATCATCTGGTGTGATAAGCGAGTATTGTTGGATCAAAATTGTCATTATATTTTGGTTTAGCTGTTGTATTTCATAGGAATAGAGCGATTTCATTAGGTGTTAATGGATAAGTATGGCTAAAACCCGTGTTATATCGTATTGCTTCTAATCAGTGCCGCTAAAAGGGGGCAAATAGCCTCGAAGTCTAGGGGAACTCATAAAATAATGAATTCTATTCTAAGCATGGCATTAAGCTTACGTAACAAACGTGTGCATAAAATAGCAAAATGTTTTGGACGACTGCAAGAAAATGACTGCAAAAGATTGTCTGAAATGTATTTCGCGGTAATCTAAAAGGCGTGGTCGCAACAATTTTCGGTTCGCTTCGCTCGAAGGGGGGGGGGGAGCATCTTTGAGTTGTGCCTCAGGGTCTCCGAATCCTCTCAGCGACCCTGTTTCTAATTTTAAAGACGTTCGTTGACATCCAATTCCAAAGTAACAGCTAACTTGTCGTGTTTAAGTTCCCTTTTGACCAACGAAATTCTGAAATGCCATGATCGTGCTAATTAGAATAGCTTTATGGTGTATTCATTTTATCATTAAAGGATTAACCGGAAGTTTTTCGTGTGTAATCAACTGGTTTATCTGTTAAACGTTTTTCTCTGAGCAACACCTAACATTTTTGGTAATAAACGCCTCTCTCAGTGATTCAAACCCTCTTTTGAAAGGTCTACAGAATCCCCCGGTAAGTTTAATAATTGTGTCTCCTAGGGAAAGTATGAAAATCCCTGTATGATTATCCCACTGTGTTGCGATAAAGAAGCAGAGTTGAGCAATTTTTCTGTGGTTGTGAAGATTTTGCTACTGATGGCATTCAAAGAAAGATTTAGAGCTGTGTTTGATTGTGATTGGCTAAAAGCTAAGATAGGGAGTGAGTTTGTGGTCATGGCTGACATGGCTGCGTTTCTTGTGGTGTTTATGGTCGGAAGCTACACCGTGATAAGTCTCGTAAACTCATAATTTTCTAATGACATTTTTTTCCTTTTGGGGTGCTTTGTCCAGATCACCTTAGTCGTTTTATTTGCATGGAATTTTCAGGGTGAGGCTTAGTTCATTCGGGGGTGGGTGGCTAAAATGATAAATGCATGCGGTTAGAATTTTTTTTCAAGACAGGGCGAAGAAATCAATAAACATCAATTATTGTATGAATCTTCGATTGGTTTCCTAAAAACCTTTTGCAGCATTTTCTAACAAACGAGCCATTGTATTTGTACGAATGGAAAGTTCGGACACTTTATTAAACAAAACGTAAGAAAATTTGAGGCAAAAACCATTGGCTTTGTTCTTGTATTTTTCTTATATTGATTCTTTTATTCCTTTGAATTTATTCCTTTCCATTTTAGATTGATCCTGATTGGTTGCTCGAGCTGGCACCCCATTATTACGAGTATGGGACGGTAGGGTGGCTTGCATTTGCTTATATCATTCTGAGATACTACAGTTCAACTAACGAAACCTCTAACTACAGTAATAGACTCGCCCTGCAGAGCTGTTGCACCTTTGACAAACTCATTCTAGAATGGGGGAAGGGAGGGGGTGGGGTTATGTTAGTCAAAGTCCTGTAAGTCTCTCTGAGTTTTACGAGATAACCCTTTTTAAGCAAAATAAGGTTGCGCATTGAGTCGGTTTTGTAAGTGACCCAATGATAATGTTTTTTGGCTGGGACAAAAATAAAAATTCTTTGAAAGGATTTTTTCAAGGGCTTTTTCTTGGGACATTGCAGTTGCAAATGTGTGGTACACTTCTTATTTATCATTGAGAATTTTCAACAAATTTGCAGGAGCGGTCAGTGATGAGCAAACGAGCACGCCTGGAGACGTAATCAATGCACAGGGCAGCAATCATGCATGTATCCAGTCAAAACGATCCAATACGATGGGCAACAGATGAGCTCACAATTAAAGGAGAGATTGTCTTGGTTATTGCTAGCGCTTTTAAAGCTGATCGCACTTTATGCCTGTTCAAACAAATAGAAGCGGCCTTGAGATGGATTGTGCGTAACCTCGCGTCCTTTTAACGCTTCTGCATGAAGAAGCTGCAGAGAAAATTTCCAGATGGTTCGAACCTCAAAGAGCAATCCTTATTTGAGGCATGCGATGGGCTTACAACAATACTGGATATCTACAACTGAGTGACAATATCTCTGTAGATACCCTGAAAGGGGCTATATTTATACCGCCCCCCCCCCTTACCCTAGGTGTTTTCTGTCTTTATGACAGAACACTTATGGCTTCTAATCGTTTCTTAATTAGCCACTAATCTGCATAGGGAAAGATTCTTGTAAAAGTTCTTGTTATTTAACTCCCATAAATTTATTAGGTAAGTTTTTTTGCTTTCATATTATGTAATACTTATGCCAGCCGTAAATTTCGTAACAAGATAAAACGATTCCTAGATGTTGAATGGTTGTTCACTGCATCTCGCACATGTTCACTGCATAGTGTTAAGATAACTATTCAAAAGAGCTCTTTGTATAGTTAATGCAGTTGCAGCTTTGTTGAACTAAGTTGATGGAGTTAACAAATATTAGTTTGTTACTGTCAAATATCGTATTTTCTGTAGCTTTTTAGTCGTCTTCATATTACATATTACGGCTTCAGTTGTCTACAGAGTTCATTTGATCAGCAAACAACGTTCAGTGTAAGGTTACATTACGTTCTTGCGTTACATTCATGACTGGAGACCACTTTTGTGAAGTTTTTGTACAGACAGTTCCTTCCTTTGAAAATTTTTGAGATGTTTATCCTCTTTGTATTTTTGATATTGCTGTTTCTGAGGCTTGGGTTGTGGGTCTCCGTGGCAGGCCCTGTCTTGAGGAAATAGAGTGGCAAAGTGACGTCATAAAAACGCTATTTTTAGAATTTTAGAATTCTGACCAGATTACCTGAAAAGTTTCTAAAGAGTCAAGTGTCACTCGTCTTAGCAGAAACCAGTGTACATATAGCTACTTTGGTGTTTATAGCTTTACGTAGCTTTGGTCGAGATTAATCCCCAAGAAACGCGGATAAGATGTTATGTACTGTACTTATTATTAAGATCAAAACAAGGAACAATTGTATTTCGCGAAATGAAATCGACTACCCTGAACCCGAACATTCCAATCATATTAAATCCAGCAAAGAACAGTTATGTATGGGGGTAGTAACTTCACACTTTTGTCAGACTATGGAATACGTATTGTATTCGATTCACAGCACACGATCTTTTCATTAGGTAGGCATGTGGCTGTAAAGTTTTGCTAGAAGTCGTTAATGAATACAAAACAGAATGCAATGGTGCGAAAATTATTTTCGCATGCCCAGCTGAGTTCACTGTGTCATACGAAATTATATTATAGGGAGGTGTGCCCATTTGATTGCGTGCCAATCTACTAATCTAGAATTGGAAGGAAGTAAAGCAAAGTTTAGCAATTATTGGGGGCTGCAACGCTCCCAGGCTCTCACTTTTGCCAACCCAGGACGAAAAATGCAGTTGCAGATGGACCCTCCGCCCCTATCACTTTCGCTCATCTTTATCACATTTGCACTCAACGTTCTCAATGGGCTTTGTTTTGCCCTTTGTTTCCAAAACAGTAACCCCCTGGAAACTACACACGAGGCCGGGAGAGGCATGGCCTGAGTTTGGCGGGAAGTGTGTGTGGTAGATCTGACAACCGCTGTTGACTAGCCAGGCTACTGTTGACTGAATTAAGAAGACGTCATTACATATCTACAAGATGATTTCGCATAAGAGGTAACAAATTACATTTTCCTTTTCCTTCTCTCAAATGTACTTGGAAAACTCAAGAAGGTCAGTCATCCAAAGTTCCATAGGTTGCCTGTAGTCTCATTCATTTCATTGCTCAACGTGCTTCTGATCGCCATACACCTTATTAAGTTGCTGGCCTAACTCAGAACAAGGGCTTTCGTTTCTGGATTTAAGGCCAATTCTGTTTTTGCTCTGTTTAATTTCGGGTATCCGGTCTGATTTGATATAGACGTAATGTACCACTTGTACATAAAAAAGTAATTAATGGGTCACGTAAAATATCGTTGCGGCCTCCCTGTTTTCAGTTCTATAAAGCCTGCAATCTTACTTGTACGAGAATAGAACGTAAAAACTAACTGTACGTACTCCAAAAGAACTTAATTTTACGGTATCGCGAAAACAGAACATCGTTTCGTTCGGCGATGGATTTCAAACATGATTGCCAAGCCACGTGTACAATCAACCTGCCACAACTATGTTACGCATAGTTGCGGCATGGAAACCAAATGTTCCACCTGACCTTCTGGAATGACGGGCCTTCTTCAACTAACTAACTAACTAACCAACTAACAGTTTTTGAATATAGCTTATTGATAATTTTTGTTATTTAGTAGTCCCATTATAGGTTTTTTTATCATTATTCGAATTTTGTACTAGGTTTTTACTATTTATTTTTCATTTCTTTATTGGTTGAATTTAGATTATTTGTACTTTTAATTTGTGAACCAACTGAAAACAAGTTTTCAAACTTAGTTTGTAATTCATGCTAAAGATTATTATACATACATGCATACATTCCATACGTAGTTTTTTCTTATATAATTAATTTTCTAACTAGGGGCAATTGCCCCTACATCCTTAGCTTTTATTGCTAAAACAATGGGTTATTGTCCTCAACTGTACACAAACAAAGTCTTAACCCCCAAGCTGAGTTCTCTTAGAAAATTCTATGCTAAAATGTTTCTGATAAAGCCCAAAAACCCAAACTATGAAGAGCTCCATACAGTATTGCATACAGTATTGGCTTAGATTTGTAGAAAAACCAAGTATGAGAGTATATATTCTTCAAATGCTTTATTTAATTGAATGTTTTTTTATTTAGTATTTAGTATTAAGTTTTTAGTAGTTGATTGACAGACAAGTATGCGTTATGTGATATTGGCTTGCCACCGATTCTAGCCAAATTTTTCCAGAAGAAGTCTTGCCAAAAAGATTGGTGTGCAAAGTTTTGAACAATGGGTTACCTCAAATTCTCAAATCTATTCACTATAAAACAAACAACAAGGCCTGAAACATCAAGCAGGGTCCTGTAGGTCTTTTAGCTAGCCACCTTGTCCTACCAATATCTGCTCTCATCAACATCACTTTGCTGTTTTACAAGCTTTATTTTTTCAAAGTACTGCTTGACCTCATGTTTATCAACACATCAAGCTTACAAACTGCAGATAAAGGATCATGCTGGCCACAGATCTGATGCAAAATGGATCACAAATACAGACTGGTTGATAGATTGTTTAAATTCTCAAGAACCATGCAAAGTCTTAAAAGGTGGAAAAAAGGCTCCTTGACTGCAAAGCTTTGAATTGAACTGGAATTGAATTTTAAATTTTTTGTAAAGAGCAATCAGCTAATAGGAATCAAGTTCTACAATAAACAGTTGGCTGTCAATCTCCAACTATATTCTCTGACAAATTACTAATTTTCACAAAGAATCACTGAGAGAGAACTGAGAAACCAATGCTCCCTGTCGTACCCAGGCAATGTGTCTCTTATTGATATAAACCAATATTGTCAAAATCCAAGTAATCTTGATTCATCATTTAGTCAGGCTGTGTTTTCCGTCTTTTGTTTTGTTGTGTGCATTTGCATAAATATTGAAGTTCAGCTTGACCAGGGATCGTTTGGTAGTTAGGGTAGCAGATTAGAAATCAGAGTTTGTAATTTGAGTCACTGACATGACCAAACTTTTACTAAGAATAAGGGGAGGGGGTGAGTCTTATTTGCTTTTCTGCAGATGCCAATTTTTTCAGTAAAATACATTTCATTTTCAATATCTTGATTGATAAAAAAATAATTGAATTGGTAATTATTCACCTAAAATGAGAACTTACCTAGTAATTTAAAATATGTCTGTGTATTCCTTTGCTTGTTTTATTTCTTTTGACAGTAATCAATAACTTTTTCACATATAAAGAATACTTTAATAAGCACACTTTTTTAATGAATATAATGTTTTGTCTTCAACATTTTGTTAGCTTTTCATATGAGGAGGTGAAAGAAATCAGTGACCATTTGCTCTCAAAAACAAAACAGAGACCAACTATTGGGATTGTTTGTGGATCTGGTCTTGGGGGATTGGCTGATGACATAGAAAGCAAAGAAATCTTCCCATATGACGACATCCCAGGTTTCCCTCTTAGTACAGGTAATTCATATAAATGTGTAATATAGTGTTTCATCATGTAGAAGATTTGATGGGGTGAGCAGTTTTTCAATGCAACATTTCTGTTGCAAGGTGCTTGTGATGAATTTTGATCTCATTAATCTTTTACCTTGGCACAAATCTTTTACCATTTTAACCAGAAAGACCAGGAAAGCAATTATGAAATGTCCTCGATTTGTTTTCTTATCAAGCACAGACAAGATTATGTAGGAAAATACATAATACATAAATACATTTTCACCCTTGTTCGAAATCGTAAATGGCCGAAAATGCAGAAATCAGTGGTTTCCCTACATAATGTTGTCTGTGCTTGAATAAAAAAAATTGGGGACATTTCATAATTGCCTTCCTGGTCTAACCAGTTAAAATGGTGGAAAATTTGTGTCAACGCAAGAGATGTTTAAGACAAACTGCGTTGTATTCATAAAACACAGCCTTGAATGAGGCTAGTTGCTCTTGCAGCCACAAAATCTGTATTAAACTTTATCAAAGGCATAATAAATCATTATTAATGAAATTGTTTGTCTAAATGCAATTTGAATTTAAAAGGACAGGATACAATGATTGGGCAGACCATTTCATTCTATGACTGCAGGGCAGTGGATAACACATTTCCTGTAATAATATTTTTCTTTTTGCATGATTCAACCCTTATCAGCTACCCTAATACAATATAAATTATAAGTATAAATACATTATTTCAATTAAAAAAATATATAATTACAGTCTAAATAATTAGACAAATCTGTCCTGTTTAGATAGACGAATCTATCAGCTCTTCAAGTACTCCTCAAGTTGTTTTTTAAAGCGACAAATAGTTGGGAGTTCTCTAATATCAATTGGAACCTTGTTCCAGGCTTTGAGAGCAGAGTAGCTAGAATTTTTTCACACGTTCTGTAATTATTCTATGAATATTCCATAATCTTATACATCATGACCGATCGATCGAATCAAATGAGATTTTCAAGGCTCAACCAAATACATGTCCATTTTTCCTTTAATTTGGTACTTTCAATTATTGATCAAGCTCGGTCCTGTAGACATAAGTATGGAGGGTATCAACTTTAGTTTTTGGAAGGCTGCCCCAAATATCGTTAGCATACCGTAGGTGACCTTTGACAGTGGTGAAGTAGACACTGCAAAGCTCTTTTTGGGGATTTATATTTTTTAACTTTCTTAATGACCCAAGTCCTCCACAAACTTTTCTTTTACAACTTTGTATTGCTCATCCCACTTTAGGTTTTCATCGACAATTACTCCTAGAGATTTACTCTTCGTGACACGCTTAATAACACAGTTTGAGCACACACAAGAATTGCCTATTATCATAAATTCAGTCTTTCCAGGGTTGGGACTTAACTAATTTATTCTCATCCACTCAGAGAGGTTCAGTAATTCCTGCTGTGCCTCGAAGACCAGCTTCTCAACATCATTTGATACGGTCTTGAAATTTGTATCATTGACATAGATACTAACTTGTGAATATTTCAAACATTGCTCAAGGTCATTCAGGTATATAATAAAAGGAGAGGGCCTAAGCAGGAGCCCTGAGGTATACCACACAGTACCTTGCTTGTCATTGATCTCTGACCGTTAACTGAACAAAATTGTTTCTGCTGATCTAGGTAGGATTGAAACAAACTCCCAGCTGTGTTTTTTATACTGTATCTACCCACCTTATACCGTATCTACTGTATAGATTGCATTTCCCGTCAAAGCTATATGCTAAATTAACGGATATTTAACATAGTTCTTAGCTGTAGGATGCTGTGAAAATTTATAAAGAGTGCTTCCTTCTTAACAAGGACACAAGTTAACTTCTTCATTTTTATAAAACCTTTATAAAATCTTTAATTTTTTTCTTTCCATTAATTCTCCAGACATTTTTATTTTCAGTTAAAGGGCACCATGGAAAATTGATTTTTGGTGTGTTGGAAGGAAAGCCAATTGTCTGTATGCAAGGGAGGTTTCATGTCTATGAAGGACACTCTATTTACAAAGTAAGTTAAGTTTGAGTGAGATTTTGTGTAACTTAGGGTTATGGCCCCCAACAGATTGATAAGCTTCTATATCCATTTGCAGCATCTTTCCATAAAAAAAGATTATTTTCACAATTCTACTTGAATTGTCTCCTGAGAGATTTTCAAAAGGGATATAGAGTACTGCCAACCTACAAGTGGATGCAATGTATTTCTTTATGAATGCTTCTTAAAAAGAAAATCAAATTTCCACATTCCATTGGAAACCTCCTTATTCATGTAGAAGCAAGGTTAAATAAAAATATATCAACAATTATTGCATATTAACTGTATTAATGGTTATGATATTTTACTCATTTTGTTTGTTCATATCCAGCGGATGCTCGTTATTTACAACTGATTAACAGTTAATCACAATTGCTCCACAAACTATGCTGTTTATGTTTTTGCCGTAGCCACCTCTGCTTTCAAAATTTGACAGATTTTCGGAAAAATAATTGTTCTGTCGGAACTTATCGTATTATCGATAAGCAATTCACTTTGTAAAGAAAATACTAGATTTCCACAAAAAAAATGATTTCTCAAGATTTACTGATTTCTGCCATTCTGCCATAGAGTGATTTGCTGCTCGGATTTCGTCAGTTAAAATCCAAATCTTCAAGGGCCAAATTTGGTTATGGAAATTTGCAATATTGGTCATAAATTATATCTTTATTTGATATTGAAGGCCGGTACAGTGCCAACTTTTTGCCTATAACCAGATAAGGTAAAACAATAAAGGAGTCGATCAATACCATCGCTTTCCGCCAGTGGATATTCATTTTGAAAATAAAATTTTATAATTAAAATTTGCTCCAAAGAATGCAATTTCCGGCCAACTTGAAGCATTAAGATAATAACAAATGTTGCCCTTCGGCTGCAACCATGGTGTCGCCTCATGTAGTAACTTGATTCAAATCCTTGCCCCAATCTACCGATCTATAGGGTTGAGAAACGTCAGGTGCTTTCACATTAAGTATGAGAGAAACAGAGACAAGTTAGAAAGTGCCTTTTAAATATCTTTCGAGCTAAGGCAAAGGTTATGTGTTTTTCTCCCCCCCCCCCCTTACAGTAACATGAAATGCTTCTATTTGATTAGATAATTCAAAGAAATTTTGTCGGAAAGTTTTTCTTTCTGTCCACCCTGTTGATACGCCCCTGCTCTGATTGGGACAGCAACACAATCAAAAACTTAGTATAACCAAATATTGATTAAGAGACAAGAACCCAGAAAAAGTTGCATTCACACTTCCAGAGACTATGTTGTAGGTCGTTTAGAAAAATTGCCATGACCAGAATTATGTGATTTTTCGAAATCTCGATTCTTGCGATGATCATTAATTTCTGAGATGGTTCATCTATGCCATAAATATTGCAAAAATAGTGCTTTGTGAGAAGTGGAACACATTTTCTCTGCACATCAGAGATTGCTTCGTTACTGATCTGTCTTAAGAATCAGTATTTGGAAAATTGTGGACATTTTAGACTCTTTTGATTCACGATAGCAGAGCTCAGAGGAAGGGAAATGCTTCCCTTATAAATCATAGTCTATGATTATACTGGTTAAGAAAGATTTTTTTCGTCTAACTTTAAACCCATTAATGGAAAATAGCAAATACAAGAAAGAGTTTGCATGCACCCTGATAAATTGTCATTATTAGAAGAAACGAGAAAGGTTTTTGGGGTTTTTAACTCGATAAGGCATCCTCAATCTTACCCCTCGAAGTTGGAAGGAAGATATTTTTAAAAGATAATTTTTGATAAGTCTTTGCTTATACCTATTTGTTTTCAATAGCATAAACACAGTTCCTTGAACATTTAATGATATTTATTGACTTAGGGTTGGCTTATTTTTTAGCTAATTTTTAATTAATGCCAATCACAATCAAATTACATGTTGATAATACGATAAAATTTAGCTTACAAATATATGCAAGCAATAAGTGGGATTTTGCTGGACTGACTCGCACGATTGTTATGCAGCCAAAAATGTTCAGTGAAGAAACAAAAATTTTCTGCATTTACAGACAGCGTTGCCGATCAGGGTGATGGTAAATCTTGGAATCAAATATTTGTTCGTCACTAATGCCGCTGGTGGAATCAACAAATCGTTCAAGGTTGGTGATTTGATGGTGATTCAAGATCATATTGGACTGCCGTTGTTGAATTGTGTTAACCCACTGGTTGGACTTAATGACGAAAGGTATATTATCAAAAATCACTGCGTATTTATTATGGCAATTTGTATTAATGGCAACCTAAAAATCGTTTGAGTTTGTCAGGAAAATTACATTGAAAGTATATGTTTGCAACGCTGAGCATGTTTAAAGTATTCTGTTTGTCTGTGCGAATATGAGAACTCTGTATTAAATTGTCTTCCCAGCATCCTTGCTATCCCTTTTTTTCTAGGGTCGGACCAAGGTTTCCTTCATTTACTGAGCCATACAGCAAAGTATTGATTAAAACGATCCATGAAACTGCTAAGGAGTTAGGCCTATCAGAGTTCATGAGGACCGGTATTTACTTTATGCAAAGTGGACCTTGCTTTGAGACGCCAGCTGAAGTACGATTTCTACACGCGGTAAGTATAAGTGAAAACTATGATTTGAGTTACATCCTTTTTTGTCAAACATTAAAGCTCTCATGCAATTGGTGCCTTTGCAAGTATCGATGTTTGTCCAAACTTATGTACGCTGTCCCAATTTGGTACACTGAACAAAGCACGATCAGACACATATTCGATTCCATCCTCGAGTTCTCGTTTTATGCCGCAGCTTTTGTGCCTAGTGTCTGATGGGGTTGACATCCAGAGCTGTGACTGTTTTATCTGAGCTTTTCCAGAGTTTGAATTATGTTCCCCAATGCAGGACACATACTCGTGGGGTATTGCATGCCTAGTTGTTTCAGCTGGCACAAGGGACTGCGGAAACAGGGGTGCTATAGGGGCTTTAGCCCCCCAAAAAAATTTCCAAATTATACTTAAAACCATATAAAAAACGCCCTGCTCCTGGTTTTAGCATGTTTAGCCCCCAAACCATTTTAGCCCATCAATCTGTAATATGCTCCGCAGTCCTTGTTTGGCACTGCAATAGAGATAGCACAGCTTTCAAATCTGACACTTCCCCATTTTCCTCGCCTCTTAACCTTCATTATTCTTCTTTTATTGGCGTTTAAATTCAAATTCCAACTTACCTTGCTACCATAAGAAAGGTTTATTCATGGTTTTTAGTGCAATACTTTAAAAGTAAATAGTGCAAGATTTTGAAGTAATAGCAGAATAAGCTTGTGATGGCTCGGATCGTCAGTTGTGCACACAAATAAATGACTAAGCTCGAATGACTTATCTTTAGGTTGGCGCTGATGCGGTTGGCATGAGCACGGTCCCAGAGGTTGTTGTTGCAATTCACGCCGGTGTCAAAGTTGCTGGAATATCTCTGATTACCAACCAGGCAATTCACGACTACGAGGATCGTCCGCCACCCAATCACGAGGAAGTAATGGCTGTTGGTAAACAAAGGTCAAGCGATATAATCAGAATCTTACGCAGAGTCCTTTCAAAAATTGATTAATTCTGTTTTTGGGCAATTAGACTTTGAAATCATTATCATTATATTTAGTCTCAGAATATTTTAAGAACGCATTATTTTAAACACAGAATAAGGAGCCCCTGTTTATTCTCGATATGTTTTGCAAAGCATTTATTTACAAACAGTTAATAAAATCTTATTCCCTTTTAGAATCAAGTTGTACTGGTAAACTAATTTGTTCCCAACACCATCCACGCTCTTTCTACTTATCATTTTATTTTATCATCCGTGAAATGGCTTTGTGATAACGGATATTGAAAACCAATAAGAAACTTTTATATTTATCCCTTCCTGATTTCACAAAAGTTCTATCTGCCATGATTTAGTGAAGGTTAATCGAGGAGCCTATATGTTCAAAGTGAAGTTAAAGATTAAAGCAAATCTTTCTGAATCTAAAAACATTGAAAATCATTTGAAGGTACAGAACACCAATTCAATTTTTGCTTCATCTATTTTACAACCCTCTTTACATCAGGCCATCTTAGATTCCCGCCTCTTCTATCGGTTGGTTGTTGTTTGTCTCTGCAAAGAGTTTTCGTGTAAAAGTATTTATTTAAATACCAGTACGTATTATAATGGTAGTGTCACCCTATTTATTCCGAAACAATGTGATTTGGTGTATGATTCAACTTATAATTTTAATTTACCCATTTATTGTGTATTCCTTAGTTTTTGTTCAAATATTTAAATGGAGTCGTGAAATACCTTGTTTTTCTTGCTGCTTCCCAATTCTTAGCAAAATACATGTCATGAACTGAAAAAACCAATCTTTACAGACGGATAAAGCCAGTGCAGCCAGACTCAATGTGATGTTGTCCACTTAGCTCAAGAGCAACCACGAATAGCAAGGGTGATGAATAAATTATCGAAACCTCGGTACAATATCTAAGCAGTAAAATCGAAGGAATTACATAAGTAACAACAAAATTCTTAAATTCTGTATCAACTGTTTTAGTTGAAGGAAATCTGATTTGATAGGCGCAAGATCCCACTGAGTGTCTTTAAAGTATGTGTTTTCAAATTTTTATAATCGTAAATACATTTGCATCTACGCTGATACTACCAAGGATATATTTTCAAATATCTCCATTTTAAACAATATTTGTGAAGTGCCTGATTTTAAAACGTTCTGTTTTCCAACGGTTTAATGTGGACGCAAAAAAATAATGGATAGCTACACGACGAGCAGCAATACTTTTAGCAAAGACAGTTGTAATATTGCAATGGTCGTCATTTCAAAATAACCTAATTATAAATTACCTAATCTAAACTAAATATCCACAAATTAATCCAAGGAATTAATCCATAACAAATTCAAAATAAAAGGAAACATTGAAAAGTAAGATTAAAACCTGTAGTGTTTTTTTGACATTTTGAAGGATGGAAGAAAGTGTACATGTTTGAAATCTTTGCCCCATTTGTTCTACAGCTTTGGTGTTTCTTAATTTCAGTGTATTTTGAGCTGAGCTTTTTGTAAATAAAGTAAACTGCCCTAAGTGTACTTCCAGTTGATAGCATGCTACCAGTTAATTGCAGGTAGAAATTGAAATGCAGTTTTTGCACATTTTGTATATTGTATGAACCAGTCTGGAGCCGTCGTTGTATCCTTGTGCCGTTTAAGTCAGAATTTTAACAGCAATCGGGATTCATTTTGAATACCCAAACTGTGGAGGGTTGAAGTGGTACTCTCAACATTTAAAAGACGTTGCTTTGTGAGAAACATCGTTTTTGGCAAGCATAAGGTACGAAAGAAATCGAAGGCATAATCAATGACAAACTGGCATCATTAATCGATGAAAAATATTTAATGGAACAGACGTAGGTGAACTCATTAAAGAAGATCTGTAAACTGAAGACACTTGCAGACAAGCAATTCTCTTATGAACGTGTATAGTTATTTTTTAATGTATTCTCGCAATGAGATCAAAGTACTTGTTTTAGAAACAGTGCTGAAACATTACCAACAGAATATATACGTTGCCCGTGTATAGCTTCGTAGAATATGTGCACAGGTCGGTTTCTTTCTTAACGGGAATTTGCCGCAAAGATGCGCAAAATTAGCGAATTTTCGATTAAAGTCAATAAAAACATTTCTATTGGTTATGATGAAAGATAGTAAGAACTTTATGAAGAAATAGACAAAGAAGACATAGAATTTTAGTATGAATACATAGGGTGATGGAGAAATTGGGGGTTAGAGATGATAAACTACGATGACACTTACCCTGGGCAACAGAGCCTGTTAAATCCGGGGATAAGATATTGTAGACAGCTATCCTTGCTCATAAAATTTTTCTACCCAGTTCTAACTATATTTCTGAGACTAAATATGAAATAATGGAGACTCTTTAATTTGTTCTGGACCACTTATGGGTATTCAGTTGTAAAAGGATATATTTATTACAAACCATAGAATCGAAACTCGTATTTTCAAACTTTTGTGGAACAAGCCTAAAAAAGCTTTTTTTCAAGGAAATAGCCATACCTCTTAGGCAAGAACATTCTCGTCCACAGCAACATTACCCAGGATTCATTTGGGCATACACAGTTTATCATCAGGTCTTCAAAGATGGCGGGAGACTTGGGGAAAATCAGTCTTCCCGATGATCAACCTCTGGAAGAGTTGCTTGCGAAACATACCGTACCAGAATTGCAACAGGAACTTAAAAGAAGGGGCCTTAAAAGGTCTGGAGTAAAGGCGAAGCTTATTCAAAGGTTGAAAGAGGTATATATTCCTTACGTTAAGAATTCCTTTTATAGCTAGGCCTAAAAACTACGGAGCAAACACAACACGCGTGTTCGTGCACACATGTGTCCTAAAACAAAAGAGGGTTTTTTGGAAACTTTTTGGTTACAATAATCAATTGTTAGTCATGCTATATCAGTTACACTACTGCAGAGAATTAGTAGCCGTACATATTCAAGTGCATGCATCACTTTATTTATTCATTCCACCAATAAGAATTCAGAATTCTGGATTCTGTCTGTCCACATGCCTTCAAGATAAGCTATAATGGTTGGAGGAGCTTACTTGCAAGTTACACACTTTTTTATGATATACAGTAAATGCACAAAAATGCTTGTAATATTGAATTATATAGAAGAAACAGTTATTTACCAAAACAACATATGACCTAATGAATAAATACCTATGACATAAATGGTTTGCTTGTACTCCCTGGGTTGAAAACCAATCAATAGTTTTGTTTACATACTGGTGATGCAATCAATCATAGGCCACCACTTGGGCATTGCTGGAGATGTTGACCTTGCTAGTAGCAAGAGTAGTAGGGTTTTCACTCTGTTTTTATCTGTTTTTGTATCCTCTGTTTGAGCTCTTTTTGAAACAGAGAATGGATGACTCCGTTGTCATTGACTCTTTTCTTACTGTTCCCATTAAAACAATGCATTTTGAATGACTTCATTTTTGAATCACTCCATTTTGGACTGTTTTATCAAATGACTTAGTTTTTGTTTCAAATGGCTCTGTTTTACATTATAAGAATGGGAATCCACAATTAAAAATAGATTCAATGACTCTGTTTTGATACGAAAACAGACTAATGGCAACAGGGCCTAAAATATGTATAGATGCTTTTTCCTAAACTATTTTGTTTGAAAATGAAGAAATTCTTCTAACATTGTGTTAGAAATTAAAGAAATTAAAAAATTATTTGGTTTTATGATAACCTCATATGCTTTTTGAAAACAGTTAATCACCCCTTGTAATACATATGTCTCACCTTATGTCTCATAAAAGTTATAAGGGTTCAATTTTTTGGATCGCACGAAATCAATATTACAGATAAGGCAACAAATTCATATTACAAGGACTGTTATAGGATACAGGTTTTGCCAGTCTGGGCAAGCAGACAAGCCGGTCTCACAGGCAAATCAAGCAGGCTGACAAATGTCTATAAGCACATCTATAAGAAGATCTTTTTTCCATTTTTCATAGTGCTTAAAAATTTATAGAAACAATTTGCATGAATTCAGATACAAGTTTCACCATATTGATTTTATAAAATTTGTTTCTTTAATGGAATAAAGCGATTAAAATACTCAGAACAAAGATGAATCAGGCCTATCACACAAGGTACATGTAATGCAAAAGCAGGTACCATGACATTTCAATAGCTCAGTCAAATTTTGAAGCCCTTGGAGAGCATTAATTTGTCACAAATTGCAAACACGTTAAGTTGATTATATCAGATGTATCTGACAATAAACTCTGGCTCAAATTAAGAGAATTTTGAGACATTTGCATAAGTATCCTTTACCATTTAATGAAAATGATTAATATATCAAACAGATGATAAAATATTTTTTTAACAGGAAAAACAAAATTTTCAAAGACATCAAAGTTATAATTTATTCAGTTTGTGTTTGTGTTGTAGCAAGCAATGCTCATTTACTCAGTAGTCAAATGAAGGTTTCAGCCAGCCTTTCTGTAAAGATATTAGCAGGTGCATTGTGGAATCATGCCTCTAAGCAAAATTCTTCATCAAGGGGTGTGCTTCATACCTTCCAGTTTAAATCACTCAGAAAAGCAAACCATTGATGTTACAGCTTTTCAGTGTGGTTTTTAACTTGTGGTCCCAAAGAATATATATATATATATAACCATTGCCTTTCAAGTGTTGTAAACAGTCACAAGAGAAACTTCTATTGTTTTGATACTGATAGAAATTCAGTAGTTTACTGAGCAAGTATATCATTATCATGGCGACCGCAGTTGAGCATTAACGAAATAGTTTCCCCATAAGTCACGGTCGCCCATATCTCCTGGTAGTGGCTCATAGGTCAATGAATGTCAGAGCAGGACTTCCCCTGTTGCGCCTTCCATGAGTGGGTTCCCTAAGAAAAAACTTGAGAACAGTATCTTGTTTACTGCTCCAGCAATGACCTGCAAAATGTAGTTGTCTTTCGGTGATTTTAGTTGTTATCTTGGGTAAGTTTTCATACAGCATTTTATTAGAGAAGTGATTATGCCAGTTTACATTTTGGATTACTCTCAGCATTTTACTGCAGGCTTCATCTAGATAGACTTTTAACTTCTGTTAATCTAAAAATTACCTCCTTAATTTAAATATTACCTAGAACTGATCATAAGGGTGGGAACATATATTTTGAGCAGTCCTGGCACTAAACAAGTAAGATAGTTTTTCACTGTTTAACTTGCATATCTTGTTATGCGATAGTGAAGCTGTAGTTTTAAAAATGATTCCTGGAGCAACAAAACACAGTTTCTGATAAAAAAGTAATAACATGCAAATGGCAGAGGCATGCGAAATCACTACTTTTTGAGAGGCAGGTGCAGGGCAAAATGTATGCCTATCTTGCCTAGGGCAGCACAGAGGCAGCACAGGCCAAGGCGCCGGCATGCAATCACCCACTTCAAACTGAGAGGCCTGTATCCATGTACCAGACTCATCAAAACATACATCAGCCAATCTTGGTAGTGCCAGAAGAGATGGAAATGATGATAGTTGCTAATGGTCTAAATATTAAGAATTCTGAAAGTATTAGATAGAACTAAGGACTCCATTGCATCAAATGTTTTGAGAATGAATGAAAAGATCAATGCAAGATTTGCTATTTATGTCATTAACTAAAGTTTATTGGCACTCTATAGCAGGCCATGCTGGGGATAAAATGGCAGGGGTGCAATGAATCGCACTCCTTGTGGTGCCAAGGCGTGCAATGGTGTGCTATTGCACCAAAGTACTTAATAATACAGTCAGCTGTATAAGGACTAGACTACATAACTTTATCATAAGAAAACATAAGCAAGGCTAGTCCAATCAATACATTTTATCAAACAAGCTTTATTAACATCAAACCCAACATATTAAAGAGAAAAACATTAACAATAAGGTAGGTTAATTAATATGTAATCCTGCAGTTTATATACCCTTCTGGTCTCCTTCTCCTGACAATCTCGTTCTCAAAATTTAAGAATTCTAACTGTGTTTTCACCATAAAGAAAACTTGTCTGTTGACTAATGTTAGAACGAATTAAATGGTTAATTGCACGTTTATATTTTGTAAGAAAGCTACAGTAGCTAAATCCTCACAATTCAAAGTCTCTTAATTTTGGAACATTTTTGCCCACATTTTATTAGTAAAAGTTTCTAAAATGTTTTGTATTTGCATACAGATTAGAAAAATGCACATAAAGTAAACTGTATATAGAGGAATTGTGAGTCCTGAGAAAACGGGATTTTACTGATCGCACTTGCAAGATACACTCGTAAACCACAGTGTAATCCCAATATAACGAACTCTGAAGGGAACCAGAAAATATTTCGTATATCGGGAGTTTGTTAAACCGAGAGATAACGTTTTTTGGGGGTCCTTTCGCAGTTCACGCCTAAAAAACCTGTGGTGGGCTTGTTTAGGCTATCTCCAACCTCTGTGCACATGTACAGCCATACATGTACCATTTAACTCAAAAAAACCAATCTGAATTCAAATAATACAACTGGCTGGTCATTGAAAATGAATATCTTAATGTTCCTTTTATAACTTGGGACCAAGAGATTGGCAAAGCTGGTATCACTTCGCTCCTAGTTGGTGCCTGAATGATTTCTTCAATTACTTCACATTCTTATTTGTCTTTTTCTGCTTCTCCATTTGGGTCTCTCAATAAAGTTTTGTCGTCTCTCATTGCCAATGTCTCATATGTAAAAAGGTATTCAGTAGTGACAATGTACTCATTTGCAGTAATTTCTGACGCAATCAAACTTTCATCTTGTGGTCTGAGTCTATCAGCCAGTACTGTATCATCGGCATGTTTTGCCGATTATAAAAATGATTTCTCCCCAAGAGAAAGTGATAAATAAACACCGAAAATAAATAAACAAAAATAACAGATGAAAAATTTATGAAAGTTCGTTATATCAAGGGTAATTATGATGAAGGGACCTAAAAATGGTTCGTGATAACGAGAGTTCGTTATATCCGGGGTTTGTTATACCGAGAGAATTTGTAAGGAGTTTGTTACGCAGAATCCAAGGGACCAGGCATTTAGTTTGTTATACCGGGAAGTTTGTTATATCCGGGGTGCGTTATATCGTGATTCCACTGCAGTTATTGCAAATGAGACAAGCGACCACAACTGCAAAGCAAGGATTATCGGCCTAAAAGGTCGAGCGATTTTCAGACCTCAACTCAAAACTTTGATAAAAAAATTATGGAAACCTTCGTTTACAGGAGTTTTTCGCCACTTTCAAAACTTCTGTTAGTTTTAGACATGGTATCATTGTGTGCCTTGAAAGTCCAGCTACTAGAATCTGAAGAAATCGAGAAGTGGATGTTTTCATCCAGAAAACGTTTACCATAACTTTAAGCAAATTAGAATATTCGCCAAATTTTTCGTCAAGTAGAAATCAAATAGAAACGATTGCGTGGTTATCACCTTTCGTTCATAGTTGAATTATGATAAAAAAATTACATTGGGCCATATTGGTCACTTTAGAATAAAGTGTTCAGATTATTTAAGGCGTGCGATAAACTGCACTTCTGAGCAACGGAAGGCGTGTGCCAAGGCGTGGGCGTGCGATCGCACGCCATTCCCAGCATGGCCTGCTATAGTGTCATAAAAATGTGTCAGCTGAGTGTGGTACTTATTGAAATAATGACAATATATGAATAATTAAAATATTCCAATATGAAATAGACTGTTAAAACTATGACAATTCAAGTTATTACTCAATAAAACTAATTATTTACTCTTCTTTCAAGTCAATTGATAACCAGTAAAGGCTCAAAATGTTGTGAAACCTGTTTAGCTAAAGTTTCATAAAAAGAAAGTGTACAGATTTTAAGCCCTATCATCTTTAAATGAAATTTGTTCCTCTTTGCACATTCCTAAAATATCTATGAAATATATCTATGAAAAAAAGGCTAGCAAGAGAAATCACACCAATGTCAATAAAGTCTGGATGTTAAACACTTATAGACATACTTTAATTAATAAACTCTCTGTATTTCTTCCAGGCTATTGAGAGTGAAAAAGCTGATGCAGAAAATGAAAATGATGAGACAGGTGATTATGTTTTAAGAACAGTGGAAGACATGTCTCCCTATGTGGGCTAGACGGATTGTTTCTTACGTCACCTAAGCGCACACTAAAACTTACCAATGTCTGCAAAATATTTGGTGATAATACATATTGCAATTACAAGAAAATTACACCAAGTCATAAAAACAGGGCATTATGCCCCATAGTAGCTCAAGGTCTTACAAAGGATCCTTGATTTTTTTTGTAAGCTGAACAAATGCTATGAAATAGAACAACAGGGCTGTGCTATTTTGAAATTAGCTGTCATAACCAGGAAATTCATGTAAGCCAATTCATAAAGTTCATGAGTCAAGCCAGAAGGCACCATAATTTCCAACAAGAATTTGGTGCCTTAGTTTAAAAATTATGATTTAATTTTACTACCAAATTAGAGGTTTGTGGCAGAGTCTTACTGTCTCAACATTTTTTGAAGCTTTGATAGGCAAACATGAAAATTCCATTCGGGTCCCTTAAAAACTGAGAAGTTGCTAGATCTATTGCTATTTCTATTATTGTTGTCATGTATATCAGATGCTCTATCTAAATAGATGGAGACCTTGCATTAGCATCTATGTTTTTAAAAAATCTATATTTATATATATTATTTGAGGGAATTAACCCAGGTTATATGTATTGTAGAGGACAACAATGAATCCCAAGCATTGAATGATAGCCATGCTAGTGATCAGGGAACTGTTGGTGTTAGTGATGCATCTAGCTTTCACGATCCATATACTGACTTTGAAAGAAGCATACCAGGAGTGATTGATGATGTTGACCAGGAGGTTGATGCTAAAACTGATGTGGCCAAATATCAAGAGGACACTGATGTACATGCAGAGAAAGTGCCTGAAGAAGGAGATGATGCTGATATCAGCGTAACACAAAGAGCCAACTTTGGAGGTGAAGAAGAGTCTCAAACACAAGGAGCTGAGGAAAAATCTTTTAATGAAATGCCAGTTGAAGATCAGCCAGACTCTGTTCCTGTGCACGAACTTTCTCATGAGCAGGGCGATACTTCAAACAGAGCAGAGTGTGAAGACCAAGGAGACATATATGATGAATCTGAGAATGTGGAGGAGTGCTTAGGCGGAGATGTTGAAAATCCAACAGTGCCTGAATCACAATTTTCTAAAGGTAATCTTAAATATTGTTTTTGTTTGTTTTATATCAAATGTAAATAAATTTTTAAATTTTTCACAAAATGTTTAAAAAAAATTGATGTTATCATTTTTCTCCTTAGGTATAGAGGGTTATAATGTTTTTGCTTCAAAATATAGTTTTGATAACAGATACTATAATGTTAATTTCTTAGCATCACATGCCTAAAATTAAAAGTTAGAGAGCTTGTGATCTCCAACATGCCACTAATACTGAAAAGAAGGCTTGCACAAAACTTAAATTTTTGAACTATCTATTTATATCATATGTTATCCATCCAAAAATGCGAAGGTCTATGCTTGACAATTGTCAAACATTCCTTGTATGGTTATTTGTCAAGCTACTAAGCCATACCCTGTGTCTGTAGAGAAAATAAGCAGAAAGCCAAAGCAAGGATATTTTTGTTTGAAATCATTTAGCACTGATCATTAAAATGCAAGTGTTGTTTTTTGTGGCTCCAACCATTTTAAATTGGCAAGAATGATGATGAAATTTTTAATGATCACATTGTGATGGATGTTTGATTTGCAATTTTGCATTTCAAATTTTGTCAATACAAACTTCCTTACTCATCTGACTTGCCAAACATCCTTGCCATCTTACTGCAAGGTGTAAATATGCTGTTAATATTCTACCTTCATTACATTTATGTTGATAGAAATGTTAGATAGAAGGAGTTTCTGGATTTTCCTGTCATGAACATTTTTTTGAAAAAAAGTACCCAATACTTATGGCTTTTATTAAAGGTAATGTGTCCATATAAAAGGCTGCGTGTACCCGACTTGTCAAATAACATCAAATAACGGCTTGCAAATGGTCAGTATTCTTGCGATGCAAAACTGCTCACATGAAAAGCTAGCCTCGAAGCAGTGTAGCTAAAAAGAACGACCGTAATGGCTGGGGCGATAACATGAAAAATCACATGTTTCTGAAAATCCCCACAGAGTTGCATGCTTTAGCTGGACACGTTACCTTAGCATTCACAACACACTTGAATGTAAAAGTTTGTTTACGCAATATCCCCAGTATTATTGATTTTAAGTAACTAGAATGCACGGTTTGAATGGCAATATTCCTTGAAAAAGAGAAACTGTTTATGGTACGTTTTAATGTCCGGAATATGGGTAAGAATTGGATATTTCTTATCTGGGATGACTTATTTCTTTTCTGTTTCTCAAAGAAGAAGAAGAAGAAGAAGAAGAAGATGAGAATGAAGATCTGCAAGTGGAAATCGAGGAAAGTGACAAACTGGAAGATAGTATGACAGTTGAAGAAGCTGAAGAAAAAATAGCAGAAGAAAGGATGGTGCTGGAAGATAATTCAGAAATGGAAACAGGTGAAGAAGGGAGTAAGGAAAACAAAGAAACTGATGCTTTTGAGGCAGAGGAAAGTCATATTATGGAAAATAAGGAAGATGATGAAAATACACGCAATGAGGATGCAGAGGAGACTAAGGAAATCGATGATAATCACAAAGAGGATATCCAAAAAGGAGTGGCTGTTGAATTACAGGAAATAAAGCAACCAAAGGTACACTTCTTAAAACAATGCCTGTTTATCATAATTTGTTACAGTAAGTTTTGCTATTAGCTGTTGAGCTCTCATATAGTTTAGATTTTTCACATAATATGTTGCTTAAAGACATTCACAAGCTTTCCGTTTGCAATGGGAATTGTTCCTCTTTTTAAGCTGAAAAAGTGTCACACTCACGCTTAATTGAAAACATACAACGAATGTTTCTTTCAGAAACAAATTACACCTGTCCAGCTAAAGAAGAGAAAACTCGTCCCAGCTGCAGAAGATGGTAGTGTATTTACTGCATGCTATTTTCTTAATCCTGTCATTTACATGTACTCATGATATATTTTGTTAAGGAATCTTTCTGTGATATATTACGGGTTTTTTGTTCCATGAATTTCGAGCGTCTGTTGTTGTGTAGGAACACAGAGAAACTATTTAACCCCGTAGGTTACTTTTAAAAGCAGTCTTTCTTAACATTAATGCAGCATTTTTAAAATACTATTTAGATTTGCTTCATACATACCAACATTTTTATTTGGGGGGGGGGGCATTTCCTTTGTCAGATTCTGAATTACCTTGCTTGAAAAGAATTCTTAAGTTGCTATGTATGCCATCCAAATTTTACGGTTTGAGTGATGCCTGATCGCCTGATGATCGCATTAAGGGTGAAACTCGGATTAGCAACCTAGAAGCATCCTGTTCTATGTACTTAATGCGTGTACCTTTCTCCCTATACGGCAACTATACGGCAACAAGCACTGTATAACAGAAAGGTATACAAATGCGCTCAGATGGAGTTACTAATCATTCTGAGGCTGAAGTTAGAGAAAATTGTAGTACGCAGACGCCATTAGTCATATTTTGTAATGAAGCAATATGACTGGAGATCCCAGGGCCTGGGTTTTACCATTTGCTTCGAATCGGGCGCTTTTGATTTCAGCGACTTTAAGGTTAACTTGTGCAGCACAAGCTACTTTTTAATCATGTGCATCTTTTGTAGGATCCTCTTCTAAACAGGAAACTGCAGTTCCAAGAAAACGAAGATGGGGTTCAAGCGCCAACAAAGAGTCTGTTATAATAAGCACTGATTCACTTAAGGTATTTTTACTGAATATTATCAAGGCAACTGCGTTTGATAGTTTTGCAGGTCAATCTCTTAAATGGCCTTTCCGGACAAAAAAAGCATTCACTCTTCAAAGATACTGAAATTGACTTTCTACTGCATACAGTGTTTGTTGGAAAAGAACTGAGAGCTCGAGATTTCTATTCTGGAAAGTTTATTAAACGTAAACTCGAAGGCAACAGATTTCTGTTGTTTTGGCTTGGTTTATGAATTCTGAATCATAGACAAAAATACAATGATTTTGGTAGGGAAAAACCGGTTGTCATGTGACTATTAATTTAGGAATCGATCAAAGCTGGATCTCTGTCAATTTGAAAAAGATTGAACTCTTTTTTCACAGAATTATTTTATAACATTCTTTCAGGTGACACGGTCCGAATTCAAACCCTTCAGAAAATGTATGTTTTTAAATTCCCCACCTTTTGTTGTAATCTTAAGTGTGGTAATGCATTTGATTTTGATCAAGCAAAATAGCGACCCTCCTGCAAATGTAGTATTACGTTTGATCGAACTTCGAACAACTATTCTAACAAACATTCTATCTAACAAGGATAACAAACATAAAAGGCTAAACTTCAATTACGTAGCTGATTTCTTTGGTTTTGCAGGAAATAATACCAGAAGTTTCAATAATACCGTCTGTGAATGATGACCCCTTAGGACTCGGTCTTGATTACGGGGAGATGGAAGAAGGAGAAATCGATGAAACAGTGGACCACCCGTCACAACCGCTTGAGGACGATTCGAATTTGAAAGGTATGATACCGTAAATCCTCCAATTGATATTTTTGGATGGGGGCTTTTTCATAGAATTATTGTAGACATTAAGAAAACATTATTAAAAGACCACGCGCAAGTCGCGCCTTGATTTTGTTGTTTTTTAGAGAATTTTTTAGAGTATTTTTCTTGACTCTGCCAATGATTCTTTGTGGTTTCTTTGATTCTGACCCTTTCTCAAAACTGATCTTTTGTAGAAAATGAAGAGCCTGAAGAATTAGTAGAAGGAAATTTCAAGAAAGAGGTAAGAAGAGGCAGGATCGTCAGAATAAGTACAAAAGATACTATTAAGCTCCAAACAACCGTGTCAAAGGAAGAGACTGAGATTAAAGAAGATATGCAGCCAGAGCAGGATGTCCAAGTGATTATTCCAGGTAAGCGGTTATTCTCTTTGCGTTGATGATTTCAATTAGCATCTTGAAAATGGCAATTTAAAAAACCACCAGTAAAGAGTTAACAAATGAGATTGAGCTAAATTTAGTAGGAGAATAATCCATGGTTGCAGGTTTCTACTCCAAAGGGCTTTTTCAAGTTTATGGAGCTTTGGAGGAGACCTGTAGTAATATTCTACAACAATGGAGGGCACAGTTTTTTAAAAAAACTCTTTGTATCGATCCATCTGTTTACTCTACCCAAGTTCGACCTGTGGAAAGCAAGGTATATTATGTCCCTAAAATACGTTAAGTAATTTCCTCTTAGATCTGGGTCAAATTAAGTTGCTGTTTTTTGTCATGAAGCTAAATTAGCTGTTCGTTTAAAAAGAAGCCTCGTTTTGTCTTGATTATTTCTGTCAAAAGTCAGGTGCTCGAACTGAAAAACTTTTCCATCTTAAATCCGAATATAGACTTCTTTCGTCTCTATTATATCCGACACAAGGAAATATTTTCTATAGTATTTCTGCCTTTTTGCTATCATTTTCATGCCTTCCGTTATCTGTTTTTCTACCCAAACTATCTTAAGATTTCAAAGGAATAAAATTGGTGGTATCTTTGTGTAACTCCTTATTTGATGGATGTTTGGAGTTTGGATTTGCACCTCTGCGAGGAGATTCATTGGCCTAAGAATTTCAAAGCTGCTGATTTAAGTCTGCTATTTGATTGGAGTTTTCAGTGGACTGCCTTTGTTTGTAATAAAGACGTCAATCTGAAGGGAAAAAGAACTTTGTGCAAAGCAGTGTGTTGTCTTTTGACGTCAAAATTGCATTGTTTTATTATAACTGGACGAAATATATCGATTTCCTTGACGTTGGTTGCTAATGGCGTTGAACAATACATTTGTGTCTCATTGGATTCTTGTCAAATGAACTGAAACAGTTGATCATGTAATCACGAAAGAGTTTCCTTCTATCTTTAATGGATGCTTGATTGCTCAATGACATTGTGAAGCCAAAATAACAGACAATGCACAAACTGAAAGAAAGTGCCTTTAAAGCGGCTGTTATTAGTCAATTGCACTTTTCTGATTGCTGATTGTACATTCAGTGTCATAAGTTATGCTGATTACATGCTGTGACCAAAATTATCTGCTGATTGGAATAAAGAATTGCCAAAGGGACATATTTGATGCAGTGACACACTTGCTCTGTGGCATTGATGTAATGACACCCTTGCATCGTGACAAATGCTGTGTCACCTTGCAACTCTTGCCACTGTTCATCTCGCAAGATTGTTAACGGTGTTTGTTCCAACGAATATACCATGGAATCAGTCTGCATAAGCCGCAGAAATGGACATGATAATCGAACAAAAATAATACGGAGCTGCTTGCAGTACTTCGAGTGTTCGTAGTGTTCCACTCAGACGACGTTTAAAGTGCTGATTTTATGCACCCATTGATGTGACTGGAAAAGAATGTTTTCTAAGAGAAATCAATCATTGTAGTACAAAAGCTTCAAATGAACGATTTAACAGCTGTGTATGACTCTTCAATTTATACAGCTGCCTTATCTGAAAACTGTATTGCCTACTTGAGAAAACTACAAGCAACTCTAAATGGACGATCGACTGTTGGGACTAAGTGTTGAATGTGGTCAGTTTATGTTTGTATATTTATGGAATCATGGATCACATTCTGGTTCCCTTCTCAGTCCACCAACGTCGATGCTAATGGTATACATCAACATGGTTTTCATTTAAATCCATCACTTCGTATCAGAAATCGAATGGGATGAGTATATGATTGGCTACTTGTCAAATATAGCCACCTCTAACTCAATCTAGAATAATCAAAAAATGTTCCTTGTTTTCAAATTACTGTCTGAAAGAAACCGAAAATCTATTTTCAATCACCTTACGTTTCTTTTTTCCAAGAATTGGCAAATATGTGTCCCAATCTATTGTTCGTTTAGGCAACATCGTAAATACCAAATCAAAATATTCTTAAGAAGCTTATCGTCACAAAGTCAACTGAAGCTTTGCATCAGTGTTATTTTTACTCCAGCTTCAAGTCAGTAGACCTTAAGTTCTAAGCTTTGTGAGTAGATTTTCCCAAAGCATTTAGAATGACATGATTCTTTCATTTTTTTAGATGAGAAAGTGTCCCTGCTACCTGGAGTGTCTTCAGAAGACCCCGATTTCGTGCGCGAAAAATCGCCCAGCCCGGCAAAAAATGACCCGTCTCGAATTCTTAGCGTTCGTAATTTAGTAAGGCCATTCACATTGCGACAGTTGAGAGAGTTTTTGAGCAAATCGGGAACAGTAATCGAGGATGGATTTTGGATCAATCACATTAAGTCGCATTGTTATGTGACGGTAACGTCTACTTTCTATAATTTTTTCTTAAAAGCATACATTTGAGTTGAATTAATATAGAATTTGAATATTTTATTTTATATTTTTCGCTGTTTAGCCTTGATGTTCATGTGCTTCTTCAATTTTATCAATTTAGTTCTTTTTTGTTTATCAATTGAAGGTTCCATTATTTTCAATCTCTAAATTTATGAAATTGAAGAATGAAAAGGAAAACTGGGTTTAATATTTAGTGGGCTTGATATTTACTGGATGTGATATTGACTGAGCTTAATAGCTTAATTTGTACTTGGCTTGATATTTACTGAGCTTAATATTGATTGGGCTTGATGTTTTCTGAGCTTAATATTGACTTAACCTAATAGCTTAATTTGTACTTGACTTGATATTTACTGAGCTTAATATTTACTGGGCTTTATATTTACTGACCTTATTATTGACTGAGCTTAATAGCGTAATTTGTACTTGGCTTGATATTTACTGAGCTTGATATTAACTGGGCTTGGTATTTTCTGAGCTTAATATTTACTGGGCTTGATATTTTCTGAGCTGATTAGTTGCTGGACTTATTATTAACTGAGATATCTATTTACTTGGCTTCAATGTTAGGCTTTCAGTTTCAATACTGCAATTAATTTTGGTGCATCAGATTTTCACAACAAAGCTTATAGTCGTACCCCGTAATTTGACCAATTTTTTGTGGTTTAAGCGTGATTTTTTGTTGCAGTATGCCACAGAGGAGGAGGCCATTGCAAGTCGTTCGGCCATTCATGGAACCAGGTGGCCAGCTGCCAACCCTAAATTGCTATCAGCTGATTTTGCGTTGAACGATGAGGTATCTTGCTTTTTTACCATCAAGACCTTGTAATTGAATTACCACACTTCTCGTGGTAACGATGGTCGTACTAAGGAGCCATCAGTAAACTGCATCAGCCATAGATGCATTGATAAGCGAACAACCTTATATAAAGCAAGCAAAAATTTCCTGGTTCATTTCCCAGAAATGGTTCATTTCTTGGAACATTTCCTAGTAAAATTTAAAAGAAGATTATACAATTTCGAGTGTCAATTAAGTTATTTTACACTTTGTTTTTATTTGCCTGCAGATGTACAGAGAAACAGGAGGCAAACTCGGTAATGCTCCATCATCGAAGAAAATAGAAGAAAGAAAGCCGAGTATAGATGCAAGCGGTGAGCCGAGTATAGATGCAAGCGGAAAGCGTCTATCAAGGGAGCTCAGCAGAGATGAGGAAAGTATATCAAGAAAAAATGAGAGACCACGTGACAAAGAAAGTAGAGGTATGTTGTTTGTAGGACTTCTAAAAAGGATACAGTTTACATCTGTGTAAGGACGCCTGCTGGGACTGGAGTTATTTTTCATTGCAAGGGGTGCCTGTTGTAGGAAATGTCCGTTGTAGGGAATGCCCTTTTCAGGGAATGTTCGTTGTAGGGAATGTCCGTTGTAGGGGATGTTCTTTGTAGGGAATGTCCATTGTAGGGAATGTTCTTTGTAGTGAATGTTCATTGAAGGGAATTCCCGCTGTAGGGAATGTCTGATGTAGGAAATGTCGAATCTGCCGTAAAAACCCTCTCTCATTGAGAGGTTACTTAAGCAAGCCTTTGTTTGGGAAGGAATGAATGTCCGTGGTTTGGTGGTGTCCGTTGGCAGTGTTCGTTGGCAGTGTCTGTTGTTTGGAGGTACCCGAAGGTGTCCATTTTTAGAGATTTCATTTCTGTAATGGTAATGACGAAAAAAATATTAAGTACCCTTATCATGAGAATAAATCCTCAAAGCAACATTTTGCGCATGCATTGCGTTTTTAGACTACCCTGGAAATTTTTTGCACCATTCTAATCCAAATGGTAATCTGTGTAGATGAAACAGGGATAATGTAATGAAAGTAGAAGAACCACATCTTTCGGATGCTATCAGATATAATGTTGAAATTTTCAGGATGTTTTTTTATTTTACGTATATGAACATTTTCACACGTCTCCTTCAAAGTTTGGTCCATTCGACATGAAATGACCCATCTTTCTAATGACGCACTGTCTACTTGCTTGGAGCATCAGCTCATTGCAAGCAATACTTGTGATTTCGTGCCGACACAAAAGACTTGCTCCTTCTTTTATAAATTTGAATTTTAAATTTGTGTGATATTTTTTGTACTAATGCTACAGAAGGAGTTTTCTTAAAATTCCCACATTTCACAATAGGTTGTGTTTGAAATTGCAGTGCCAATACCTCCTTGCCGCATGACAATTGGCCCGTTCTCTCCTTTTGTCAGTTTTATTTCTGGTGATCTGTCCTTGCACTTTTCTTGACTGAGCCCGTAGAATAAAGTTTCTTTAAACTCTGAGCAACATAGTCTGCAGCCAATTTACTTGCCTGTTTTGCGAGAAATTAGCCCACTTTGACATACAAAACAACTCTTTCTTCGTACGCCAATTTTCTAACTTTTCTCATTATTTACTTTTCAGATTTTTGACAAAAAATTACCCATACTTTACTATTTATTTATTTCTGGTGTCAGATATTTTCTGGCAGCTTTTACTTGCCAAAACCATTACTGTAAATTTAAAATGATAGCTTTTATGTTGAGTGGAAATGTCGCCTTGTGAAAAGCTGTTTAGCGGCTATTTTGGATTTGGGTGGTGCAATACTTTTGCTAGGGGAGTGTATTTTTGACATAGTCATTCAATCCTTAATTTAATTGATCTTATGACATACCTACCTAAAATCCAGCAAAGATGGTATTTAGATGTTTACCACACTACTTCCTCCACACGCTCAAATGCATTTCGTACAGCTTTGAATGAGGAGGTGAGCAAGGATTACACCTTGTTCTATAAGCATTCTAGTCAGGGCTGGAAAATAGCCGGCAATTTTTCGCCAGGAAATTTTTAGCACAAATTCATTCCTAGAAATTGTTGCTGTTTGCTAGGAAATTTTCAGCGTGAAATCTCTATTGCTTGATTTTAATATGAACATTAAATTTATGTTACTCTATTTCTACGGAACACTGTTTTCTTGTGATATACATACCAACTGTATATTTTTGTTCTAAACTACTAACAAAAAACGAAGATTAGCTTTCAAAATACAATCATCTGGTATTATCAGCGTCTATTATACCAAATTTCCAGCAATTCGGGCATGATTTTCAGCTACTACTTTAATTCAAGCAAGCTAAAACAAAGTTCATTTCTCTTTTTACATTAGCCATTCTAGATAAGTAAAAACTTTTAAAGACAGTAAATCTTGTTACGTCAATTGTGAACGTGCCCCAATGTGAACATGTGAACACACATGAAGGTGAACATGCCCCAAAACTGTGTGGAAGTGTTCCATTATTATTCATACTTTGTCGAAGCTTCGCAGGAAATCTTGGATTTTTTATTTTGCTGCCAGGAAGAAAAATCTTCTTTCAAGCCCTGATTGTAAAGACTAATGAGAGTCTTTTTAACTATATCTAGATCGTTTGATTTTGTTTTGTAGCTGCTGAAGATTCAGCAAAACCAAAAGAGAAGAAAGAGGCTGCTGGAAAGCTTTTAGATGATCTGTTTCGAAAAACGAAAGCAACTCCGTGTATCTACTGGTTACCGTTAACGAAGGAACAGGTAAAGGGCCACTACATTAATTTCTACAGTAAATTAGCTTGGCTTGTGCCACAATTAATATTGCTTCTGAAATATCAACGCATTGCCATTTCTTTCTTGAAAATCCATCTGTAACAGGACCTACATTGATTTTACAAACAAGGCATGTCTGTATATGTTTAACAGCTGACACGCATTGGCTCAGTTAAACTATGATTTTAAAGTTACAGTACATATATGGTTCAAGAAATAATCAAATTAAGCAAGTTACAGACAATCTACAATAGATGACTAAAAACATATAACAAATTTACAACAAGAAATTAAAAGCTGGAGTTTGTTGTATCTTGAGAAATTATTTAGAGGATGAAATTGCCGATAAAAAGCTTCCTCAGGTGATAATTGATAAATTATTTGAGAATGAGAATGAAAAATAAATAAAGATAGCACTTCCTACAGTAATTGATCCGACCCACCGTTTATCCGGACTTCGATTATCCGGTCCGTAAAAAATGCGAAAAACTTTAGGAAAAATTTATAATATATCGAGAGCGTTTTCTTGCTTTCCATTTTATATCTTTTATAAATATTTTGAGAGTATTAGGTGCATTAGATTGTAATGTGTGCTTAGAAGCAAACTTTCACAAGACTCGTCTTTTTTATTTACGCTGGTTTCTGCCGTTATTTGTATATTTTCAATTATCCGGAATTTCGGATTATCAGCGCGAATCTTAAAATCCCGTGTCCCGAGAAGACCGGATGATTGAGTAAGTACTGTATTTCACAAACTTAGAGTAAATCAGGCGATGATAGGTCATTAGAGGTTGGTTGTTGCAAGGCCAGCTGTGTTTATGAGAATTAGACCAAAAGACCAAAAGGATCACAATTAGCAAGTTGGTTGCTGAAGGATATTGCTTTATGTTGAAAAGGATGATGTTCCAGAAATAATTGAAACACTTTGGTAACAATAATCTGTGGATTTTATTGGACTAATACTTTTGCACTGTATTAAAAAGTCATGTTTTACAAACCAGTATTTAGGGGAATTGTTTTACTTTAAGATTGCTGTAAAAGAGAAAGAGCGGGAACAACGAAGAGAAGAAAGACAAAAATTAAACGAAGAAGCAGAAGCACGTGGTGACAGAGAACGAGAGGAAAGACGACAAAAGCGACAAATGGAGTTGGGAAACGATGATAGGGCGAGAGAAAGAAGGGATCAGCGCAGTCCAAGAAGGTTCCAGAATAAGCGCTTTGGAGGAGGCCCGTCAGCAATTGGCAGACAAAGGTCACCGCGGAATGATCAGCGTGCGGGGCGTCAGTTACCAGCACAGTACCACAAAGCACCAGCTTTCTCATCACCTTCAAGTAGTGATGAAGACAATCGGGGCAAATTTTCAATTCGAAGGTAGATGGTTTATGTAAATAGAACTTCATTTTATTTTGTTCCCCGTGGACCTGTAAAGTCGATCTTAATTTCATGTGACTTTTTGGAAAAGTATTTTTAACTTGATTGCGGTTCTTACCTTTCAGATTTATTTTACTGAAACTATGCCTACTTTCTGAACAATTGCATTTTCCGGATGGAAGAACTTATCGAGAAGCTTCATGAGACTCGAGTTACTGCTAGAACCATAAAAATACTAAATGCCTCGAATTTTCATGGTTTTACTCAGCCCTTGTCTTTTTTACCGAGAACAAGAATCTAAAGGCATTTTCACAAACACCTTTAATGGTATATGAAGAGGCTTTAGCTGAAGACCCAGTGCTTCCAACAATTTCCGCTAGCTTCTATCCCTCAACTTTGCAATATTTCAACCACATTTCAGCATGCTTGCATTGAGCTCAAAGCAAAATCTCTTTCCAAAGCTCATTAAGATTCATACTATTATATGAGATTCAAAATCATTATTTTGTCATACAAAAACAATTTTTTCAGGTCTGAGTGAAATTTCAAGGTGATTAAAATCGGGACATGCAAAATAATAAGGCAATAGGCTTAAAAAAATCGTCAAATTTTTTTCCAAGTTTGTTTTTTTAAAAACAAGTAAAGCTGCTCATATATGATTAGAATAGAAAAGGAACTGCTTTTAGTTCTTGAATTAAAATGGCTATTTTTGATAAAATAACAAACTTTAAGATAGGTGGACCTTTGATCAAATAGTAAGGCAATAGGCTTCGAAAAATCGTCAAATTTTTTCTCTAAAAGCAAGATAACCTGCTCTTGTATGATTAGAAAAAACAGGAATTGCCTTTAGTTCTCGAGTTAAAGTGGCAATTTTTGATCAAATAGTAAGGCAACAGGCTTAGCAAAATCGTTAAATTTTTTGTAAATTTTTCTTAAAACAATTAAAGCTGCTCCTATATGATTGGAATAAACAGGAATCGCTTTTACTTCTTGAATAAGAGTGGGTCTTTTTGAAATACTCATGAACATTAGAATGGGTCAATATTTAAACTTTTTTCAATTTTTTTCTAAAAACAAGTAAAGCTGCTCCTATATGATTAGAATAAACAGGAATTGCTTTTAGTTCTTGAAAAATAGTGCCTCCTTTTAAAAAAAATCACGGACTTTGAGATGGGTCAATTTTTGATAAAATAGTAAGACAATAGGTTTTGAAAAATCGTCAAATTTTTTTTTCTGAAAACAAGTAAAGCTGCTCCTATATGATTAGAATAAACAGGAATTGCTTTTAGTTCTTGAATTAAAGTGTGCTCTTTTAAAAAAAACGGACTTTGAGATGGGTCATTTTTGATAAAAAGTAAAGGCTTTAAAAATCGCTCTTTCAATTTTTTTTTCTAAAAAAGTAAAGCTGATATAAAGAATAAACAGGAATTGCTTTTAGTTCTTGAATTAAAGTGGCTCTTTTTAAAAAAATTACGGACTTTGAGATGGGTCAATTTTTGATAAAATAGTAAGGCAATAGGCTTAGAAAAATCGTTAAACTTTCTTGAAATTTTTTTTCTAAAAACAAGTAAAGCTGCTCCTATATAAATTGAAATAAACAGGAATTGCTTTTAGTTTTTGAAAAAAGTGTGCTCTTTTAAAAAAATCACGGACTTTGAGATGGGTCAATTTTTGATCAAATAGTAAGGCAATAGGCTTTGAGAAATCGTTAAAGTTTTTTCAATTTTTTTTTCTAAAAACAAGTAAAGCTGCTTCTATATAATTGGAATAAACAGGAATTGCTTCTAGTTCTTGAAAAAAGTGCCTCCTTTAAAGGAAATCACGGACTTAAAGATGGGTCCATTTTTGATAAAATAGTAAGACAATAGGTTTTGAAAAATCGTCAAATTTTTTTTTCTAAAAACAAGTAAAGCTGCTCCTATATGATTAGAATAAACAGGAATTGCTTTTAGTTCTTGAAAAGAGTGCCTCCTTTTAAGGAAATCACGGACTTTGAGATGGGTCAATTTTTGATAAAATAGTAAGGCAATAGGCTTAAAAAAACGTGAAACTTTTTTGAAATTTTTTTTCTAAAAACAAGTAAAGCTGCTCCTATATGATTAGAATAAACAGGAATTGCTTTTAGTTTTTGAAAAAGAGTGCCTCCTTTTAAAAAAAATCACGGACTTTGAGATGGGTCAATTTTTGATAAAATAGTAAGACAATAGGTTTTGAAAAATCGTCAATTTTTTTTTTCTAAAAACAAGTAAAGCTGTTCCTATATGATTAGAATAAACAGGAATTGCTTTTAGTTCTTGAAAAAGGGTGCCTCCTTTTAAAAAAATCAGGGACTTTAAGATAGGTCAATTTTAATAAAATAGTAAGACAATAGGTTTTGAAAAATCGTGAAATTTTTTTTTCTAAAAACAAGTAAAGCTGCTCCTATATGATTAGAATAAACAGGAATTGCTTTTAGTTCTTGAAAAAGAGTGCCTCCTTTTAAAAAAATCAGGGACTTTGGGATGGGTCATTTTTTGATAAAATAGTAAGGCAATAGGCTTAGAAAAATCGTTAATCTTTTTTCAATTTTTTTTCAAAAAACAAGTAAAGCTGCTCCTATATAAATTGGAATAAACAGGAATTGCTTTTAGTTCTTGAATTAAAGTGGCTCTTTCTAGAAAAATCACGAACTTCAAGATGGGTCATTTTTTGTTAAAATAGTAAGGCAATAGGCTTAAAAAAACGTGAAACTTTTTTTAAATTTTTTTTCTAAAAACAATTGAAGCTGCTCCTATATGATTAGAATAAACAGGAATTGCTTCTAGTTCTTGAATTAAAGTGGTTCTTTTTAAAAAAATTACGGACTTTGAGATGGGTCAATTTTTGATAAAATAGTAAGGCAATAGGCTTTGAGAAATCGTTAATCTTTTTTCAATTTTTTTTTCAAAAAACAAGTAAAGCTGCTCCTATATGATTAGAATAAACAGGAATTGCTTTTAGTTTTTGAAAAAGAGTGCCTCCTTTAAAAAAATCACGGACTTTGAGATGGGTCAATTTTTGATCAAATAGTAAGGCAATAGGCTTTGAGAAATCGTTAAAGTTTTTTCAATTTTTTTTTCTAAAAACAAGTAAAGCTGCTTCTATATAATTGGAATAAACAGGAATTGCTTCTAGTTCTTGAAAAAGAGTGCCTCCTTTTAAGGAAATCACGGACTTAAAGATGGGTCAATTTTTGATAAAATAGTAAGGCAATAGGCTTTGAGAAATCGTTAAAGTTTTTTCAATTTTTTTTTCTAAAAACAAGTAAAGCTGCTCCTATATGATTAGAATAAACAGGAATTGCTTTTAGTTTTTGAAAAAGAGTGCCTCCTTTTAAAAAAAATCACGGACTTTGAGATGGGTCAATTTTTGATAAAATAGTAAGACAATAGGTTTTGAAAAATCGTCAATTTTTTTTTCTAAAAACAAGTAAAGCTGCTTCTATATAATTGAAATAAACAGGAATTGCTTTTAGTTCTTGAATTAAAGTGGCTCTTTCTAGAAAAATTACGAACTTTAAGATGGGTCAATTTTTGATAAAATAGTAAGGCAATAGGTTTTGAAAAATCGTCAAATTTTTTTTTCTAAAAACAAGTAAAGCTGCTCCTATATGATTAGAATAAACAGGAATTGCTTTTAGTTCTTGAAAAAGAGTGCCTCCTTTTAAAAAAATCAGGGACTTTGGGATGGGTCATTTTTTGTTAAAATAGTAAGGCAATAGGCTTAGAAAAATCGTTAATCTTTTATCAATTTTTTTTCAAAAAACAAGTAAAGCTGCTCCTATATAAATTGGAATAAACAGGAATTCCTTTCGGTTCTTGAATTAAAGTGGCTCTTTTTCAAAAAATCAGAGACTTTAAGATAGGTCAATTTTAATAAAATAGTAAGACAATGGGTTTTGAAAAATCGTCAAATTTTTTTTCTAAAAACAAGTAAAGCTGCTCCTATATGATTGGAATAAACAGGAATTTCTTTTAGCTCTTGAAAAAGAGTGCCTCCTTTTAAAAAAATCAGGGACTTTGGGATGGGTCATTTTTTGATAAAATAGTAAGGCAATAGGCTTAGAAAAATCGTTAATCTTTTTTCAATTTTTTTTCAAAAAACAAGTAAAGCTGCTCCTATATAAATTGGAATAAACAGGAATTGCTTTTAGTTCTTGAATTAAAGTGGCTCTTTCTAGAAAAATTACGAACTTTAAGATGGGTCAATTTTTGATAAAATAGTAAGGCAATAGGCTTAAAAAAAACGTGAAACTTTTTTTAAATTTTTTTTCTAAAAACAATTAAAGCTGCTCCTATATGATTAAAATAAACAGGAATCGCTTTTAGTTCTTGAAAAAGAGTGCCTCCTTTTAAAAAAATCAGGGACTTTGGGATGGGTCATTTTTTGATAAAATAGTAAGGCAATAGGCTTAGAAAAATCGTTAATCTTTTTTCAATTTTGTTTTGAAAAAACAAGTAAAGCTGCTCCTATATAAATTGAAATAAACAGGAATTGCTTTTAGTTCTTGAATTAAAGTGGCTCTTTCTAGAAAAATTACGAACTTTAAGATGGGTCAATTTTTGATAAAATAGTAAGGTAATAGGCTTAAAAAAAACGTGAAACTTTTTTTAATTTTTTTTTTTAAAAACAATTAAAGCTGCTCCTATATGATTAGAATAAACAGGAATTGCTATTAGTTCTTGAAAAAGAGTGCCTCCTTTTAAAAAAATCAGGGACTTTGGGATGGGTCATTTTTTGATAAAATAGTAAGGCAATAGGCTTTGCAAAATCGTTAAACTATATTCGACATTTTTTTTCTAAAAACAACTAAAGCTGCTCCTATATGATTAGAATAAACAGGAATTGCTTTTAGTTCTTGAATAAGAGTGCCTCCTTTAAAAAAATCACGGACTTTGAGATGGGTCAATTTTTGATCAAATAGTAAGGCAATAGGCTTTGAAAAATCGTTAAAGTTTTTTCAATTTTTTTTTCTAAAAACAAGTAAAGCTGCTTCTATATAATTGGAATAAACAGGAATTGCTTCTAGTTCTTGAAAAAGAGTGCCTCCTTTAAAGGATATCACGGACTTAAAGATGGGTCCATTT